CGCTACAAGTCACATCGACTTCAAAACAGCGCGTTCTGGCACACAGAGACTTTTTCAGATGGTTTAATTACCCAAGTTTCCAGAATGTGCGCGTTTACATGCGCCGTCAAGGTACAAACAGAATTTCCAAGAAAAACAATTTTTTTTTTGCGATAAAACTTAGATATTTTTTATTTTTCAATCTTTTTTCGAATTTGATAAATTTGAGCTCTGGAGTATCTTTTGACACCAAACCCATGAAAATCCGCTGTCTGTAAAGAATTGGCAGCCACGATTTGAAGAATCGCTTTTTCTAGTATTAGGTTGGCAACTAAATAATGGCCCTCGCCCTTTTTTGATAAAATCTTTTAATCTTTGCGTTTAATCTACCCTCGCTTGTTTTTAATTGAGTATTACTGAATTTCTGGTGCATTATTATACGTTTTTTACTTTCCTTGATTTGATACTTTTGAAATAATTTTGTTTAGAAATGGAAGATCTCAAATATCGAATGCGTGTCTGTCTCTGGTACGACTACAAACAAGACAAAACAGCTGCCGAATCCTACAGAGATTTATTGCGAGTTTTTGGTGATGAGGCTCTTTCCGAAACACAATGTAAGAGATGGTATCGACGGTTCAAGGAAGGGGATGAAAGTCTTGAAGATGATCCTCGCCAAGGACGACCCGAACCTCTGCAGAACGATATTTTGGAAGCAGCCTTAAAGGAGGATCCAAGTCAAACATCACGCGAGCTAGGGGATCGATTGGGCTTTTCGCATACTGCAATCGAAAAGCGACTTCATGCATTGGGGAAAAGTAACCGCAGTGGAAAGTGGATTCCGCATGAATTGAGCGAAGAAAATAAGGCTACTCGTGTTACCACAGCTGGAATACTACTAAAACTTGCGAAAAAGGGAAGCTTCTTGAATTCCATTGTCACTTCTGATGAAAAATGGAACTTTTATGATAATCGAACGCGAAAACGACAGTGGCTTAGCACAAACGAAGACCCAAAACCAACTCCGAAGCCGGATATTCACTCAAAGAAAACTCTCCTCTGTGTGTGGTGGAGTTCTCGTGGGTTGGTGCATTTCGAGGTTCTCAAAAGCCGGCAAACGGGTAATTCAGAACTCTATTCGTCTCAACTACATCGTGTAGATCAAGCAATTCGCTCTCAAGGACTCGAACCCTCTTCAATTCATTTTCTCTATGATAACGCAAAACCACACACTGCAAAACTTACAATGGAGAAAATCGAGGAGTTGGGCTGGAATGTTCTTCCTCATGCGCCATACAGCCCGGATATGGGGCCTAGTGATTACTATCTTTTTCGATCGATGCAACACTTTCTAGCCGAGAAAAAGTTCAATGACCTTGACGAAGTCCGAATTTCAGTGCAGAAGTTCTTTGACGATCAACCAGAAGAATTTTTCAAGAGAGGAATCCAGTTGCTCCGTCAAAAGTGGAAAGAAGTAATAAAGAATGACGGAGAATACCTTTTGGATTGATGTTGATATTTGTTCATCCTGTTAATAAATTTTTTGTTTTTACTGAAAAGGGCCATTATTTAGTTGCCAACCTGATACTTTCTCGTATCCAAATGAGTTACTAGAAGAAAAAAGTAGAAAAGTAGAACACGATTCACGGCGCATAAAGACCTCCCCCAAGATGACAAAAGGTTTTGAGACGGCACAGTTAAAACTTGTTGTCATCTTGGGGGGAGGTCTTGGGCACTATGAACCCCAGTCACAGCATACCACCTTACTGACCCCCACAACTATGGCCCATCCACTTTCGGTACCCTGTGTATGCAAAAATGTCCTTCCAGTCCTTCCTCGGAGTCCTTCCTTGAGGTCCTTCCAAATACCGTTAAAAGTCTCGGAGTTTTGGGAGCTTTTGCACGTTCCAATCACAAAAACTCTACTAATCAGGGGAAATTCCGAGAAAACAAACACAAAAGAACATTTAGAGAAAACGACTACTAGATACAGTCTTGAAATTATCTTGAATAAATAGAAAAATGAATAAGAAACATTTGTATTTAGAGCCAGTTGTAGGTCAATTGGTGAATTTGTCATTTAGAAACGCTAGTAGAAAAAAGTGTCCAAGAACTTATCGGCCAACCTAATAGATTAGACGTTTTGACTCTTCTTCAGTAATTGACAAAGTAAAAAAAACTTGCTTGAATAAACTAAGCAAAACAATGTTGTCTAAAACGAAAAGCAGAGCCGATTATTTTCTGTGCAATACGCTTGTACAAAGAACTACAACCTAAAATGAATAAGCTTTTGAAACAAAACTTACTAACTCCTAACTAACTCCGTTAATGAACTCTTAGGCTCTCAGTTAAAAGCCAAACGTGTTCAAACAATTGTGAACTCAAAATTTGAGGTACGACTCGGCTGCCATCGACGATCTCGAGGTCTGTTGGAAGGAGCAAAAGAAATGGTGGCCCACCGCTTTTGGAAAACACAAAAGTCAAAAGTTAATTGATTAATTTATTCATTCCGATAATTTATAGGTTATTTCATGTTGTGATTAAATTGGGTGATTGTTGAGTTTTTAAAGAATAAACGAGTCTGAAAGCAATGAAAAACAAACGGCCAACAAACCAATAACGAACATCTAACAAGAATTGGAGAAAAAGTGGCAAATTTTGCAAAAATGGAAACAATGATAGAAAGCCACAAAAATATAAAATGAATCATCAAAGAGTGATTTTAATCGACCGGAACGTAGAAGGCCAATAAGCAATCAGAGCAATTCTGGTACACGCAGATGCAGTCCTTGGTTGAATCAAAACGTCGACGGAATATTGAGCTTCCTTCCATGAAGTAACCGGAATATCCAAAATTCCTCATAACGTCGTTCGCCTGTTCGAGAAGTCGAAGACGATTCTCTCCATCGACTCGTCGCATCCCTGGATTTTCTGAGAGAGCCGTCTTGAAGTAACGTTTATATGAATCAAGGAAAATAGCAGCCTCAGGGTTCTTGCTCGGGATTCCATTGGTGATAATATGGTGAACAATTCAATCATCGCAAAGTTCCACTGACATAAAAATGTTTTGGAATTCAGCCTTCAACAAGGCGTTGTAGCAAAAGCGAATTGAATCTTCACAAAGATAGAGAAACCGAATCTTCTCGCAATACTTGAGTTCAGGTGCCACCAGAAAATTCTCGATCCGATCTTCGATTACTTGACTCTGGAAACCATTGAAGCGGAAAACGTTACAATTCAGTGTTGCTTCTTTCTTGATCGATGCGTGGAAATTTGAGAAGAATATCTCCAGGCCTTCTCCTGAATCCCATCGCAGCTTCAATCGATTCACCGACTTTAAATTTTTCAGAAGCGTATTTTTGTCCTCGTTGAATTGATCATCGATCTTGATCAGCAAGTCATCGCACCAGCGAATCTTCTTGACGAAAGAAAAGCCACGACTGAAATTCATTTCATATGAATCTGAAAACTTCTCGATCCGATGATACCGATAGTCTAATTCGATTAGAAAGACGTGCTCTCCAAAAACGATTGACGGATCCCTCGCGAGCATCCCTTGGAATCCTTGATTCACCTTGGCCAACTCATACACATCTCTGCGTTCCATTTGCTCCAACGCTTCCAACTTCAAATCAAAACACAACTTCTCCATAGGAAATGATGTCAAATTCTTCATTTCGAACTCCATGACTCCTACCTGTCAATAAAAAGATTAGGCTTTGTTTTGACATAAAGAGGTGCTTTAAGGATAACGGAAATGTTAGGAAATAGTGAAATTGGCTTGGGATAGCCAGGCCGTAAAAACCTACAAAGGTTAAAGCTTGAGAAAAGTCAATCAATCCAAAATAAACAACTGTTTCAAACAGTAGCTTCATCATCGAACAATATTTTGTAAATTTATTTCAAGTAACAACAATAACGAGAAAAGCTAGCAATCCATAACAAAAAGCTACAAGTACTAAGGCAGTTAGGGGAGCACTTGAAATCTGCTCAGGCGTGGTTTTTCTAGAGTAAATGATGACGCTGATCACGAAAAAAACATTTTTAAGTTATGTTTTCAATTAGAAACTTATCTGCCTGCGTGGTGCGGAGCCAACCCATAGGAAAACTAGGGAAATACAGTTTTTTCAAAAGAAAGTTAATCCAGTACATGTTTTTTAATCGAAAACAGCTTAAAAATATCTTTCGTGGTGAATGAGGCTAATGTTTGCAGAACGGCCACATAGATGTCGGCGAAACGACAGACTAAGCAAAAAGTCTAGCCCAATTTTAATGGAGCATTTTCAATTGCCGTCAAATCTCTCAAAAGTACCCACAAAACCCACAAACACACAAAATTCACATTCAAATGAAGCGGATCCTCTCTACCATGTGACTCTTTCGACTTCATCGGTGTAACGACCTTCCCAGGCTCTAGCTCTGAGGTGTTTAGTGAAGCAAACTAAAAAAGTTAATTGTAAATTCAAATCCAGTGAAACAAGCTGAAAAATTACTCACTGATAAGCTATTAGAGTTGTCGTTGTTGAGCCACTAAACACCGATGTTTGTTGTTTTGAAGCTGCTGTCCGCGTTCTTGTTTTCGAAGCCTTCTGCGTTGCTGCGATTGGTGCCTATGCCGTCCGTTTGTGGAGACAGCTGATGTAAAAACATTTAGCGCTGGTGACGACTTCAGCTGGCCAATACTTTGTTCTGGATTTTCTTTATTGAATTGCAGAGCAGCCATACGATGAGAGTCTCCATTTTACGTCCATAAGTAGCGCAAAGCCTCCATTTTACCAAAAATAAAGCCATTCGTTCATTTGAAACTAAGATTTTCTTGTTTTCCAATAAAGCCTGCCAGTGCTACCTAGAGCATGTTTTATCCAAATAGAATGCCTTAGCACAGCACTAAAAGCCATCAACTGCCAAGATCCAAACTATGATTCGAGTTAACTTTTATTCAACCCATTCAAAAGCTCACGCGTCATCTCGCTTTGAATTGCATCATCGCAGAATCGCTGCAATTCGTCCAAGTGCTTTCAGGGCAACTCGATACACTAAATTTAAAAGTTTAACCAATAAACGCTTCAAACACTCAACTTTTTCAGGGCATTCTGGTCGATGATGGATCATCGCTTCGCCGGTGAGGATTCCAAGAGAAAATTGCAAGTATCGGTATTTGACCCTCACTAAATTTGAAAATTTAATCGTTTCGCAATTTTTGACGGAGAGGGACTAAAGTTAACAAAACAAAGGGTATATTGCTTTTTGTTTCGATTCTTTTTTTCATTTACATTAAAGGAAACACTCAAAAATGTCTTAAATAGATCATTTTAAAGCAGTTTTTAAGCAAATCTCAAAAAACCCACTCAAATGAGTCACCGCGATATGTTCCTTGAAATGATGTGTATCGAGGCTGTCGAAGTGGCCAAAGGTGCATGTGTAGAAGTCGCTTCCATACCTGAAAAAAAAATTGAGGACTTTTCAACAAAACAAGTAATTCAAACTGAAGAAACAAGTAAAGGGGCCCAAAACTCATGGAAATGTTAAGAATTTGTTCAACTAAAGCTTATCCGCGCTAAACTTTTCTTTAGACGGGGACTCCAGCTCAAGAACACCCGTTTTCGAGCATTTTAAAGAGAAATATCATGGTTGGTGGGTTGGTTGGTTCGATATAGGACATAGGTTGGTTCCCTCAAAAAAAGGTGTCAACACGGAAACCGATCTTTGGCTTGAATTCACGCCGTCGAAAACCTCGCCTATTGCATTCCCATTTGCGCCTTTGGTCATTGACAGCACCGTAAAGTTTCGTGTCTTGCGCACAAATTGAACAAGCTCGCCTTAAATCGGCAAGCCAACCCTCAACAGATCATCGGGTTGATCAAGCTTTCTCGACAGTTCATGGAGCGTAATGCCTCTAATAGATTGTAAAGCGTTCATTTGTAAAAATTCGTTTGCAAATGATCAAAAACATTCTAAATTTGCAGCTTATTTTTGGGCCATCAGAGTAGTATATGTCATTACTACAGAGAATATTAGCTAAATAGCTTGTAATTTCCCAAAAACAATCAGTGTTTTGGTCGTGAACATGATGTTTGTCTTTAAAAAGCTCAAAATTTGCATTTAATTTTTGGTAGTGAAATTCGAAGAGAAGAAAAGCTTTCAGTTTCAGAGTTTCTTTATCATCGTTTTGGTTAAGAATAGGTCTATTCACAATTAACAAGATAGAGAAAAAACTGATTGAGAAAAAATTAAAGGCTATCTTTTGGTATAATAAACCTGACAGTTTCCCAAAAATTAACTGAAAAAAATCCTTTGCAAGCGCTCTTTAAGTAGTTTTCTTTTTCGCCATGGGAAGGGTTACGGTATTATCCACGCTTTACGCACGCAGAAAGTCGTCAAACCTAGGCTTCGGAAAACAAAACTTAATCAAAACCAAAACCACCAAAACCAAAACAAACCAAAACCAAACCAAAACCAAACCAAAACCAAAACAAACCAAAACCAAAGCCAAAACCAAAACTAACCAAAACTCGCCAATATCTCGCGACTGGGAAGAGCTAGCGAAAATCTGTTTGCAGATTTGAAATCAGCGTCCAAAAATCTATCCCATAGGCTATTTTTTGTTTCGAAATTTCGAGGTCGTGTTTTGGTCCTTTTTTCGGCAGCGAGATTTTGTGGAGTGAGAAAAAGTGAAAGGCAAATTTAGTCGTGTAGCAATCTTTGACGGAGAGGGACTAAAGTTAACAAAACAAAACGTATATTGCTTTTTGTTTCAATTCTTTTTGTCATTTACATTAATGGAAACACTGAAAACATCTTAAATAGATAATTTTAAAGCTTTTAAGCAAATCTCCAAAAACCCACTCAAATGAGCCACCGCGATGTGTTCCTTCAAATGATGCGTGTCGAGGTTGCTGAGGTGGCTAAAGGTGCATGTGTAACGCCAAGGTGCATCTGTAGAAGTCGCTTTCATACCTGAAAAAAAATTTGAAAACTTTTCAACAAAACAATAATTCAAACTGAAGAAACAAGTAAACAGGCCCAAAACTCATGAAAATGTTAAGAATTTGTTCGACTACAGCTTATCCGCGCTAGACTTTTCTTTAGACGGGGTTTCCAGCTCAAGAACACACGTTTTCGAGCATTTTAAAGACAAATGCTCGAATGGTTATGGTTGGTAGGTTGGTTGATTGGTTATAGGACATAGGTTGGTTCCCTCAAAAAGAGTCTCAACACGGAAACCGATCTTTGGCTTGACTTCATGCCGTCGAAAAGCTCGCCTATTGCATTCCCTTCTGCGCCTTTGGTCATTGACACCACCGTAAAGTTTCATGTCTTTCTCGACAGTTCATGGAGCGTAATGCCTTCAACAGATTGTAAAGCGTTCATTTGTAACAATTCGTTTGCAAATGATCAAAAAATCTCTAAATTCGCAGCTTATGTTTCGGCCATTACAGTAGTATATGCTATTACTACACAGAATATTAGCTAAATATCTTGTAATTTATCAAAAACAATTAATGTTTTGGTCGTGAACATCATATTTGTCTTTAAAATGCTCAAAATTTGCATTTAATCAAGTGTGTTTTGACAGCGGAAAATGCCGAATTTTTGATTGACAACCTACCTTAAAAATGCTATTTTCGGCATCAGATATAGATTATCCCCAGAAAAATGAAAACCTCGCGAAAAATTTATAAATGTTTTGCGCAAAAGTTTTCACGAGATTTTTGGAGCTACTCCTGGGTGGTTGTTTTTTTAAATTGCTGATTTTGCTTCTCGATTTTTGCATTTTTTCTATTATCAAATCTCGACAAAGGACGTTTCATTTTGACGTTTTGATGTTATTTTGCAGAAAAATAGTTGGCCTTGCTAATGAAACAAACCGTAGTTCAATTGGTGCATTTGTTGGTTTTAGATGGAAGTACGAAAAGGAAGGAAAAGACTTTCTGGATAAATTATTGTAATCATTTTACAAATCAGGTTGTAATCAGGTGACTAGGCGTTTTCAGTATCAACTCACATTCTTCATCTCCGAGATCGGTGGTCGGCGCGGGATTGGACACCTGGGTGGCCGCTTGAATCATGGTGAGCGACTGAAATTTGTGATATACTAAGATGTAGGTTTTTCAATTGAAAAGGATAAAAATGTTCACCGGCAACTTGAAAACAACGATTTGCGAAGCGATTTTAACAAAGCTGTAGGCTCAAAAGCTTCAGAAACGAAGAATGCTATGTGAATGCATCCAAAATGTTCTACCTCCAAGACTTATCAACCCTAATTGGATCTTTAAGTAATAAAAGCAGTTTACAAAAGCAGCTTGAAAAAAAGTCGAGACGTGTTTATTTTTAAAGAGTCAACCGGACGATTCATAGTTATGGCAAGAAATAATTGTTTGGCGCCAAGAAGGGAGCAGATAATTTCCCTCAGGTTAGAAAAGAAATATGCAAGAAGAGAATTGCCTGAGGCAGATCACTAGATAACTTTTACAATAGTCGAGAAAGACTCCTGACTGTCTCTCACTCACAAAATTCCTTCAGCAAAAATGCGTCCAACGTCGCAGAAGAACTCTTCCGTCCAGAAGAAGAAGAAAAAGAAGAAGTAAGTTCCACCTTTCGTTCTTCCCACGAGCACCGGGATTACACTGTTACTAATAGGTCAAAGTGGTTCCGGTGCCTAATAAATGGAGAATGGATGATAAATTTACAAACGAGTGCTAAATTGCCATGCGACGTTCAAATTTGAATACAAAGCAGAAAAATTAACATACCTACTTGCTTTTTGACCTTGCGAAATCGGGACTTTTCCGAACTTCTTTTTGGCTGGAATGGGATAAATTACTATGCCAAGGGCATAGTAGGACAATTACTCGATAAATTACTATGCCAAAGGCATGACAGATGATAAAGTTATAAATGTCAATTGCAGGAGAAAATCATTTAGTTACAGACAATTTTGCTTTCCGATTATTTATTTTTGATTATTAGCGTATTATTATTTTTCCTATTACATTCGTATTTCCAACACTTTCAAAACAAAAGTTATAATTTGCAGATGGGACGAACATCAGAAGCCAAAAAGTCTAGAAGTGGCAACTTGGAACATGGACGCCAAACCAATCAAAACAACATGCACGGATTACGAAGTGGGAAAGTTCATGCAAATCCTGTGGAATCAAAAGAAGAAAGCTCATCACGATCCGCAGACAATCAACAAAAAGAAAACGAATTCGACAGGAAAGCACATTTGAAAGGAGCACGGAAGGCAAGGATTTTGAAAGATAATGAAAAGAAAAGAGCCGAGCAAAATCGTCAAAACGCCATCTATGTGGCAAAAGCAAAGCAAAACGATGATGATTCTGTTGCTTCAACCTCACATATTCAAACCAAATCACCGACTCCTCCAACTCCAGAAGCTCTGCTCGGTATGAAAAAAAGTGCCAATCTATCAAATAAAGGACTATTAGCTGTAAACCATTTTCTTCAATCAAACCAAGGAGTAACCATTGGCTCACAACGAACTATCGAAAAGGCCAAGGAGACTCTGGACCAGTTTGTCAGATATGAAATAGTTCTCAATGAAGGAGTAAGATTGGAAGCTGTGTTGAAAGCTGTTGAAGAGCGGCGAAGAAGATTGGGTCTGCTGGATGAGCGAGGAAAACGGCTGATTTTTTCCCTCGATAAAGGGCACGGCCGAGTTATTTCAACTATTTCATTCCTAATCTGCGAAAAACCGTGCTCGTCTCGCAATTGTCTTCCATTACAAGCTTGGGAAGGTTCAGATTCTTACGACTCGCTGAAGGAAAAGGGAATTTGGAAAGACTTTGAAACTTTGGTGCAAGCCGGATATATGGTTTTTCTCGGTGGAGACCTATCTTTCTTGAACACCAACTTTGGTCTTTCCTGTGCGATGACATTTGGATGTTTATGGTGCAACAAGAGGTTTGACAAAAAACCATCCGCTGATAAGGATTCAATTGATTTTCAACAATATGCTGATCGGAGTGACCCTTCGGTGGAAGCGATGATTTCAAAAGTAAAAGGTCTGCAGGCAAAAAAAGAAAATCTATTAAATATTTCTCGAAGTTTGGTAATTCCCCCAATACTTCATGCAAAAATCAAGATTGGAAACCAACTTTTTGAACAATTGGTGAAACTCGAAGGCTCCTCTCAGACTTTCCAAGATGTTTGTCGAAAATGCAAGTTGGATGTGGATCGGAAGAGTGATGGGATTATCTATGCTCGTTTCAACGGAAACGATATAAAGAATCTCTGTCGATCCTCAGTGATTTCTGATTTAGCAGTCGTTTCTTCCTCCCGTTCCTATCAAGTAGTCATTTCTGCATTACGTGAGTTCAACAAATGGTCTCAAATGGCTTCAACCACTAAAAGTGTTCTTTCGGATAAAGAAATAAAAGACAAAGTGTACTGGTCCATGCTCTACTCTTACATCTTGGCCCATTTGTCCATGAGCATAAATTCATCGGAAATGCATCCGAAGAGGGCATTGAGGCAGTTCACAGCAAGCTAGAATCTGAATTTGCTCGAAACAAGACAGGACCACAACAAGAGCGACTAATGAACTCGCTTAAGTGGCTCGGTTATGTTGTTCTCCTCAATGATGATGGAAAGATTGTTTAATGATCTTAATTTCCTCCTTTTGATTCTTTTTTTTGTCTAATTCATGCTTATAAATAGAATAAATTTTTTCTAGACTATACCAGATCTGCAAGTACCGCAGAACCAGAAAAAAACTGCATTCCAGATTATAAAATCGGAGAAAACTAATAAAAAGTCAAAGTTTTTGGTATATTCTTTCCGCCATGTTTAAACGCATAAAAATGCTTTCGAATGATATATAACACTTGATGATTTGACACAAAAGAAAAATTTTACCAACATCAAAGGTGCGCGTGGGCCATATAACCGCGCACTTCTAAAAAACCTAGGTTTCAGAGCTCGCGTTTCCATTGACCAAAACACAAAATTAAAAAACAATTCCCAACCAACTTTTTGCGTAGAATTCAGAAATTTGCTTTTTGAGCCTAGTTTTTCAGCTAGATTTTCGTGAAAAAAATTATTTTGACTTTTCGGCGCCGAATATGGAAAAAATTTAGAATAGAATTCCAAAATAGAATTCCACAAAAACTCAATTCAGTATTCTGAAAGAGCGTGAAAAGAGCTATTGAATGACATATAACACTTTATGGTTCGATGAAATATGAAATTTCACTAACATCAAAGTCGCCGCCTTTAATTCTGAAATTTTGGATAGACGGTTTCGGATTATTTTATTTTTTCCGTTCATTTTTGGGCCTAACTTAAAATTTGTAGTGTTCGGATTTTTGATTTAAAGACGATTATTTTTGTAACCTATGTGCCGTCCCGCTCTTCGCCCAAGATTGGCATTTCATCGCTTTCTGTCCCCCTTCCGCTTTTGGCGTTTGTGAGTGATTGAAACACCCAAAAAATCGTCTAAAATCGTGTAAAAAGAATTTTTAGTCTTGTGGGCAAGAAAAATCATTTATCATAACCATTCTGAATTTAAAACTGGCCCCAAGTTTAGTCGCAAGGTTTCCAAACATTTTGCAAAAAAAGCAAAGAATTTCGCAGCCAGCATGATTCGTACCTATGCCGGCTGAGCAAATTTGATTTCGAGTCAACTCCCCCGTTGACCTTGCGAAATCGGGACTTTTCCGAACTTCTTTTTGGCTGGAATGGGAGATATGGGTCTAGATAGAAGTATTTTAACTTCGGTAGTAACTTGGAAACGAACGTAGGTTTGAAAAAAATCAAAAGGTATTTTTTTAAATCCATAAGGGGAACCACAGGGATTGACTATTCTACCGTACTTCATTTCCCTTTTTCTATTACCATTTTTGAGTAGTTGACGGGCCGGTAACGGTCGTTGGAGATTTTTCTGACAAAGTTTTCTCCTTTGACGCCTCTCCACCGTTCTAGCACTGGGAAAGTGAAGGGAAAAAACTTTTACACAAAATTTGATCGAATGCTTGAAACGAACTTTCAGCCTGTTTCAAACTTTAGGCACACTTTTGCTTATTTATCAGCACTGGTCGGATCGTCGATTTGGGGAAAATTGCATTTGAAAAAAAGAAATCCTAATCTTATTTTAAAAACACACATCTCTACAACCGCGCACATCTCTAAATGTTTTGCAAGTAAATGAAGAAACTACATTAGCTACACAGACTATGCCATGCACAGCACTATTTTTGCTCGTTAAAAATTGTAAAATCGCAGCTGAAGAGTTCAGCTTGATTAAAGATTAATATTAAAAAATTCAAAGATTTCCAAAAACTTTTCAATTTTTCTTTCATCCTATTGCTCACGGCACTCGAAAGCCTTCAAAAGGAAATGCATTTTTAAAACATTTTTCGAAAAGTGATTTCTCGACAAAATTCTCTCAGTTTTGGTGTGGCCTTAACGAATTTTTCTCGGATTTTGCCAGATTTCAATTTTTGATGCGTATTGGCACTTTCACAGCCAATTAGACTTCTAAAACGTACGGATAAACTCGCGATCGCTTTCTTTTCATTTCACAAAAGATTTTAAGACTTTATTTTGAATAATTGAAAGGGCCATAAAAAGTGGCAGAAAAAACAATAATCTGTCAATTGAAAAAATGGAAACAATGATAGAAAGACACAAAAATATACCATGAATCATCAGAGTGATTTTAATCATTTTAATAAACCGGCACGTAGAAGGCCAAGAAGCAATGAGAAAGTCTTTTTTTGCGCAGTTTCGTGTACACGCAAATGCAGTCCTTAGTTGAATCAAAACGTCGACGGAACATTGAGCTTTCTTCCATGAAGAAATTAGAACCAAAAAAGCCAGGAGATCCAAAATTCCTCAGAAGATCATTAGCCTGTTTGAGAAGTCGAAGACGATTCTCTCCATCGATTCGTCGCATTCCTGAATATTGTGAGAGATCGATCGTGAAGTCATCTGAATTAAGGAAAATAACAGCCTCAGAGTTCTTGCTCGGGATTCCATTGGTGATGATCTGTTGAAAAATCCAATCAATCCAAATATAAATCAACATAGAAACGTTTTTGATTTCAGACTTCAACAATACGTTGTAGTAAAAGCGTACTGAATCTTCAGAATCACATTCAAACTCAATCCTCTCGCAATCCTTGAGTTGAGGTCCCACCAGAAAATTCTCGATCCTATCTTTGATTACTTGATCATTGAAAGCAATGTGGCAGATTCGCAGTGCTGCTTTTTTCTTGATCGATGCGTGGAAATTTGAAAAGAATCTCTCCAGGGCTTCTTTTGAATTTGAATCCCCAACCAGGAACAATCCATTCACCGACTTTAAATTCTTCAGAAGTGTATATTTCCCGTTGAATTGGTGAGTCTTCCAGAACGATGATTTCTCGGTGAAATCATAGAGCATCTCGATCTTCAAGTCATCGCAACATCGAATCTTCTTGACGAAAGAAAAGTGAAAAAAGGGATGACCGACATTGATTACCGACATTGCATTTGAAAACTTCTTGATCCAAACCTCCTCTCTTCTTGATGCAAATCCAAACATTACTTTACATTACAACATTACAAATCCAAAATTAACTTACTTGCTTTTTGCTGATTTGGGTCGTGCTAGTTGTCATTTATTTTCTTCCCGTTTTGTTGGTAGGCTTGATTTTTTCGGGTGGTTTGCTTTTTTGTGGCTTTAGTTATTAAGGGAGCATTGCTGGTGCTTTAAAACAATTCTGGTGCAGTTGATACCCGGACATTTGGAGCCCATGGCACAAAAACAGTTATGGTAGAGTGTAGATCTACAAAAAAACATAGCTCAAAAACGCAATTTTCAGTTATTCCTTTTATCAAATTTATCAAAGGGTATCAAATTGGTGAGTATCAATAACAAACATTATGAATCTGTAACCCATCAAGTCCGTTTAGCACGATGGTGGCTACATTATCAATTTTGGAAGACTTCAATTTTCATATTACGTCTACATACATCGAAATTCATCACGATCGCCAAATATTTCGGCTGAAACATGGTCGGCGTGGAAGGCGCGTTTACTCAACAAAGAAAAAATCGACAAAACTGACGGTCCATGGGATGAAGTTTCACGTAGAGTTTTTTGTTATTTCCCTGTGAATGGCATATATTTAGCATCGCATAAACAATCGGCGAAACAACAACTGGAGCCCGGGACAAGAAGTCGACCTCTACCTTGAGTTCGACGAGGCTCAGCGTTTTATCGAATTTGGAGTGGGATTGGGTGCTGAGGGTTATGCAGAGATATAGGTAAGACTTTTATGGTCTATGAATGTAAGGTGTAAGTCTATGAATTCGGAACTCGGATTTAATTAGTCGAAAAACCAAAAAATTTCCGGGGAGCTGGTCATATGGTTCCCCTTGAAAAGCCCAAAGAATTGCTACAAATGATCTACAATTGGGTGAATGGATTGGATTACAGTGCTCGATACAGGAAAATTGACTGAAGATTGTAACTCTTATTGGCTGTTGGGTAGCTGAACCAAAGCTTTTTTAGAAATATTTCAGAGTTTTTTCTTTTTTAGAAATGTTTTAGGGTCTTTAACCGGGTAGACTCTAACACACGCTCAAACTACCGTAACCCTATTCATTCGTAACCTAAGCCTAAGCCGTAATCCGGCCTTGAGTTCGATAATAAATCATAGGTTTGATTTTTAGAGATCTTTGTGTTTCATCTCTTGGTATAATAGCTAATGTTACGATTGTCTTTGCCATTGCAGTCCTACTGAGTACAGTTACAGTGAAATTGAGGGGCTGAGTTACGGTAGCGCTAGCCACGCTTTAGAGCGCCAGTCCGAGTCGATGTTCGGAAAGAGTTTGCAAGTTATACTTTGTGCCCAAAATGGAAAATTACCTTTTCGGAGTACTCAAGCCTTCAAAATTCAGTCACCAGAAAGGAAGTATGTTTATTTCATTTCAGGTTTTGAGCACAAAGCACAAGTATAATTTGTTTACATAAAGCTTAATGTAAAGCGGCTTTGAAAGCAATTTTGATGCCCAATTTTTGTTGAAAAACTGTCCTAATCTGTTCCGCTTTCAAAATACTGTACATGATGCACATAAAAATAAACATCTCTCTTTCGAAAGTATCCTCACAAAAAATAGACAATAAAATTTGTAACACCTAGTGGTGCAGAAGGGAAAAAACTGCCTTGTATTTGGTTTGACTTTTCGAAAAAGTGACGCGTAAATTTATCCAATGAGCACAAGTGACAAAGGTATTAGAAGAAGTTATTTTACCTTTCTACAAACATTTTACGTAACACAAAAAATAAAAGATAAACCTTTGGAATGAATTTGTTGATATGGTGATCCTTTTGAGTATTCGTTGGGTCCATGCAGTTCCATCACCTGCAAACAAATATATGTAGTTAGATCTAACCGCAACACAGGAAAAAACTCACCGTCAACGATCATGTTTGCGACAAATCACGCCGCCACCACCGATTTGTCGCAAACATGATCGTTGACGGTGAGTTTTTTCCTGTGTTGCGGTTAGATCGGATGGTGATACGGATCCATCCATCCATAACCACCTAAACTAAATTTTTTGAAATTTACATATTCTATTTGAACTCAATTTCTTCGTACTGCGCTCCAGCTTGAGTTCAAGACAGTTCAAGAAATATACCATATTGGAACCGAATAAAAGTACGGATAAACTCGCGATCGCTTTCTTTTCATTTCACAAAAGATTTTAAAACTTTATTCTGGATAATTGAAAGGGCAACAAATTCTGGCAGAAAAAAAATACCAATAATCTGTCAATTGAAAAAATGGAAACAATGATAGAAAGCCACAAAATACAATGAATCATCAAAGAGTGATTTTAATCGACCGGAACGTAGAAGGCCAAGAAGGCCCCAGAGCGATGTTGTTGCTCGTACACGCAGATGCAGTCCTTAGTTGAATCAAAACGTCGACGGAACATTGGGCTTCCTTCCATGAAGTAACCAGAATATCCAAAATTCCTCATAACGTCGTTCGCCTGTTCGAGAAGTCGAAGACGATCCTCTCCATCGACTCGTCGCATTCCTGGATTTTCTGAGAGAGCGTTCGTGAAGGAACCTTTATATGCTTGAAGGAAAACAGCAGCCTCAGGGTTCTTGCTCGGGATTCCATTGGTGTTGATCTGTTGAACAATCCAATCACTGCAACGATACACCGACATAAAAACGTTTTTGATTTCAGCCTTCAACAAGGCGTTGTAGCAAAAGCGAACTGAATCTTCAGAAAGAGAGAGAAAATGAATCATCTCGCAATCCTTGAGTTGAGGTGCCACCAGAAAATTCTCGATCAGATCTTCGATTACTCGATTCTGGAAACCATTGTGGCGGAAAGCGCAACAATTCAGTGTTGCTTCTTTCTTGATCGATGCGTGGAAATTTGAGAAAAACCTCTCCAGGCCTTCTTTTGAACTCCAATGCAACTCCAATCGATTCACCGACTTTAAATTCTTCAGAAGTGTATTTATCTCGTCGTTGAATTGATCATCCATCTGGATCCTGAAGTCATCGCACCTTCGAATCTTCTTGACGAAAGAAAAGCCACGATTGACATCGAAATACAATTCATCTGAATTTGAAAACTTCCTGATCCGATGCCAAAGGTTTACATCGAACAGAGAGACATGCTCTCCAAAAACGATTGACGGATCCCTCACGAGCATCCCTTGGAACCCTTGATTCACCTTGGCCAACTCCACAACATCCCTTGGTTCCATTTGTTCCAACGCTTCTAACTTCAAATCGAAACACAACTTCTCCACAGGAAATGACGTCAAATTCTTCATTTCGAACCGCATGACTCCTACCTGTAAATAAAAAGATTAGGCTTTGTTTTGACATAAAGAGGTGCTTTACGGATAACGGAAATGTTAGGAAATAGTGAAATTGGCTTGGGATAGCCAGGCCGTAAAAACCTACAAAGGTTAAAGCTTGAGAAAAGTCAATCAATCAAGAAATCGACAACTGCTTCAAACAGTAACTTCATCATCGAACAATATTTTATAAATTTATTCCAAGTAACAACAATAACGAGAAAAGCTAGCAATACATAACAAAAAGCTACAGGTACTAAGGCAGTTAGGGGAGCACTTGAAATCTGCTCAGGCGTGGTTTTTCTAGAGTAAATGATGAGGCTGATCATGAAAAAAGCTCAATTTTAATGGAACATTTTCAATTGCCCTCAAATCTCTCAAAAGTAAAACCCACAAACACACAAAATTCACATTCAATTGAAGCGGCTCCTCTCTACCCTGTGACTCTTTCGACTTCATCGGTGTAACGACCTTCCCAGGCTCTACCTCTGAGGTCTTTAGTGAAGCAAACTAAAAAAGTTAATTATAAATTCAAATCCAGTGAAATAAGCTCAAAAATTCCTCACCGATAAGCTATTAGAGTTGTCGTTGTTGAGCGACTAAACACAAACGCTGATGCGGTCCGTTTGTGGAGACAGCTGATGTAGAAACATTTAGCGCTTGTGATGACTTCAGCTGGCTAATGCTTTGTGTTGGATTTTCTTTATTGAAGCCATACGAGCCATACGATGAGAGCTGAAGTCGCGCAAAGCCTCCATTTTACCTAAAAATAAAGGGCAACGAAGCCATTCGTTCACTTGAAACTTAGATTTTCTTGTTTTCCAATAAAGCCTGCCAGTGCTACCTAGAGCATGTTTTATCCAAATAGAATGCATTACCACAGCATTAAAAGCCATCAACTGCCAAGATTCAAGCTATGATTCGAGCTAACTTTCAATCAACCCATTCAAAAACTGACGATTCATCTCGCTTTGAATTGCATCATCGCAGAATCGCTGCAATTTGTCCGAGTGCTTTCAGGGCAACTCGATACACTAAATTTAAAAGTTTAACCAATACACGCTTCAAACACTCAACTTTTCCAGGGCATTCTCTTCGGTGATGGATCATCGCTTCGCCGGTGAGGACTTCAAGAGAACATTGCAAGTACCGGTATTTGACCCTCACTAAATTTGAAAATTTAGTCGTTTCGCAATCTTTGACGGAGAGGGACTAAAGTTAACAAAACAAAACGTATATTGCTTTTTGTTTCAATTCTTTTTGTCATTTACATTAATGGAAACACTCAAAACATCTTAAATAGATAATTTTAAAGCAAAGCTTTTAAGCAAATCTCCAAAAACCCACTCAAATGAGCCACCGCGATTTTATCCAAATAGAATGCCTTAGCACAGTATGAAAAGCCATCAACTGCCAAGATCCAAACTATGATTCGAGTTAACTTTTAATCAACCCATTCAAAAACTGACGCTTCATCTCGCTTTGAATTGCATCATCGCAGAATCGCTTCAATTTGTCGAGTGCTTTCAGGGCAACTCGATAGACTAAATTTAAAAGTTTAACCAATAGATGCTTCAAACACTCAACTATTCCAGGTTCGGTGATGGATCATCGCGTCGCTGGTGAGGACTTCGAGAGAACATTGCAAGCACCGGCATTTGACCCTCACTAAATTTGAAAAGTTAGTCGTTTAGCAATCTTTGACGGAGAGGGACTAAAGTTAACAAAACAAAACGTATATTGCTTTTTGTTTCGATCCTTTTTGTCATTTACATTAATGGAAACACTCCTTAAATAGATAATTTTAAAGCAAAGTTTTTACGCAAATCTAAAAAACCCACTCAAATGAGTCACCGCGATGTGTTCCTTCAAATGATGTGTATCGAGGTTGTCGAGGTGGCCAAAGGTGCATGTGTAACGCCAAGGTGCATGTGTAGAAGTCGCTTCCATACCTGGAAAAAAACATTTGAGAACTTTTCAACAAAATAAGTAATTCAAGCTGAAGACACAAGTAAATGGCCCAAAACTCATGAAAATGTTAAGAATTTGTTCAACTACAGCTTATCCGCGCTAAACTTTTCTTTAGACGGGGACTCCAGCTCAAGAACACACGTTTTCGAGCATTTTAAAGACAAATATCATGGCTGGTAGGTTGGTTGGTTCGATATAGGACATAGGTTGGTTCCCTCAAAAAAACTTGTCAACACGGAAACCGATCTTTGGCTTGACTTCGAAAAGCTAGCCCATTGCATTCCCTTTTGCGCCTCTAGCTATTGACATCACCGTAAAGTTCCATGGCTTGCGCACAAATTGGACAAGCTCGCCCACGGTGAAGCAGCCTTAGATCGGTAAGCCAACCCTCAAAATGGTCAGATTTTAAAGCGTTTATTTGTAACAATTTTCCAAAGGCAAAATTTTAAAATATTCAGCTTAGCAATTGAATATGGTTAAAGTTACTTTCCAATGTATAAATAGCAGACACTTCCTACAAAGAATAGTGAAAATCGTCATTTAATTAAATGAATAGCATTAAGCTGGCTTAATAAGGTACAGTCATGGACAAAAATCTTTTAACGTTGGTTGTCAGAAGTTTGTTTTTCGTATATCTTGGTCCAAATTCGACCAATTTGCAAACGGTTGAAAGACTTATTATCTTTAGTTTTAGCATTAGCAAAACGATGGATTCAAATTTTTTTCTAATACACCCATGCACAAAAAAAATGTCACGTCGTTTTTACAAAACTTTACGCCTAAATTTGACCTACTAAACGTGTTCCAAATTCTATGCTGTCAAAAGGTTTTAGATAGCAAAAAGCTTCTACTTTCTTGTGAAAAAGTGTTCCAGTTCCAGCAATTTGTTTAAATTTTTATTTTTCAATAAATACCGGAAGAACACCAAAAACGGGTGCACAAAAAAAATGTCACATTTAACTTGAACCTGCTTTTTTTCCGTTTTACTTTTTTTTGATTGCATTCTTTTATGCTAATTTTTTTAATTTTAGAATGGTAAAATCACAGCTCTCAACGCCAGACAAAGAAAAGATTGTTGAAGCAAGGAAACAAGGAATCCCGCGGAAACAGGTGGCCGAGCTGTTCAAATGTGATGTAAGAACCGTTTCTCGCATTGCTGCGAAGTCGAGAACGACTGGAAATTTGCACAGGACACCAGGAAGTGGACGGCCACCAGCCACTACACCACGCGAAGACAAGGCTTTGATTTTGGCGCACAATAAGGACCCGAATCTTAACGCGTCGGATGGTGTTTGCCTCATCAAGCAACAATTCGGCAAGGATATCAATCGAATGACAGTGAGCCGACGCTTGAATCGAGCAGGATTGATAACTAGAAGGGCCGCCAAGAAGCCTCTGATGGTTGCCAAGCACAGGAAGATCCGACTCGAGTTCGCAAAAAAGTACCAAAGTTGGACGCCGAATGACTGGGCCAATGTCATTTTCACCGATGAGTCGAAGATCAATCTCTTCAACCCTAATGGCAATCACTTGATCCGGAGACCAGTTGGACAACGCCATAACATCAAATACTTGCGGCCGACAGTCAAATTTGGTGGCGGATCGATTATGCTATGGGGTAAAAGAATTGTTCCCTTATGTCAACTAATCTTGCTTTTTTTCAGGAGCGATGACTAGAAGTTCACCAGGTCCGCTCGTCTTTCTCAACTCAACCTTGAAGGCCCAGCGGTACAAGACGATCCTGGAGAATGATCTTCTTCCATTTGCGACCACGAATATGGGACAAGGATGGTTGTTGTACCAGGATAACGCTCCGTGTCACAAGCACCAGATGTTGATAGGAAGGGTCGGCCGACTTTCAAACGGTGGAAGGGCTCGTTTACCGGGATGGTTCGCTGACAATCGTGTCAAGCTCGTCGCTGCTTCACCTTACAACCCGGATCTCAACGTAATCGAGCATTTGTGGTCGCACATCAAGGGTAAACTGAAGGGCAAACGATTTGCGACCAAGGTTGAGCTTTGGTACTTCATTCGAAGCGAATGGCGGAAAATTTCTCCTCAAATCTTGGAGGATTTGACTGATTCGATACCACGGAGGATTCAGGCAGTTATTCAAGCTAAGGGAGGCCCGACAAAATATTAGATTTTTGTTTTTATCAATTTTTATTTTATGTGTGACATTTTTTTTGTGCACTCGTTTTTGGTGTTCTTCCGGTATTTATTGAAAAATAAAAATTTAAACAAATTGCTGGAACTTGAACACTTTTTGGGGTAGGCTACTTTGCGCCATTTTATTTGCGCAACAGGGTCATTTGCGCAAGTACGTTTGCGCAACAAGGGTCATTTGCGCAACTTTTTTTTGCACAAAAAGGGTCATTTGCGCAACTTTATTTGCGCAACTGGGTCATTTGCGCAACTTTAACACTGTATTAAGCACTCGAATTTTTAATCATTATTTTCATTTTTGAGCTTTTTTTTTATTGTTTTTTATTTTCTTCTATTTTTATGAAATCTTCCAATTTTTTTGCATAATCTTCCAATATTTATCTAAATTAGTCCTTTCTAAGAGCTAATAACCATTAGTAAAATATTTTATCGCTTTAACAAAAAAGTGCAACCGATAACAATGAAAGTTAGGACAACAATAGCAATGAAATTTAGGACAACAATAAAAATCAAATTTTTTTAATATAAGTCAAAAGCTGAGAAAGATGTTTCACAAAATCGCAACCGGGCAAGCGACCATTAGAAATAGCAGTAAAACGTTGCTTTTGTCGAGCCAATACAGTTTTCTTCCGTGTGTAGTTTTGTCCAACAGTGAGATTGATAGCCGATGAAAGCTTGAAACGGTTGATTATTTGCGTCATTTCTTCGTAAAGTCTGACCGCAGTATACGATGGATGCGGATTCTTGGGAAAATGCGGAAAATTAGTTAACAATGGTTTTTAAGAATAAACAAAACCGTACTAGAATTTTAAACAACAAAAAAAAACGTCAAAAACTCCCTTAAAAAAAACGTCCCTTAAAAACGTCAAAAAAGTTGCGCAAATGACCCTGTTGCGCAAAAAAAGTTGCGCAAATGACCCTGTTGCGCAAATAAAATGGCGGAAAGTAGCCTACCCCCACTTTTTCACAAGAAAGTAGAAGCTTTTTGCTATCTAAAACCTTTTGACAGCATAGAATTTGGAACACGTTTAGTAGGTCAAATTTAGGCGTAAAGTTTTGTAAAAACGATGTGACATTTTTTTTGTGCATGGGTGTATATATATCATTCAACGCAAAATTTTGTGCTGATTTCAAAAATCATAAGGGAAAGAAATTAGATTCGAAGACCGCCTTATGGGTTCACATTCAACGTCTTTGGGTCACCATCCGCCCAAGTCTTTTGAAAAATCTCGTGGATTCCATGCCGGATCGACTCAATGAAGCGATAAAAGCAAAAGGAGGACCAACCCAACATTGATTTTTTGAAAAAATTGTTAATTCTTTGCAAATGGGACATTACTTTTGTGGAGCTATTTGTTAAGGAACTTATTGTTCTTGTTTTATACTTTAATTTTTATGCAATGTATACGGATAGATCTTATAATCTTGAAAAGTAGAGTATTATGGGTAAGCAAAAAACCTACACTTTTTGGGAATATCGTTTTTTTGCAAGATTTTCGTACGAAAGAAACTTTTGGATGGCAATGGGACGATACTTTTGTGGACCACTGTATATGTAAAAGAGAAAGGCAAATTTACAGAAAGCCTAGCAAAATATAAACTAACAGGTATCTATAATAATCGACGCTAATGTGTCAAACTTTGCTTGCTCCGAGGACACCTACACAAATTGTATTACAATAATCCTGAAAATAAAAGCTTGGGCTATCCGTTCCTGGCCAGCATGTTCGTGTCGGCTCTTCAACTTTGTGCATTTGAGGAGCAATTGCAGCGACGTGAAATAATACACAACCAACCAAATATGGATTTTTTGAAAAAATTGTTAATTCTTTGCAAATGTGCTCAATAATTATCCCCGAAAAATTAAAACCTCGCAAAAAAAGAGTGAGCTCGGAAGTGCATTTATAAATCAGTTATATAAATGTTTTGCGCAAAAGTTTTCACAAGGTTTTTGGAGTTACTCTTGGGTGGTTGTTTTTTTGAAATTGCTGATGTTGCTTCTCGATTTTTGCATTCTTTCTATTATCAACGCATACAATGTCCATTTTTAGGGCCATCACATTTTCGTTGATGTCGGGCCGCTTTCTTCCGTCGTCAATGACCGTTTTGCTTGTCGTCTTCGCGCTTCTCTGCATCGATTCGACTAGTGGGTCACTAGGGCGTTAGCACGTAAGGGGTTAAGCCTAACTAGGAAGAAGTATGGGTAGATCTGCTTTGCTTTGTGGCTGTTAGAAGTAGGCTTATGGTTGCCAGAAGTGGTGTTAAGCTCGATTTTGCGCTCTTAGAAATGGCAAAACCACTTTAGCACTGAAAATATTGGCTCTTTTAAGCAGTATCAGTTACCATGTTTTCGGTGATTTTTTTGTATTTGACACTCATGACTCCTACAAGACTAAAAATCCTTTTTACACGATTTTTTGGGTGTTTCAATCACTCACCAACGCCAAAAGCGAACAGGGGACAGAAAGCGATGAAATGCCAATTTTGGGCGAAAAGCGGGACAGCCATTGTCGCCAAACCGGCTAGAATCAGACCCGCATTCAACACCCACAACGAATCGACCTTTGGGCTGTCCGAGATTTTTCTGGAAAGAGTTGTGCTCAAAAATGAAACCTCTAACTGTTCAAAATATCAATCTGATGCAAAATATCAATCCAGAGAGGATTAATATAAAAGGTATTATCCATCATTATTTAGGGCGTCATGCCATCTTTTGTTCAATTCAATAATTCCATCTTCAAAGAACGGGGGACTTTTTGATGAAAAATAGTTGGTGGCCGCATTTTCGACTTCCTGGGAATCCTTGAACACCTGATCGGAGATGAACTGCTTTAGAACCCTGAATAAGTGGTAGTATGATGGGACCAAATCAGGGCTGTATGGGGCGTGAGGTAGAAGTTTCCAGCCCATCTCTTCGATTTGTTGGAGGGTCATCTTTGCCGTGTGCGGTTTTGCATTATCATGCAAAAGCCGAATTTTTGAAGTGTCATGTTGAGATTTCAATAAAGCTTGATTCACACGTTCTAACTGCTCACTGTAAAGTTCAGCTGTGACAGTTTTACCCGGTTTGGGCAGTTCAAAATACACCAATCCACGATCGTTCCACCATACGCACAACATCAACTTCTTTCCATGCAAACCAGGTTTTGACGTGACAACCGGGGCTTGCTTTGGTGGTAGCCATTGGTGCTTGCGTTTAACGTTATCATATAATATCCACGTTTCATCAGAAGTAAAAATTGATTTACAAAAGCCATGCGCTTTTGATTTTTGAATCAAAATTGAACAAGTGTTCATACGGGCAATCTTGTTGGGGATCCATTTTCCGCAAATTTTTTGGACGAAGAAGCTAAACTGGCGATTTCGTCGCATAAATTTTTGGCTTTCGGGATAATTTTACCCTTTTTGATTGAAAAAGAAACAGCCGGATTCGGGCGTGCCAGACTATTCCTAGACAATAAAATTTGTAACACCTAGTGGTGCAGAAGGGAAAAAACTGCCTTGTATTTGGTTTGACTTTTCGAAAAAGTGACACGTAAATTTATCCAATGAGCACAAGTGACAAAGGTATTAGAAGAAGTTATTTTACCTTTCTACAAACATTTTACGTAACACAAAAAATAAAAGATAAACCTTTGGAATGAATTTGTTGATATGGTGATCCTTTTGAGTATTCGTTGGGTCCATGCAGTTCCATCACCTGCAAACAAATATATGTAGTTAGATCTAACCGCAACACAGGAAAAAGCACACAGCTTCTATTCAATAACTTTTTCCATGAAAGTCTTACCTATATCTCTGCATAACCCTCAGCGCCCAATCCCACTCCAAATTCGATAAAACGCTGAGCCTCGTCGAACTCAAGGTAGAGGTCGACTTCTTGTCCCGGGCTCCAGTTGTTGTTTCGCCGATTGTTTATGCGATGCTAAATATATGCGATTGACAGGAAAATAACAAAAAACTCTACTTGAAACTTCATCCCATGGACCGTCAGTTTTGTCGATTTTTTCTTTGTCGAATAAACGCGCCTTCCACGGCGACCATGTTTCAGCCGAAATATTTGGCGCTCGTGATGAATTTCGATGTACTTAGACGTAATATCAAAAGTGAAGTCATCCAAAATTGATAATGTAGGCACCATCGTGCTAAACAGACTTGATGGGTTACAGTTTCATAATGTTTGTTATTGATACTCGCCAATTTAATACCCTTATATATATTTTGATAAACAAAAAAGAATGACTGAAAATTGCGTTTTTGAGCTATGTCTTTTTTTCCTCTACCATCTTTGTTGTTTTTGTGCCATGGGCTCCATGCCAAACCACCCGAGACCAAACGGGGACAATGACAACTAGGCCCAAATCACAAAATCAGTATATATGTTAATTTTTCTGCTTTCTATGCAATTTGAGTCGCATGGCATTTAGCACTCGTTTGTAATTTATCATCCATTTTCCATTTATTAGGACCGGAACCACTTTGATCTATTAGTAATAGTGTAATCCCGGTGTTCGTGGGAAGAACGAAAGGTGGAACTTACTTCTTCTTCTTCTTCTGGGCGGAAGAGTTCTTCAGCGACGTTGGACGCATTTTTGCTGAAAATGGAAGGAATTTTGTGAGTGAGAGACAGTCAGGAGTCTTTCTCGACTATTTTAAAAGTTATCTAGTGGTCTGCCTCAGGCAATTCTCTTCTTGCATATTTCTTTTCTAACTTGAGGGAAATTATCTGCTCCCTTCTTGGCGCCAAACAATTATTTCTTGCCATAACTATGAATCGTCCGGTTGACTCGTTAAAAATAAACACTTCTCGACTTTTTTTGAAGCTATTTTTGTACACTGCTTTTATTACTTAAAGATCCAATTAGGGTTGATAAGTCTTGGAGGTAGAACATTTTGGATACATTCACATAGCATTCTTCGTTTCTGAAGCTTTTGAACCTACAGCTTTGTTAAAATCGCTTCGCAAATCGTTGTTTTCAAGTTGCCGGTGAACATTTTTATCCTTTTCAATTGAAAAACCTACATCTCACTCTTCTGTTATCAAATGCTCTCAAATTTCAGGAAATAACCAGGATTTTCGTGCTGCATGGCGTTGCTTGGCCTTCATCAAGCCTCTCCCCATATGATGCCTCCAGATATGAGGGTATGTCAGATATGGCTCCAGAGGCTGATGAGCGGTGTTCTAAAGAATTTTAGATAGTTCATGAAATAAGCTAGATATTGTATGTTAAATAGTGAGATATGTTTTAGATTTTAAATCAATTTATTGTAAAAATGAAGTAAACATGATTTAGTATATCACAAATTTCAGTCGCTCACCATGATTCAAGCGGCCACCCAGGTGTCCAATCCCGCGCCGACCACCGATCTCGGAGATGAAGAATGTGAGTTGATAGATATACTGAAAACGCCTAGTCACCTGATTACAACCTGATTTGTAAAATGATTACAATAATTTATCCAGAAAGTCTTTTCGTTCCTTTTCGTACTTCCATCTAAAACCAACAAATGCACCAATTGAACTACGGTTTGTTTCATTAGCAAGGCCAATTATTTTTCTGCAAAATAACACCAAAATGTCAAAATGAAACGACCAAAAAAGGGTGATGATGATACGGTTTAGACACTTTAGCTAAGGAAACCCATCTTGGTGTCAATAGATAAAAGCAAGAGCACAAAAATTTAGGTATATAACCCAATTTTCAGAGGAATTGATTCAGCCAATTTCTTCATAGAGGTTTTTATAGATTTTTACGAAAACACGTGTTTTCACTCTCGAATTTGCTTGAAAGTGGACACAAATTGAATTAAAAAGATGGGAAATTAAACAATAAATGCTCTTTAATCAGAGCTTAATATACCAGGCTGGACGTACTGTTCCATACTAGATCAGGCGTACTGTACTGTATCGCTAGGAAGCATACTGTATCGCTAGGAGTACTGTAGTGGGTCAGGCATATTGTTCTACTGACTAAAAATAACGCACTTGGCCAGTTCGAGCTTTGGTACACGGACTGGCCGGCTTTGGAATACTGTATAATTAGTCTAATACTGAAGTACCGGTACTGAATACTGTACTACCGGCCGGGAGTACTGTATTAGGCATACTGTCAGGCATACTGCACTATTGACCATGAGTTGTGGTGGGAACTATTAGGTTGGTGGGAAAATAATCGAAATTTGGAGCTTCTAACTTCAAGTCCAAAACTAAAAGTCAATAACAAATTAATTTATTCGAATCAAAACCATCAGCCTCTATACACTGCTGCCAACGCGAAACAAGTTTTCCAATTCCACCAGAATAGAAATTTGGCATTCTCGAGCTGATAAACTGGTGGAAAGCGTTTTCGGCCTCGTCTTGCCCCTTGTACTGTTTATCTTCTAGAAAATGGCACAGATGCTTGAAAAAGTGGAAATCCGTAGGAGAAAGATCTGGTGAGTAACAGATTTGAGTGAAATGAAAGAATCGCCAATCTTGTGAATAAACCAGAAATAGCATTTTTAAGGTAGGTTGTCAATCAAAAATTCCGCATTTTCCGCTGTCAAAACACACTTGATCAAATGCAAATTTTGAGCATTTTAAAGACAAATATGATGTTCACGACCAAAACACTAATTGTTTTTGATAAATTCGAAGCTATTTAGCTAATATTCTGTGTAGCAATGACATATACTACTGTAATGGCCGAAACATAAGCTGCAAATTTAGAACTTTTTTCATCATTTGCAAACGAATTGTTACAAATGCACGCTTTACAATCTGTTAGAGGCATTACGCTCCATGAACTGTCGAGAAAGCTTGATCAACCCGATGACGATTTTGAGGGTTGGCTTGCCGATTTAAGGCCGCTTCCCCCCAGGCGAGCTTGTCCTATTTGTGCGCAAGACATGAAACTTTATGGTGATGTCAATGACCAAAGGCGCAAAAGGGAATGCAATAGGCGAGCTTTTCGACGGCATGAATTCAAGCCAAAGGTCGGTTTCCGTGTTGACACGTTTTTTGAGGGAACCAACCTATGTCCTATAACCAACCAACCAACCTACCAACCATGAGATTTGTCTTTAAAATGCTCGAAAACGGGTGTTCTTGAGCTGGAGTCCCCGTCTAAAGAAAAGTTTAGCGTGGATAAGCTGTAGTCGAACAAATTCTTAACATTTTCATGAGTTTTGGGCCTGTTTACTTGTTTCTTCAGTTTGAATTACTTGTTTTGTTGAAAAGTTTTCAAATTTTTTTCCAGGTATAGAAGCGACTTCTACACATGCACCTTGGCGTTGCACATGCGCCCTTAGCCGCCTCGGCAACCTCGACACGCATCATTTGAAGGAAGACATCGCGGTGGCTCATTTGAGTGGGTTTTTGGAGGTTTACTTAAAAGCTTTGCTTTAAAATTATCTATCTAAGATGTTTTGAGTGTTTCCATTAATGTAAATGACAAAAAGACGTGCAACAAAAAGCAATCTACGTTTTGTTTTATTAACTTTAGCCCCTCTCCGTCAAAGATTGCTAAACGACTAAATTTTCAAATTTACTTAGGGTCAAATACCGGTGCTTGCAATGTTCTCTCGAAGTCCTCACCGGCGAAGCGATGATCCATCACCGAACCCTGGAACAGTTGAGTGTTTGAAACGTCTATTGGTTAAACTTTTAAATTTAATGTATCGAGTTGCCATGAAAGCACTCGACAAATTGCAGTGATTCTGCGATTCAAAGCTAGATGAATCGTCAGTTTTTGAATGGGTTGATTAAAAGTTAACTCGAATCATAGCTTGAATCTTGGCAGTTGATGGCTTTTAATGCTGTGGTAAGGCATTCTACTTGGATAAAACATGCTCTAGGTAGCACTGGCAGGCTTTATTTGAAAACGAGAAAATCCAAGTTTCAAATGAACGAATGGTTTCATACACTTTTGTTTTAGGTAAAATGGAGGCTTTGCGCCACTTCGGCGCGCATCTAATGCACCACTGATGAAACTATACAAAAGATCTACTCGATCGATGGAGTTTTCAAAAGAATCTTTCGACTTCATCGTTACACCGATGAAGTCGAAAGATTCACAGGGTAGAGGGGATCCGCTTCATTTGAATGTGAATTAATTTAGGATTGATGAATGCTTCTTTTGCTGAGAGGAGACGTGAAAGAGGCGACTCGCGAGGTCTGAGAAGCGATTCGAGACATCAAAGAAACTATGCAAAAGATCAGATACAGAGCCACTTTTTCATTTAGCTCTCATCATAATCGTTCATCTGATTACTGACCAAGTCATCGAAGATCGTCGTATCGACATCATGGCTCATCACGCAGATCAGTTATGTTTTGCTGGCTTTTCTCGTTATTGTTGTTACTTGGAATAAATTTATAAAGTATTGTTCGATGATGAAGTTACTGTTTGAAGCAGTTGTCGATTTCTTGATTGATTGACTTTTCTCAAGCTTGTGGGTTTTTACGGCCTGGCTATCCCAAGCCAATTTCACTATTTCCTAACACTTCCGTTATCCGTAAAGCATCTCTCTATGTCATCTTTTTATTTACAGGTAGGAGTCATGCGGTTCGAGATGAAGAATTTGACGTCATTTCCTATGGAGAAGTTGTGTTTCGATTTGAAGTTAGAAGCGTTGGAACAAATGGAACCAAGGGATGTGTATGAGTTGGCCAAGGTGAATCAAGGGTTCCAAGGGATGCTCGTGAGAGGTCCGTCGATCGTTTTTGGAGACCACGTCTCTCAGATGATATTCAACACGTTTGGATTTGGATCAAGTAGAGAGGAGGTTTGGATCACGAAGTTTTCAAATGCAATCTCGGCAATCAATGTCGATAATCCCTTTTTTCACTTTTCTTTCGTCAAGAAGGTTCGATGTTGCGATGACTTGAAGATCGAGATGCTCTATGATTTCACCGAGAAATCATCGTTCTGGGAGCCTCACCAATTCAACGAGAAATATACACTTCTGAAGAATTTAAAGTCGGTGAATGAATTGTTCCTGGTTGGGGATTCAAATTCGAAAGAAGCCCTGGAGAGATTCTTTCCAAATTTCCACGCATCGGTCAAGAAAGAAGCAATACTGCGAATCTGCCACATTGCTTTCGATGATCAAGTAATCAAAGATCGGATCGAGAATTTTCTGGTGGGACCTCAACTCAAGGATTGCGAGAGGATTCAGTTTGAATGTGATTCTGAAGATTCAGTACGCTTTTACTACAACGCATTGTTGAAGTCTGAAATCAAAAACATTTCTATGTTGATTTATATTTGGATTGATTGGATTTTTCAACAGATCATCACCAATGGAATCCCGAGCAAGAACCCTGAGGCTGTTATTTTCCTTAATTCAGATGACTTCACGATCGATCTCTCACAATATTCAGGAATGCGTCGAATCGATGGGGAGAATCGTCTTCGACTTCTCAAACAGGCGAATGGTCTTGCGAGGAATTTTAAATATCCTGGCTCTTTTGGTTCTAATTTCTTCATGGAAGAAAGCTCAATGTTCCGTCGACGTTTTGATTCAACTAAGGACTGCATTTGCGTGTACACGAAACTGCGCAAAAAAAGACTTTCTCATTGCTTTTTGGCCTTCTACCTGCCGGTTGATTAAAATGATTAAAATCACTCTTTGATGATTCATTGTATATTTTTGTGGCTTTCTATCATTGTTTCCATTCTTTCAATTGGCAGATTATTGTTATTTTTTTCTGCCATATTTTGTTGCCCTTTCAATTATTCAAAATAAAGTTTTAAAATCTTTTGTGAAATGAAAAGAAAGTGATTGCGAGTTTATCCGTACTTTTTAGAAGTCTAATTGGCTGTGAAAGTGCCAATACGTTCCGGAGCTGCCAGATTTTAAGGAAATCTCTGTTATCTTTTTCTCAACGTTTTTGCTCTTTGCAAGCTGTAATTTGCTAATTTTTCCGTTTCAAAACCTTCCAAATCGATATTTTACTACAAAAAACAATCTCAGAAAAATGAAAACGAAAACAAGCATCAAAAATTGAAATTTGGCAAAATTCGAGAAAAATTCGTTGAGACCCCACTGAAACGGAGAGGATTTTGTCAAGAAGTTACTTTTCGAAAAATGTTTTAAAAAATGCATTTCCTTTTGAGGGCTTTCGAGTCCCGTGAGCAATAGGATGGAAGAAAAATTGAAAAGATTTTGAAAATTTTTAAAATACTAATCTTTTAATCAAGCTGAACTCTTTAGCTGCGATTTTACAATTTTCGCCGTTCCCTCGCCGACCTGAAAATTGAGGTTTTATATTAAAATGTAATTTTTGGGTTGTTTTCTCTTCAAAACCCAGTCAAATCGTTTTATGTAATCTTTCAGGTAACCGCCCGCTTTCTGGCGTATCCAGATGATTTCTCATTTTTATTGGAAATGAAAGTTTTTAACGAGCAAAAATAGTGATGTGCATGGCATAGTCTGTGTAGCTAATGTAGTTTCTTCATTTACTTGCAAAACTTTTAGAGATGTGTGTTTTTAAAATAAGATTAGGATTTTTCTTTCGAATGCAATTTTCCCCAAATCGACGATCCGACCAGTACTGATAGATAAGCAAAAGTGTGCCTAAAGTTTGAAACAGGCTGAAAGTTCGATTCAATCATTCTATCAAATTTTGGGTCAAAGTTTTTGCACTTCAATTTCCCTCTGACCCGTTGCAACGGGCCAGAGGCTAAAGGGACCTAGGCACTTTTGTTCGCGTTGGATTCCTTTTGGCAAGAAACTTTTTATTTTCTTTTATTTTGGTGTAAAAATGTTCACGTTTGTTTTATTTTTCCTCTTAAGACTTTTTTACTGGTACTTTTAAAAGAAAACAACAATCATAAAAGAAAAGATACGACTTTCAACAATGTTTCACTCATCAATAAAAGGTGAAAACAATGTTTGATGCTACAACGAGCGCAATACATGAAAGAAGGAGAAGTACATTTTCTATCGTCACAAATCGAATCATCAGAAGCAAACATCATTTGGGGTCTCGAATGGGAGTGCCGGAATATCCAAAGAGCCAATTTTTCTCTACGGGTACTACAGACGAGGCTGGAAACGTGGTGCATCCATCTGGGAATGCACAACTGAAACGAGCTTGATCAAGGAGTTTCGTGAATGATGGAAAAAGTTGATATCATTGGCGATAACATTCCAGATGGTTTGCGATTGTGTGTGCACAAAAAAACACTTTTTAAACAAGGCAAAAAGTGTTGTTTAAAGCAAAAAAAAGCAAAAAGAAGTGGAATCCAACCCGAGCGGAAATCCAAATCCAAAAGTGCCTAGGTCCCTTTACATGCAAGCCTCTTACCCGTTCTAGTTATGCTTGGGTATCTCGGAAGAAACCTTACGAGGAGATACCTTCTGGCCGTAGATTTTTAAACTTCCTGCTCTTAAAATTAAAACGCTTATAACTTTCTATAGAGTCCTCCGTTGCAAAAGCGAGGTCGATATTCGGAATCAGCGTGAAATTTGGTATGGTCTATGGCTCATGCCATTTCACCACCACACCCATTTGAAATCCCACACAGTTTTATCGTATTCTTTCAGCAAACTGCGCTCACTTCATTGTTTCCGGGCGCACCGACAAGCAATTACACAATTGTGCATGATCATGCTGTCAAAAAATTGCTCATCTTTGAGGTGGGAGACAATTTTGTACTTGATTTCACTCTATGTAAAGGCAAGTAAAATCAAAAGTGCATAGTCAACGGGGTTTAACTTCATCTTCTTTCAACTAACTATAAGGAACATATTGTGGAAATGCCAGACAATAGAATTTTAGCACAACGGTGCCCTCCACGCTTATTACTACTCGCAGCTCTTTCAACAATAGCTACAAGCTCACATGAATCCCGCTCAGATGTGGCGGCCACTCACAGGCGCTTTTTCTTACAAGAGTGCCCCAAGCTCTGGTCTTGCCGTGCAGGAGTGGACGACGGTGCTGCTTGATGTACGTCTTTAGGAAGCTAGCTTTCATTTCCTTATTGACAAACAAGCATCTTATTAAAGCATCTGTTTTCAGGCAAGCTCAAGCTATGCCGTTTATGATGCATTTCGTGGAGTCGCTAGCGCTTTTCAGCAAATTCGTTTTGCCAATTTTCCGGTGAATGTCCGGGTAAGTAATGAATGCCATGGATTCTTTGTTTTCCATTGCAAATCTAAACGTTTTCAGCTCGGTGTCACATAATGAACATATTTGGTTGAGTTAAAAACACCAAACAAAGCACAAAAAAATTAACATTTTATTGGTTATTAAGGGAGCCATACGAGTCAATGCTGACGATACGAAGCTTTTTCTGTTCACGCCAAATCGTGTCTACCTCTACAAAATTGGCTCTCCTGGTAATGAGGTGGTGGAGAACGATAGGCCACTGAGTGAATGGCTCAAATGTTAGCACGAAAGTTTCTTTCTTTTGAAATTGTCAGTTCAAGAAATTTGCTTATTGAGCCTTGAATGTATAAGATAGAAAATGTGAGTTTTTGTTTGTTGCATTATGCAATAATCAAATAATTAAACTTTGTTTATTCCGCATAGCATGTTTCCGTATTGAATTCGTTTATTTTGAAAGTTTTTTTGATTTCAAATACACACTTTTTTTATGTTTTTTGCATATTTTTATAGAAAAGAAACTCAAAGGCATCTGGATTGAAAATTTGTTTTCAACTACAAATTTCGAAACAAAAAAATGTGTTTTCAGTGAATGGAGACTTTGTTGAACGAAAAAGTGTTGCATAAAATCGATTTAAATTTCAAACTTTGGAACACATTTCAACGCGTAAATTTATCCAATGAGCACAAGTGACAAAGGTATCAGAAGAAGTTATTTTGTCTTTCTACAAACATTTTACGTAACACAAAAAATAAAAGATAAACCTTTGGAATTAATTTGTTGATATGGCGATCCTTCTGAGTATTTGTTGAGTCCATGTAGTTCCAACACCTGTAAACAAATATATGTAGTTAGATCTAACCGCAACACAGGAAAAAGCACATAGCTCCTATTCAATAACTTTTTCCATGAAAGTCTTACCTATATCTCTGCATAACCCTCAGCGCCCAATCCCACTCCAAATTCGATAAAACGCTGAGCCTCGTCGAACTCAAGGTAGAGGTCAACTTCTTGTCCCGGCCTCCAGTTGTTGTTTCGCCGATTGTTTATGCGATGCTAAATATATGCGATTGACAGGAAAATAACAAAAAACTCTACTTGAAACTTCATCCCATGGATCGTCAGTTTTCCCATGGATTTTTTCTTTGTCGAATAAACACGCCTTCCACGCCGACCATGTTTCAGTCGAAATATTTGACCATCGTGATGAATTTCGATGTACGCAGCCGTAATATGAAAAGTGAAGTCATCCAAAATTGATAATGTAGCCACCATCGTGCTAAACGGACTTGATGGGTTACAGATTCATAATGTTTGTTATTGATACTCGCACATTTGGTACCCTTAGCAAAAAAGAGTGACTGAAAATTGCGTTTTTGAGCTGTCTTTTTCTAGATCTACACTCTACCATAACTGTTTTTGTGCCATGGGCTCCAAACGTCCGGGTATCAACTGCGCTGGAATTGTTTTAAAGTACCAGCAATGTTCACTTAATAGGTGAATCAACTAAGGTAACAAAAAAGCAAAGCGCCCGAAAAAATCAAGCCTACCAACAAAGCGGGAAGAAAATAAATGACAACTAGCACGACCCAAATCAACAAAAAGCAAGTAGGTATGTTAATTTTTCTGCTTTGTATTCAAATTTGAACGTCGCATGGTAATTTAGCACTCGTTTGTAAATTTATCATCCATTCTCCATTTATTAGGCACCGGAACCACTTTCACCTATTAGTAACAGTGTAATCCCAGTGTTCGTGGGAAGAATGAAAGGTGGAACTTACTTCTTCTTCTTCTTCTTCTTCTTCTGGGCGGAAGAGTTCTTCCGAGACGTTGGGCGCATTTTTGCTGAAAATGGAAGGAATTTTGTGAGTGAGAGACAGTCAGGAGTCTTTCTCGACTATTGTAAAAGTTATCTAGTGATCTGCCTCAGGCAATCCTCTTCTTGCATATTTCTTTTCTAACTCGAGGGAAATTATCTGCTCCCTTCTTGGCGCCAAACAATTATTTCTTGCCATAACGATGAATCGTCCGGTTGTTTCGTTAAAAATAAACACTTCTCGACCTTTTTTGAAGCTGTTTTGGTACACTGATTTTATTACGTGGGAAACGTGCGATTTGGGGAATGATACAGTAACCGATACCGTGTCACGGGTTTCTAGGCGACAAAAAAAATAAATGAAGTTTGTTCTAATGGATAATTTAGTTAAAGAAAGGTTTGTAGAGATTAATTTTATATTCTGCACTCAACTTCACCAATAATTATGGCAACAAACTCGCCAAAGCTGCTCAAAGTCGGGCGCCTCGAAAAATATATTTCCCATCAGTAGAAGCCGAGATCAACCATCGATCACTAGGAGAAAAATCTGAAAAACGGAAATTGTCGGAGAAAATTTCCAAAAAACCTTTAGTTTCTCCGCCATCGATTAAACAAAAAACATCCGTAAAGCGTCGCCGAGAGAAATGACAAAAAATGCACACCTTCTGCGCAAGCTAAGATTCGAGCTAACTTTTAATCGACCTATTCAAAAACTCACGATTCATCTCGCTTTGAGTTGAATCATCGCAGAACCGCTGCAATTTGTCGAGTGCTTTCATGGCAACTCGATACACTAAATTTAAAAGTTTAACCAATAGACGCTTCAAACACTCAACTGTTCCAGGGTTCGGTGATGGATCATCGCGTCGCTGGTGAGGACTTCGAGAGAACATTGCAAGCACCGTTATTTGACCCCACTAAATTTGAAAATTTAGTCGTTTAGCAATCTTTGACGGAGAGGGACTAAAGTTAACAAAACAAAGGGTATATTGCTTTTTGTTTCGATTCTTTTTGTCATTTACATTAATGGAAACACTCAAAACATGTTAAATAGATAATTTTAAAGCAAAGTTTTTAAGCAAATCTCCAAAATACCACTCAATAACCAGGATTCTGTCCAATCAGCACCTCTGTTTGCACTCAAGTCTCAGCCAACACGTTCAAACCCCAAAATCTATGCAAGTAAAACAACGAAACCTTCGTCCATATCCCTTCGCTTGATGATCTTCACGCTTTGATCCCATTCTCTGTAAAACTTTTGTGCTGACTCTTCGCCCTAAAAATTAGTTACTCGGGAAAATGCAAACAAGTAACAAGAAATGGGCCCGCATAAGCAGCAAGTCTATAAACAAATGCCAACAGTTGTGGGTGTGTCCCTGAGACTCCAGGTCGACAATCGCCAGACCCAGGCACGAGCCTAAATAGAATTAGATATGCAAAATTTGATGCACAAAAGACCCAGGAAATTCGGTTGGAGGGAGAACTTGCCGGGTAAGTGCCCTCGTGTGCACGATACAAAGGCACGTAAGGACTCTTCAAAAGAAGATAAAATGAGTTTTAGAAAAGGCTTAAGAACACCCATAGTACCTTAATCTCTTTTTTTGATTTTTTTTCCAGTAAACCGAGAGCACAAGATTGAGTCATCCAATAGCATGGAATGTTAAGGTTAAGCCTAAATAAACCGTTTAACAATAGTTCTTCTTGAAATGTACCTGGGATGAATTGCATCACAAAGAGGCAATGTTGCGAAGGCCGTTATTGCTTTCACAACAGATGTGTGTCCAAACTTCAATGCTATTACTAAAGGTGTTCCAATGTTTCCTTTGTCTAGCGTGCATAAAAATTCCGTCATTATGTTTTCCCTAAACACAATTGTATAAAAGACAATATAAAGGCATCACCTTCTTATCAAAACGTCGGCGTCATTTGTTCCATAAAGTCGTACCAGAAATTTAATGTCAGAAGTTAATAAGAGCGTTTTGGCAACTATCTCTCCAGCACCGACCCTGACCCCCACATGTAAAACGTTATAAAGAGAGCCTTGCTAAAAATTATCACTGTCGTTTTTACTCTGTCAAAATTAAACCTAAACTATAGCTGGATAATCACCAGAAGTGTTTATCAAAAGCCAAGGGTTTTCATCTCTTCGACCACATAAAGTCCTCATAATTTGATTCTTCAATTGTCTCTTTGAAATCATTCTTTTGAATTCTAAAAGTTACTAGGGTAAAATAAAACTTCGAGTCACTAACGTCGTCGGTGCTTGCTAGGGAACAGCTGGGTCCGCTCCCTAGAGCCTTGATAAATTATCTCGAAACCAGGCTTGTTGGCTGTCGAAAAAGTTGATAGCCTCATTAGAATTCTCAAAACGTCGAAATTGTGCACCTAAAATTCCACTAGAAGAATATACAAATATCACAAAATACCTCTTGTTTTGTACTCCGGAGAATTCGCAAATTTGGCCGCTTCTGCCAGCGAAGAATAGAGGCTGCGTGGGGAGTTTTGAACATCATCTGGCAAGAAGACGGCATAAATCGGCTGTCTATTTTCGCATTCTAAACAAATCATACAATTTAGGCGTATGGTTTATGTTTACTTACTTTCATCTGTGCCCTCTTCTTGCATTTGAAAGATTGTCCCGGCTTGTTTAGATTGCCGTCAACCTATAACATTTTATTGAGCACTGTACCAAAAAACCATCCAAAAACATCTTAGTAAAGAAATAAAGAAAATTAGCTATATGCTACAAACACGAAATCGTTAGAAATGTTAGAAACGTTAATCAAAGATTCTATTGGTTGAAATTATCGTAGTATTTAGCGAGTTCCACGGGATTTAGCGGCTTCAACCATCTCATCCTGCAATTGCTCCATAATCTCCAAACGACGATGAGTGATTCCCTCATGATCGAAAATAACGGTGGGCTTCTTCCAATAATTGTTACGAATTCTTTCCCAGTCCCAAGGGGCAGTTTCGCGTGATCGATCGAGCCAAATTTCAATCTTCCCAAATGAGTAGTAAACGACATAGCCGAAGACGACAACCCAGATGCCGGTTAGGACAAAAAATGGATAGATCTCGTAAGCATGGCCAAGTCGACGGAACAAGAATCGCATCGGGGTGTCACCAAGCTTTTGTGGATTGGCGTAGCGTTTATCTCGGCTCACATCACGTTCATATTTGAAAAAGCCGGTTTGATTGACGGTGAGCTGCTTGGCGGCCGGCTTGTAGGCAAGTCCATGTTTACCCGAAGCTTGGCGAATGATGAGAATGCGTTGGAGGTAAGCTCGGGAGACGAGTCGCGGAGTCAAGGATGAGAGCGACATCTGAAAAAACAAACATTTGTAAAAGTTTTGAAAGAGGCGTGTAAAATTGCGAGACAAATAAAAATTTCTGTGCAACATTGCAAGTTTCGCGTTCTATCATGGTTTCGGAGGATGGTTTGCTGCCTACTTTTTATTATAACAAAACTTCAACAGCTAAGCTTGATAAAAACGTCAATGGCCCGACAGCACACCAAAAAAACGCTTATGAACGAAAAGTGATAGGGATCGCGCATTGGGAATTTGTACTTTGGGCTAAATTCAACTTTACGGTCTGATCGAAAATCCAAACTAACCCTGGTTTTTATGTTTTCCCCCATACCAGAATGCACAAAAAAACAAAATGATGAGGGGGAACATTTTTAGAAAAAGAAAAATGAAAAAAAGCATCAGGGGTGGTACTAAATGGCGAAAACCGCCCTAGTAAAACTAGTTACAACCCTTGTAAAAAAAGTTACTAGGGTTGTAAAATAAAAATTCGCCCTAGTAAAACGTTTCACTACCCAAGTAAAAACTTTTACAAGGGTTGTAAAACAATGGTAAAATGAAAAGCACCTTTTTACTGCCCTAGTAAATTATTTTGCTACCCTCATAAAACCTTTTACTAGCCTAGTAAAGCCTTTTAGAAGGGTTGTAAAAAAGATCATCGGGGCGGTGATTTTAAATTGCCCGGGCGGGTAGATTTCAAAATACTGGCGCCCTAGTAAAAAGGCTAAATTTTTGGAGACCCCGTACGTGCGCGAAACATATCGATTTGAGTTCCGGGGTTTTTTTCTAGACATTATAGAGGTCCTAAGTAGCTAGTGAAAACAAAAAACATCCCAAGAGTCGTTGTAAAGGCTGCCAAAAATGACTTTTAAAAGTTAGAAGGGTTGTAGAAACGATTACGTGAAAGATTTTTCACGTAGAACTTGCAATAGGGATTGTAAACACAATATTTGCGACTTTACACCCAAACGAGCGTTTTTTCTTAGCATTTTTGCTTTATTTTCACTAGACATGGGCATTAGAGAAATTTATACCCTTTTAAAGTAACTTTTTGGTTTTTTGGTACTAAGGCAGTTGGGGTGTCATGTCGACAAAGTACGCTCTTTTTCACGCACTAATTGCTGTTTATAGTCACAGGCAATAAGCGTTTTTCTTTTTTTCTTCGTTCATTTCGAGTTCATACGCTCAGAGTTCATTTCGTTCATCAAAAGCAAGAGATTCCACAATGAAATAAATACAAACCAAAGTTTGCAAAACACAAAAAGATTAATCGGTACTTGTGGAGTATCCGGGGGGTCTTTCAATATCCGGTGGGGTAAAATTTTAAGATCCGGGGTAAACTTTCAAAAACCAACCAAAGGCCCAAAAATGTTTTTTTTTGTCAAGATGGCTTTGCCGCTGTTTGCATGTGGTAACTAAATTTTATAACTATACCAGCAACGAATAAACAAGATGCACGAATAATGACATAAAAAAATTTTGTAGAAGTTACGTTTTTGATCGAGTATCACGAGTCCCGAATCACGTAATCAAGTAATCACCTCGAATAAATTGAATATCTTTACATTTGAAGGGAATTTGCCACCAAATCACTTAAGCGGCTGAATATCTTTAAAAGGGGTCGTGTATAACGTATATAAAATTTTACCCCACCGGATCTTAAAATTTTACTACCCCGGATATTGAAAGAGCCCCCCGGATATTCCACAAGTACCGATTAATCGGTTTTCCCCTTCCAGTTAATTGACTAGGCTTCCTATACGACCGGCTTGTGATCCTCACTAAAAATTCCATGTTGTATTTTCTTATTGGTCAATGCAGAAAAATTTTTGGAAGCGCATAGAGCTTTTTTTAAGGTGAATAATCTGAACATTTCTTCAAAGTCTGTTCGCACTTGCGAATCGAGTTCCCACAAAACTAGAAAACTCAGTGTTCATGCGAGGGAAAGAATGTTTTCTTGGGAATCTGCTTCTTCACGAAATCAAAAAGAAACTATGACCTGTTTTCGCTTATCGCAAAGATGCTAAAAATTCTAAATTATTGACTGAACACTTTTCCTTTTTCCGTTAAGCATTTCATTTCAGTTTTTTTTAGTTTGAATCAAAGAAGCCCTTTCTTTTAAACACGAATCTCACGTTTCCTAGCCAATTTTTTTGTTTAAAGATTGACTCATTAGGCGATCCAAAGCAAGTTTTGTCCTTCCTCTTTCTCAACCACCGGTTCCTCGACGGCTTTTATTAGATCGATCTGAAAACAAGGGGAATGACTTCGCTTTTCTCTGATCAGAGATTTATTCTATTATTCTTGTTTGTTCAGCTAGTAAATGCATGTGGGTACTTGTTTTGCTCAATAAACTAGTCTTTTAGTAGAACCAATCCATGGTGGTCCTGGCCTGGGGAATTGGGAAAAGGTAAGAGATTTATGGAAGTGCTTTACTAGACTAGTAATGCTTTTATTAGTCTTCTACATTTTATATTTTTGATACTTTAAGTTCAAAGTACTGATAAGTTCAAAGAACAGGCCTTTGAGGAAAGTAAAGCTTTATTATGAAAGCTATACTTCTTGCCATTTAGACTTTCTATGATAATTTGAAAGTTTAAAGGATCTTTTCAGATACTTTTCAGTATGAACTTATAGTCCCTGTTTCAGTTCAACCATGGCTATGGGGTCGAGTTCTGTAGAATCCCGAAAACCGGTTCCACAATCACCATTCGAATCCTTTGCGATATCCTCAATGATTACAAGGGAATCCCACAATCAAGGACTCAGAAAGTCGGCAAAACGATTAGCCACTTTGAAAAGTTTGTCCAATCCAATAAGCTTTCTATCAAAAATTTCAGTGAATGCGTGAAGAACAACAATTATTTGGATCATTGGGAGACAAAATGGAATAGGCCATTACTGGAAACCGTCAAATTTGTAACTGTTCGGGAACCGGTTGAACGATTTGTGTCTACCTATGAGTTTCTTTGTGTGTGAGTTCGAAGTCTTCAAATTTTTGGCTCAAACTACTTTTGCAGACATCCAACGGGTAAATGGTGTCCACCAAGCATCAGAAATATCCACCAATTCGCTCAATGGATCTATGATTTCCAGAAACGGGAACAGGATAGACCGGATTTTCTGAGAACAAAGAAAGATGACTATATTCTATTCCATACGTGGCCACAAACAAGGTTTCCCATAAAAGAACTATAGATTTTACCAAAGTCCACTTCAGTTTCTGTGAAATGACGAATGGCAACCAGATCCTTGTGCATCATACTCGAAATCGAAAACAGATGCAACGGGAAATGATGAAAGTGTTCATGAAAGCTCATGTACCGGAAAAAGTGGCAAGAAAAGTAGGTGTAGGGTATGGGAAACTAATTTCAATTTGATTTGGAAATCATTCATTTAATCAATCAAGAAATAGCGCCAAATTTTAGTTCGAGTTTTTTTCTGTTGTATTCCAGTTTCCTTTTAGGCCCTTCTTCACCTTTTGAAATCAACAACAAGACATGCCAGTCCAAGCAATGAGGCCCATAAGAAGAAACTGGAACGGGCCGTGAGACAAACCCCACAAACAATGGAACTCGTCCGAGCGATGTACCATGAAGATTTCCAATTCTTTAAAAATCACAACTTTCATTGAGCATTGTAAATAAATGACTTGAAAACTGACCTTTTGGGATCCCTCATCAATTGAGGATGTCCAGACACAATTCCTTTAATTGACACCTGGGAACTATAGTTTTCCAGTCAGTTGACTAACAATATCCAAAATATTCTATTCTGCTATTTTCCATTTTTCTTTTAAATTCGGGTTCAATTTGGTAGTATAAAACTGTTATCGGAGACCACGTCTCTGGGATTCGATTATTTAAAGAGACGATTTCGATCAAGAAGTTTTCCAATTCAAATGCAATTAACCTCAATGTCGATAATCCCTTTTTTCACTTTTCTTTCGCCAAGAAGATTCGATGGTGCGATGACTTGGAGATCCTGATGGGTGATGAATTCACCGAGGAATCGTGGTTCTGGAAGCCTCATCAATTCAACGAGAAATATACACTTCTGAAGAATTTAAAGTCGGTGAATAAATTGTTCCTGGCTTGGGATTCAAATTCAAAAGACCGGGAGATATTCTTCTCAAACTTCCACGCATCGATCAAGAAACGAGCAGCACTGAATATCAACTGCAGTGCTTTCAATGATCAAGTAATCAAAGATCGGATCGAGAATTTTCTGGTGGCACCTCAACTCAAGGATTGTGAGAAGATTTGCTTTGACTGTCGTGCCGAAGATTCAATTTGCTTTTGCTACAACGCATTGTTGAAGACTGAAATCAAAAATGGTTTATGGTTGGATTGATTGCTCCTTGGCCTGGACGAAAATTGCTTCTTGGCCTTCTACGTCCCGGTCGATTAAAATGATTAAAATCACTCTTTGATGATTCATTGTATATTTTTGTGGCTTTCTATCATTGTTTCCATTCTTTCAATTGGCAGATTATTGGTATTTTTTTCTACCATATTTTGTTGCCCTTTCAATTATCCAAAATAAAGTTTTAAAATCTTTTATGGAATGAAAAGAAAGCGATCGTGACTTTATCCGCACTTTTATTCGGTTCCAATATGGTATAGATTTGGTTCGAGTAAAGTACAGTTTTGATTCCAATATGGTACAGTATTCAGAATCCTCATAATCTAAAACTTTCCAGGCCCCCTCACCTCAGCCCTTGCCAACAATTATGGCTGTCGTGCGGTGACAACCCTCGGCCCTTCCGTCTCCTTTTTCGGTTTCATCGCCTCAACTCTTCTACCGCAGATCTTCCTCTTGTGCATAACTTTTGGAAGTGGAGCTTTGTTTAGTTGCCCACTACGATTCCCTCAAATTTACCCATGTTTTTTTCAGGCGCCGCCTTCGGTTTGGTCTATCTGCCGGCGACCGTCATCGTCCCGCAATACTTCGACAATAAGCGAGCCTTAGTGGTCGGGTTGGCCGTTTTCGGGTCGGTCATTGGCACCTCGCTATTTGCTTCGCTTTGGTGAGTGGGAAAAATTATTGATGAAAAAACTTACGTGACCTCCAGAACGAGCATTGGTTCAAAAACTTTGAGGAAAACCGGTTCTGGAGTCGATAAAAATAATCAGTCCCAAAACCGAGAAATAACATCATCGCCCAAATGGTAGGTATTCTGAAAACTTGTCACTAAAAATTTCAAGTGCTCTCCAGAACGGCCATTGGCAAAGAAATTTGATGCAAAACTGATTCTGGAGTCGAGAAAAGTAGCCAGTCCCAAAACCGAGAAATGAGGTCATCGATTAAATGCTGTCCTTTTCTGAAGAATTTACCGTTTTTAGGCTTAGTGCGTTCCAGGCTTAGTGGCTTGGTGCGGTTTTGTAAAATTTCTCCTTGCCAACAGAATCTCAAAAATTTCCAGCTGAACCCAATCGTGATGACCCTTGGCAACAACCAGTGGCGCTACTTCATCGTTTTCATCGCCTTCTCGTCGCTGATCTCCGTGGTCGGTTTATTCTTCAAACCCGTGCAACCAACCGAGAAACAAGTAAAAGAGGTACGGTAGTTTTGGGCGTAAGCGCAAACGCACCGCTCTAGTGCACTGAAATTTTTATCAAAACTTTTTATAATCAGGAGCTTTACTGCGTTTCATAATGCTCAAAAATTACAAAAAATAATTCCCAGAAAGGATTTTCACTTGAAATTATGCTCAAACTCAATTTTCTGGTGGGCAAGCCCGCCGAAGAGTAAGAAAAAGAGAAGGTTGGTTTGGGGCAAGAGTTTTGCATACCAATTTGCATATAAATTCAAGCTTAAATACAAATTACGGGAGCCAGCCGAGTGTTTGCGCGGCGAGCGGAACAATTTCGATCTTAATCGACCCTTTTTGTCGACGTTTGAGCTGAACGCTGAGAAGACCCAGGCCCGAGAATTTTTCATCAACATTTCGCCAATCTGAAACTCTACAAAATTAGCATGAAATCCATAATCACCAATTTTGATTTTAGACCTGAAAACCCTGAAAACGGAGACCAGACCTTGACTTACCTGGCTCGCAGGTAGGCTCCATGGCTGGCCAAGATTGGTAGCCTAGTTTACAAGACCTTAGACCCCAAGTAAGCAAGCATTTGATCCACATTACAAAGCTGAGCAACTTCTGTGCAACTTCTGCTGTGCGTTCCAGATCTCAAAAAAACGCATCAGATTGAGATTTTGAACAGTTAGAGCTTACATTTTTGAGCACAACTCTTTCCAGAAAAATCTCCGACAGCCCAAAGGTCGATTCGTTGTGGGTGTTGAATGCGGGTCTGATTCTAGCCGGTTTGGCGACAATGGCCGTCCCGCTCTTCGCCCAAGATTGGCATTTCATCGCTTTCTGTCCCCCTTTCGCTTTTGGCGTTGGTGAGTGATTGAAACACCCAAAAAATCGTGTAAAATCGTGTAAAAAGAATTTTTAGTCTTGTAGGCAAGAGAAACTATTTACCATAACCATTTTGAATTTAAAACTGACCCCAAGTTTAATCGCAAAGTTTCCAAACGTTTTTCCAAAAAAACGAAAGAATTTCGCAGCGAGCAGGACTCGAACCTACGCGGGCAGAGCCCATTTGTTTTCGAGTCAACTCCCCTGTTGACCTTTCGAAATCGGGACTTTTCCGAACTTCTTTTTCTTTCCGAACCACAGGGATTGACTATTCTACCGTACTTCATTTCCCTCTTTCTATTACCATTTTTGAGTAATTAACGGTCTGGTAACGGTCGTTGGAGATTTTCCTGACAAAGTTTTCTCCTTTGTCGCCTCTCCACCGTCCTAGCACTGGGAAAGTGAAGCGAAAAGAATTTGACCCAAAATTTGATAGAATTCTTGAATCGAACTTTCAGCCTGTTTCAAACTTTAGGCAGACTTTTGCCATTTATTTATAAGCACTGATCGGATCGCCGATTGCCGGTGGATTTGGGAAGAATTGCATTTGAAATAAAAATCCTAATCTTATTTTAAAAACACACACATCTCTAAAAGATTTGCAAGAAAATGAAGAAACTACAGTAGCTACACAGACTATGCCATCCACAACACTATTTTTCCTCGTTAAAAACTTTTATTTCCAATGAAAATGAGAAACCATCTGGATACGCCAGAAAGCGAGCGGTCACCTGAAAGATTCCATAAAACGATTTGACTGGGTTTTGAAGAGAAAACAACCCAAAAATTACATTTTAATATAAAACCTCAATTTTCAGGTCGGCGAGGGAACGGCGAAAATTGTAAAATCGCAGCTAAAGAGTTCAGCTTGATTAAAAGATTAGTATTTTAAAAATTTTAAAAATCTTTTCAATTTTTCTTTCATCCTATTGCTCACGAGACTCGAAAGCCTTCAAAATGCAATGCATTTTTTCAAACATTTTTCGAAAAGTGATCTCTCGACAAAGTTCTCTCAGTTTTGGTGTGGCCTCAACGAATTTTTCTCGAATTTTGCCAAATTTCAATTTTTGATGCTTGTTTTCGTTTTCATTTTTCTGAGATTGTTTTTTGTAGTAAAATATCGATTTGGAAGTTTTTAAAACGGAAAAATTCGCAAATTACAGCTTGCAAAGAGCAAAAACGTTGAGAAAAAGATACCAGAGATTTCCTTAAAATCTGGCAGCTCCGGAACGTATTGGCACTTTCACAGCCAATTAGACTTCTAAAAAGTACGGATAAACTCGCGATCGCTTTCTTTTCATTCCATAAAGATTTTAAAACTTTATTTTGGATAATTGAAAGGGCAACAAAATGTGGCAGAAAAAAAAAAATCAAAGAGTGATTTTAATCATTTTAATCGACCGGCACGTAGAAGGCCAAGAAGAAATCAAGGCATTCTTTCCTGTACACGCAGATGCAGTCCTTGGTTGAATCAAAACGTCGATGGAACATTGGACTTTCTTCCATGAAGAAATCAGAACCATCAGAACGAGAATATCCAAAATTCCTCACAAGATCATTCGCCTGTTTCAGAAGTCGAAGACGATTCTCTCCATCGATTCGTCGCATTCCTGGATATTCTGAGAGATCGATCGTGAATTCACAGTTATATGAATCAAGGCAAATAGCAGCCTCAGGGTTCTTGCTCGGGATTCCATTGATGATGATCTGTTCAAGCATCACCTCAATCCAATCATCAATACCCATACCAACGTTTTTGATTTCAGACTTCAACAAAGCGTTGTAGCAAAAGCGAACTGAATCTTCAGTACGACAGTCAAACCAAATCTTCTCACAATCCTTGAGTTGAGGTGCCACCAGAAAATTCTCGATCCGATCTTTGACCACTTGATCATCGAAAGCCCTGCAATAGATATCTAGTTTTGCTTGTTTCTTGATCGACGCGTGGAAATTTGAGAAGAATCCCTCCAGGGATTCTGAATATGAATCCCATTCCAGGTACAATTGATTCACCAATTTAAAATTCTTCAGAAGTGTATATTTCTCGTTGAATTGATGAGGCTTCCAGAACGATGATTCCTCGGTGAATTCATCATCAATCTGGAACTTCAAGTCATCGCAACCTCGAATCTTCTTGATGAAAGAAAAGTGGAAAAAGGGACAACGCGCGACATTGAGCTTGATCGCATTTGAAAACTTCTTGATCCAAACCTCCTCATCGTCGAATATAACCCGAGAGACGTGCTCTCCAAAAACGATCGACGGATCCCTCACGAGCATCCCTTGGAATCCTCGATTCACCTTGCCCAACTCATACACATCCCTTGGTTCCATTTGTTCCAACGCTTCTGACTTCAAATCGAAACACAACTTCTCCATAGGAAATGACGTCAAATTCTTCATTTCGAACCGCATGACTCCTACCTGTAAATAAAGAGATTAGGCTTTGTTTTGACATAAAGAGGTGCCTTACGGATAACGGAAATGTTAGGAAATAGTGAAATTGGCTTCGGATGGTCAGGCTGTAAAGCCTACAAAGGTTAAAGGCTGAGAAAAGGCAATCAATTAAGAAATCGACAACTGCTTCAAACAGTAACTTCATCTTCGAACAATATTTTATAAATTTATTCCAAGTAACAACAATACCGTGAAAAGCTAGCAAAACAACAAAAAGCAACAGGTACTAAGGAAGTTGGGGGAGCACTTGAAATCTGCTCAAGTCTAGTTTTTCCCGAGTAAACGATGACGCTGATCACAAAAAAAAACTTTTTTAAGTTATGTTTTCAATCAGAAAACTCATGTGCCTCTCTGGTGCGGAGCCAATACCTAGGAAATATAGGGAAATGCAGTTTTTTCAAAACAAAGAAAGTTAATCCAGTACATGTTTTTTAATCGAAAACATCTCAAAAATGTTTTTTTCGGGGTAAACGCGGGTAATGTGTAGAGGACGGCCACACAGATGTCGGCGAAACCGCAGACTAAACGAAAAGTTGTACAGTCTAGCTAAGTTTAATGGAGCATTTTCAATTGCCATCAAATCTCTCAAAATTACCCACAAAATAGTCCATCCATTCGGTCAACCAAAAATCGACAAAATGATGGCCTCTTTCACGTCTCCTCTCAGCAAACGATGTATCCATCAATCCTAAATTAATTCACATTCAAATGAAGCAGATCCCCTCTGCCCTGTGACTCTTTCGACTTCATCGGTGTAACGACCTTCCCAGGCTCTAGCTTCGAGGTATTCAGCGAAGCAAACTAAAAAAGTTAATTATAAATTCAAATCCAGTGAAATAAGCTCAAAAATTCCTCACCGATAAGCTATTAGAGTTGTCGTTGTTGAGCGACAAAACACCGAAGTTTGGTGTTTTGAAGCTGCGGACCGCGCTCTTGTTCTCGAAGCTTTTTGTGTCGTTGTGATCGGTGCTGATGCCATCCGTTTGTGGAGACAGCTGATGTAGAAACATCTAGTGCTTGTGACGACGACAGCTAGCCAATGCTTTGTGTTGGATTTTCTTTATTGAATTGCAGAGCAGCCATACGATGAGCGCCGAAGTAGCGCAAAGCCTCCATTTTACCTAAAAATAGAGTATAATGAAGCCATTCGTTCATTTGAAACTTAGATTTTCTTGTTTTCAAATAAAGCTTGCCAGTGCTACCTAGAGCGTGTCTTATCCACATAGAATGCCTTACCACAGCATTAAAAGCCATCAACTGCCAAGATTCAAGCTATGATTCGAGTTAACTTTTAATCAACCCATTCAAAAACTGACGATTGATCTCGCTTTGAATTGCATCATCGCAGAATCGCTGCAATTTGTCGAGTGCTTTCATGGCAACTCGATCCACTAAATTTAAAAGTTTAACCAATAGACGTTTCAAACACTCAACTGTTCCAGGGCATTCTGCTCGGTGATGCATCATCACTGGTGAGGACTTCAAGAGAACATTGCAAGCACCGGTATTTCACCCTCACTAAATTTGAAAATTTAGTCTTTTAGCAATCTTTGACGGAGAGGGGCTAAAGTTAATAAAACAAAACGTAGATTGCTTTTTGTTTAGATTGTTTTTGTCATTTACATTAATGGAAACACTCAAAACAATAAATAGATAATTTTAAAGCAAAGCTTTTAAGCAAATCTCCAAAAACCCACTCAAATGAGCCACCGCGATGTGTTCCTTCAAATGATGCATGTCGAGGTTGCCGAGGCGGCTAAAGGTGCATGTGTAGAAGTCGCTTCCATACCTGGAAAAAAAATTTGAAAACTCTCCAACAAAACAAAACAAGTAATTCAAACTGAAGAAACAAGTAAACAGCTTAAAACGCATGAAAATGTTAAGAATTTGTTTGACTACAGCTTATCTGCGCTAAACTTTTCTTTAGACGGGGTTTCCAGCTCAAGAACACACGTTTTCGAGCATTTTAAACACAAATATCATGGTTGGCTCGATATAGGACATAGGTTGGTTCCCTCAAAAAGCGTGTCAACACGGAAACCGATCTTTGGCTTGACTGCATGTCGTCGAAAAGCTCGCCTATTGCATTCCCATTTGCGCCTTTGGTCATTGACACCGTAAAGTTTCATGTCTTGCGCACAAATAGGACAAGCTCGCCTACGGTGAAGCAGCCTTAAATCGGCAAGCCCTCAAATGGTCATCGGGTTGATCAAGCTTTCTCGACAGTTCATGGAGCGTAATGCCTCCAATAGATTGTAAAGCGTTCATTTGTAACAATTCGTTTGCAAATGATCAAAAAAATCTAAATTGGCAGCTTATTACAGTAGTATATGTCATTACTACACAGAATATTAGCTAAATAGCGTAATTTATCAAAAACAATTAGTGTTTTGGTCGTGAACATCATATTTGTCTTTAAAATGCTCAAAATTTGCATTTAACCAAGTGTGTTTTGACAACGGGAAATGTGGAATTTTTGAGTGACAACCTACCTTAAAGATGCTATTTTTGGCATCAGCGCTATAGATTACCCCCAGAAAAATGAAAAGCTCGTAAAAAAAAGAGTGAGCGCCGAAGTGCATTTATAAAACATTTATATAAAAGTTTTGCGCTGCCATTTTTACTATAAATTGATTTAAAATCTAAAATCTAAAACATACAATATCTAACTTATTTCATGAACTATCTAAAATGCTTTAGAACACACACTGTTTCCTCAGCCTTTGGAGGCATCTCTGAAGGCATCATATGGGGTGGGGTTTGATGAAGGCCGAGCAAGGCCATGCAGGACGAAAATCTTGGTTATTTTCTGAAATTTGAGAGCATTTGATAACAGAAGAAGTAAGATGTAGGTTTCTCAATTGAAAAGGATACAAATGTTCACCGGCAACTTGAAAACAACGATTCGCGAAGCGACTTACAAGGGAAGGTCACGAAATCAAGGTGGCCAATCGAAATGAGAGCTAGAGCATCCGATGCAGAATTTAAAGCTGATTCCGAATCTGCTGTGCGTTTTTGCTAAATAGGTCGGAATCGCAAGGAATTGGGCAAACCAGTTTTTTGGCCTCTCTTATAACGCTTGCCATCTACAAAGCGAAAGAGAAATTCCTATGGAAATGACTGGCGAGTTGTTCTTTGTGCAGCCGGGTAAGCGCTCGCTATCGGGTGTTTTAATTATAATTATTTTTTGCCAAATACTTTGAATAAAGAAGCCCATTTAAAGATTTTGCTGGGTTTTCCATTTTTACACTGACAATTTGAAAGAAAGATGCGTTTTTAAAAATAAAGCTTTATATGAAAAATGGTTCCACCAGAAAAATTTCCCGTTTTGTTCACTACATTTTGTTTTTGGGTTCATCTTTTTATCTAAAAACTGAACTATGGAAAGTTCGATTGAAGGCAATTGAATTCGACTCAAAAGGCGCAATCACATCCATTTTTCGATTAGATAAACTTCAAGCGATATATGCAAATTTTTCATCTTTCACCGGGATTTTTAAAGTTAACCTTCCGAAAAAATTAGATTTTCGGATTCCCCATAGCCAAGAACCTTTAAACGACACCAAACACGGGGGGTTTTGGGTCAAAGTTGAAGCAGGCACTTTTGGCGGGAAGAGGAGCCCCTCGGAAAGTGGCTGCTTGCCGGAAATTTTCAGCTCCATATTTTGGTTGTATTCTAGTTGGATGTCACAGCAAAGTTTGGATTAATCAAATTACTGCATCACGGAATTTCAGTCAGGCACTTTTTAAGCAAAACTGTTTGGCGGTGTAACTCTTGTTCTAGAAGGAATAAGCTTTCCAATATTTTGGCTAAATCAAAATTGGATGTCACACTAAAGATTGGATTGCTCAAATTTCTGCATTTCGCAATTCCGGAATTACTGTTTTTACACAAAGTCGCGTAATTGAACCGAGTCTGGAAAGTGCCTGGCTAAAATTCCCGCCCAACACGTCCCGTATGTCCTTCGAACCAATCAAATAATGAAATCTTCGAAATTATTAGGTTGGCAAGTTATAAACGATCGTTTTTGGGTAATGTGTTTGCTGAAATATCCAATCAAAAACGGCTTATCCAATCAGAAAACGGTTTGCTTGATTCAAAAGCCCTATCCTTATCTACAAAATGGCTTTTTTGAATTTTTGAAAAATGTTTTATTTTAGAACTTTTTCAGGCATTTTAATGTAAGAGAGTGTAAGAGTAATGTAAGAGTTCAAAATCCTGGTTTCTAGCATTCAGAGCTAGCTAAGCTAATATATTTTTGAGTGATTGCATACTTTTTAAAATCAAAAGCTTCATCGATTACATAGTTTCCCAAAATTTCAGAACAATCCAATCGATCGAACCGTTCTCTTTCATTTTTTTTAATCTTGCTTAAATTCAAACGAAAATGGATTAAATTAGCACAAAAAGTGCATTTTGAGCCTAATTTGAAAATCAACCTTCCGAAGATTGGATTGTTTTGAAATTTTGGGAAACTATGTAATCGATGAAGCGTTTTATTTTAAAAAGTATGCAATCACTCAAAAATATATTAGTTTAGCTAGCTCTGAATGCTAGAAACCAGGATTTTGAACTCTTACATTAAAATGCCTGAAAAAGTTAAAATAAAACATAAAACGTAAAATCAAACCTCAAACATTCAAAAAAGCCATTTTGTAAATTAAGGATAGGGCTTTTGAATCAAGCAAACCGTTTTTTGATTGGATAAGCCGTTTTTTCAGAAAACACATTACCCAAAAACGATCGTTTATAACTTGCCTACCTAATACTATTCATTTTTTTGCTTTTCTTAAATTTTTATTTTATTTTTTGTAATCATTTGTTGTCATTTTAGGAAATGGGACGTTGGGAAGTGCTTTCCGATTACGAGAAGGGACAAATCGATGCCTACAAAATCGACAAGAAGGTTATTCGAGAAATCGCAAAGCTTTTGGGCCGCAATCACAATTGCATTCGACGTTATTTAAAGAACAAGAACGTGACCGCTCCTAAAAAGAAGACTGGGCCCAAACCTCAGCTTACATCTCGAGCTAAGCGTCACATTGTGAATTCAATTCATGGAAAGTCTATCAATGAGGTCAAAAATGAGCTAATAGTTGTACGAGTTCTCTCAGATTTTGGCAAAACCTTTTTCAATGATAGGTTTCCTTGCTGTAAAATTTTCAGAAAAATTGATGGTGGGGTTTTAAGAAATTACACTTTAAAAGTTGATAAAAATTCTACGAACTTATCGGCCAACCTAATACGTTTTGTTTCATCAAAAGGTCTATTATTCACCTAAAAAATTACCTTTGAGAGTTTCCACAAGACTTTTCTTTCGTGTAGTTTATGGACTCTCAAACACAGCTAGTCAAAACGGCAAAGAGTCTGACTCATCGTTTCGACGGTTTCTTTCACATGAACACCTTCTTTGGTGTCTACATTTAGCCAAACCTTGCCCAAACCAGTTGCTTATCAAGGTTGCAAGCTAGATGCTTTGAAAACAACAAAATATTAGGTTGTCCAGTTATAAATGCGCGTTTTTAAGATAGCAACTCTTTAGTTTAAAAGCAACAGTTCAATAGCTCAATCAACAATATATTCATCATTTCTTAACAATATTTGTTTACATCTTCCATGCAAAGAATGAATTCCCTCAGCGTAAAAATTGGCTTGTTTTGAGGCAAAGAAGTCGGCTATCCATTTTTCGACCTCTTGAACTTCTTTGAACTTGTTTCCAGTCAAATGGTTTTGCATTGAGCGAAATAAATGGTAATCCGAAAGAGAAATATCCGGAGACTATGGCAGTTGCGAAGCCAATAAAGCAACGCAATTGAGATAAAAATTGAAAGAAACGTAAGAAAATTGTTCTGCTTATTGTGAAATGAAATGTAGCAAAGTATGTTTTTGTAATCCTGATCCAAAAGAAATCTCATTGAAGCTGGCTGCTTATTGGAATGAAAAAGACTTGCATGCCTCGTGGATATTGCTCTCGAAAGAAGAGAAACTGTTTATAAGAATCGACTTTTCAGAGAAGGCCTTCCTCGAGGGCAATTTCGAGTCAGAGCTTTTTCAAAGAAGCGATGCGAAGGTATTGTTTCGAGTCGACGGAATCGATTTCAACTATGCCTGTTTTGCCAACTTTGACAGTGCATTTCTAAATGGAAAGTTTGAAATAAAAAAAATCTTCGATATTCTGACTCTCCTCTTGGCTTTTCCTCGTATAACAGCTATATTTTCTATTGAAAAATTCGGCCGTTAGCTTGACCGTAGATCATCTACTCGACACTAACGCAAAAATATCACAATTGCTTCGGAAAACACTTTTATTTCAATCTTTTCTCCCAATAACTTCAAGTACAATAAAATCAATTGGTTTTTAATTTTTCCAATACGCGAAAACATTCTCATTCTTCCAGAAGCTAAGTGAGTTGAGATTTAAATGAGTTGAGATTTAAGAAAAGAAAGACTAAGAGGCAAGCTCTAAAAGCTATAAAAAGCTATAAAATAGCTCTTGAAAGCTATAAAATGTACAGAAATATTGCTAAAAGGCACATAATATTGCTCTGTCGAATAATCGAATCGAAATGTCCTTTCAACATCCAACAAATCTCATCGTTTGAACAAGAAATTCATGTAGCCGGAATGGCCCTCGATCTGAAAAGATTGAAAATATATACTTATGTTTTGGGAATGTTTTGGAATGTGAACTAGCCCATATCGTAGAACTCACTGTTCTCACTCACTGTTCTTTTAGGTGGTGTACAAAGTGCTATGTGAATTGGGGTGAATGGGGCTCTAAAAGGGTGCAAAACATGTTTTTAACACACATCTCCACATTCCATTTTAATGAAGTCAAAACTTTGGACCGCTTTTGTGAGTTCTAAGCACTCTCTGTACATAGTACATGTACAGAGAGCGCTTAGAACTCTCTGTACATGGTATATGTACAGAGAGTACTTAGAACTCTCTGTACATAGTACATGCCATTGAAAAGAGCAGAAAATTCTCCACAAGATAAGCTAATTCCTATTTAAACTTAATGATCAGTCATTACTAGAAAATAGCTTTGGGTAGTGACCATTTTTTGAGTTTCCTGACAACTAACCAGTGAGGTGCTCCTCTTGGCCGTTGTTTCACGGTTTGAATCGATGAATGGCAGTGTGGGCCCGTTCACTTCGATATCTAGTTGATGTTGACTGAAATTTGACTTACTGGAAATTTTTGAGTAACTGGCTTTACAGAACTATTAGATGGCATTACAGAACCATTAAATAAAGCTTATAGGCCCACTTGGAGACCTATATCCTACTGGGTCTACTCGGCGGATTTACCTGATCTGCAAACCCTAATTATTTTATGAGTTTATACTTTTTACATTTATACAAGCGTGTGTAGAAAATAGCTTTTGAAAAACAACCTTTTTGGTTATTTATTTTGTTGTTTTCAAAGCATCTAGCTTGCAATCATGATAAGCAACTGATTTAGGCAAAGTTTAGCTAAAGATTGTTGAAAAATATGTTTCTTCACCTAATGCCAAGATATACTGAAACGAACTTACTAGATGAAATTGAGAAAACGCATGGAAATGTATAGGTGCACAAAGTAGTAGAAGATCACGATGCCTGACCATAAGAGCAAATCTGAAAATAAGAAATAGATGAAAGTTTTAATCAAAAGTTGCCCAACTTTTGATTCGGACCCAACCCAACCCAACCCAACCAACCCAACCAACCCAACTCAGTTTCAAACAAAGCCCCACCTGCAAATGAGATTGAGAGTCCGAGTTCTTGAGGGAGTTCGTTTTGAGCTCGAAACTTATTGTCTAAGCTGAAAATTAATTGTATTTTCTATTGGAATCAGATTAGTTTATTGTCTATCGATTTTGTTGCCAAGTTTCACTCACAAAAACGTCCGGATTCCGGCGGCAAAGATGTTGATAGATTTGACCAATATTGGTGACAGGTAGACAACCTGAAATCGACAGAATTCCAGTACCAACTTTGTTCCACAGAACAAATAGCTAGTTCTTAAAGTTTCAGTACTACACCAGAGAGGAAAGCAAGACACAATGGTTATTTTTAGAGAAAATCGATACAAAGACAGTTTGAAAACTGGACACATCCTTTATAAATTAGTAGTTCGAGAGTCATCTTCAAGTGGGGAACTTGATATTCAGAACCAGCACAGAATTAGCTAGGCTTAGAAAAAGTCGATTTCTCACTCCCCAACTGGTATAGTTCCGAACTTGCAAAATCCTCACCACGGCAAACCAGTGAAGTTGATGGGGTAAGGGCCTTGTCGTGTAGGATAGGATCAACCCGACAACGGTGACCGCTAACATGTACACAAGAAACGCGATCTAAACTTATTTTCATTTTCAAAGATCCCAATTTGTTCTACTAACCGCTAAAATGCTTTGACTTTGTCTCTCCGAGTGATATGTCTCAATAGTCCACCACCCTCCCACCGGCAACGCGAACAATAACTGTGCCAAGTAGAACCAACGGATCAATCGCTAAAAAACTTAAGTATATTAGTATAACTTAAGTCAATCTTACTAAAGATAGCAAGTTTTCAAAATGATTTTTTGGCTTCTGTATTTGGTACCAATAGAAAGCCCAGTGCCTCGACTTTCTAATGGAAACAAAATCAGAACATGATCTAATTTGAGTCCAGAGTTTGAGTCTGGTCATTGGCCAGAGCGAGCTGGTCTAATTTGGCAGAGTTGAGTGTGTCTAATTTGAGTCCAGTGTTTGAGTCTGTGTCTAATTTGAGTCTAAGTTATAGGCAGTGATGCCTACCCACCACAATCGAGATCTTTATCCCACACGGTCCATATTTCTCGGGCCTCACTGGAGACTCAAACTTGCCCACCCAACACGGACGGAACAACCAGTCACGAGTCATAAGCTGAAATCTTTGAATAACAAATAACCAAATCCAAATGAATAAGAAAACTCAAACAACCAAGGATCGGGAAAATCAGCGTTTATAAAGGAAAAATTGGTTGAAAACGGGTGACTCAGCTTTTCTTTTGAAGCAAATTTTTTGTTTGTTCCTAAAATAAAATATCCGAGAGGCGGGGAATGACGTCCAAACCACAAGTAGGACCTTGGGAAAGGGAATCCCCTAAACGGGAAAAGAATGGGGCATTCGGAGGGAAGCAGAGTGAGAATAGAGTGGACATGACATGCAGGGGAAGAGGGAAATGGAGCAAAAAGCGGCAAATGAACAGAGTTACGAAATGGATAAAGGGGGTTCCTGGAATGCTCAGCTCTTTATTAGAGAAACTTCTATTCTTGACCTTTTAAAATTGAATGAGATTTTATCGTTAAAAAAAGCATCTATTAAACAATAAAAACCCACAAATCTCTTTTCGATTCCCTAATCTCAAGGATAATATTAGTTTAAAAAACTCAAAGAAATTGGTGAAAAATTTGTGAGAACGGCGTTATCTCAAGGATAAAGATATATCCGAACTTCCGGCTTCCGCACAATATACAAGAGGATCGACTTTTCACAAAATGAGCATTCCATTTCTTGAGAACCGATTGGGAGCCGATAGGGAGCCGATTGTGAACCGATTGGGAGCCGATTGGGAGCCGATTGAGAACCGATAGGGAGCCGATTGTGAACCGATTGGGAGCCGATTGAGAACCAATTGGGAGCCGATTGGGAGCCGATTGAGAACCGATTGGGAGCCGATTGAGAACCGATTGGGAGCCGATTGAGAACCGATTGGGAGCCGATTGAGAACCGATTGGGGGCCGATTGGGAGCCGATTGGGAACCGATTGGGAGCCCATTGTCAACCGATTGAGAACCGATTGTGAACCGATTGAGAACCGAATTCGATGCCCGTTGTTGTTGTTGCACAATTAGTTTTGATCGTTTTTTGTTACTTTTAGCTGTTACCCAGATTAATCACAACTGGGGATTTACGTGAAAAGTTTGTAGCCAATAGGGAAAAGTTTTTCCGAAACTTTGGAGAATGATCGAATCGAAAACTCTTTTTAATTCAAAAATAGTTAACAGTCTCAGAAAAGGAAAAGGGTTTGTACGATTTGAAAACAAACACACGATGGATGTGAAAAAACAAAGAGCACATTGTTTCTTGATGAAATGTAGAAGTGATTTGATTATATTTTATTGTGAAAATGTGAAAATGAAAAAATGTGTGAAAATTGTCTCAGTCACAATTGTCGATTCCCTTCGTGCCCTTCGTGATTCCCTGTGGCCCTTCGTTCAGCACATCATCGACTGATTAAGTGGAGATTTTCCGATAACACTTAAGCTTTCGCGATACTTGATGACAAAGTAGTGGAATAGGCTTCTGGTTTGGGAAATATTGGATTTCGAATTTTGTCTTGACGATCTCGTGATCGATGGAACCACTGATGGAAATGACCAGCCAGACCCCTTTGTAGGCGAACGCCTATTGTGCGAGATTTAATATGCGTCCGTTCTATCCTTTCAACTCCATTGTGTGCAAGACGAGACAAAGTTCTGTATAAAAGCAATGTGAACGAGCTGCCGAGCTGTGTGCAAGGAGCCGTGGAGTGGAGTCGTCTCTACTCTCCCAATCCCAAACCACTGAACCAACTATTATTGCTGTAATAAAGATTAATATCTAAACCAACAATAATCATTACAAATTTAGCTTTAGTTTGACAGGGAACTTCGAAATTAACTATTTAATCGTTTAATTTAATCGAAATAGCTTTTTTTGCGTTTACCCAAAATAATTTGTTGGATTGAGAAATGTGAAGGGAGGCAGTAATGGCATCTCTACGGCAGTAATGGCATCTCTACGGCAGTAATGGCATCTCTACGGCAGTAATGGCATATCTACGGCAGTAATGGCATCTCTACGGCAGTAATGGCATCTCTACGGCAGTAATGGCATATCTACGGCAGTAATGGCATCTCTACGGCAGTAATGGCATCTCTACGGCAGTAATGGCATCTCTACGGCAGTAATGGCATAGCTACGGCAGTAATGGCATATCTACGGCAGTAATGGCATATCTACGGCAGTAATGGCATATCTACGGCAGTAATGGCATCTCTACGGCAGTAATGGCATCTCTACGGCGTAATGGCATCTCTACGGCAGTAATGGCATCTCTACGGCAGTAATGGCATATCTACGGCAGTAATGGCATCTCTACGGCAGTAATGGCACAGCTACGGCAGTAATGGCATATCTACGGGGTAATGGCATCTCTACGGCAGTAATGGCATCTCTACGGCAGTAATGGCATCTCTACGGCAGTAATGGCATAGCTACGGCAGTAATGGCATATCTACGGCAGTAATGGCATATCTACGGCAGTAATGGCATATCTACGGCAGTAATGGCATCTCTACGGCAGTAATGGCATCTCTACGGCAGTAATGGCATATCTACGGCAGTAATGGCATATCTACGGCAGTAATGGCATATCTACGGCAGTAATGGTCGTAGATATGCTTATTCCAACTTTACCCTCCTATCCGAGGAAACGGGCAATTCAGTATTATCATAGAAAAAAGCAAGAAACCAAATTTCACATTAATTTGATGGTTTTTGATGCATGGATGCTCTAAATCGAATGCTCATTTACAGAAAATTTGTTTTATGATCACCTCTTTCGCATTTTTAAAGGTTGAACGTTTACGAAATATGTATGTTGCATCTGCTCGATGGCAAATATTTAACCGATAGATTTTTGATTTTGAAAATGACCAAAAGTGGACACGTAAAGAAAACGCCCACAGAGAGACGAAAGAGACGAAAAAGGGGGAAATTTGTGACAGTTCATCAAGATCTCCATTAAAAAGGTCAACAAAAAGTTTTCAGTGTTTGTAAAGCTGGATAGCAAAATTATAAAAGGCTTTTAAAGAGTGCTTTTGTGAATTGAAGTCAAAGACAATGTCTAAGCTTTTCCTCCTACTCGCTGTCCTCTGCATTTCGGGAGCGTTGACTTGTCGTTGCAATCGACATCATCATCACCATCACAGGTGAATGGGCATTCAAACGTTCTTTGTGCTCACTCAGAATCCTTAAACCTCGCCTAAGCCTTAAAGCCTTAAAGCCCTAATTCGCACTTCTCTCGCCACAGCGTGCAATTTTTCGTTGTCGCGAGCCAAAGTGAGGAATTCAGTGTGCCGGAAGGGGCGCGATTTTGGGTGGACACAAAAATTGGTAGATGTTCGCATCCCTGTTCATCATCATATTTAGCTCCTCCTCTTCATCAAGCTCATCGGAATCGCATGAATGCGCCGAATCATCCACCGGTCTTCAGACGATCTTTACCACAACACCAGTGCCAGATGAGGAACCCTCATCGTCCACCGCTTCCTCGTTGGCCCTTCCACCCACAACGACATCCTTTTAAGTTTTATGTATTAATGAATAAAGAAGACTTTGAGTGTTGGAGATTTAAAACATAGTAACATAGTAAACATAGTAAAACATAGTAATCAGCTTAGGTTTGGCTAAAGGTTATCGATAATTGTATAACTAAAAATAAATAAAAATTATAATTTCAATAATCTCTTATCGCGTTTGTTCCTAGGAGCAAACGGATTTGAACTAGAATTTCTAGTTCTAGACTAGTCTAGTTCTAGTTTCTAGTTCTAGACATAAGAATAGACTAGAATTTGGGTTTAGTTAAAGAGCGTGGAGCCCTTTTGATATCCTGCCATCTCTAACACCCCGACAACCCGACTCAACTCCTCCAACGTATTAGAGGGGAGTCTCTGCGAAATGATCGACCTGAGCTGCAGTTTCATAGACCCGGAAGATATTTATCTTTATTTACAGTAGTACGATAAGACAAATAGATTACAAAATGAGTGAAAGGAGAAGGGGGACCCCAAGTGAGCCTCAATCGTCCTCCTAAGCGATCCCAAGGACTGCCCTTCTCGGCGAGGAAAGGGGTAAGCACAGGGAAAACATTTACATAAGAATAGACAAATCATTCAATAATAACGATAGTAACTAAAATACCAGTTTGGCTCGGAGCTGACAATCGGTTGAAGTAGAAAAATCAACTTGGTGAATCTGACTGAACACTTGAATCTTTGTTGACAAATCCTCACCTAAACCCGTTAAGAGTTTGATTAGAAGCAAGTGTGGCAGGCCAGTGTTGGTTATCCAGATGGATTTGCTAAAATGAACAGTCCCTATGTGGAACTTGCTGATCCAACAAAAACATCTGCATAACGGTGATCTTCACATCGCACATCCGCGCGAAACAATGTTAAAATGCGTTTTCTGATGAAATTTGCTGGATAAGATTCTTCTAATATCTGCCATTCGACGCAGAATTTTGTGCTAATTCCAAAAATGATAACGATTTTGAAATCCGTTGTGTGTCGAGTGATTCTCAGTTGGTCAACTGAATATCTTTAGAGACCCATTATGAGTGCTCTTTTTATCTATGAAATATTGACTTTTTTTAAAAACTGTTTCACCCATCATGTAGCCAAGAAGGCAAGGAATTTTTTGATATAAAACTTGAAGCGGCTTGGTTTTTTGGATTTTGAGAAATTTGACGGCGCTGTTTTGAACGTTTTCTATTATGGTGCTGTTTTTGACTACCCCCCGAAAAAAAGCTATAACTTTGCGCAGAATGGTTATTTTTAATTATTTTTTGAACTAAAATGCTTAGAAAGGATCGTGAAATAGAAATTATTAGACAGAATTTTTTCTATTATGAACTTTTTTCAAAGTCGAAGCCTTCAAACCTTGGTCTTGATTTTGAGATTTTCATACTTTTCCTTTTCTAAAATTTGAGTAATTGTAACAAATTGCTTATAGCTTACAATAATAAAAAAAAAGCTGGAAGTGTCTATTTTAGAATATTTAAAAAGTAAACAAATTGGTCAAAGGTGAAAAATTTTATGACCGTTTTACGAACTTAAGTTTTGGCTTTTTTGCGTTTTTTGAAAAAGCCCATTTTTTAAAAAACTATTGATGTGTCGTAGCCGTTTACAAAATTCAGCCGCTAACGAATGATGGTATTTCCGGGCATCCAATCAAAAAGTCACCCACATAAAAAATGTTCATAATACATATATTTTATAATAAATTTTGGAAATTAGCTCATTTGGTTCAGTAGAAAATTTTTTTTGAGCCCCCAAAGTTTAGGTTCAAAATGCCTTAAAATGGCAATAAAAAATTTTCTACTCAGCCAAAAAACTTGCCTAATAGCTCATTTTGTAGCCAATTTGATGTAGTTTCTTAAAGTAAAGCTACATTGAACATTTGTTTTTCAAAGCTAGGGGAAAGAGGGCGAGGAACGACTTCAGTTGAACTCGGTCGCTGTTTTCATATTTGAGAATTGCCCTGAATTTGCTCCTCGCCCTCTTTCTCCTACTTTCAACGAAAAATTGTTTTAGATGGCTTGGCTTTACTTTTCTAAAGGTTTTTCTACCGCGTTTTTCTAAAGGGGCCGGAAACCACGTGACGCGTTAAGCCTTCGATATCGTATCGAAGTCAAGTATCGAGATCTCGATAGTCAAGTCTACTAGCAAGTGCTTTGTCGGGCAGACTTACTCGTTTCGGTGTTGGTGGCGAGAGTTCTTCATCAAACGCAAACACCAATGGCTAAAATTTTCTCATTTTAGAAACAAATTGTGTTAGGTGTGTGAAAAAGTAATCCACGTTTTTTATTTTTATCTGATGACCAAATAAGACGCTGTCTTCTTGAAAACCCTCGTTCAACCTCTTCAGAAATAGGCCTTACATTAAATTGTGATGGGTCAACCGTAAGGAAACGCTTGAATGCCATGAATTTTATCAAAAAGTTGGACAAATGGATACCGCATGAATTGAGCGAAGAAAACAAAACAATGCGCCTTACAATCGCCAATTCTTTGATTAGTAAACATCAACTTGAGCCATTGATCGAATTTTATTGATCGAGTTGTTACGTGTGATGAAAAATGGGTTGATTACGATAATTCTAGAAGGTCTGGACAGTGGGTGGAACGTGGTAAACCTGCTGGGACAATGCCCCAAAAAAAGCCTCCATCCTAAAAAAATTTTAATGACAGTTTGGTGGACTGCACGTGGTATTATGCACATAGACTATTTACCACGTGGCCAAACGATTAATTCGAATGTCTATTGTGCCGAGATTGATGCAGTTTAACAAAAGCTCACTGAGAGACGCGCATCATTGGTAAATAGGAAAGGTGTCCTGTTGCTCCATGATAACGCGCGACCACATGTCTCTTTACAGACTCGACAAAAAGTCCAGAGTGTTGGATGGGAGGTTTTACCACATCCACCTTATAGTCCAGACCTTTCTCCATCTGATTATTATTTATTTTTGTCTCTGTCTAACTTTTTGGCTATCTAACTGCCTCTGTCTCTGGCCAATAAACGGTTCAATTCCGAAGAAGATGTCAAAGCCGAGGTTGATCTTTTCTTCGCCTCTACGGACCAAGATTTTTATTATCGTGGAATGCCTTTACTTGTAGAACGTTGGCAAAAGGTTGTTCTTTCGAATGGTGATTACTTCGTTGAATAAAAATTATTTTAACGAAACTTATGGTCTTTTATATTTAAACGTTAAAAACGTGGATTACTTTTTCACACACCTAATAACTTGCCAACCTGATACTATTCATTTTTTTGCTTTTCTTAAATTTTTATTTTATTTTTTGTAATCATTTGTTGTCATTTTAGGAAATGGGACGTTGGGAAGTGCTTTCCGATTACGAGAAGGGACAGATCGATGCCTACAAGATCGACAAGAAGGTTATTCAAGAAATCACAAAGCTTTTGGGCCGCAATCACAATTGCATTCGACGTTATTTAAAGAACAAGAACGTGACCGCTCCTAAAAAGAAGACTAGGCCCAAACCTCAGCTTACATCTCGAGCTAAGCGTCACATTGTGAATTCAATTCATGGAAAGTCTATCAATGAGGTCCAAAATGAGCTAATAGTTGTACGAGTTCTCTCAGATTTTGGCAAAACTAAAGGCAAGCTTTTCTAAAGGGTTCCCGTTAAAACCATGTAAAAAGTTAACAATAATATTATCTCTAGAGAAATCTATGAATCTCCTCAAAGTAGTTACTCCTTCAAAAATCACCACAGCACCAAATCTTTTGTAACATTTCAAATTCAGTGACTTTGACCGTCTAAAGAGTGTCTGCCAAGGAGATTTATATTTGAACTTTTGCTGGTTAACTTGAATTGAATGCTGAATTGAATTTGATTCGAAACCGTGACTGATAAAGAGTGTCTAATCTGTTCCGCTTTCAAAATGCTGTACATGATGCACATAAAAATAAACATTTCTCTTTTGAAAGTATCCTCATGGAAAATCACAAAATAAACACGCTTAAAGCATAAATAAACTCGAAAATCATTCTCCGGAGTCAAACTGAATCATTGGTAAAAATTTCATAAGCTCAACAAACAATTCTTCAAAGAATTGACTTCAAAGAATTTACTTTCACGCACCTTTGGCAATTGTTTGCTTTTCGGGAAAAGAGAAATGAAAATTCGCTCTTTGCTCGACAAAAAGAAGCAAAAACGATGAAAAATCATTTGAGTTATCAGAGATTTTTCAAGTGATCTCACTTTGAGATGGAATCTACGCATTTTTCTTGGTGATTGATTGAATTTTATCCGCAAAACGGCTTTAAATTTGGCTTTTCCACTTTAAATTTGGCTTTCTCACTTTAAATTTGGCTTATAGTTCCTTTATCGTTCCTTTATAGTTCCTCTATAGTTCCTTTATATTTCCTCTATAGTTCCTTTATAGTTCCTTTATAGTTCCTTTATATTTCCTCTATAGTTCCTCTATAGTTCCTCTATAGTTCCTTTATATTTCCTCTATATTTCCTTTATAGTTCCTTTATAGTTCCTCTATAGTTCCTTTATAGTTCCTTTATAGTTCCTTTATAGTTCCTCTATAGTTCCTCTATATTTCCTCTATAGTTCCTTTATAGTTCCTCTATAGTTCCTTTATAGTTCCTTTATAGTTCCTTTATAGTTCCTCTATAGTTCCTTTATATTTCCTCTATTCTTCCTTTATAGTTCCTATTTAACATATTTAACAAAACCATTTGAATTTAACAAAAGCATTTGAAATCAGTGATCTACCAAGCTTTGATCGGTTTTCTTATGGGAATTTTTAAACTGATTCAGAGTTTTCTCAAAATTGCTTGCTCAATTGATTACCGGAGCTCTTGCTTGCATTTTAGCATTGATTTCTAGAATTTATTTTTGTTTAACTCATTCAATATTTAGTGGCAATACTCATTTCCTCAAGCACATGCATTGAAGTATCAATATTTACAAATATTCACTATTTCCCCTCAAAATGCTCACCAAATCCATTTCTTTACTATTTTTCTCAACCCTTTTCAGATCAATTTTCGCACTCCAAGAACGCGATAAGGTTTGCAAATAAACAACAAAGATCTTTGAGTTTATATGTCGTAGCCGATTATGAATTAAATTTTTTGGCAAATCTTTCTAGTAGAGCAACCCTTTAATGTATGAGGACAATATTATATCATCTTGTAGCGAATTGAATTCTGCGTCGATTGGTACCAAATTTGTGAGTTTAGGTTAAAAATTGCCGGCGCTACAACGCGTTTCATTCAAAATCGGCGGGACCCCCGTAGCCGATTATGAATGAGTGGGTCTAGGAGCGTCCAACCATCAAGTATTTGGGTCCAGGAGCGTCCAACCATCAAGTATTTAGTAACATTCAACGCAGAATCATTAATAATTATGCCAAATTTTTTAAATTAGAAAGATTGGATAAAAAGAAAAAAAAATTAGAGCAAAAAAACTGTTTGTTCAAGAGGAAACTTTGAAGCCCCATAATTTGTGTTCTTTTTATCCAATCTTGTTAATTTTAAAAATTTAACATAATTATCAATGATTCTGCGTTGAATGATACCAAATACTTGATGGTTGGACGCTCCTAGATCCACTCATTCATAATCGGCTGAAATTCATAATCCGTTACGACATATAAATTTCCAGATCTCATCACTACCAAATCTCCAATTCACACCAAAGTTTGAGCAATACTCCGGATATCTCGATGAGAAATTATTTTATTGGTTGGCTTTCATTTAGCTGATTGAGATTTCCAATCAATTTACAGGTATTTCACTTCACAATCTGCAGAAGCTGACAATAATTTGATCATTTTCTTGAAAGGAGAGCTTGGTTGCTCACCGATTGCCTCGATTTTCAAAGAATTCGGCCCATATCGAATCGGCAAAAATGGTGTTGAGGAGAATGTTTATTCGTGGACAAAAGTGAGGAGATTCATATTTGACTTTTGCTTTCTTTTGCTTTCTTTTGCTTTTGCTGGTTGACTTGAATTGAATGCTGAATTGATTTTGATTTGAAACGTAAATTGTCGGAAATCGTTTCGGCTTCAAGACCTGAGCCAGAAGCCTGACCTTCAGAGCCAGGAGCCAGGAGCTGAGCCAGGAGCCTGACCTTCAGAGCCAGGAGCCAGGAGCCTGACCTTCAGAGCCAGGAGCCAGGAGCTGAGCCAGGAGCCTGACCTTCAGAGCCAGGAGCCAGGAGCTGAGCCAGGAGCCAGGAGCTGAGCCAGAAGCATGACCTTCAGAGCCAGGAGCCAGGAGCTGAGCCAGGAGCCTGACCTTCAGAGCCAGGAGCCAGGAGCTGAGCCAGGAGCCAGGAGCTGAGCCAGAAGCATGACCTTCAGAGCCAGGAGCCAGGAGCTGAGCCAGGAGCCTGACCTTCAGAGCCAGGAGCCAGGAGCTGAGCCAGGAACCAGGAGCTGAGCCAGGAGCCTGACCCACAAAACCCAAGCCCAAACCCAGCTTCTGGTCTAGCTTCTTTAAATGTAGCGGATCATATGCTAGTAGCTGCATATTTCCATTCTTTTAAAGAGTTTATAGCATGCCTTTTCGTTAAACACTTGTACTCATAAGTTTTTCAATTAGAATTCTATTTTTTGAAATACCTAACCACTCGCAAATGCAAATGCAAAGTGCTGGCATGAAAATTTGTCGTTTTTTTTAGCTCGGTCATTTACTCTTTATCGATTTGCCAACTGGGAGCGGGTTCTCTCAAAATATCACCACATTCACAAATGCTGAGGTATAAATTAAATTTTATGAACGTGAAACAACGGAATTCGGCTTTGAATCCCATTTTCTCAAAGCACTCACTGCACGTCCACTTTTTAGACATCCAAACTGCTTTTCAACTTATTGCAAAACTTTTTGACAACTTACAATTTGAAAGAGAAAAGTGAGTTCTGTCGAAATTATTGGGTTGTCCAGTTATGAATGTGCGTTTTTTACTATTTTGTCAATTTCTCAAGATACCGAAATCAAGAAAAAGATTTATATGAGTATTATTCGAAAGCTGAAGATCTCCTCTACATTTTGGAATAAAAAAGTTTTTGAATTTGTTCAGCTTTTGGGCAAATTGACTGCACAGAAGAAGAGGTGGCCAAAAAATGGAAGGGTGCCTTTGGATCAAGTTTTGGCTCCGCTCAAATTGAGTTAACCGTTTGATTTTTGACCAATAGATATATCAATACAACTTTTTTTAAAATATAACAATTTCAGAGCATCTTTACTTTTCTTTTCTTTTCTGGGCGGTAATTTTACACCATAAAACTTGAGGAATAGCTAAGCTGGAATCGGTTTTTTTTTCGGAAACGACCTCTCCATTTGTGCAGTCAATTTCCCAAAAAGTTGAATGAATTCAAAAACTTTTTTATTCCAAAATGTAGAGGAGATCTTCAGCTTTCGAATGATATATAACACTCATATACATCTGTTCGATATCTTGAGAAATTTACAAAATAGTAAAAACGCGCATTCATAACTGGACAACCCAATACATTTCTGTCTTTTGAAAATCGATTTTCAACAAATTTCAGAAATATTTTTGGTGTCCGGTGAATATTCATCGGAAATCGTTTCTTTAATGGCTCTTGACTATTTGGATTCAATCAAACAACAACAAAACTCATATGAGGACTTTCGTTTGAAAGTATTTTATGTAATTTGACAATTTATAGAACTCAAGAAATTTCAGGGCTTGATTTTTATCGGAATTTGGAATGAGGTTGTCCAATTCAACAGCTTGATCGATTTTGCTTATGCAAAGGGTTTTACGGGAAAGAGGTAAGAAATGAAATCTGGCTATTGACACATCTGGCAAACCTACTGAGAGATTAGTGATGGATACATTTTATTGAATAGTTAGACACAAGATTACTTCAGGCCTTAGCCGAGCTCAAGTCCTCAAGTCCTAAAGTTTTCTGGTTGGCTTGGTCAGGTTAGCCTAAGCCAAAAGCCAGGGTCAGAGTTAGAAGCCAGGTCTTGACCCTGGCTGACCCTGACCCTGGCTTTTGACCTTGTCTGACACGACCATTGTTCAGTGGCTGGCTTCAAGACCTGAGACAGGAGCCTGACCCACACAACCCTAGCCCAAACCCAGCTTCTGGCCTAGCTTCTTTAAATCTGGCTTTTGGCCTTGTCCGGCACGACCGTTGTTCAGTGGCTGGCTTTAGCCAAGACCTGGGCCAGAAGCCTGACCTATACAACCCAAACCCAAACCCAGCTTCTGGTCTAGCTTCTTTAAATCTAGCGGATCAGATGCTAGTAGGAGACATGAGCCACTTAGAAGCAGGTTTACAAAAAAAGTGTTCAGGCTTTGTTTGCACTGTTAGTAGGACTATTAGTATGACACAAAGCACAACTTTTTCAAATCAACTCATCATTTCAAATCATCAAACGCTTTCACAACATTTTTAGAGACTATCAGCATCTTCTTGATCAATGTCCAGCCTGTAATCAGAGTCGATCATCCGATTGTGATTATTTAAATTCGCCCATGCAATCTTGTCAAGAAACGGCCAAAAAATTGAATGCTGATCTAATCGATTTGGGGTAAATTTGAAAAAGTGATAAAAATAAAGAAATTTCCAGAATTGACAAGTACAATATGTACGGTGATTGCTACAAAATCTCAGTGAATGGCGATGAAGTCTATCCAGAGAATGTGAAGGTTAGAAAAGCTGCTTATCCAAAATATTTCTTCCAGAATTTCCGTGATTCATCGGATCAATTGAATGGAAATGAATGTGGAGTCGATGATTTGATTGAAGAGTATTTGAATCGAAATGATGTGTTTCAAGCTTTACGAGTCGATCTGATGAAAAACAACAATCAACCGTTCAAAATTTGCAGGTATTCTTGAAACTTTCGCAACAAAGAATAAAGAACCAAACTTTTTGTGAGCTATTTTCTTGTTGCAAGCAAGAATATTTATAATAAGTTAGCTTCTTACATTCCCGCGTTGTTTGGTTGCCCAAGCCCTTTATTCGTCTTAAATACCCGCTTTTATTTAACCCATTAACGATGAGCAGGCGTATGGGGCAGTAACCAGCGTTTAAAAAGTCTTTTTTTATGAAAATTAAATTAATTAATAAGAACATAAAAAAGCACTAATAACAACATTATTCTTCATTCTCACTTGATTAAATGTCATCCACTCTTAAATCCGAGGTCGTTTCATCTGCGGCGTACAAGTGAGCATAATTTCCAATTTCTCTCTGCTGAGCAATGAACATTATGAAATCGACAAGCTTTTCCTCATAAATGTTCGGAGGCTTTTGGCACCGTTGGCTTTTGGCTTTTGGCACCTCGTTGTAGGTCTCATTGTTGTAGCATCACCCATCATCTAAAAAAAATGGTACTTTTCCGTTATACCTCCGTCAGTTTTTAGATCAAAAAAATGATCAAATAATCAGATAATAAAAAATAATAGATAATAATAGATAGATAGATAAAAAAATCGGGGGGTGGGGGTATAACGGAAATGTGGAGGTGGCCGAGGTATAACGGAAAAGTACCAAAAAAGAAATTATTAATACAAGTTGTAAAAAAATACAAAAAAAGAAGTGCTATCGCATGAAATTATCATATTTTTCCCTTATTGAGTAAATTCCCTCATTCTTTTCCCGTATTTGAGTACGTCCACTTTCGCGCAGAATAGAAAACAGGGTACCTCGAATAAAAGGCCGATATTCGAGACAGTCTTATAATCGAAGCCGATCTTCCATTCGAGTAAAAGTACCCATTTTCATTTAACCCATTAACGGTGAGCAGGCGTATGTGGCAGACTTGTCCAATCTGCGAAGTTAAGCGACATCGGCAACAGCTAGTCACTGGTTCGAGTTCTTTTAGAGTCTTTGTTTTTTTATTTAAGGCCTAGGCTTTGATTTCAGGCTTTAACTTCCTTTTACCAAAAACCTAACCAATTTTCCAACCTAACCAACCAACCAACCAACCAACCAACCAACCAACCAACCAACCAACCAATCAAAAAGACTAGAATTTTTCATTTCATCCGCAAGAAATCAGTAACTTTAACTGATCTTTCTTTAGAAATGTATCCGAATATCAAGCTGATTACTCATTCAAGACGAATCTCCCCTACATTCTATCACATTTTATTTACCGACAAAATGACATGAAGGTATTTTTAGAATAGAATTATAGAATCGATCAAAAATCTAGATTTTGATCCTGAATGGTGATGTTGATCTAGTCTACAATCACATTGGAGTTGAGCGCTTTCTCAATGGAATAAATGGAGTGAAAGTAAAAATTTTTCCACAAACAGTTTCAACATTTTGCAGATCACTTCAAATTCTGAGCAATGGCTGTTCAACTTTGATTCGAATGCTTATAAAGCGACCACTGGTGGATATGTGACAAAATATGAGAACAATTTGGATTTCTCAACAATCAAAGTATGATAAAAAGCTGAATGGATTGTACGAGTTGACTTTTTTCCAATTTAATTACCTACCTACTTTTTATTTGCATTGTGCATTGTGGTAACTTTTATCAAAAGCATCGATTCAGTTACCCAAATTTATCTAAATGAGATTTATATTGAATCAATTTTTGTATTGTAAACGTTTCCATTCAACAATGAGCGCTTTTACTATATGAAACCTTTTTCAGGGTGCAGGTCATTGGATCGGTTTAGATCGACCAATGCAATCCCTGCAAATCATGTACAATTTCATGAATGATCAAAATTACAGGTTCGCCAAAATAAACAACAAAAAGATCTCTACTTTAGCACAGATATCTCCAAGATTGATCTAAAACCAGCAAAGATTCTTTCAAAGTCAGCGATAAACTTGAAAACGATGACCAGAACAAGAACAACATCGAACAAAATTGAGGCATCAACGAGAAAGGTTGGCTTTGATAACACTTGAGTTCTTCATGCAAAGTTCTAGTCCTTTTAAAGAAAAATTGGCTCTTTGACGGGAATCTTGGGCTTTTTAATCCTTTTGAATTTCCACCAAGAGTCAATAAATTTGTTGATGTAATAAACAAACATAGAAAAAACATAGCTATAGCATAACTCTTTTAAAGGAGGGTTCTGAATTAAGCCTGGTTCTCAATAAAACCAAATTATCGGCAGGTAGGCGTAGTAATATAAATAGACTTATGCTTACTAAATATTATTTAACCCATTCGAAATTTCTGCAGCGAATAATCGCTGCAACAAAAACTCAGGAACGGACCGCTGCAGCGATTATTCGCTGCAGCGCTAATTGAGCTATTTTCATTCAATTAATTGCTTTTTTTTTGCTGTTTTTCAGCATTACATGTATATTGCGATTGTAGCAGATCTACAAATTACGTGGGCAAAAAAGATGTTTCATATTTACCCGGAATCAATACAGTCTCTGGCTTTGCATTGAAATGTTCCATAATAGCTCTAATCTTATAAAGCCGATCTCCTGCAGGATCCAGTTCATAATCACAAAAACGCAGGTTTCGAAGAATGGATTCAAATTTTGCTCTTGACATGATGTGGGAAATGTGGGAAAATCCTCCTAATCCAGGCCTGCTACTCCAGTAGTCACGAATCCTCGGTAATTTGACGATTCCCATTTGAAGCCAGGAAGAGCTTGAAAGATTTTGCATCGAAATCCTGCCAGTTTGTTTTCCTTTTTCCATGTTTATTAGATTCGCCTACTAAAATATTGTCGTCGATAAAATAAGGACAATAATCGATAGGATCTTGAAAAGTACTGAAGTCAAATCCAAATCGTTCTTCATCAAAAATAAATGGTGTAGGAGACTCTCTTACATCTTTCCAACCATAAATAAACTGCTTCGGAGTCAAAAATGTCAAAAAAGGGCTTGGTCCGTAGACGAAAAAAAAGAAAAAACGCTGCGGTTTCGAATGGGTTAAAAGATGCGAATCTTCTCTTCAAGAAAGGCTTATAAGTTTTACTGATAAGTTTTGCTGATAAGTCAACTTATTTAAAACCCTAAAAAATAGTAAAATAGTTTTTGATAGTCAAACAAAAAAGCAGAAAAGTAAGCAGTGAAGGGATTCGTACTAGGGGCAAAAAGTTTTGAACGTGACCACACTAACCATTAGGCCATCAGAGCACAGTTAGGGAATGATGAGAAAAGGTTGTAAACCAAATTTAGCATGTCAAATATCATGCGTTACAGCAGTATTCCGGAAAAACTCAAAGCAGATTCAGAATTCTTGATGAAAACTCTATTAGATGGGCCAGGGCTTATGTGAAAACTCGGTCTTGACTCGACAGCATTCCCTAGTAAAAGCGAGGTGAACGACTGAGCGATCTTTCGCGTTTCTTGACTATGCTCAATTTTTTGGGCGAAATCTTTGCCTTAGATTTGGTACTATTTTTCCTACAAATCCCAAACGCTTTTAAACCAAAAATAGCCAAAAATAGACACTCCTAAACTGATTTCCTCTTTTAATACCCGAGAAATGATAAACCGATTTACTTCATCGAAAAACTATATTACTACACCGACCTGCCAACAATTTTGTCTTATCGAGAATCGGTTCTAATCTTCGGACAATTCGGACACCACCTTTAAGGAACAAGATTTGATCACAAGTCTTCCTGGTGCCACTCTATCGTCAAAGTTTGCCCAATACAGCGGCTACCTCAACGGATTGGGAAAACACAAGTTGCACTATTGGTAAGTAAAGTAAATTGAAGAATTATTACTGAAGAATTACCATAAGATTCAGGTTCGTTTCCTCAATCTCGAACCCCGATTCATCTCCTCTTCTCCTTTGGCTGAATGGCGGTCCGGGTGACTCTTCAATGTACGGAATGTTCTATGAGAATGGGCCATATCTTTTGAATCCTGATGGAAAAACGCTCAGAGAAAACCCGGTTTCTTGGAATAAAGTGTGAAAAGACAAGGTTTTATTTGCATATTTTCCTTCCAGTTTGTCAACATTTTGTATATCGAATCACCGGTTGGAGTGGGGTACTCATATTCCGATGATCCGAATGAAAATGCGACTCTAAGTGATGACAATGTGGGTTGTTTTTGAAGGAATTCTAATCACAACTGTTTGCAGCTAAATTGATTTGAAGATTTTGTAGATTTTTGACAACTTGGTAACAGATTTCATTTCTTTTCTTTTCATTTCTTTTCTTTAAGTCAATGGAGGAAAACTACGCGGCTCTGTCCGATTTTGTCAACAATATCTTTCCCGAATTTCAACAACGAGATCTTTACGTGATTGGTGAAAGTCATGGTGGAGTTTATGTGCCAATGTTGAGCTCAAAGATCATCGATGGAGTACAAAGGGGAGAGTTGCCTGTAAAGTTCAAGGTTTGTTGGTGTACTATTGAGTAAAGCTTGTTGTAAAGCTTGTTTTACATTCTCTCTCTCTAGAATCTATAATATTAGCTTGGTAAATATGAAAGGTTATTTTTTACAAAAAATATTGCCCTGTCGTTACAAAGAACATTCGCTGTCTAGAATTTTTCTCAATAATATGTCAAAATGTGCTCATGTTTTTTTGCAAAAACTTTTTTGTTTTGAATAATATTTGTATTGTTTCAGCTCGGCAAAGATGGATGACCAAAAATTTAAAATCAGGACCGCCATTTTCTTTGAATTCAAGTTAAACAAGAAAGCTACGGAATGCCATTTGTACTGTTTTTGGAGAAACTGCTCTTACTTACAAACAATGTTGTGTTTGGTACGATCGCTTCAAAAAAAAAAACGAGTCATTGGAAGATGCACCACATAGAAAGATTACTTTGGACGATCAGCTGTTACTGAACGAGGTTGACTTGGATCCATCGCAAAAGTGTAGAAAATTAGCAGAAAAGTTCGGATGCACTCATGTTACCATTTACACGTTCTTGGGAAATCATATCGAAGCGGGAAATGGCTCCCCCACGACCTCACTGATGCCCACAAAGTCACACGAGTCACCTTGAGCTCTGTTCTTCTACGTAAAGCTAGCCATCGTGACTTTTGGAAGTATTTTTTGACATCTGATGAGACTTGGCTTCCGTATGAAAACATTCAACTCTATGGAAAGTGGCTGAGTTCGAAGCAGACCTCTCATCCTATCCCGAAGCCTCCCAAAAAGTTATGCTTTGTGTGTGGTGGAATGCTAAAGGATTGGCTCATTTTGAAATATTAGATAAAGGAGACACTGTTGACGGAAGACTTTATGCAGAACAAATGGGTCGAGTCGATCCAGCATTGAGGAAAAAGAGGATCGATCCATCGAAGGTCAGATTTCTTCACGACAATGCTAGGCCTCACATTTCAAAGATCGTCCAAGAACAAATCGATAAGTTGAGCTGGAAACTTCTTCCACACCCACCATACAGCCCTGATCTAGCCCCATCGGATTACCATCTCTTTCGGTCAATGAAACAAGCAGTTTCTGGACAGCAGTTCAAACAAAAGCAGGACATCGAAAATTGGGTTGCCAACTATTTTGTCTCTAAAAATCTTCAATTTTACAAGGACGGTATTCGTGATTTGGGGCAACGTTGGAAAGAAGTTATTAATGCTCGTGGTGAACACATTTGATTTTGAAAGTGTTTAAATAAATTTTTCTGTTATGTTAAAAATGATCAAAAAAATAACCTTTCATATTTACCAAGCTAATATTAAAGTAAAGATGGATGGATGAATGGAAAAGAATTTGGAATTGAGGAGGAATTAAACCCTCTTTATTGAAACTAAGAGCTTTATTTTGCGTGAAAAATCAAAATTAGCACTTGTCAAAAATGCTGTAAAGTCGGGGTTTTTCTATTTTTTCCAATTTTGACAACTTTTCTTTGCACTTCCGAAAATGTTCAAAAACAAAAGCCCTTCAAAATCTCTTAAAAGCCATTTTGTTGAGAAAAGAAATTTCTTTTAAATGATACAAACTAGATCTCATTTGGTTCAGCCATCAGTTTTTGAACCCAATTTTACCAAAAAGCCCCATTTTTTAGTTTACAATCTTTTAGTCTGTCAATTCTGTCTGTCCTTTTAGTCTGTCAACAATGAGCATTCAAAAATTCTAGGGAATGGCCACAGCAAACGGCCTGATCGACTACAGTCACAATATCAACAGTATGATGCATATTTTGTACTTTCACGGATTAATGCCTTTTAGGTATAACGATATATAATAATATAAAGAGTTCAAGCTTTAAAGCAAGATTTCCAGTGCTTACTCGAATCTCCTCGATACTTGCTGTCCGGTTAGATCAAACGAATTTGAGTGCAAATTCTCGGAACATATCGATTGGCCGACTTTCCCGACTCCAAAATACCAAAATGATTCCTGTTTCGATACGGTTTTGAGGAAATTTTTGTTTAAGTATCGATTTAGCTCTTTTAGCTCGTTTCTCTGGTGCTGAAGTATTATCTTGGATCACCGAATAATGGATATCAAATCTATCAGGATTGTTATCAACAGCCGGTGAAACCTGGTGTACAGGTACAGTGAAGGAAAGAGAGGGTTTTCGGTGCACCAAAAATAGAATGCTTTTGATTTTTGAGCACAAAGTACACTGTGATAATCAAAAGTGGGTACAAAAGCACAAAAGTTGGTAATCAAAAGTTGAGTAAACTTCTTGAAAGCATAACTTTTAGAACAACACATATCCCCTTTCATCTAATGATCCTTTTTTGGGATACTGGTGCTTTATGGATGATTCATTGAGGACTTACATGAGACAAAGTGAGCTTCGAGAAGCACTGCATATTCCAAAGGATCTCCCGGATTGGCAAAGTACAAGGTTATTTTTGTCAGACTTATTTGGATCAATAAAATCACATTCTGTAAAAGCTCTGCATTTTAGCATTGAAGACAAATACACGAAGCAACGCTTCACCATGAGACCGTACTTCGATAAGGCGATAGAAGCGAAGGTCAAGGTATGTTTGAAGGAAAAGATGACTTCGAGATTCGGCTCAAAATAGCAATGTCTCATTACATTCCAGAGTCTAATTACATTCTAGAGTCTAATCACATTCTAGAGTCTAATTACATTCTAGAGTCTAATCTATAATGGTGACACCGATCTCCATTGTAATCATTTGGGCGCTGAATGGTTCGCCGATGAAGTTGCTACAGGAAACAATCTTCCAGTGAGAATTACTTTTGCTGGGTTGTTCACCATTTTCCGGGTGCTAGTCAGGCTTCTGACTTTGCCTGGACTGAATTGGCGCACAAAAAGTACTGCTTTACCTGGCTTACTGGCTCTGGGCTCAGTTGTAGCTTCCGTAAAAGTGTAGTGTAAAAAGTGTAAAAAGAGTAGTTTGAGTGTAAAAAGTACAGGTTGAGAATACTTTAAACAAATAAATATTCAGGTGAAACAATCGAGAACCGAATGGTACTATCAACTTGATCGAGAATATCAGAAACGAATGGCTGGATATCAGATAAAATATGGGGATTATTTGGATGTGATCACAATAAAGGTGAGCTCTTGTCGTTAGCCAAAGATTCAAAGACAAAGCCAAGAATAACAAGTGACGTAAAAAAACAAAGTATCTTGTTCAGGGAGCAGGTCATGTCTCAGGCGCCGATCGGCCAGCCCAACTCTTCCAGTTGATCTATAATTTTGTGAATGGAAACGACTACAGTACACCTGTCATTGTTGATCCAGTTGATCCAACTTCGACACCGAAAGCTGCCACTCATTCACTATTTTTCTTTGCACTCTTTGTGATCTTTTTCTATCACGGGTATTATGCATAAATTTTCAGCTTTAGCCTTAAACTCTAGCCTTCAGCTTTAGCCTTCAGCTTTAGCTTTCAGCTTTAGCTTTCAACTCTAGCCTTCAGCTTTAGCCTTCAGCTTTAGCCTTCAGCTTTAGCCTTCAGCTCTAGCCTTCAGCTCTAGCCTTCAACTTTAGCCTTCAGCTTTAGCCTTCAGCTTTAGCCTTCAGCTTTAGCCTTCAGCTTTATCCTTCAGCTTTAGCCTTCCGCTTTAAGTACAAATAAACTATTCAAAAAGCTACAAAGTTGAAATTAGACTTGCATTTGAGTTAAGGATTAAATATTTCTTTAAAAAGATAAAAAATGCTTACTACAAAGAACGTATAAAGAACGATTACAATTTCCTATTGTTAGCAATCCCCATGGTCTGATCTGGAATCTGGAAAGCTAATGAGAACACTCAACAAACGAGCACAGAATCTCAGATTTAAGCACAAACATATCGCTTGACTTGATTTATATTTCAAAGCTTTTATTCTTTTATCTTTTATCTTTTATCTTTTATCAAAAAGCTTTTATTCTTTTGGTATTCTTTTGCTTTCTTTTATTGCTAAGGGAAGTTTTGTTGTTACTGAATGGGAATATAGTAACTTGTAGAAAACTGCCCGAAGATTACCCTCATTTTGATAAAGTTTAAAACCGTAAAACCCTAAAAAAGTGTTGGTTTTGGAGCATCCCTGCTCTGGATATGAATTGTATAATTATGATACTTGGCATAATGACCACTATAACGATTTTACTAGAATTTACTTTATTATAAGACAAACTTTATTCGAATGGTACTTTGAAAGCGATTCCCGACGAATTGCTGGCTTTTAAGCAAGGTTTGAAGTATTAACGGTCAATGTTTGACGTGGTAACGGTCAAGGCTTGCAAAGTTGATTTGCTGGAAAATTTACGCAAAAATTTGTAGAAATCGGGTAAAGAAATACACTTTTGAAGATTTGAAGCAAAAATTTCTCTATTAGGCTGTCCAGAAAGTCTTTTCGTTCCTTTTCATACTTCCCTTTAAAACCAACAAATGCACCAATTGAACTACAGCTTGTTTCATTAGAAAAGCTAATTATTTTTCTGCAAAATAACATTAAAAACGGGTTTAAAATGTCTTATATCAGGATTTTTTAGGAGCGTGAAGTCGGGTAGTGAAAAAGGGATGATGTTTAGACAGTTTGGCTAAGGAAACCTATGTTTGTGTCAATAGATAAAAGATAGAGCATAAAAAGTTAGATGTATAGCCAAGGTTTCAGAGAAATTGATTCAACCAATTAGAGGCTTTGATCGATTTTTATGAAAAACACATTTCCACTCTTGAATTTGCTTGAAAGTGAACCCAAATTGAAAGTGAACCCATTTTTGAAATGGAGCTCACTTTAGCAGCAAGAAACAGGACTTGAACAGGCAAAAACAGGGAGAAAACAGGGCTGGACCGAGGCCCGATCTTTCAGGCCAAGCCACTTAATTTAAGGCCATTAGTTAACGCTTTGCTAACCATTGCTTTTGGTTTATTAGCTCTGGAGAGCTCTGGAGAGAAAACTCTAGTATTGCCACTACAATTCCCTTTGAATCGTGCGTAAAGCAAACAAAGAGTCAAATCATTTCGTCTATCATTAATACTCATGTGATGTGTGATGAGCTTTTTATGCTTTTAATGTTTTACGAGGCGCTCAAATTCTCACTCCTTTTCCCTCCATTTTCTCGTCACCGATTTGCCTAGGGAACATGAAATTCTCCCCGTGTCGAGTGGTCATCGTAAAATGCCCGTGATATTCACCCCAATTTTTCTCTCTAATCGTGGAATTCTTTTAATACAGGCTTTTGGAATGAAATGGCCACTGGGTGAAGAGGGAAATCTCCTTATCAAAACTACTATCACTTTTTCGGGAGCGGCTCACCCCGGGAAAAGAAAATTACAACGAAAAACTGTCGCTTTCAAATTAGTCTTGAAAAATGGGCAAAAAATCGGCAAACTTTGGTTCTTTTCCTTTGATTTTCTCTTAAAACTATTGAAATCTTTCAGCATAAACGTTTTTTGGAGCTACACTACTGGACAATGATTGAATGATTGACAATGACAATGATATCATATTTGAAAAAAGATCGTCACTTTCGCGCGTCTGTAACTCCCTTGTCTTTACCGTATTTCTAAATATTAATATTACCATTGTGTAGCCCTTGAAAAGAGCTTTCAGAAAATGTATAACACTAATAGTTTAAACTCAAAGACAAGGGAGTTACAGACGCGCGAAAGTGACGATCGTTTTTCAAATATCATATTTCATTGTCCAGTACTGTATGTAGCTAAGCTAAGCTAAGCTAAGCTAAGCTAAGCTAAGCTAAGCTAGGCTAGGCTAAGCTAGGCTAGGCTAAGCTAGGCTAAGCTAAGCCAAGCTAAGCTAGGCTAAGCTAAGCCAAGCTAAGCTAAGCTAAGCTAAGCCAAGCTAAGCTAAGCTAAGCCAAGCTAAGCTAAGCTAGGCTAAGCTAAACTAGGCTAAGCTAGGCTAAGCTAAGCTAAGCTAAGCCAAGCTAGGCTAAGTTTATGTAGTTTAAATGTCTTGTAAACTCACATTATGGTAGTTCAGTCAAATTCTCTAAATTTTGACTGTATTTCTGGAGATTTCTCGATAAACTAAATGCATGCTTTTTATTTTCCAGTGCTGTTGATGATACTTCGAATAATATCACTCCTTTTTGGGCTCTTTTTGATCTCAACATGTCAGGAGACGCCAAGAGCTGCGGCTGATCGGGTAAGTGAAGGAATTGGGGGAACTTTTTTGAATGATGACTCGGCTAGCTACCATAGATATCCAGATTTGCTACCATAGATAGCCAGATACGATAGATATCCAGATTTCCTCTTCAATGAATCCATTGGTTACTGTAAAATTGAGTGGGTTACGGTAACTGTGTCGCGCTTTAAAGCCTATCCGAGTCGACATTCAGAAGAGGTTTTCAATAAAAGAGTTGAGATCTCTCAAACCAAATGTCATTTTTAGATTCGATGGCTTCCCGGATCAACTTTTGTCGAAGATTTCACTCAATACTCCGGCTTTTTGAGCGCAAATGATACGCTGAATGGAGTGACGGCTCAGTTTCATTATTGGTAAGTTTACTCAAAGTTTACTCAAAGTTAAGTGCTCAAACTAAAAGGAACTAAAAGCCAAAAGACTACCAGCCAAAAGCCAAAAGCCTACCAGCCAAAAGAACAGAATAATCTATTCACAGGCTTGTGATGGCCAAACCATCTGTGCAAAACGCGCCATTGATCGTCTGGCTGAATGGAGGACCCGGATGTTCATCATTGAGTGGACTCTTTGTCGAGAATGGTCCATACCGACCGAGTCAAGATGGAAAGCAGCTGAATGAGAATGTTTATGCATGGAATCGGGTTTGTTTTGATTACATTATTGAAGCAGTGCTCGACCGAATGCTTTTGGGCAAAGGTTCATCAAAGTTCTGATGCCAAAACTCCCTTATCTCTCATCAGAGTCTAGAGAAAGGGCTAAAAATAAATTGAAAATGCTAGAAAGTTAGCCTGAAAATGCTAGAAAGTTGTTAGAATTTTAGAATTTTAGTTTTCCAATGTTTTATACTTGGAATCACCGGCTGGAGTTGGCTTCAATCCACAAACGAGTACGACGTGGGATGATGCAAAGGTAAACAATGAATCGAGTTAAATTAAATTAAATTAAAATTAAAATTGATGGCTTTCAATGTCCAACAAGATTTTCTTTAATTTATCTGAAAATGAAAAGGAAAACGGTGTCTACGCCTTGCGGAGAATACTCGCCAACTCTCATAGGCACCTCAAAAGTCGTAACAAGGTACCGGTAGGTGAACCTGCCGGTGGATCAATACTGTAAACGCCTCGCGTCACAGTGTGCTACGACACAGCTATAAGCAGCTAGAAACGCCCGACCGCTACTGTCGCGGCAACGGAAACCGTTGGTGTCTACGCCTTGCGGAGAATACTCGCCAACTCTATAGTTGGTCATCTCATAGGCCTGGCCTTGTTCGTTGTCGTCGACGACAGGGAAGACTTAATGACCGTTCGACTAGCGATGGTGCCAACGAAACGCAAATTTCACGAGAGCAATCTATCAAAACAGCAATCATAGCTGAAAATCACTTCTAGTGGTTCAAGACTGAATCGAGTTCATTGATGGCTTTCAATGTCCAACAAGATTTTCTTTGATTTATCTGAAAAGGCAACGTTTTTATCATAATGTCCTACAGTCAGTTTCCATTCGGCTCTGGTGTTTTCTAAAAGGCACCTATTGTAAAACTACCGTTTAAAACTTTAAAACCACCCTACTCAACCTGTCAATCATTCAATCACTCCATTTTTTGATATCATTCGATGAAAAGACCCAAGACTCAGCCAATGATACCGAAACTTTAATTGATTAGTTGATTGATTAATTGATTGATTAGTTGATTGATTGATTGATTAATTAATTGATTAATTGATTGATTAGTTGATTGATTAATTGGTTGTTGGATTACGATTTACGGTTTTTGGAAATATTGCCGTTTAAAACGATTTCCCAGACGAATACCGGTGGACTCGATTTCCTAGACGATTACCGGTGGACTAGATTTCCTAGACGATTACCAGTGGACTTGATTTCCTAGACGAATACCGGTGGACTCGATTTCCTAGACGATTACCGGTGGACTCGATTTCCTAGACGATTACCGGTGGACTCGATTTCATAGACGATTACCGGTGGACTTGATTTCCTAGACGATTACCGGTGGACTCGATTTCCATAGACGATTACCGGTGGACTCGATTTCCTAAACGAATACCGGTGGACTCGTTTTCCTAGACGAATACCGGTGGACTCGATCTCCCAAGATTCCCCAATCCTTTAGGTTGCTCAAGCCAACTACTTTGCGCTCAATGATTTCTTCACCGTTTATCCAGATGCCGGCAAAAATGGTTTAGAACTAAAGAATATTTCAAAAAAATTCAATTCTCCAGGTGTTTTCCTGTCCGGTGAAGGCTATGCATCGGTCTACGTAACAACGCTCGGAAATGTCATTGCTGACAATATTTCGGCTGGAAAGAATACAATCAATTTACAAGTTAAACAGCAACCATTTACCCAAACATTGCTTTCATTTAGGGAATTCTGATTGGAAACGGATTGTTATCCATTCGAAAGCACTACAATGCGATGATTGAGTTCTCGTACGCAAAGGGGATGAATTTTAAAGAGTTTGTCTTTCAACTTATGCACTCAAACTCAAATTTGTTAGCACAGCTGATATTTAGATGTTGTTATAGTGCATTTAATGTAAGTGATTGGAGATATTCAGCTCATCAATTCTTTAAACCAAAGCAACTGAATACATTGAGTAGGGATGTTTTAACCGGACCCAGCCCAAGAAGGCGAAGCAAGGCCAGGTCAAGTAGCCAGGTCAAGTAGCCAGGTCAAGTAACCAGGTCAAGTAGTCGGGTCAAGTAGCCAGGTCAAGTAGTCAGGTCAAGTAGCCAGATCTAGATCTGGTTTAGGACCCTTTTGTGACCCACAATGAAGCCAAACCAGCTCTTGGTTTGACCCTGTATTTCTAGTATTAAAAAGATTCAAAAATCATGGTTATATACCTACTTTTTTTATTGCACTCCTTTAATAAGTGTCCTTTAATTTAATAAGTAATTTAATAAGTGGCTTAAAGAAAATTAGAGCTGAAAGAAACATCTAGCTTAATTGATAGCCTGACAGAGCTTGTGACAGACAGCCTGACAGACAGCCTGATTGCTAGTGATAAAGTTTTGTGGTTATTCTATTCAAAATGATTATTCTTCGTTTGTCCTGCCAAGGAGCACCTGCGAAATATGTTTTGTTCATTGCTGACTTAGCACTAGGTACTTTAGAATTAGAAAAAGAAAAAGTACTTTAGAATACCTTGATTAAGGATGTTTTAACCGGACCCAGTCCAAGAAGGCAAAGCAAGGCCTTCTTGGAGTAGCCAGATCCAGACCTGGAACTTTTTGTGACCCACAGTGAAGCTGGGTTAGGTCTTGGTCTGACCTGAAACTTTTTGTGACCCACAGTGAAGCCAGAACAGCTCTTGGTCTGATCCTGCTGGCTCGGAAGTCTTATCCTGTATCTTTAGGACCAAGAATCATGGTTATAGACCAATTTTATTGCACTCTTTTTCAGAGATTTCGACAACCTCACTGCAACATGTTGTGGAAATGATTCCTCTCCGATGAACTGCGATTACTACTCGTACGACTTTCAGAACTCGGACTGTGGGAAAATGGCCTACGCTTTTTACACAAAACTCCAGAAACCAGAGTAATTCCATTTTAAACGTAGTCTTGTCAACTAAAAAGAAGAAACGAATTCAAAAGTGACGATTCCCTTCCAGAGTTGATCCCTACAATATCTACCAAGAGTGTTATCAATTGGCCAAGAATCAAGCATCGGCTAACGAGTTTTATGGACTAGAGGTTCGATTGGAAATACTTAATTAAATTCAAATCCAATCCACTTCAGTTGGCTGCCAACTACAACTCCTCTGATCCATTTGATGGCTTTCCCTGTTTTGCCGAAGACGCGATCACAAATTATCTCCAACGAGCCGATGTGCAGAGTGAAATCCATGTATTGGCCGATCAACAAAAGCCTATTCAATGGCGATCTTGCTCGTGAGTTTTTTTTTTGAGTTCTTGATGGAAGGATTACACTTTTTGACGACCTCGACAGAGAAAGACTTGGCGCATCTAATACTAAGAACTAGATACTAAGAATCTTTAAGTTGAACAACCCAACACCAAGATATTTGATCCCAAAGTTAGATTGGCAAAAGGGGCAGGGCCAGAAAGACCAGAAAGACCCTGCCCCCTTTGGCATTGGCAATCCAACTTTGAACTCAAATATCTTCGTGTTGGGCTGTGCAATTTAAATAGTTTTTGTCCCAATCGACAGAGAAAGACTTGGCGCATCTAATGATATCAAGAATATTTAAACTGGACAGCCCAATGTCAAGATATTTGAGCCCAAAGTTAGATTTGCAAAAGGGGCCAGGTACCAGGTATAACATGTTGGCGAACTGAAAAATGATCGACTTCTTCGAGATTCAAGGGATAGAATTTTAGAATTCATTTGAGTTGGAGCCTCTTCCCAAGTAATTTGGCCAAAGATTACCGTACGTTTCTCAAGTTTTTAGCCTTCTGTTGATTGTGGGACATTTGATACGCGCTCCGCCCTTTTGCCAATGGCAATCCAACTTTGAACTCAAATTTCTTCGTATTGGGTTGTGCAATTTAAATAGTTTTTGTACTAATTGAAAGAGAAAGACTTGGCACATCTAATGGTATCAAGAATCTTTAAATTGAACAGCACAACACCAAGATATTTGAGCTCAAAGGTAGATTGGCAAAAGGGGCGGAGCCAGAAAGACGCCCCGCCCCCTTTGCCATGGCAATCCAACTTTAACCTCAAATTTCTTGGTGTTGGGCTATCCAATTGCAATAGTTTTTGTACCAATGGAGAGAGAAAGACTTGGCGCATTCAATGATATCAAGAATATTTAAACTGGACAGCCCAATGTCAAGATATTTGAGCCCAAAGTTAGATTTGCAAAAGGGGCGGAGCCAGAACGACCTTTGATACGCGCCCCGTCCCCTTTGCCATTGGCAATCCAACTTAAAGCTGAAATTTCTTGGTGTTGGGCTGTTCAATTTAAATAGTTTTTGTCCTTGATGGAAGGATTACACTTTTTGACGATCTATTAAAGTAAAACTTTGAAAGTAAAGTAAAGCTTTGAAGTAAAGCTTTGAAAGTAAAGTAAAGCTTTGAAGTAAAGCTTTGAAAGTAAAGTAAAGCTTTGAAGTAAAGCAAAACTTTGAAAGTAAAGCAAAACTTTTCTTTGTTGCTTTCTTTTCAAAGTTTCACCAGCGTTCGAATTTTTCACTTTTTCAGAACACTCACCAATTACGGACAACAACAAAGCGGAGACATCAGCATTGCATTGGGAAGACTCGTCAATTCGCTCATTTGGAGGCAAAATAATTTGAGGGTTTGTGTAAAGCGAACATTTTACAATTCTACAATTGAACTACATTTGAATACTTTCCCCAAAATCCCTTTCCAGCTTTTGCTCTACAACGGTGACTTGGATTTGTCATCGAATCACGTCGGCGCGCAGTGGTTCGTCGAGGCACTCAACCAGCAGGTGAAACTGAATAAAATTTGCAAAATTACATAAATAATTACCAAAATGTTTGATTTATTAGACAAAACCCTGATCCAATAATCCAATATCACCATTCCAACATTCCTGATCATTCCATCATTCCATTATTCTTGATCATTCCAGGCATTAACTAATGGAGGAGATTGGCGCTTTTCACTCAACGATTCGCTGTATGTCGGCTCGACCGGTGGCTATTATAAAAGTTTCGATCGTCAGATCACCTTTGCGACTATTAAAGTGAGTTTTTTTTTGCGGCATTTACATTTACAAAAATGAAGCTCTATTAAGCAAAAATGAAGCTTTTAGAACTTCTCTAGTATAAAAAGACTGTTTAAGGTAGATGAGGGGAATCATCTACTATAGATAAAAGGACAGTGTCCGTCTGTCTATCCGTCTGTCTCTACGGGCTTTTTCTCAGTCATCTTTGGGCCAAAAAAACTGAGATTTCTTTTAAAAAGTCTTAGGATATAATAGAGTTGTGCTTTTAAGCTTTAAGAATTTAAAAAGTCAAAATAGAGTGGCACTATGGGGGGTCGAACCTGGCTCGTGTGGGCCGTAGACAAGCGCGCTCCCGACGGAGCCAGGCCGTAGACAAGCGCGCTCCCGACGTGGCCAGGCCGTAGACAAGTGTGCTCCCGACGGGGCCAGGCCGTAGACAAGTGTGCTCCCGACGGAGCCAGGCCGTAGACAAGCGCGCTCCCGACAGGGCCAGGCCATAGACAAGCGCGCTCCCGACGGGGCCAGGCCGTAGACAAGCGCGCTCCCGACGGGGCCAGGCCGTAGACAAGTGTGCTCCCGACGGAGCCAGGCCGTAGACAAGCGCGCTCCCGACAGGGCCAGGCCATAGACAAGTGTGCTCCCGACGGCGCCAAGGCGATTATGCCAAAAACATCCCAAAGAAACCCACCGTTAGCCGGGTTTTGTTAGCTGGTAATTCATAAAGTCCACCCGAAACTTAATTCAACCATCGCTTTTCCTGAAAACTCAAGAATTCCTAGCAATCCTTGAGACCTTACCCTGCTTTTTCCATTTTTAACGTTTCCAGGGTGCCGGCCATTTCGTACCTCTCTCTCGACCCGCCCAAATTCTGCAACTCGTTCGCAACTTCGTCACCAACTCCACAATCGCGTAAATGACTTTGCAGAACAGAGTTTTCAGATGTATTTTTATAGACGAGATCTCAGCGATGTCTCACTGAAGGCGTCTCCACTTCGCAGCGAATATCGGCCGAAGGATGACGAGCCGACAAGGAGAAAAACCGCTGATCAAGTAATTGTCTTTCGTGTAATGTCTCTTAAACTCTAACGGCTGATAGTTTCTGAATGAAACTTGTCTTTTTCTTGCCTAAACCCATTGTTCAGGTTCATAACCTCCCCGGGGTCACCTGGGACATCGATTTTCGTCATTTTTCCGGCTACTTGAAAGGATCACCCACTCATTTCTATCACTATTGGTTCTTGGAGTCATCACAACCAACGAATACCCCGGTTGTCTTGTGGCTTGGCGGAGGACCGGGAAGCTCGGGAATCCAAGGGCAATTCTACGAGAATGGCCCATTCCGAGTGAATCGAGAAGGGCACACAATGTTTGAAAATATCTTCTCTTGGAATAAGGTGGGTTGATGAAGTTGATAAAGTTGGTGAAACTGAGCTTTTGCTTAAATTTCACTCTCAATTTTTGGTGAGCTAATATTGCGCTTCTGGGATTAAAGCGTGTCCCTTTTTTCTGTTTTTTCTAAATGTGTTCAACTCTAAAATCACCGTAACCCTGCTAGTAGTTGTTATTTAGTCTATCCAATTTACCAAAGCAACAGGAAGGTTATCGGACATTTGATACGCGCCCCACCCTTTTTGCCATTGGCAATCTAACTTTGGGATCAAATATCTTGGTATTGGGCTGTCCAGTTTAAATATTCTTGATATCATTGAATGCGCCAAGTCTTTCTCTCTCGATTGGTACAAAAACTATTGCAATTGGATAGCCCAACACCAAGAAATTTGAGGTTAAAGTTGGATTGCAATGGCAAAGGGGGGCGGGGCGTCTTTCTGGCTCCGCCCCTTTTGCCAATCTAACTTTGAGCGCAAATATCTTGGTGTTGTGCTGTTCAATTTAAAGATTCTTGATACCATTAGATGTGCCAAGTCTTTCTCTTTCAATTAGTACAAAGACTATTTAAATTGCACAACCCAATACGAAGAAATTTGAGTTCAAAGTTGGATTGCCATTGGCAAAAGGGCGGAGCGCGTATCAAATGTCCCACAATCAACAGAAAGGCTAAAAACTTGAGAAACAGTACGGTAATCTTTGGCCAAATTACTTGGGAAGAGGCTCCAACTCAAATGAATTCTAAAATTCTATCCCTTGAATCTCGAAGAAGTCGATCATTTTTCAGTTCGCCAACATGTTATACCTGGAATCACCACGTGGCGTTGGATGGTCCTATCAATCGAATGATGATCTCGATTACAGTTACACGAATAATGGAGTAATTTAAAGTCCCAATTCCCAGCAATAAACGTATTTCCAGACAGCATCCGACAACTTGAATGCGGTCATCGACTTCTTCGAGAACATTTTCCCCGAATACAAACAAAATGGTTTCTACATTTCGGGTGAAAGCTACGCCGGTGTGTACATTCCGATGTTGGCCGATGCGCTGATTCAAGCGATTCAATCGGGAAGAACTGATATCAATTTCAAGGTTGGAACAAAACTGTCTGTCTGTCCGTCTGTCTCTACAGGCTTTTTCTCAGCCATTTTTGAACCAAGCGATTAAATTATTGAGCCACAAATCCTTTATGGTTCAATAATTTAAAGTCATCTGTGCTTAAAATCTAAAGCATCCTTTTCGCATTAAGTCTCGTTTCGGATTCTCTTCAAATTACAAAATTCGTTTGGAGTAGCCAATCTGGGTGATTCTAGTTCAATCAGTAGTCCAATCCAGGTGATTCTAAAGGCTACTCTTCAGGACTAACGGCTTAGTCCTGAAAAGCAGGAGCCAGGTCATGTATGGGTTTTGCTGCGGCCTGAATCTACTATATCCCTGACCTGAATCTAATATAGGCCTTGCCCACAAAAATTCCTAGGTCTGCCAGAAGCTAGACCTTGGACCTGGCTTCTGTGAGCTCGAGCCTTGCATGACCTGGCTTCTGTGAGCTCGAGCCTTGCATGGCCTGGCTTCTGTGAGCTCGGGTCTTGCATGACCTGGCTTCTGTGAGCTCGAGCCTTGCATGACCTGGTTTTCAGGTCCTAGAGCTCGATTAGAACAACCCTGGCTCTAATATCTAACTGAACTCTAATATCTAATTGAGTTTACATTATCCCAATCCATTTCACCAGCTATGACTTTGCTGTTTTACGAAACTATAATTCTTTCGCTTCTTTCGCAGGGAATCGCTGTCCAATCCGGCTTCGTGAGTCAAGTCTACAACCTCAACGTGGCCGTTCATCAGCTCTACCTTTACGGATTACAAGGAAAATAGTAACTTTAGAATTTTAGCTGACCTTATGACTCTTTTCAGTGAATACGACAATTTCATCAGTCGCTGTTGTCAAGGAGTCAAAGATCCGACCACTTGTGATTTCTACGATCAATATTTGTATGCGGGAGCTGATGGGTATTTGTATCCAAAAGACGGCGCTGATCCTTGGTGTGCAAATGAGGTGTGTTGAACTTTTTATAATGGATATTAGACGAAATATTTTAGACGATTATGATTAATATAGAGTTATACTGAATATTCAGACGATTCGTCAAACAAAGCAAACGTGGAACCCGTCAAGTGCCGTGATTGACATGTACAGTTTGTATCTGGATTGCGGGTTGAGCCCTTGGACCGACAAAGTGCCGCCTGTTCGAGCCGACGGATTTGTGGATAATACGGTTCGATCTTTTGTAGAGTAGCTGATAAAATTGATTAGATTTTGTTGCCAATTGTCCTTTTTCCGTTTCAGCAAATGATCAACCTTTACTCGACCGATCATCTCAACGGTTTCCCGTGTTGGGGCGGATCGGCCGCAACTGTTTTCATGAATCAACCGGGCATTCGCGAAGCCATGCATATTCCGGATGAAGTTGGAAAAGAGTGGAAACATTTCAAGTGGGCTTTATAAGCGGTAAAGCATGAATACGAGCATGACAAGGTGCTGATTGCTGAGCAACTTTAAGTGTTAAAATGGTCTGACTTTAACTGTTAAATGGCTTGGCTTTAACTGTTAAATGGTTTGGCTTTAACTGTTAAATGGTCTGATTTGGCTTGTCTTGCTAAACTTCATTAAAGTTAGAGTCAAAGTCAAAGGAGTCAAAATCAAAGGAGTCAAAGTTAAAGCTTTTTCAAAGACTACCATAAACAAACTACCAAATTAACTCAATTAGCCCAATCTCTATAACGTCTCAACTCTATAACATCTCAATTTTCAGCGGCACCGTCGGCGATCTCTATGACCAAAGTTGGCCATTGGAGCTGGACGCTTTCATCGTTCGAATCGTCAATTCTTACTATTATAAGCAAAACAATATGAGTCTTTTATTTTACAATGGAGATACGGATACGGTAAACTTTAGCATTTTTCACCTGCAATTAAGAATGTTCAGGTCTGCAGCCATTGGCAAACACATTGGTGGTTGAATCGAGTGGCGAAAACGTTGGGAATTAAAGTAATGTTTAATTAAAGTAATTAAAGTAATTAAAGTAAGATTTTTTAAGCTTTTAAAAGCTTTTAGAGATTTCATGAATAGAGATTTCATGTTTAGACCAATAAAATATCTGCTAGATATTTAATTTTTAGAAATTAGCTCCTCGAGACTATTGGTGGTACCAGAAAAGCGCCGAGTTTCAACCGGTGATGGCTGGAGCGATTGAGCGATTCGAGAAACAAATCGATTTCTTGACGATCAAGGTGAGAACTCAATTTAGAGAAGATTTACATTTATGGGTTTTTAATTGAATTTGATTATTGAAATTGAAATCCATTCAGGGAGCTGGCCATCTGGGAGCCGCTGATCGGCCGGGCCCCGTCGCGCAAGTGCTCTACAATTTTGTGAACCGGAAACCATACAATGCTTCCTATCCAAAGGATATCAAAAAGAAACCGCTGAAACAATCATTTCAATCACTACAGAATTGTGAGAATGGGAAATTTAAAGGCACAGCTGAAGAGCGACCGAAGCAAGAAGAGAGTGTGGTGAGTGAATGAGTGGCTTGGCTTAGGCTCAAGCGTTTGGCTCAAGCGTTTGGCTCAAGCCCTAATAACCTATCAAACTCGAGTCCCTATCAATCCCAAAACTGGTACTCCTGTAATTTTCCGTATTAATTTGCATCATTCGCATCTTCTCCTCGATATTAACCTCAAGAAGCTAAAAGTACTGGCCAAATAGTACTGGCTTTATAATAGTTTCCGGCCTAGTTACTGTAATTTAGTTACTAGTTGGCTTTTCTAATGAAACAAACCGTAGTTCAATTGGTGCATTATCAAGCACAGCTGTCCAGAAAGTCTTTTCATTCCTTTTCATACTTCCCTTTAAAACCAACAAATGCACCAATTGAACTACAGCTTGTTTCATTAGAAAAGCTAATTATTTTTCTGCAAAATAACATTAAAAACGGGTTTAAAATGTCTTATTTTAGAATTTTTTTTGAGAGCGTAAAGTCGGGGAGTGAAAAAGGGATGATGTTTAGACAGTTTAGCTAAGGAAACCTATGTATGTGTCAATAGATAAAAGATAGAGCATAAAAAGTTAGATGTATAGCCAAGGTTTCAGAGAAATTCATTCAGCCAATTTCTTTGTAGAGGTTTTTATAGATTTTTACGAAAAAACCCCGTTTCCACTCTCGAATTTGCTTGAAAGTGAACCGAAATTGTCTTAAAAAGCTTGGGAAATTAAACAATAAACACTTTTTATTTAGAGAAAACCATACCGTAAATACTGTAATCGTACCCACCCGCATAATGACGGTGTGGAGTGTTGCGTAGCTCTAGCTTTGAACGAGTTTTTCTCGACACTGGTTTATGCTACAATGCGCGCTTTGGTATCAAAAAATAGCTGAAATTCAGGGCTATTTTTTGATACCAAAAACGAATCTTTTGAAAGTACGGGCGCTTTGAAAAAAATGAAATACTAAAAAAGTTTTGCGACTACGCGACCGTACGAGGGGAAGGTGGGGTGCTGTATTACAGGTAGGGTACTGTATTACAGGTGGGGTACTGTATTACAGGTGGGGTACTATTACAGTATTTACGGTAGGTTAATTGGTGAACTTGTTATTTTTCAAATTTTTTATTCAAAGTCTTGTGTTTTTCAATGGAAATCTGAAAATAAACGAAAAGACTTTCTGGAAAGCCTAATAAATGTACAGAAAACATCAATAAACTGTGAATTTTACTATTAGTAGAGTGCTATTGCCCCAGCAAACTATGAATGATGCAAACTAGCATTTATCTTTTGGACTGACTATTAATATCTTTTGGGACTGACGGAGGAAATCCGTAGATACCCCAAAGCTTAAGTCTAACCCTAATCTTCAAGTTTCTTGACGTTTTTACAAGTTTTAATTAAGATTTTATTAAGACTTGAGTTTTATAAAAGCTTGATATCTTTGCTAAGGGTAGGGAAAGTTGTTTGTTAAGTTAAAATCTTCAAAACAAGAACAAGTACACGAACAGTAAAAAGTATTTTAATTTTTTGCCCATTCGAATGCCGATTTTTGCCGATTCGAAGTTTTACCTCACTTAAATTTAACAAAATAAAACAAACTAACTAAAACAAACAAAATGAAACAAACAAACTAAAACAAACAAACTTTTACCTTTCTAGAAAGCTCCTCCAAACAACACCGACGATTTGACGAGCCGAGCGAAAAGCGATCTGATCACCTCGATTCCCGGCCTCACCTTTGACATCAATTTCCGTAATTTTGGCGGTTATCTCCATCCGGAGAACATCAAAACGCATCATTTGTTTTACTGGTTTGTAAAAACGAATGGTTTCCTTTACTCAATATTCGATTAGGTTCATGGAATCGCAAAACGATCCAAAAAATGATCCTGTTGTGCTATGGTTGAATGGAGGGCCTGGTTGCAGTTCGATGGGTGAATCAAAGAAACTTTTTTTGCAATCCACTTGAATGATTTACTTTCTAAGACTAGTCTAAACGAGTCTAATGATCAAATTTAGTCGGTCTCTTCGAAGAACTCGGGCCATATCACATGAATCCGGATCAAGGGAAAACCCTCTACGAGAACATCTATTCGTGGAACAAAAGGGTATCGAAATTTCTCAATTTTGCTAGATTTTTCTAGATTTTCTTGATTTTGCTATAAACCGGTATCGAAATTACTTGATTTTGCTTTATTTTTTGGTCATTTATATATATATATGCTTTATTCATTCATGGGCGAATAGAAGCGAATCAGATAATCATAACTGCATCTAACATTATCCAGCTTTTTAACGTATTCGTTGATTCAGGCAAGTGTCCTCTTCATGGAGGCGCCAGTTGGAGTCGGATTCTCGTATTTCGAGGAATCCGCTTGGAATAATACCGATGAGACGGTGAGTGGACTAAAGAAATGTCGTTCTAAAGAACTAAAGAAAAGCTAGTAATGAATCAAGAGCTTTTAATTCTCGAATTATGATCGTTATTTGATAACTTATGACTAGAACAAAGGATGCAATTGTAGTTTGAATTGTAGTTTGAATTGTATTAGGTTGGTGCAGATGAAACTTCCGTTGGAACCATAAACAAAATTTATTATAAAAATCCTAATACAGAACCTCAATCCAAAAGATATTCGCCATCATTATCAATGACTCTTTGCCATCTTCCACGCAGAGAATGGATGCCCTTTTCGAAGAACTCGGGCAACTGCGACTCGAAGAAGTTGGACACCCAGATCTCAACTTCTTCGCGGTTTTTGAATTTTTTTTCTGCTAAAGAGTGCTGCATCGACCGAAACAAGTGGTAGTCGGATGGGGCCAAGTCCGGGCTATATGGCGGATGAGGCAGAACTTCCCAGCCTAATTCCTCGATTTTCTGCTGAGTGATCTTTGCGGTGTGGGGTCGAGCGTTATCGTGGAGGAATTTTGTAGTCGCCGTGTTATTACCTTGACGACGCAATGCCTGGTCCGCGCGGCTCAATTGGGCTTTGTAGAGATCCGCCGTGACTCTTTGGCCCGAATCCAGCACCTCAAAATACACGAGACCTTTACTATTCCACCAAATACAAAGCATCACCTTTTTTCCGTGGACATTCGGTTTGGGAGTCGGTTTTGGCGGTTCACCGGCGTCCAACCACTGCCGTTTTCTTGTTGTGTTGTCGTAACATATCCACTTTTCATCTGCCGTAACAATGGAGTCGAGAAAACCGGCGGTCTTTGCGCGGCGGACGAGAATTCCAGCCATTGTAGCTCGAGTCGCTTTGTTTGCGTCGCTGAGCTGATGTGGCACCCATTTTCCACACCGATTCGTCTTACCAATTGCGTGCAAATGTCGGAGATTGGTTGTATGGTCGCAGTCAAACAGCTCTGCAAGCTCCCGAGTTGTTTGGCATGGATCCGATTCGATAGCGTTCTTCAACTCATCGTTTTTCGTCTTCCAAACTCTCATCACCGTCTCGGAAGCGCTGAAACCAAGTCCGGCATTGACGTTCGGACAACACGACATCGCCGAATGCTTTGCACAGAGATTCCGCAGGCGTTCTGCCTTGTTTAAAATCATACAACAAGCAAACCCGCACTCGAAATTTTTCGTCAACCATTTTCTAGAAGCTAAAAATTACTTCAAATTAAGTAAAACGCATAAGTCTTAGATATCAAAAGACGCGGAAAGAGACGCTCTTTCAGATAGACAAATATCTTCAATAAAAACTTTTATAAGGTTCAAAATATAAACAAACAAGTGTGACGGAAGTTTCATCTGCACCAACCTAATAGTTTGAATCATAGTTTGAATTGTAGTTTGAATTGTAGTTTGAATTGTAGTTTGAATTGTAGTTTGAATTGTAGTTTGAATTGTAGTTTGAATTGTAAGTTGAATTGTAAGTTGAATTGTAATTTGAATTTGAATTTGAATTTGAATTTGAATTGTAGTTTGAATTGGAACTTGAATTGGAATTTGAATTTGGATTTGAATTGTAGTTTGAATTGTAGTTTGAATTGTAGTTTGAAAAGAAATCCTTTAAAGGTCGCAATCGACAACGCTTATGCGATCAAGGATTTCTTCCAAAATGTTTTCCCGCAATATGCCCAGAATGCTTTCTATGTGACCGGTGAGAGCTATGTTGGAGTGTACGGTCCAACTTTGACGAGACAAATCATCGGACTTATTGAATCCAATCAGCTACAATTGAATTTCAAGGTTTGAGCAAGCTTTAAATGATCTTTAATAAATAAATATCTATTAATAAATGATCTATGCTCAAATTTCAGGGAATGGCGATTGGAAACGGGATTTTGAGTGAGTGGCTACAGTCGAATTCGGAGATTGCGCTTCAGTATTCTCATGGATTCACTTCGCAAGAGTAAGTAAACACTAAAGCCTTTGAAGTTACGGTGAAACCGATAACTATCGCACAGTATTCGGTAATAAACTGTGTTCCAAATCAAACTTGACACAATTCCTGACCACTTTCCGGCATATTATAACAAAAATGCGCTTTCTCAACTTTCAAAAGCTACCATAATCTTGTCTTATAACTGGAAACACTACGAATACTTAGAATATCTTAAAACACTACGGATACTTATCTTATCTTCAAGCAAATTTGAAACTTCAGTGAGTGGAATCGTCTCAGCGAGGTGTGCTGCTCTGATTTGGGAAATCCCCTCTACTGTGACTACTCGAATGCGCGAAGCAATAGCACTTGTGATCGAACGTATAACGAAATCGAGAACAAATTCTATGATGCTATGTAGGTTTTGAGAAAATATTTAGACTCAAATCCATTGCCCCAGTGATATGTAGCAATGAAATCTTTTAGCCAAGACAGCTACAACATTTATTTGGATTGTTACACTTGGCAGAAAACATCGCAAATCTCGCAGCGAGCTCGATGGAGGAGAAGAACGGCACAGCAATACAAAGATTCGCCTGAGCATGTAAATTTTTGGAATAACTTGAAGAGAAGTGATATTTTCATTATGATAAGTAATTTGGTTTCATAAGTACAAGGTTTTACAAGGTTTTACGGGTTCGCAAGGAGGCCGCTAAAACGCAAGGAGGCCCCCAAATGAATATTGTGGTCATTTGAGTCTTAGCGGCCTGCTTGCGGACCCGTTTGGTGCAGCGTGCCGAGCGTTGCCGTTGCCGTTGCCAAGCGGTACAGCGTTTGTTTCTAGAGCGGACCTCACAAGTTCGATACTCACTTTGGCTTTTCTTTTTTCAAGAAATGCTGACTAGTGTTCTTTGTGCACATTCCATCGGGCACAGTGCTTTCCATCTAAGTACAACAAGTACAACAAGTACAGCAAGTACAACAAGCACAACAAGTACAACAAGCACAAGAAGTACAACAAGTACAAGTACAACAAGTTCTATGTCTTTTTAGACCCTCATCGCTTTTGATGCACCCACGAAACCGAGAAAGCACTTTGTTTATCGACAGAACACGGTAAACTTTAAAAAAAACCTTAACGACTACAGTTTTATTGGATTCCTATTCACGAATACAATAAATATTCCTATTTATTGGATTCCTCAACTTAAATTCACCTCCAGGATCGTATGAGTTTCGATTCAACGGATCCATTCAATGGCTACACTTGTTATAATGATGACGCTCTGACTACGTAAGTGATTCACAGAAATATTTCTACAGTTAGCTTTTTAAGCTTATCAATTGGCTTTTTGAATATGGAATCAACATTTAACTCTTGGAATTAGCATTTAACCTTTGGAATTAGCATTTAACCTTTGGAATTATTGGGTTGGGGACTATGACTCGGCGCCAAACTTTAAAGGGACTTTTTGCACACATAAAGCCTTCTTTAAATATACCTTTGGTTTCATCAAAAGGATCCACTATTTCTCTACAAAATGACTTTTGAGAGATTCCACAAAGCTTTTCTTTCGTGGAGTTTATGGACTCCCAAACACAGCTAGTCAAAATGGCAAAGAGCCCGACTCATCATTTGAACAGTTTCTTTCACATAAACCTTCTTTGGTGTTTATATAAAAAAGATAGAGCACATTCAATTACATAAGTTGCCAAATTTGCAGGAAGATCCCACCAATGGTTTTTTCTAGATGACAGTTTGTAGTTTTTGTGAAAAAATGGCTTTTTCTTGAGCGAAGGCGCTGTTTGAATTTTCTTTTAAATGTCATTTTGTAGAGAATTAGTTAACCATTCTACTGATATCAAACGCATATTATTTGACGAAGTCGAAAAACTTCTGTTTTAGACATTTTTTTGATTTTCGGCGCCGAGTCATAGTCCCCAACCCAATAGCATTTAACTCTTGGAGTTAGCATTTAACCTTTGGAATTAGCATTTAACCTTTGGAATTAGCATTTATCTTCACTTATTATCTTCACTTATCTAGAAAGAAAGATTTTGTTTTAGTTATTTGAATCGAAAAGAGGTGCAAGATGCGATTCACGCAACGATCTACTATCAAGGAGCAAAATGGGAAGAGTGCAGGTTGAGCAAAAGATAGAAATGTTCAAACACTTCGTAGCTGTGAAAGACATAGATTACGACAAGGTTATGGTAGATTACGATTGCCAGACAAGGCCTCTAGCGAAGACAAGGCCTTATATTAGGTTGTCCAGTTATAAATGCGCGTTTTTAAGATAACAACTCTTCATTTTAAAACCAACAGTTTAACAGCTCAATCAACAATATATTCACCATTTGTTAACAATATTTGTTTCCATCTTCCATGCAAAGAATGAATTCCCTCCGCGTAAAAATGGGCTGCTTTTGAGGCAAAGAAGTCGGCTATCCATTTTTCGACCTCTTGAACTTCTTTGAACTTGTTTCCGGCCAAATGGTTTCGCATTGAGCGAAGTAAATGGTAATCTGAAGGAGAAATATCCGGAGAATATGGCGGATGCGGGAGAGTTTCCCAGCCCAACTCTTCGAGTTTTTCCTGAACAATCTTTGCAACGTGTGAACGGGCGTTATCTTGAATGAACCTTATGTTTGAAGGATCAAGGCCTTTTTGTAGCAATACATTGTTCACTCGTTCCAGTTGTTGTGCATACGTTTTACCCGTGATTGTATGTCCAAGTTTATGCAGCTCAAAATAAACAATGCCTTGGGAATTCCACCAGACAGTAAGCATTACTTTCTTGCCATGAAAGTCGGGTTTTGGTGTTGGTATTGGCTCCTCACCAGGTTCTAGCCATTGCCATTTTTGTGTAGAATTATCATATTGAATCCATTTTTCATCGCAAGTAAGGATTTCACCGTAAAATCCAGCATTTTTTGCCAAACGAAGAAGAATACCCGCCATAGTGACACGAGTAGCTTTATTGGCATTGCTGAGAAGATGAGGAACCCATTTCCCTAGTCAGCTTGTTTTCCCCAATTGATTTAAATGCTCGGAAATTGTTTGAGGGCTTACTCTAAATATTTCTGCAAGTTCACGTGTAGTTTGTCGAGGATCCATTTCTATCGCCTGCTTCAGTACTGCATTATCGATCGCAGGAGGTCGTCGTTGGTGGTCTTCGCCTTCCAAAGATTCATTTCCTTCTCGAAATCGTTGAATCGCATCTTCGCCCATAATTTGCAGAGATCTCGATAAGATTCAACGCCATTTTTGCCCAATTTGAAGTCATATCAAAGACTGGCACGAAGACGAAACTTCGTCTCGGTCATCTAAACACGGAAATTAAATCAAAAATGAATTAGTTTAACATCAAAAACACGAAAAGTTGTAATAAATAAGAAACCTTGAACAGCATATAGAGAATAGGGTTTGATAAAATTGTATAGCCCTAAGGTACGCTGTTCAAGAGCAGGCGCGCATTCATAACTGGACAACCTAATAGTAGCCTCTGGCGGGATGCACCTTTTAGAAAATGGATTTAGTCTCCTATTTTCACTAGGCAACAGCTGTTCGTTCAATATGACGAACACATTCAATGCAATCATGAATTTCGAATTAGCTTTTATGGGCTAAATCTAAAACGATTTAACACAGTCTAGTTTTAAATCACTCTTTCCTTTAAACAGAGACAAAGCTAAAATAGCTTTATTCCCAAATTTCAGTGATCGTCACACGAGTCCCTATTTCAAGTATTACCTCTTGAAAGAATACTTCAATATGACGAACACATTCAATGCAATCATGAATTCGAATTGGTAAGACAGGGAAATTCGTTGAAAATTGTTGAAAATTGTTGAAAATTGTTGAAAATTGTTGAAAATCGTTCACATTTGTCGTTTAAAATCAATCACATTGTCAGGTACACAAAGAACAACATGAGTATCTTGATCTACAATGGAGATGTGGACACGATTTGTCAATTCTTGGGCGATGAATGGTTTATCGAGAATCTTGTTGAGCTCAGGAATTTGACTGTAAGTGAATGACCGTTTTGCTTCGTAGAGATTGATTGTCTAAATAGCCTTTATCTGTCTTTAAACCTCTACTTTAATGGATGTGCTCTTAAGCAATAGGCGTAGACGGCGAATTGGTTCAAGTTAGGCGAGGGCTAGTCATTGGTTCGAGTCATTTTGGTGATTATCTTTGTTTTTTTAATTCTACAATCAATTTTAATCAAACTTAATCCTGGATTTTTGGATTCCTGATAATCCGAATCCGCTTTAGGAGTATTAGGAGTACTAGGAGTTTGATTGTAAGCGAGTTTACCGTTTTGCGTTGTAGAGATTGATTGTCTAAATAACCTTTATCTGCCTTTAAACCTCTACTTTAATGGCTGTGCTCTTAAGCAATAGACGTAGACGGCCGATTCGTTCAAGTTAGTCATTGGTTAGTCATTGATTCGAGTCATTTTGGTGATTATCTTTGTTTTTTTAATTCTTTAGGAGTAATAGGAGTATTAGGACTTTGATTGTAAGCGAGTTTACCGTTTTTGTAGAGATTAATTGTCTAAATAACCTTTATCTGTCTTTAAACATTCACTTTATATTTGTAGAGCAAATTCAGAAGCAAATAAGACTTCAAATAACCTAGCCAAAGAACCTAACCTATATAATTCTCAGGTTCTGCAAGATCGTGATCAATGGTTCTTCAAAGATATCTACGAGTCGAGTACTGGAGGTTTCGTGAAAAGATGGACGAGTAATTTGATTCAAATGACGATAAAGGTTATTCAAATTTATAAGAACAAATTATAAGAACATAGAAAATAGGATTCTTAATAGGATTTCTATTCCATATCATCCCTAAAACCTTCAGGGTTCCGGCCACTTTGTCCCAATGGATCGACCCGGTTTCGCCCTGCAAATGCTCATGAATTTCATGAATGGAGTCAGCGATTACAGCACTCCGCTAACGGTATGCTTACGGTTTTTGCGAAAGTTTAACTTTGGAAATCCCAGGTTGATCTCACCCCAGCTCCCCTTCTCCCCGAGTACGCCAACGAGGATGAACCGATTCAAAATTGCTCAAGAAAGGTTTGAACTTGAAAGAATTTCTTGAGAAAATTGGAAGATTTAAATAGTTTTAAATAGTTTTATATAGTTTTATATAGTTTTAATAGCTCAAGCCATTTTCCAGGACCAAGCTCGAATTTTTGTCATGCCGGGCGCTGATTTTGACATCAATTTCAATCAGTACAGCGGCTATTTGGATGGAAGTGCCACACATAAATTGCACTATTTGTAAGGCAATTTTAACGCTATTTGTAAGGCTATTTTAACGCTATTTTAACGCTGACTTTAACAATAGCTTGTTTTGAGTCAATGACCGGTTTTTTATTCATAAATCCAGCTTGGTCGAAGCCGAAGTAAATCCATCAACAGCGCCTCTCATTTTGTGGCTGAATGGTGGACCCGGGGCCAGCTCTCTTGATGGACTTTTCGAATTGGGAGGACCGTATCGAGTGAAACCCGATGGGAAATCGGTCACAAAGAATCCCTATGCTTGGAATAAGGTAAATTCAGTGATTTTTCAAAACTAGGCAAGGCCAGGGCTGGTCCTGAAGTTAGGTCTTGACCTGGTTGCTGGCCTTGTCTGTCCTTGGTCCAGAACAACCTGGAGAAGGCTCTGATCCGACCTGGCCAAGATCCTAGGCCCTAGTTGGAACATTCCTGTTAAGGACCATTGAATAAGATTTTCAGTTCGCCAATGTGCTCTTCTTGGAAGCGCCCGTTGGCGTCGGTTACTCGTACAGCACGATCGTCAATGAGACAATTGAATACAACGATAATAATGTGAGGATTTTAAAGAAGCTTTTCTCTGGGCTTACTTACACTTACGATCTTACTTTTGTAGCTTTTGTAGCCACGAGTCTCTTAAAAACTCTAGCGTCTGATGCTGAAAAGAAATTCAGACAGCCACCGAGAACTATGCTGCACTGAAAGACTTCTTCACGAACGTTTTCCCCGAGTACGCGACAAGAGATTTCTATATCTCGGGCGAAAGCTATGCTGGAGTTTATCTACCAACATTGGCTGTAAAATTGATTGATGGAATTGCGAGCAATGATTTGAATATCAGCTTCAAGGTTTCGTCTGAGTGCTGGATTAAATATCAAGAATTTTTTTCAGGGAATGGCTGTCGGCAACGGTGTTTTGGATAAAAATCTTGATCTTGACTCGTTGATTCATTTGAAATATTACTCGGGAATCATCACTTACAAGTATGGAATAGAGAATAAGAATAGAGGCGATTCTAGGAATTACTTTTAAGTTCTTCAATATTGCTTCAGTAATATTGCTCAAAAGAGACAGCTTATTTCACTTTTCGACTCAAACCTTGGACTTGATATTTGCCATTGATTCAAGCCTTGATTAGACTTGATTCAAGCCTTGATTGGACTTGATTCAAGCCTTGATTAGACTTGATTCAAGCCTTGATTAGACTTGATTCAAGCCTTGATTGGACTTGATTCAAGCCTTGATTGGACTTGATTCAAGCCTTGATTAGACTTGATTCAAGCCTTGATTGGACTTGATTCAAGCCTTGATTGAACTTGATTCAAGCCAAACTACAATCGTCTAATAATAGAACAATAGCACAAAAACTTAGATCTTCTCTTTTGGCCTCTAACGGGATTGTTCAACAAACCAATTCCGCTTGACCTGGCTCAAAAGAAGCCAGAAAGCAGACTTGAACCTGGATCTCGAAGCCAGATCCAGGTTCAAGTCTGCTTTCTGGCTTCGGTCTAGCCTAGCCTGGTTTTTGGCCTGTCCTAGCTTTTAACTTGATCTAACCTGGTTCTTAGGTCTTAGGTCTTAGGTCTTAGGTACAGATCTTAGGTCCCAATTGCAATAGTCCTGTCGTCTAATTCTTTCGCATCTTTAGCGTTCTAGTCTCGATCTTTTAGCGACTACATAAACGTGATCAATCAATGCTGCCCATCCGGCTCAAACGAGTTCAATTGTCGCTTCTCCGATCATGTCGACTGGGCGCAAGGCTTTTTCCCGATGGCCAAGAATAATTCTGATCCGTGCTATTCTGTTGTTAGTATTTTGACTGCAATTCGAACACAAATCTTTTCAGATTCGGAAACTCGCTACTCAAGAGTACACGTCGAGAAATGATCGCTACAACATGTACCAAGATTGCTACAATGTGCCTGTACCTTCATCCACAAATGTGAAAGGACAGGTAGTTACTGTACTTTGGAAACACACCGCTTCTGGTGCCCTGCTAGCATTTGCTAGCAGAGTTGGCGAGCAAAAAAGGATCCGCTTTGAAACAAAAAAACCTTATTGCTAGATTTTGGCAAACTTGAACTCGTCCGATCCATATGATGCCTATTACTGTTACATGGACAATGCCATGTACAACTATTTGAATTTGGACGATGTGAAAGCGGCACTGAACATCCCGAGTGTCGTCAAACAGTGGTACAATGATGATGAAGCGTGAGTTTGATTGGTCGCCTCAGAAAGTCTTCAGAAAGTTTCCAATGAGTCATAGAAATTGTATTGTAAGCCTTGCTGGCAAAAGAGAATACAATGAATACAATGCGTGCTTTGAGCTTCAGCTAGTAACACACCTTCTCTAACACACTCTTCATTTTGTCTTTTTGAGCTTGTGTGATAAAGAATAAAGAGCTTGAACCCTAAAACTTATTACAAAAGATCTCCTTCAGAGGTGATCTCATTCTTGGTGTTTACCTCCAACTCTGGGACGATCAATATCAAAACTTTGCAAAGATCCTAAGCTCAGGAATCAAGGTATGAATGAAATGAATTACAATACTTAATGGGATCCACTTTTAGACAATGATCTACAATGGAGACGTTGACACGGCGTGCAACTTCTTGGGAGCTCAGTGGTTTGCCGCGAATCTTCAAACACAACAACAGCTTATGGTGAAGGTTTCGTGAAGATTACCGTAGTTGTCATTGATGACTGTCGTTCAAAACTCTTTTTGAAACCGCATTTAAGGTCACAACTCCGAGATCTGATTGGTACTATCAACAGGATCCAAGTTATCAAAGGCGAATCGCCGGATCGGTGGTTCGATACTCGATGAAGTTTGATGTGCTTACTGCAAAGGTGAATTGAAATGAGACTGGCTTTTGATTGGTGTACCGTAATCCTTTGAAAGCTACCGTAATCCTTTTGAAAGCTACCGTAATCCTTTAGAAAACTACAGTAATCCTTTTGAAGGCTACCGTAATCCTTTAGAAAACTACTGTAATCCTTTAGAAAGCTACCGTAATCCTTTAGAAAGCCACCTTAATATCTAGTTTAATCAAGCTTCAGGTTCAGCTTCAAAATTAGCTTCAATAACACTGAAGATAGCTTACGATTTCTTTCAAAAGTTGGCAAATCTTAGACAAGCACTAGCATATGATTTTTGGATAACATGGATAGCATTTCTATTTATTTTAACATATAACATAAAAAGATAACATATTTGAAACCATAAAATCAGAAATAGATCAAGAATTGTGCTTTTTTTTTGCCTAAAACAAATTTCCAGGGAGCCGGCCACATGGTGCCGATGGATCGCCCGATGCAAGCTCTTCAAATGATCTACAATTGGGTGAACGATCAGGATTACAGTATCCCTTTCGGGTCTGCTCCACCCGATACCACACCCACTTCGTCGACCCCTTCCAACACTGACTCACCGACCATGTCCAACACTGACTCACCGACCACTTCCAAAATTGATTCACCGACCACTTCCAAAACTGGCCCACCGACTACTTCCAAAACTCGCCCACCGAGCACGACTATGATAGCAACACAGCCCACCGTTACAGGGAAATCGGGTCAACAAATCTCTCTAGTTTTTGCCCTGAATGCTTATTTCTTTGTCAACTTATTCTTGTAGTTCTTTGTAGGAATAAACATTTCATTTCTATAGATACAGTTCATGCAGTAAGCTTACAGTAAGCTTGACAGCCACTTGTTTTTTGAATCAATCCAAAAGTTGCTCTTGCCAATCACAAACTAAATGCTACAGTTTCTCTCTAATAGTACCTGTGGAAAACTATAATGTGGAAAACTATAATGTGGAAAATTTTTTGTTCCCTGGAATTTCACATTAGAGAGACTCAAATGATTAAAACGCAAAAGCAAAGCAGCCTTGCTCGTCTCTATTTTGTTGTCTCTATAAAAGCTCGTCTCTATTTTGTTGTCTCTATAAAAGCTCGTCTCTATTTTGTTAAAAATTCCCCATCATCTTTGTCCCCAAAAAATCTCTGAACAAAAAAAGAAACAAGCGGTGATGCCGACCGAAAATAGGACACCAAATATCGTGAAGGCATAGAAATGCGATCGATAGTATTGTTCCTCGTAAGTGGCATAAAAGTTGAGTGCCACAATTCGCTCGATCGTTATCCCAATGAAGCCAACTAGTATTGTTGTTTAGACTTTTTACTCATGGCCCATTAAAAGAAGTGTTTGGTGCAATTTTCATTTCAACAAATTTCCAACAATGTTATAAACTATTTTAAAGTTGTAAATCTTCTCTACAAAATAGGCTAAAACGTGTTTCAATTGATCGAAGCATTGAAGAAATTTCGAGGGCGAAATGCGAGTGACCAAAAGACGGAATCGAGTCACTTTAGGGACAAGTTTAGTGTTTTGGACACTAGTTTTGGACACGTTTTGGACACTAGTCAACCCATTGACGAGTCGTTGCTTGTCGAACAACAAATGAGGTAAAGAAAGTTAGAAAAAAGACTCAAAACAGGTTTTGTAAACACGTGATCAATTCTTGACGCAAATCATTCAAATTGTTGATTTTCCTATTTCTGAATTGTTCTTCCATAAAACCCCGAAACCGAAAAGTTCAACGGATTGAGATCCGGGCTGTTTGCAGGCCATTGATCCTTCGTCAAAAATCCCAGGCATCTTTCGGGTGTTAACTGTCCTCTTTCGTTTTCTTCCGGGCTTGGACTGAACATGATTTATTAGTTCCGGGCTTGGACTGAACATGCCCCTCATCTTTCCATTGCTTTACGATCTTCTGGACGGTCCTCAGAGCCACCCCAAGCCTCGATACGATTGACGAGTTCTTCATGCCGCTCGTCGCCAGCCGTGCGATTGCGTCCCGACTAGCGCACGTCTTTGTCATGACCTAATTTTGGTTTCGAGAAAGCGAATTGTTGTTTTGGCTCTGTGGGCCGGCGCCCAAACTAGTTGAAAGGTCAAATTGGGATGGCTCATCTTCCATGGCACCACAGCTTTCTCGAGAATCTCTTTTTAATAGACTTTTTGATAGACTTGATAGACTAAAACGTGTTTCAATTGATCGAACCATTGAAGAAATTTCGAGGGCGAAATGCGAGTGACCAAAAAAAGGAATCGAGTCGCTTTAGGGACAAGTTTAGTGTTTTGGATTTTATTTCACAAGTTCTACGTAATTAGATTACGTATTGGATTAATTAGCTCAATTTTGGTAGCATTGACGGAGCCTTGTGGTATCAATTGATACCTGAATCAATTGATACCTCAAATTGAGCTACTGAATGAAAACTGAAGGTTCCGATAGTTTTATTGGGGTAAATTCCAAAATAGATATCTTTTAGAAAACTAAGGGAGATTTGTTTCATTTTCTGAATCGATAATAATTATTTATTATTAGCTAAATGAATAAGAAATTCGGATTTCAACATTTTCAACAATTTTCATAAATTTCCAACGATAGAAAGCTGATGTTATAAACAAGAATCGATGAATGTTTGAAACTATTTGAAAGTTGTAAATCTCCTCTACAAAATAGGCTAAAACGTTTTTCAATTGGTCGAAGCATTGAGGAGATTTCGAGGGCGAAATGCGAGTGACCAAAAAAGGGCACTTTTTGAAAACCCCACTTTTACAAGAGTTCGCTTTTGACTATATAGTGGAAAATGAGCGTTCTAAAATATCATTCAAAATAATTAAGAGTTGGGATCCTTTCCCGGGGGAAACTTTGTTTTTACAATAATTTTTCTTTTTTGTGAAAAAGCCGGTTTTTTTTTGACAATTTTGAGTCTTTTGAACTTACGCTCTATCTAAATTTCTGTAAATGCATTTTCGTTAGACTTTTTTAATGAATTCATATATAGTTATCCTTTTTTTCTTTAAATCTTCAATCTTGGGAAGCTAACTCTATTTTGACGACACTAAACTTGTCCCTAAAGTGACTCGATTCCTTTTTTTGGTCACTCGCATTTCGCCCTCGAAATCTCTTCAATGCTTCGACCAATTGAAAAACGTTTTAGCCTATTTTGTAGAGGAGATTTGTTGCTATTAATGTAAAGCAGCCGTAAAGATTCATCCTCAGATATCTCTAAAATCTCCGAAAAGCTGAGAAAGCTGAGCTGAGCTGAGCTGAGCTGAGCTGAGAAAATATTTTTTTACAATTAACCCCCTTCAAAGTCTTCTTTCCATATTTCTCTTTCATTCTCGGAACAATCTGAAATTTATTCTGTTCCTGTCATTGAATGAATTGCAAAAACAGGGTAGTTAATGCCAGAAAGTGAAAAGACGAAAAGAAAAGACGAAAAGAAATATTTTTTCTAGAGAACCTAGGAACATTTTTCTCAAAAGAGACGGCTTTTTGTCGAAAATAGATAGCAAAGGGAAATATTGAGGGAAAAGCAGAGGTTGGGGAGAAGAAAAGAGCCATCGATTGTGGTCACAAGGGAGGCAGAGTGCAGACGGGAAAGGGGAGGGGAAGGGGTGAGGCTGAGGCTGGGGAAAGGGGGGAACGGGTAGACAACGAGAAGGGGATCCACATCGATCTCACCACACAGCCTGCCTTCCCGCCTCTTGCAAAGCGGACTAAGCCATTAAAATCTTAGGAATATGGATTGAATTTTTGTAGCTAGATAAAAGGGGCTGGGCTCTAGGGATTTAAGAATTTGAAAGCACATTGAGAACAGCTTTGCCGCGTCAAACTGGTTCTACACCGCGAGCTATCTCATCTTTTGTAAGCGGACTAGGCCAGTAACTTGATTATGAGCTTGCTTTGAAATAGATTTTGATTATTGAAAACTAAAAGAGAACTAAAATAGAACTCAAAGAGAACTCAAAGAGAACTCAAAGAGAATTCAAAGAGAACTCAAAGAGAATTCAAAGAGAACTCAAAGAGTCAAAGTTTGCTTAAAATATAGCAACTAGGATTTTAAATGTTAATTTCTCAAAAATATTAAAAGAACTCGATCTAATGAGTTATTAGCATTTATATTATAAGCATATTATAAGCAGAAGCATATTACAAGCATATTATAAGCATATTATAAGTATATCATAGCCAACAACCTCATTTATAAGCATTTTTAACGTCCAGATACGAAAATGTTTATTGAAAAAACTATGCTCCAGATATTTACGAGCTTTTTGTCACTGTTTTTGTCACATCACTGTTTGTTTTCAATTTCAGCTAGCTTTCCCAATTTTAGCCCGCAATTTTAGTCCCCAATTTTAGTCCCCAATTTTAGTCCCCAACTTTCCTTTCCTGAACTTTTTTTTCTGCTATAATAATGCTCACATGGTTCTCGATTGCTCTTTCTGCAAAAAAATTGAGAAGAGTAAAAAGTTTTGGAAAAAAAGCGATGAGAAGAAATGCACACTTTGTGGAATGACAGGAGGATTGATGGGAAAAGAAAGGAAAAGAAAAAAGAAAAGAATAGAAAAGAAAAGAAAAAAAAGAAAAGAAAAGAAAAGAGAAGAAATTATATTACATGAAAAGAGAAAAAGAAAGGGAAAAGTGAGTTAGCTTATAGCACAATTCGATTCATCCAATCAATTCGATTCATTCAATCAATTCGATTATTCAATCAATTTGATTCATTCAATCGATTCATCCAATCAATTCGATTATTCAATCAATTTGATTCATTCAATCGATTCACCAACAATTCGATTCATCAATCAATTCGATTATTCAATCAATTTGATTCATTCAATCGATTCATCCAATCAATTCGATTATTCAATCAATTTGATTCATTCAATCGATTGATCCAATCAATTCGATTGATCCAATCAATTCGATTATTCAATCAATTTGATTCATTCAATCGATTCATCCAATCAATTCGATTGATCCAACAATTCGATTATTCAATCATTGATTCATTCAATCGATTGATCCATCAATTCGATTGATCCAATCAATTCGATTATTCAATCAATTTGATTCATTCAATCGATTCATCCAATCAATTCGATTGATCAATCATCGATTATTCAATCAATTTGATTCATTCAATCGATTGATCCAATCAATTCGATTGATCCAATCAATTCGATTATTCAATCAATTTGATTCATTCAATCGATTCATCCAATCAATTCGATTGATCCAATCAATTCGATTATTCAATCAATTTGATTCATTCAATCGATTGATCCAATCAATTCGATTGATCCAATCAATTCGATTATTCAATCAATTTGATTCATTCAATCGATTCATCCAATCAATTCGATTCATTCAATCAATTCGATAAAATAAAAATGAAGGTATTGTGGGGTGGGGCAAAGAGCGCCCTTTTTGCGCCGCCCGGCGCTCCCTTTTTTTGCTGGTTAAAGGCCTTAGGCAAGGCCGTAAAGCTTCGAAAAAAATTTCGACAAATCAGACCTCGCTGACACGTCAAATTTGGGCTAAAAGGCAACAACTGCGGAAAAGCGTTAAGTTGCGTAGTTTTTGCCTTTTAGCCCAAATTTGACCTCGCTGACACGTCAAATTTGTCGAAATTCGGAATCTACGCATAGGATTCCCTTCTATGAAAACATTTTTGAAGCTCTACGACCTTTCCTAAGGCCTTTTCCAGCAAAAAAAAGGTGCGCAAATGTCCAGGTGCGCAAAAAAAAGGTCGCATTTGTCCCACTCCCGGTATTGTTGATTAAACTAGTGCTTTAATTGAATTAATTACCCTTTCTAACTTGTTTTTTTGTGTGGCTATAATTGAATATCTTTCATTTGCTTAAAATTGCGTTTAAAGCTCTCGTGTACGCTGTGAACTCATAAAAAGTGTACTTGTTTTTAATTGTTTTTTGTTGTTAAGATCATTGTTTGTTGTTGTTAAGATGATTCTTTGTTGTTTGCCTTTGCGTTTACACCCAAAATTTCATTCAAATCTTCAAAGGAAAGACCATTTTACATAAAGAAAAACAAAAGAAAAACACACTTAAACCGCAGTGACATAAAGAAAAATCGAAAAAAAAAATTGCCTATTTACATTAAAATACATTTCTTTTGACACCTTTTTGAAAAAAGCTAGCTTGACAAAAAAAAAGCGATTATATTGGGTTGGTGAATTGAAAACTGCCGACTATTGTCATTAAACTGTGACAGTTTTGTCATTGTCAGTTTAATTCATGAACCCAATACAAAGGACAAACACACACACACACACATAATGGGATGAACCTGAGTGGGGGAATTGACAAATCCGCTTTGAATTTGAAGAAAAAAGAAAACACAAAAGAACCACATGAAATCCACCGGTCGACTAGACCAAAATATCAAGATATTCAGGGAAAAGTGGGGATTATAAAGAGTAGCCCGGATTCGAGAGGAGAAGACGATCGTTGGGAAGACTTCGTTGAGTGGTCATGCACAAGTCGTGACTCTGGAAACGTCAATTGGAACGTCAAACGTCAATTGAGTCTATTCGTAAGACAACAATACCATACTTGTAAAGAATTACAGAATTTGTTTATAAATTAGCTATGTCATTCTTCAGGACTTACAGTTTTAAATTCACAAGATTTCGTTGCACAAATTCTGAAACCTAAGCGTCTAAGAAGCTTCTAGGTTCTCCAAAATTTGAGAGAAGCTTATCAACTTTGAGAGAAGCTTATCAACTTTGAGAGAAGCTTATCAACTTTGAGAGAAGCATCCTGGAAGCACAACTTTGGGAAGCACAACTTGGGAGCACAACTTGGAGAAGCCCTTGGGAAGCCTTGGGAAGCCACTTTGGAAGCACCTTGAAGCTTATCAACTTTGAGAGAAGCTTATCAACTTTGAGCTTATTCCTAATCAGATCTCCTACAATTGTTTTACAGTTTTCCTACAGTTTTCCGGATTGCTTAAAAATCCCCAGTCAAGCCACTCTTTCTTCTTTCCTACATTTTTCCGGATTGTTTACAATTTGAAGTCCCCAATCAGACAATTTGAAGTCCCCAGTCAGACAATTTCAAGTCCCCAATCAGACAATTTGAAATCCCCAATCAGACAATTTGAAATCCCCAGTCAGACAATTTGAAATCTCCAGTCAGACAATTTGAAATCTCCAGTCAGACAATTTGAAATCCCCAATCAAGCTATTCTTTCTTCTTTCATTTCCCATTTCATTTCCCAAAAAATCCCACTCAAACACTCACCTTTCCATTTTTTTCAACCCCATTATTTATCGGAAGTTTATCGGGGAAAGCGTAGCCGTAAGTGTTCGGGAAAATCGGGGTGATCGGCGGTGGGCGGACACCGTCATTGCAGGAGATCATGTTGGCGACGAAGACGCGAAGCTGAAAGGAATTTTGTAGCATTATTTGCAAAGCAAGATGCAAGATCCCCACTTGCCTTCGTAGCTTTGTTTTATAGCCTTATATACCCACCAGTTATTTCAACTCAAAATTTCTTTGATCAGTTCTATTTTTTAGCTTTTTTTATACAGCTTAAAGCTTTTATACAGCTTAAAGCTTTTGTAGCTTACAGCTTAAAGCTTTTTTATACAGCTTAAAGCTCACTTTAGCTTATTCAAAGTGAAAACTATGAGATTTTTCACCGATGAAGAATTTAGAGCAAATTTGTTGAGCCTCAGACCAAGTACAAGTACACTTACGGACTTTTAACTGAACTAACTGACTTGAATCAATCAACTCTTTGAAAACCCACATGCATATCATCGCCGGCTGTCACAAGCAGAGCCTCATCAGACGGACTCCATTTTGCGGCATTCACCATCCCTCTATGCACTCTCTCCAAACGAGCCATCGGCTTCGAGTTATCCAAATTCCACACAGCCACAGAACCATCTGAAATTCGAAATTACCCTATTAAACTCCTCTTGTTTACCCAATGATCCAGCACACGCGTACATGTTACTCGGCCCGCCAAAACTTGGATTGATAATGATTTTGTCGTACCGAACACCGCACAGCGAACGGATCAACGTTCGCGTTTCCAAGTCCCAGACTCGGAGCCCGTTTTTTTCGGTCACCACCATGAGGTATCTGGAATGCTTTTGAAAAGTGTTTATACTCAAATAACACTCTAAACAAAGCTAAACCAAAACTGATAAAATCGACTAAACCTTGACCAAACCAAGTCCAAGCGAATTTGTAATGAAAATTGTAAATCCAACCTCTCATCGTCATGAATCGCACAATTCTGAATGGCCGATTCCTCTTGCATCAACGTGATATCGAGTTTTGTCGAGAAATTGTACTGTCGAATTCGTTGATGTGTGTCCGCCGCTATACAACTTCCGTTTTGCATCGCATACAACCAAATGACTCGATAACCGTCAAAGCCACCACAATAGGAATCTTGTTGGTTGAGATCCTGAAAGAAAATCAATAGTTATAGATCTTGAAAGGGTGATTTCAACTGGCAACTTTCAACTGAAAGAGTTATTTCAATTTTCAGACAGCTTTCAGACTTTCAGACAGCTTCCAGACAGCTTTCAGACTTTCAGACAGCTTCCAGACAGCTTTCAGACTTTCAGACAGCTTCCAGACAGCTTCCAGACAGCTTTCAGACTTTCAGACAGCTTCCAGACAGCTTTCAGACTTTCAGACATCTTTCAGACAGCTTCCAGACAGCTTTCAGACTTTCAGCTTTGTTCTCGATATTTTCTTCTCGACTCACATGTAATTGTATCTGTCCATGTCGATTTGCGGCAAAGATCCTGTACTTGTTTCCCTTGTAGAAGGAGAGAGTGGTGAATGTCGTCATCGAATTCATCGTGTTGTACGGTTTCAATCGACGAAAAACCGTGCAATTGCTCTGCGTGTCGTAGACGGCTGCCTAGAATGGGGTTTTTAAAATTGAAAGTGTAAGAATGATGAAAAGTTTTCTGTGAACTCACATCTCCGTCCGTCAATCGATCATTCCCATTCACGGCCAACAATCGGCCATCATGACTCCACGCCAAACAAGTGATCGCTTCTCCAGAATTATGACGGAAACGCATCGGATCACCGAGGCTACGAGCACGGGCATCGACCTGAGAAAAGATTTGCATTTAAAAAATAAGTGGCTTAAAGAAAAATCTCTTAGAGCTTGATTGATAGTGATAAAGTTTGATTAGTGATTCTTTTGTGGTTATTCGATTCAAACAATGGTTATCCTTCGTTTATCTTGCCAAGGATCACCTGCGAAATATGCTTGTTCATTGCTGACTTAGTCTGTCCATTAGGAACAACACTTAGTCTGTCCACTAGGAACAACACTTAGTCTGTCCACTAGGTACTTTGAAATTCGAAAAAGTACTTTAGAAAACATTAGATTTACTAGATTAGAAAAATTAGATTTACTATTTGAGCTTTCTCACCGGCCAAACGAATACTTCTCCATTCCGTGAGCCGCTCGCGATTTTGCTTCCATCAGGCGAAAACTCAAGACACCACACTTCAGTTGAATGCTTGGGGAGAAGCTAAAACAAGAATAAAACCGAGAAAATTGTTTTTTGATACCTGTTGTGCTCTGAACAATGGCCGATCCTTGGCCGAACATCTATGGTTTTTGAAAATGGCGTCAGGATCGATGCCGTCGTTGTCTCCTTGGAAGTGGAGGTTGCATTGGGAGATTTGGTATTTCCAGGCTGAAAAGGGGAGATATTAGTATGAGATTTTATTAACGACCATGAGATCTTGGCTGTATACTGGATAAGAATTTCAGGATAGAGCAAGTAATCGTTTTATTAGATAGTATTGTAATCGTTTTATTAGATAATATTGTAATCGTTTTATTATGACCGTCATCCGACATTCTTTTTCTTCCCCTAGCACATCCAAATTTTTTTAAGAGCTCAAAATGGACGTGCTAGGAATTCTTATCCAGTATCCAGCCAAGATCTCATGGCCGTTAATAAAATCGGCTCTGTATACTGCATACTAATATCTATCGATATACCAATATCTATCGATAATATTCATTACTTACCCTGTTCCGTCAAATGCTCAAGCCGTTTCGACGGCAAAATGTATGACGGATCGAGTTGTCGCTGGATTCTCGTCGCCAACTGCTTTCTCCAGGCCCCATTCTTTGATCTAAATTTGAATCTAAACTATGAACTATGTTTGTAGATAAACTATGTTTGTAAATATCTCACTTATGCTTTTGAATTTCCTGATTCTTGTTTTGCTCTTTTGCATCCATGAAGAGTAAATTCGACAGCAATGTTTTCCGACCTCGGAGATTTTTCTTGTTCGGATAATCCTCGCGTAGAAGCTTTAAAGCCAATGGAAGCTAAATTTCAACAAATAAAATCTTGATTATTCTTTTTCTTTTTCACAAACCTCTCCTCTACTCAAGAGATCGTAGAATTTTTCCTCAAAAAGGATCAATTTCGCCGAATCGAGGTCGGTCTCCGAGAGAAATTGATAGGATTTGTCGAGAACGTTCAGCGCCTCGTTCCAATTGCCGCGTAGAATCTGAAAATGTCTTTGTTTTGTAAGCACTTGTGATAATATGATTGTTATCTGGAAAATTCGTACCGCTTCTCGTAGCCGAACCGCGTGCGCATTCTCCACTTTACAGCCACTCTCTTCCACCAATGATTCGACCGATTCACTAAAGAAATTGAATGATTGAGCAATCAGACTCTAACCCTAACCAAACCTAACCCTAACCCTAACCCTAACCCTAACCAAAACCAAACCAAAGCCAGACCCTGGCTGGTTTCTAAGCCTAAGCCTAACCCTAAGCCTAAGCCTAACCCTAACCAAACCCTAACCAAACCAAAGCCAGGCCCTGGCTGGTTTCTAAGCCTAAGCCTAAGCCTAACCCTAACCCTAACCAAACCAAAGCCAGGCCCTTACTGGTTTCTGTACTAAATCCAGATCAGGCTTGGCCTGACCGAGAAAAGGAATACGATTTAGAGACTACATGAATGTTATTTAGCGCTATGCAAATGTAATTTAGGCTATGCAAATTTTAGGACTATACAAGTAAAACTTACTGTAATCCAAGATCCCTGAGATATTGAGCAATGATTCGAATGGTGTTCTGTTGACGACGATTAAGTGCTGGGCCCGGTTTGGCAGATTGATTGACAGCCGTTGAACGGGGTGAACGACCGCCTGAGGTAGATGGACGTTGAGATGAGGGGATGGCAGCTGGACCATCCTGGAAATAGATTTCGATTAGGCAATCGAACCAAGGAAATTAATAGAAATAGATTTCGATTAGGAAATCGAACCAAAAGCACTTGAAAGATCTTCAAGTTACTACCTTCAGTTATTTGCTTGAATTTTCCAAATAGAGATCTTTCTTGTCTCTTTGATGACAAGCTTTGGGTAGCTTCAATGAAGAAAAGAAATGAATGAATGGAATTGAGCGGGAATTGAACCCTCGATCCTTTACTTACCGGGCAGCTCTACCACTAGGCTATTGGCGCCTACTTTGCCCAAGAAGAAATAGAAAAGACAAGGAAGAGAAAGAAAGGAAGAGAAAGAAAGGAAGAAAGAGACTGAAATATCCGGACCTTCAACGCTAAAGCTCTAGTTTCTTGACAAGAAACAGAAACAAAAGAAAGAAAGAAACAAAAAGTTCTGTGATTTCTAATCGTTAGTTCTCGCATTTGCAATTGCATCATTGTATTAATGTTTTGCATTTGCAATTGCATCTTATTTCCCTCACCTTGAGCGAAGATTCCTTGAGCCGTTGCGCGACGGATCGCGTTGTCGCCGTTGCAGCCCCAGCCGCGCCCGCGAGGGGCGGGCTCAGCGCACATTGCATCCTTAATCAATAGCATTAAAATTGAGTAAACATGCCAAAATTTGAAAATAGTTAAAACTCTAGCAAATCCATTAGCATTTCCATAATTTATCAAGATTTGTTCGTTGTTTTGGGATCAAAGAAAGTTTATAGATCGATCGAAAGATCAAAAATCTAACTGTAGCAAACAAAGCTTGTAGATTATTTCAAAAGTTCTATAGTTTAGATAAATTTTGTTAAATAACGGCTCTCATAATCCATTTCTGAGTCAGGTGTTTCGTCGTCCATAAAAAGAAAAAGGCTTTTTGAAAAAAAGCGCGTGACTCTTCTGGGGTGGGGAGGGGAAAAGCAAAGCGGGAAAGGAAAAAAGAAAGGGGAAAAGGGGCGAGTGTTCGATCCATTCCCTCTATTCCCTTCATTCCCCTTTTCCATTCCATAAACAACAAATGAAAACACCAAAAAACTCCGTTGGACTTGTTTTTCTCTTCGTATTGTTGTCTCGATTTCATACACAAACAACTTCATCTCTTCCCAATCAATATTGAAAGTACAGAGGCTGGGAGAAGTTTGGTGATAAAGTTTGAAAGAGTATGCGGATTTAGAATAAGAATTTAGAACTTGATCCAGCTGCTGAGCCATTGATCCAGCTGCTGAGCCATTGATCCAGCTGCTGAGCCATTGATCCAGCTGCTAAGCCATTGATCCAGCTGCTAAGCCATTGATCCAGCTGCTAAGCCATTGATCTAGCTGCTAAGCCATTGATCTAGCTGCTGAGCCATTGATCTAGCTGCTGAGCCATTGATCTAGCTGCTGGACCAATCACCCAATCAAAAATCTGGCTCAACAGCTTAATCCAAGTATTTAAACGTTTCCAAATCTTTTCAAATTTGTGTCTTTTAGAATCAAAATGGCCAAGACAAAATTGAGTATTTGAGTAGAAAGAAACGGAAGGGAAACAGAGAAACGTTCAAAAACTTCAAAAGAAACAAAGCAAAACAAAACAAAATGTTTCTTGTTGTCTTCGGGGAAAAAGTCAAGAAGTGGAGCGCATGACGTGCTTTCAAAAAGAAATGGAAAGGGAAAGGCCGAATTTTAAAGTGAAACTTGTTTTGAATTGAATTGAACTTCCTGAATTGAACCCAATTTTCATTTCAAAAGCTTCTTGGCGTTGTAATGACTTGCCGAATAAACAACACAAGCTTGGCTTTAAGGTCACAACTGAATAGTCAAAATGATCATGGTTTCATTTAGAGTTAAGGGATCAATTTTTCGAGCAATAATTGAGCAATAATCAAATAGCCTCAAGAAAGTGCTTCAGTTTTACTGCATGACGCGAGTTTCAAAAGGAAATTGAAAATGAACTAAATTTTAAAGTCGACGAAGACTTTTTTTTCTTTATCCCAAATCAAGTTTGGGAATTGACAATTCATAACTGACTTGGGAATTGGGAATTGGCTGACTGGAATTGGTTGACTGGAATTGGCTGACTGGAATTGGTTGACTGGAATTGGTTGACAGGAATTGGTTGACTGGAATTGCCTATTCATTGGAATTGGCTATTCACTTGTGCTCATTAAACGGCCATAAGCAAGTCTAGTAAAGAATCTAATTTTCATCAAAAAAAGCTGATAATCAGAGCATTTAAAGAGCAGTCAGAGCATTGACAAAGTGCATTGATTTACAAAAAAAACCATTGTCAACAGTTTGTGGAAAAAGTCGTACACAACAAGTACACAACAACGATAACTGACTTTCAAGGAATTGTTAAGTTCTTCAGCTTGACCGCATGATGCGGCTTTGTCAAGCCATTCCAAAAGGGAATGATGCGGGCTCTGGCCGACTAGTCAGCCCTTTTGCCCCACCCAACCCGTCTATTTTTTGAGCTGAACCCAGCTGAGAGGAAATCCCCGCCCCGTTTCTTTTTTTCCCCAACTCTATCACTTGAAGAGTAAACGGTAAACAAAGTTATGTACTCTATATCTCTTTTTCTTAATCCTATTATCTACTCGTCATTTTTGTGAGGATTTTGAATCGATTTATCTATAGAAAAGATAAGAGCAGATAATAAAGTATCGGGTTGGTGAATTGAAAACTGCCGACTATTTCGCGAGACTCGCAGATAAAAACAATAGCACAGCACAAGCTGAAAGGGAGTTTGGTTACTTCAACCATTCCTCAAATTATTGCGAAAAAATTATCCTTCCAGCTTTTTATTTTTTGGTATTTTTCTTCACTTCTTCTATTGCACTCGACAATCTACCACCGGGACAAATTCGTCATGTCATGCTTCTTGAGTTCCTACAAGAGCAGGCTTGGCAGCTGCTAATATTAAAAAGATATATGGGGAGGAGCCACCTTCCGAAAGAACGTGTATGGTTTGCCAAGTTTCGATCTGGGGACAAATCTTTGAAAGATGCAGAGTGGAGCGGCACCCTAACTGGGTGATTCCAAATTACTCATTACCAACGACCATCGGGTATCATCGCGTGAATTGGGGGAAGAGCTTGGGGTTGATCGTGCCACAGTGCTAAGACACCTTCATACCCTTGGATTTAAATCGAAACTTGGGGCTTGGGTGCCCCATGACCTCAATAACCCCCAGAAGTGGCAGCGCGCCTCCATCAGTACCGTCCATCTCTCACAATACAAAAGGAAATCTTTTCTTTCTCGAATTGTAATAGGAGATGTGATAGGAGATCCACCGGGACATATTCGTCATGTCATGCTTCATGAGTTCCTACAAGAGCAGGCTTGGCAGCTGCTAATATTAAAAAGATCTATGGGGAGGAGTCACCTTCCGAAAGAACGTGTCGAGTATGGTTTGCCAAGTTTCGATCTGGGGAAAAATCTTGGTTTTATGATTTTATGTTGAATAAATTCTATATTTTTATTTCTATATTATAGAAATAAAAACCTTTGTAAAGCACAGGTGAAATCAGTTGTATCTCGGAATTTCGAGTAGCCTTATTGTACTCTTCGATTTTATTAGGTTGATGCAAAAGTCTTTTTCATTTTTTTCGTACTTCCGTTAAAAAGTAACAAATGCACCAATTGAACAACGGTTTATTGCATTCGAAAGGCCAATTATTTTTCCGCAAAATGACATTAAAACGAGTTTAAAATGTCTTATGTCTAGATTTTTTTGAGAGCCTGAAGTCGGGTAGTCAAAAAAGGCGACGGCTCGATGATGCATTTTAGACGCTTTAGCTAAGGAAACCAATCTTGATGTTAATAAATAAAAGATAGAGCACAAATAGTTAGGTAGATGGCCAAATTTCCAGAGAAATTGATTCAGCCAATTTCTTTATAGAGGTTTTTATAGATTTTTATGAAAAACCCGTTTTCACTCTCGAATTTGCTTGAAAGTGAACCCAAATTGACTTAAAAAGATGGGAAATTCAACAATAAACACTTTTCATTTAGAGCAAACCATAGGTTAATTGATGACTTTGTTATTTTTCAAAAGAAGTACGAAAAAAATGAAAAAGACTTTTGCATCAACCAATTAGTTCAAAGTCCGGCAGTTTTCAATTCACCAACCCAATAGTAAATTGTTGAACTTATATTCAAGGTTTTCGACTTCTGATACGCAGATTCTTGAACACTTTGATAAAGCTTTAATAAATCCTTAATAAGCTTTATAAATATAAAGCTTCGAAAATAAAGAGGCCATGGGTATTTGAAAACTTTACAAAATGACGTGAGCGTTCAAAAGTCGAATAAAAGCTTTCATAGGGGAAAATTCATGAAATTATCTTTCTTCAACGCCACAAATTTCTCCACACTCAGTTGATTCTTTTTCGGCAAAGAGTGATAAGTGATTATGACTCGAGGAAAACAAGAAAAAATGAACATAGGGATTTCGTAAAAAGAAAAGAAGGAAACGGAGATCAGGAATCGAATTTGAAAGTTTTGTCAACGCTTTAAAAGTTGAGAACTTTGACTTTTTGACTTTGACAACAATTTTGACTGTTTTGGGTGAAATCTTTGAGAAAACTCAGTCAAAGCTGTGTAGAAAAGAGATCAGATAACTAGATCAGATAGCTAGATCTTTTTTTGAACAAGGAATAAAGGTACCTTTGTAAAGCACAGGTGAAATAAAGGTATCAGTTGTGTCTCGGAATTTTGAGTATTGTATATTATTGTATTCTTCGAGTACAAAGGCGGTGCTACTTAAAAGCGTTAATAGAATTGAGCACAAGTATAAAGTTCCGTTATTGTAAGCTAAAAAGAAGAAAATTACCTATATTTACCTCAACAATTTGCTCACTAAAATCAATATTTCAGCTCCGTATATTTGGGCTGGCAGAGTTTGAGGAGGAGAGGAGAAGAGAATGGAAAAATCGGGACAGAGAAAAGGTGTGTCTTGGTGAGAAAAAGAGGGGAAAAGAGGCGGAAAGAAGGGAAACAGATCAACAGAAAGAAACAGAAAGAAACAGAAGAGAAGAAAGAAAGATTGAGAATGAAAAGGAAAATGGGGAAACGGGACGGTCAGCTGAGAGGGGAAACGATTGGTTGGGGGAGGAGGGGAGACGCCTGATGACTCGGGTTTGGAAATAATCGGTCAATCCGCACCGCCGTCAGTCTCATGGCTTTGTATGTGACCAATCCACAATCAAATAATATAGCCAAGCCACAATCAAACTTGTGTATATCATCAAAATCAAGCTCTATAGCAAGCTTAAAGTTCGGTTTAAAAATTCATCATCTTATTGCCGTCGCAAGTCGTAGTTAAACATTTTACAAAATCTACTATCTAAGGAACTTGTAAGTTGAAGAACAAGAATACACAAGTTCTCTAAAAAGTATTCAAAATCACTATTTTCCCCTTATCTTTACAAACTAGAGACATGCTGAGGAAATGCACATTTATCCTGTTTTTGTTGGGGACAAAGTTGCCGAAGTACCACCCAAGCTATTCTCATTCCCAAGCTATATTCCCAAGCTATTCTCATTCCCAAGCTATCTTCCTAAGCTAAGTAAGATCGTTTATTATTTTTTTGCGGAAAGAGTGCAATTTTTTGATTATGAATGTCCACTGATTATGAATGACCAACCCTGTTGACTCGGTTACAATCGGGGGATCCTTCTCCTTTTCCCTCACCCAGAGTTTATTCTCACGTGACACTTTCTTTGCCATTTCACTGATCAAAAAAAGATTTCACGGGTTCCAATCGGTCTACCAAACACAAGATAACGGTTCAAGAGTGGAACGGATCAAAGAGCGCTGGCTGTTTTGAGATGTTTTGCTTGTTTCAGTTAGGGACTTTCTTACATCAAACTTTCTAACTACATAAAACTAAGCTTTCCTAAACTAAGTAAACTAAGCTTTCCTATTACAGATGACAAGACTTCCTAACCAGTTTTCTTTAGATACTTTTCTAATAGCTAAAATGTTCGATTGGATCTTTGAAGGCATCTCAAAAACAACGAGTATTGGATAAAAGGTGTCTAATCACTCATTGTTCAGTCTAATCAAGATTGGACTGAACAATCACTCATTGTTCAGTCAAATCTTGCATCTCAGCGTTTCGATTTCAATTTTCAAAGACTTTATTACAAAGAATACATATTTCAAAAATACCTGGGCTTCTTGGGGAGCGGTGGCTCGGAAAGGCCGCCCTCGTGTGAAGCGAGCCCACCGAGCAGCTCCACGACTAAAGGCCGGCGACGGGAAATCTGAAAATGTAAGAGTAGTGTCAGTTCAAGAGTTAAAGTTAAAGTAATTATGCAGTTTAAGATTGAAATTCGCATAGAAAACCGGAAAATGGTGCTTTCATTGAGTTGTAAAACGAATGCAAGTTCTAGGCTGGCACTTATTTTTAGTATCAATCAGTTTTTTGATTTTTTTAGTATCAATAAGTTTTTCAGCAAGATTCAGCATTCAGCAAGATTTCAAAATCATCACTCAGTATTGTCTTTTTTGCTTCACTGCAATGCAGTAAGCAGAAAAGGACAAAAGAAAACAGCCCGCATATCAAAATTTTCGCTGATAGCTCTGATAAAAGCTTTTTGATTTCTATGTTTTGCCTGGAAAGATAACTGGAATTTGAAAATGGTAAAGAGGCAAAGGCAAAAGAGGCAATTAATAAGTAAATGAAAGATTTTTGGGAAAGGGACTAATCGATAAGATTGACGAATATTGGGAGGGGGTGAATTTAACGAATTGTACTGTATTGTATTGTACTTGTACTTGTATTGTACTGTATTGTATTGTACTTGTACTTGTATTGTACTGTTCATTTGATTTATCAACAAATCTCACAAGTTTTTTGAGTTATTGTAAACTGTGAGTTTAGAGCAAAATGAAATACTTACAAATGACTGATTTACAAATGACGTAGATTTTAAAAAGAGTCACTTCAAGATATTCAGATGTTGTCAGCTTTTTAGTTGGTGGATTCAAAACTGGGACAGATTGTTGGGGATGGTAGGGAGATGCAAATCTATCAGTAATAAAGAAGTTAAAGAATTGGCAAGAAAAAGAAGATTTTCGTAGTGACCTAGGACTTGAATTGTCCTTCTTTTTGCTTGCTTGCTCTAACCACTGAACTATCCGGTGCCTTAACTTGCCAAGAGAAAGAAGGAAAGACAAGGGGAAAGAAGAAAGAAAGAAAGACAAGGGGAAAGAAGAAAGAAGGAAAGAAAGAAGGAAAGACAAGGGGAAAGAAAGAAAGAAAGAAAGAAAGAAGGGAATAAGGAAATAAGTGGCATTTCAAACTTGTCATTTTTATACTTATATTCCTATTTTCATTACGATTTATATCAAAGTTACTATTTTTGAAATCGGAATTTTTTTTTTAAACACTCAGGCAATTTTACGGATTACCGCCAAGGGGATAAGAAAAGGTGGATAAAAGTCACGCACAAAAAAACACAATCTATCAATAAGAGAGTGGTGGTAATGCTGGTCGATCGGGTTGTGGACGGGAGAGGGGAGTGTATGCAGGAGTATGGGCCGGTGGTGAGAGTGTAGGGGTAGAAAGGGGGCAAAAAGGAGGGGGGTGAGTGAGGGTGTTTGGGGGATGTGTCTCCATCCATGTCTCTCTCTCTTTTCTCTTTCTCTTCAAAGACACACACAAGAATAGGCACAGAGAGGGGCTTGAAAAGGGGGTACTGGAAGGGACACCCCTTCCCCTATCGACTCCTCTCTTCCCCATCCTCTTCCCTTCCCTTCCCTTCCCATCCCTTCCCTTCCCTTCCCTTCCCTTCCCTTCCCATCCCTTCCCTTCCCTTCCCTTCCCATCCCTTCCCTTCCCTTCCCTCTCTTTTTCGTCTTTCTCTTTCTTTTCATCTCGTGTACACGTGATTCCAGTCTCTTTTCCCTTCTCTCCTTTTCCTCATCTTTCTATCCATGCACCCAATCGACGAGTTGAATGGTTAGTTTGTTATGTAAGTGCGAAGATGGCTGCATAAAGAACACGCCAATTCTAGTTTAAATTTAATGAACTGGAAGATCGACTACTTTTGAACAAATCTACTTTAGATCTTATTGATATTTCTTAGCTTGATCTAAATAGTTATTGATATTTCTTAGCTTGATCTACATCACTAGATCATTCTTTATATAAAATCTGATTAAAAAAGGGTGCTTGGGAGCTTTAAATTAAAAAAGGAAGCTTGTAAACCTCAACATTATTCGCTCACTATTCCGGATTCCGATCTGATCCAGATCTGAAACATCTGAAATCCGAAAACAAACTGAACCTGTACGAGGATCCGGAAACATTATAACAGTCTAGTAATGCAGATATTAAACTGCATTAATATTAATGCAGTAATGCAGATATTAAACTGCATTACCCTGCAGATATTAAACTTAAAACATGGCATTTTTCGATTTGAACTCTTTAACACCTTCTCTATCACCCTTCCCAATCTATCTTTCTCTCAACCCAGATGCACGTGATTTACCAATAGATTTGGTGGAGTCTCTCAAAAGAAACAAAAAGCGATACAGTAATCAGGGTCACTAATTTCTTGTCGAAATTGGGTCGTGACGAAATACGTGAGGGTTGTTTTTGTGTTTTTTGATACAGCCCTATTTCAAGGTTAATCTTGAGATGGAAAAACAACACCAAAAAAAAATTTGAACATCTTTTTGGGGTCATTGTGTTCTTTGGCAATCAGGCAAGAGAGCTGAGAGTAAACTTTCGTCGCATTACTGTTAAAGTGCAGTATTCGACTCAGAAGACCCAAGGGTTTTCCTTTTTTTTGAAACAAGTTATATGTGGCTCAACATTCTCAGTTGTTTAGGCCAAAAAAAATGCGGTTAATGCGGGAATTTCCCATTTTCCCTAAAAAATATCGAAACCAGTCACAGAGATTCGGCCCCTCCTTTAGCTACGTGACAAATGTTGTGAAGGGCGATCGATAGAATGGAGAAAAGATGTGGGGGTGAAAAGAGATGGATGGGAATTGAAAAAGAATGAGGGAAATTGGGGGAATAAGGAAAAAATCGAATGTGGAACGCGGGTATCCACATAATATCCTTTTATCTTTCCTCCTCATTAGGTAAAAGAAGATACATGGGGATATTGTACTACAAGGAGGAGTTGGGGAGAGCCAGGGTTAGCCAAGGGTTAGGTCTGAGTCTGTCTTTGCGGTAATCGATGTTTGGCCTTAAAAAATTCAAGGATTCACGACTGCAGGGTGCCTTACTTTAGCTGAATACCTTCATCTCCCGTTAACTTATTAACTGCATTCTAAACAAACTTCTAACTAGATTCTAAACTTCTAACTGGATTCTAAACAAACTTCTAACTAAATCCTTTATTCTGTCTACAGTACCCTATCGATTGAACGAACAATTGAAAAGAATCAAATTGAAAAGAATCAAATTACCACTCTAAAATTAAACAAATCAAATAAAAAATAACCTTTGTTATTTGAAGACGCGTCGGGGCACGGTCTTCTTGGGCACACAAAAGTTGCTGATGCTTGGTCAGATATTTGGAGAGTATTTGAGGTGGTAGTAGAATAGAAGAGGATTTTGGGAGGAAAGGAAAAGCGAGGGGAGAAGAGGAGAGCCTGTGGCCGAGCTGGAAAAGAAGGAAAGAAAAAAGAAAAAGAATCGAGAAAGGGGCGATGCCGGGATGCAGTCCGGGTGAGGGGAATGGAAAAGAGAAGAAGAAAAAGAAGGCAATCTATAGAAAAGAGAAATCCAGAGGAAAACACGAGGTTTTGTGAAAAAGGAAAGGAAAGAAGGGGGAAAGAAGGGGGAAAGTTGAAGGGCTTTCTGAGGGAAAAGAATCATATGTTTAGATTAGAGGAGTGAAATATTAGACATCGAAGAGAGGTACTAGATGGGAAAGATGACAAGAGATTGGGTGAAAGGGGAAAGATGGGGCAAAGGGTTAGATTGAGAGATTGTGGGAAAGCGGAGGTACTAGAGAGACGGGTGAACAGCTGATCGAGGGGGAAGGGCAAGGCGAGGACTGATTGAGAAGGGGAGGAGGGTGGCTCGCGCACTACCCCTCTGTTCCCTTTCCTACCTTTCCCCTACTAAGAAAAGGAATCTTTAAAGAGAAGTTAAATAATAGAATACAAAGAAACTAAGTTTTAACTATTTAATTGTAAATAAAGAAAGAAAATCAAGTCTTAGGACTTGATTTTCTCACAAAAGAATCTCACAAAAGCTGTCCAGATTATTATCTTTGCCCCTTTGCAGCTTTAAATACACTTTCTTCACTTCATCCACTTTGATTTTTATTTGGATAATCCTTTCCCCTCTCCCGATTACCCTTCTCGAAACAAACTTCTAGCTATAAGCTGAGATCTGCTGGGTCCACAAGTCAAAACAAGCAAATATCGAGTTTTCAAAAGGTAAATCTATGAGAGATTGTTCCTTGGCACTCCATTTGCTATTTTAAACCCAGACTGAAGACTAAAGGCAATTGCTGAAGACTAAAGGCAATTGCTGAAGATTAAAGGCAATTGCTGAAGACTAAAGGCAATTGACCTAAGCAGATCTAGGTGCAAATGTTCTTCAGACAAACAATGTTGTTCTCTAAACTGACACAACCAGGTAGGTGTCAAAAAAAGCATGAACAATTTCTAAACTGACACAACAGCTAGATGTCAAACAAGCATGAACAGTAACACTTCAATTTGCAATGTTAAAATTAGCATATTTACATTACACACAATCTCTATAATCCAGTTCTCTATAATCCTTTTCACCTCACTCCTCACCCCGATCCCCTATTAGGATGAGTCTTTTCCCCCCATTTTTCTCCGATTATCCCTTCTCTCTTCTCTCTTCTCTCTTCTCTGAAACAAATTGCCTCTTACCGGATTAACGATACTTTCTCCCCGATTCCTTCTGTCCGTCAAATTTATGACCACCCGAAATCGGGTTATCAAAGAGCCAAAAATAGCCGCCTCGCTTCGGATCGATCACATAATTGCAAACTGGTTCACCAGATTGGAAAATTTAGAGTGTACTTTGAGCGAGTGAGAAATGAAGATAAAAAAGGGGCAAAATGGCGATTAAGTTGTAAAATTGAAACCCAAATAGTGGCATTTATAGCTAGGAATACTTGTAGTGAATACAGCAATACTAACAGTGATTTTTTTTGACTTGACGCAACGAATCAAGTGCGTTTGCTATATTTAAGCTTGAGCGTAAACCAACCAGTACTTTCCTGTTAGTCCCACGACTATTTTGCTTTGCTTATAAGCCCAGTTTGCTTATACTGAAAATTAGGATTGTAGGAATAACATTAGGATTGTAGTAATGCGGCAGTAACAATACACCAAACTAAGAATAACTAGTTGAGCTAATAGTTGTGGTAGTGATAGTTTGGAGGATGAGGATGGTAGGACAAGGATGGTAGGGCAAGGATGGTAGGGCAAGGATGGTAGGGCAAGGATGGTAGGACAAGGATGGTAGGACAAGGATGGTAGGACAAGGATGGTAGGGCAAGGATGGTAGGACAAGGATGGTAGGGCAAGGATAGTAGGACAAGGACTAGAGTGTGTTCCTACCGGATAATGCGTTTTCTAAAATGCACCTATTTGAGAAAACTATCGTAGTCAAACCCTTAGTTTAGATGCAATTAGTCCGATTTTGCTATCATTGATTGAGCCTTGTAATTCCTCATCGAATGGTACCAAAATCGGAGTGATTGCACGTAAACTAAAGTTTTGACTACGGTACTTTTCTCAACTAGGTGCATTTTAGAAAACGCATTGTCCGATAGGAACACACTCTAGTAGGGACAATGTCGTTCTACAATGTAATGGACAATGTCGCTCTACAACTTAATGAACAATGTCGCTCTACAATGTAATGGACAACGCTCTACAACTTAATGGACAATGTCGCTCTACAACTTAATGAACAATGTCGCTCTACAATGTAATAGACAATGTCGTTCTACAATGTAATGGACAATGTCGCTCTACAATGTAATGGACAATGTCGCTCTACAACGTAATGGACAATGTCGCTCTACAATGTAATGGACAACGCTCTAGAACGTAATGGACAATGTCGCTCTACAATGTAATAGACAATGTCGCTCTACAACGTAATGGACAATGTCGCTCTACAATGTAATGGACAATGTCGCTCTACAACTTAATGGACAATGTCGCTCTACAATGTAATGGACAATGTCGCTTAATTCATCGCTCAATTCCGATGAATTAAGAATCAAATAAAGTAGAGCTGGACAATCTTTTAGACTATTTCGGTTTCTTTCTTTTTGGATATAAAAAAATAGTTTTCATTTCTAGTTACAAGTTGAAATCTGACTTTTTGCCTCGTCTCATTCTCTTCTCGTTCCTCCATTCGAGCTGTTCGTTTCCTGGATGGTCCACTACTCGACGAGCTCGATATTGTCGGTGATTTCTCCCTTCTCCTCTTCATTCTTTTCCCTCTTTCACCCGTTTCACTCTCAGAATCCATTACAAATCCTGAAAACTTTCAAAATCTTTTCTCTCTTCTCAACAACTCAATAAAATCTAATGACCTATTGAAAGAAATGGGCTAAAAAAATCAAAAATGCATTTAGAAAGAGGGAAAATTGATTTGACAAATAGGAAAACGATTGAAATGACAAATTTTTCAAAAGATTCTTCATTTTCACTTCATTTTCACTTCATTGTCACACTCATTTTTTTCTGACCGAGAAATTGATTGAACTTTTTTTTCTCGTGTGCGTGGACTCGATTCATCGGTCTGTTCCCCATCTATGACTGGGAAAAGGGAAAAAAACACACAAAAATGTCTCTATGAGACGATGTTTTATATTTGGGGGAAATCACGGAAAGGCCAGCAATTGGAGAACCAAAAGAAAATCGTTTTGCAGTTTTTTTTTTCTGAAAGGTCAAGTGCAAACGTTACAGTACTGGAGTTAAAATTCGTTAATTTGCTTCATTAGAAAACTTCTGCTTGTCAATGATCAGTGTTTAGTGCTCAATTATTCTATATCGCCAAAAGTGGCATTTATTAGTAACTTTACGGTACACAAGTACTTTACGGTACATAAGTACTTTACGGGACACAAGTACTTTACGGTAGACAGGTACTTTACGGTACACAAGTACTTTACGGGACACAAGTACTTTACGCTACACAAGTACTTTACGGTACTTTGCACAAGTAAAACTTTAAATCTAAACTGTCTAACACTGAACTCCACAAACTGTTTGCAGTTGAAGCTTTCCTTTTCAAGCAGCTCTCAAAATAACACATATGATCCGGTTGTATTAAATGCTGCATTGTAAATGAAAACAAAAAACAGTCGATTATCTCTATAACAGAATGGAAAGGACCAACAAAAATTTTTCCCGTTATATAGAGCGCCATATTTATATAGCTTAGCGTCAACCGGGACCAAAATTCCATTCCGTTATATAGTTTTCTGCTATATAGAGTTCCGTTATAGAGAACTGTACTAAGAAATAAAAATACTGTTTAATATCTTGATGAAATATGGTACTGATAGAAAATTTTTTCGTAATTTCAACGGTTGAGAGCAGAGAGCAGAGAGCAAATTCTTGACTAACTAGATCAAGTAAAATCAAACGATTTCTAGCAAACTGGAAAGTTTAACTGATATTTAACAGTTGACAACTTTTTGTCCTTTAATTAGAAAAAGAAAAAATGAAGAAAAAGTAATGCAAAGCATCTGAAAATGTTTAAAAATGTTAGCCGCAACAGCTCAAAAACAGTAAGACTTTTTCCGACTGCTAGATGAACTTGATTAGCCGATGGATCAAAACGTTAACGAGAGAAGGCTCTCAAAAAAATGTGAGATCACAAAAGCGCCGTAAATGATCACATAGTGGGTTAGAGGTTGATGGGGAGGAAGGGGAAGGAAGGGGAAGGGATGAGAGAAGCGGGATGGGTGGTTGAAGAGAGAAGGGGGAAAAGGACAACGGACAGCCCCAGTCCATCCCAGTACCCGTGCCCTCCAAGTGCAACATCCCATCTTCCCCATTCCCTCATCTTCCCCATCAAGCTCTACCCCAACCACATCGATATTTCTCAAGTGTGTTTGTTTCTTTTCCCTTCAACAATACCCATTGCAATTTCTGTAAACTGAAAAGAGTGATCTTTGAGTATTGACCAACGTTGATATCAATTATGGTCAGTGATGTTCCAACCAATCTGCAAATCAAGCCAGATTGTAAGGCCAGAGTCGGTCAGCCGGCCGAACCGGTTTCAGGTACTTTTTGTGGACAAAACTTGCGATAAATTGTTGTTCCAACTTGTTCCAACAAAACTTGTTCCAAAATTCCAGAACAAAGCCCATTTTTGAATCCCTAGACAAACCAATGAGGATGAGCGATCAAGCTTTGTTAAACAAAATATTCTCACCGATCTCACACATTCACGACAAAGTCATTTTTGACTTGGCTGCCGTTTCGGACGACATTTATGTTAGCTGTAGATTTGATTTGGTTTGATCAAGCAAGTTTAGTCAAACATGAACTGATCCGGAAAAATTGTCTTGGAACAACTCGAATTATGACTGGTTAGATTGTGAAAACAGTTTGAAAGTTTGAAAGCAGTTCAATTTTAAACTTTCAACTATGACACTTCTTACTAGGCTTACGAATTTGTGAGTTCAACTTTCCAACCACAGTCTGGTCCGTTTTGAACGCAATCGAATGTTTAGAAAAGAAAATTTTTGTGGAAGAATGGTTTTAGACAGTGGATACAGTATTCCGATTTAGAATAAAGAATACAATTTCAAAGAACAAATTTCTAGAAAAGCAAAGTATCCTACTGAAATGAGAAGTTCAACCGAAAGTGCAGATCAAAGATTATATCGAAAAAAACTTCAGAAGAAATGTCTCAATCGAAATCATTCTCCCTTCATCGATCATCTTTTCCATATTCGGCCTGTTTTGTCTCCTTTTTGCCTTGACATCGAATCAATCAGCCACATGATAGCCAAAATCACTTTTGATTGCCCCCGAAATGATCGGCTCACATCGAGGGGAGATACATACAGATGGATATCAATCAAGGTAGTCAACCATATGTATATGGTTGACTGCGTTGCGTTGCAAAATGATAGGACCATCCTGGATTTTTGCGATTTTTGATTTTAAATAACTAAAATTTTCTGAAACATTTCTGAATTCGGTGATGTCGCTACAGGACGTCAAGGTACAAATTGGAGCTCCCGTCCACAAAAGCACTCTTTCTCGAGCCATCAAGTGTTACATCCGTTACATCAAAAGAGCAATCATGAAGAAAGCACCAAAACTGAAGCCGGCACACAAAGAAAAAAAGGATGTCTTGGGCTCGGGATCACATCACCATCGATTGGAAAAAAGTAAACTTTTTTCCTTGAGTTGTTAACTATTTTTTTCTTTGTAGGTCATCTTCAGCGATCAGAAAAAATTTAATTTGGATAATCCCGACGACAACAAGTACTATTGGCACGATTTGAGAAAAGATCCAATGCTTTGTGGGCGTCGAAACTTTGGTGGAGGATCGCTGATGATATGGGGCGCTTTCAATGTGGATGACGTTCTTGATTTAGAATTTGTGACTTGTCGCATGAACTTGAACGATTACCAGGACGCCCTTACGGATCAACTACTTCCTTTTCTAGCACAAAATCGAGGGAAACACTATATTTTCCAACAGGATAATGCTTCAATTCATGTCAGCCAATCCACTAGAGCTTTCTGGCACACCGCAACAACCATTTTCTCGAATGACCTACCTGCTCACCGGACTTAAATCCAATGAAAAACTTATGGGGCATCCTCGTGAGGAATATTTATGCTAATGGAAAGACTTACGACACGATTTCGCAACTCAAAAAAAGCAATTTTGCAAGCTTGGACGTCAATTCCACCACAAACGCTTCAAAACTTAGTGAACTCGATGAAAAGTCGACTACTCAACGTCATCGAGAAAAAGGGAGCATCTATTGATTATTAATGAACTTTTCTTTTGTTTTTCTTTTGTTTTTCTTTTGTTTATTCTCAAATTTATTGCTATTTTTTATGTGGTCCTATCATTTTGCAAAAGGTGTTAAATAAAGAAATTGTTATAATTTTGTTGCAATTTGTTCAGATAACGTTAAAAATGGTATATATGCCTATTTTTGTATATGTTGTGTCCGATTTAAATTTCCGTCCGATTTAGATTGAACTTATCGCGGACGTCCGATTTAGATTACAGTCTATATCGGACGTCCTATTTAGATTCGATCTAAATCTTATATAGATTGAACACTAATATAAACGTGCTTAATATATGTTCTTAAGCGTTTTTTTTGCAATTTTCTGCGCTTTTCAGAGAAATTTTATTGTCTTTTTTTGAGAATTTTTTGTTTTCTTGTTTTCCTATTAAATGCTGCTTTTTTACAGATGGAGGACCTTTTTGACCTTTTTGTTTCATAGTTGGGTTTTCTTTTCAGAAAAAGACAGTAACAGACCTTTGAAAAATGCAGAAAACTACAGAAAACGCTTAAGAACATATATTAAGCATGTTTATATTATTGTTCAATCTAAATCGGACACAACATATATATTCCTAGGATTTAAAAGCAATTGCGCGTTATTAAATTTCATAGCCAAAAAAAAATGTAAAATTTAGGGGTGGTCCTATCATTTTGCAACGTACCTTATTTGCATTATGCATAGATGGATATTTGACTCAACGCACTCACCAAGGCATTTAAATTGAAACGTTCCATTCAACTATTTAAAACCAAAGCTGATAAACAACATTAGAAAATTTTAATTCTTACTTTGTCTAGCTTGATCTAGCTTTGCTGCAGGCTTGATCCACAAGTCCCTAATTATAGCTTTGATTTAGAATTTTTCATGCTAAACTTTTCTCCACAGCTATGTAATATGTCTCGAAGTCATTGAAATCAATAAGTTTTCTTTTCCATATTTTATCCGCTATGATGTCAACTCGTCTAAACACTTAAACACTTTAAAATTCACGACCCCGTTTCACTCATTTTCTTTGAAATTCTCGTCAAAATGATTACGAAATTTTTGTTTTTCTTTGCTTTACTTGTCTGGAGAGCGAGAAAGTTGCAGGATTTCAAAAATCGACATTTCAACCTTCGGACGGTTTTTATTTATCCAAATCAGAGCCACTAGAAAAATATGGGTAAGTACTACAGTGTGAAAACAGGATTGAAAAGATTTTATCACGCAAAGAGTGTTTTTGGACCAAGTTTCTGGTGCTATATTACGGTGCGGATGAGGGGATTTGCAAGAAACTTTCTTCAATAAAGCAAAAGGCAAAATTTTCTCATATATTACTTTAATAGAAAATTTCAACCGATTTGATGAGGCGTTGAGAAACTCGAGCAACGAATTTTGACAAAGTTTACGGAGAAAGAGGATTGAAAATTGTCTGCGCTATAGATTTGGATGCTGATTTAGAAAACTGTAAATGACCATTGGAAAATATACTACTGTAGTTTTGTGTACTGGCTTCACGAAATTTTAGTTCTTAAGCTCAACAAATGCTATGCGGAATAAGCATGGTTGCCCAAAAGTGCATGGATTTTGCAAAAGATGCTTGGTCTTACAATGATCTAATGATCTCGTGACAAAGGTTTCCGAGAAATGCATCAACGAGGTTTACCGCGAACTTTATGAAATCTGAATCTGAAGTTGAACAATTTGCATGAAAATAAAATGCCCACTAAATTTTTATTCAATCAAATGAAAGAAACGAATAAACCGTACAAATGATTTATATTCAAATTGTAGCTTCATGCGTTATCGTGAGTTTGGGTACACATGTGTTGATGGGCGGTGAACGTGGACGAGCCCCTGTAGAAGAAAAGACGTAATGTTAGAAGAAACATCCTTACTTGGCATAACCCCATCACGATACTCACGATATGTTGTTAAAATAGGAGACCATATAGTTTCCGAAAAACTAAATAATATATGACTTATATGAGATAACCAAATTGATTAAAACCTCAGAAAAAAGTCAGAAATGCGAAAAGCCGGTCGATAGAGTGTCATGAGGAACCCACGCCGGCTAAAAAATAAGTAGCATTGGTGCATTAATTACAAAAAAAAAGTACCGCATTGGACACGTACCATTTTAAAAGTTGGGCCATTTTCAAGACAAAATTTTGGCAAACAACTATTTTATTCGATGATTTTTATGTTAATTTGCTATTTCAAGCATTTTTTTAAAAATAACTTTGTTTTTAAACGACAATTTAAAACTGGGTAAAGTGAAAGGCCTACTAGCAAAATACTTTTGACTCGGCATCTTCATCTTAACGAGGCTTGTATTCTCCGGAATTGGCTTTCTTAGTTGAGATATGAGAGCTGAATTTCTTCCGCCATAACAGCCTGACAAAACCGTCACAGTCTCTTTGAAATCAGCCGCTAAAACTCATCATTTAAATCAAAATTAGCCAAAAAAACCAACTTTGTAAAGTGACATAAAACTGAAAGGGTGAATCGAGTCGTAGCGAATAAGGCCGATGACGTTTGTAAAGCTCAGTTTCGTTCCGTGGACTAGCCCATTCCGGCATTCCGCCAATGCCCTAAAATATACAAAGTTAAGAGGCTAGTTTCTAAAAAACAAACCTCTTTTATGACCTTTTGCATGAAATGGAGCCCTTTAGGGCCAAGGTTGAGTCTCGTCCAATGTTCGACGTTTGCAAGAGGCGCTAACAACTCATATCCATCCTAAAACAGACGACATTTATAAGCTGTAAACTTCAACTACAGTTTAGCCACCCTTTCAATGTTCTAATGGACAGAGTAACTGCAAACCTCAAAAATTTCCCAAGTATTCCATGACTTCAGCAAATCGATGTGATTTTCCATTTGAAATATTGGTAATAGCAAAGTTTGAGTTTTGACCTAAACGTAATATTTCGTATAGACGTATAGACGTATAGACCACTAAAATAATTACCTTTGCTTTCGTTAAAGTCTTAAAAATCTCGACAAGATCCATTCCAAGAAAAGTTGAGGAAAAGTTGACAATGTCTTAATTAGAAAATTAAAAAAAGTTAAACTCATTTTCAACCTGTGCTTGCAGTTGGTCGTACAATAACCAAATTTATATTTGTAACATTCTTTCCCAACTGTTCGCCCGGATCCAACGAAATGGAGAATGCCTAAAAAAGTCAAAGCAAGCTAAGAAATCTAGCATCTTTACATCAAATTTAGACGTTCTAAAAGTCGCCATAGCGGTCGTGATTTCAAACATTGGGTGGAACTCGCGCAAGTATGGTGATACAAAAAACTGAGCTTTCATTGTCTGGCCAATCTAAAATCGAATGCTATTATTTCAGCTGATACGTAAAAAAACGTACTGTAGCTTCATTTTTCCATTTGACTCGAATGCCTGAGCCGGACATAAAACAACATGAATCGGCGGCGAGTTCGGCTTGAGGAACAATTTCTCCATCTGACAGTTTGCCAACCCATTGTGCATAGTGGCTAGAACGAATAGGCCAAACACCCTAAATAAATTTAAAATACCTATTTGTTTTGACCCAATTCGATTTATCGAACGATTTATAAAAACTTGCCTCATCTCCGAGATATTTTTTCAAAGTGGCCAGCGCTTCTTTTAGAAATGGTCGATGCGCATCTCCAAGAAACACCCTAAAATATAAATCATAAATTGGATAAAACATTCTCTCAACCTTGCTATGACAAATAGAGATTTCCTTGAGTCACGTTCGTTGGTATTCAGGGCACATCGATGAAGAACTTCCAAAATTGCTTTTGTAGCTAAACGTTGTTAGTCTCAATAAAATGGGAGTCAACTAACCGTCAATGTCTTCTTGATTTATTTTAAGAGCCAAATCAATTGCTCGGCGTTCATCTTCGTCACCAAGTAGAAATATGGCAACTAAAGCACTTAGCGCGGGAATTGGAGCTATGATCTAAAAAGTCTTATTTTATTAGATTTAATTATCCCCACGTAATTCACATTGCTTGTCATAGGGCCGAGTTTGTGGAAATAGTCGAGGCTTGAAACGATAAACCTAAATATTTTATACTTTACGCTTTAGAGAAAATAATCACCGATGAATAAGTGAAGAAAAGTCTTGAATCTCTGGTTCTTCTTTCTTTTTTCGTTTGCATTTATCCCAAAGCTTTTTGAAGAAGCCACTTTCTAAAATTTCATAAAAAAAAATATGTAAATCAATATAGCAAACTTTTCTTTGGAGATTTCGTTGCAAGGCAGGTTTTCTTCACATCTAAACTCTTTTACAATAAGGGTGATTCAAAAAAGGCCAACCATTTTTCACCCGGTTTTTCGCACATGTAGCAATTGTGGTCACTTCTAAAGAAGCAAAACTTTTATGAAGTATAAAGTGGAAGCTTACCGCTTGCAGTATACTTTGTTCCTTGGAGAACGGCTGAAGAAGCGCTTTTCACAACTAAAGAAGCGTTTAATGAGAGTGCAAAAGTAAAGACAAACTTTTGCATGCTTGTTTCACTGTGCATCGTCTCCTCTTAGCCACCACAAAAGCGCCCCTTTTTGATCCCTTTCCAACAACTAAAAACTTGACTTAATTTGAATCAATGAGGTAACTTTTTACTATAAAAGTTCTAGGAGTTCCAGGCAAAAATTCTACCTGAACACGCTTTCCCCGGGATCTTGTTGAGCGTACCACCTAAGTAAAACAGAGTTATCAATAAAAAAATGTTGCAAAATACCGCTGATAGCCATTTTCTTCGAGTCTTTTGCATTTTTTCGACTTTCCCCCGAAATTGATGATGCTGAACTTTAACCATTAAGACCAAATCTAACAATGCGCAAACTTGATGTTCTTGAAGGCGTTTCTAAACACACAAAATTATACTTCAACTAAACACAAATCACTGACCTGCTTTCGGTTTATCACTCGCTTTTTCTTTTATTCTTTCCGCTAAGATCTATTTAAATCAACCCAAGACAATAACGCTACCTTTATCAAATATTCCTTTCGCAAGCAGCAGACTTGGAAACTTGGAACATTTCCTTCTTGGCGATGAAAGAGTGACCCTTTCCGAATGATAAGCTAAAATTAAACCGATAGGTAATCGATAAAGAAACGAAAAACTAACGTTTCTTCTTTGACGATTTCAAGGTTTGTGAGCTTTTGGATAGTTCCGATGATTTTAAACTTTTCGCTGAAAAGAGAAATTAAATATCTCAAAGGAAAAAAGAAAACAAACTTGTACTTGATTGAGTCGATGTTTTCTCTCTGGTCGAAACCTTTTCCGAGGACTTCTTTTGAGTAGATGCTAAACGTGATCGATATTACTTCCACAAAAAGAGCAACAACTCACTTTTCTTCATTTTCTTCAATTTCTTTTTGGAAGTTTCAAGCATTTACTTTATTAGTGTTTCTAAAAAGGGAAAATGGCTTAAATTTTGAAATTTCTAAAAGTTACCTAGAAGACGGCCATAGAAAATGGTGAAGAATGAAAAAATGAATTATTGGCCTTCGAGGAAAATTTTGTGCCTTAGATTTCGTATGCAAAATTTTAAACTCAATCTGCATTTTCTAATTTGCATTTGATTTGCGGCGGATCCGAGAAAGCAAAACGGAAAAGTTATTCGTTTTGCAGCGATTTTGGGAGTGGGACAAATGCGACCTTTTTTTTTGCGCACCCGGACATTTGCGCACCTTTTTTTCCGCACCTTGCCCATTAGCGCACCTTTTTTCGCGTTTTAAAAAAGCTCTAAAAAGCTAATATTAACCAATTTCTATTCCAAATGTTGTTTTTCTAGGTAATTTGAGGGTGTCGAATTCAAATTTTGACATAACAGAGCGTGTGGAACCAATTTGAAAGACAAAACGGCTAGATCAAATTACAGAAAATTGTCGATTTTTCTCTTTGTATAACTCCGTCCGTTTGTTTCCACACGCTCTGTTATGTCAAAATTTGAATTCGACGCCCTAAAATTACCTAGAAAAACAACTTTTGGAATAGAAATTTGTTAATATTAGCTTTTTTAAAACGCGAAAAGAGGTGCGCTAATGAGCAAGGTGGGCAAATGTCCGGGTGCGCAAAAAAAAGGTCGCATTTGTCCCACTCCCGCGATTTTTATGAATCCAGGGTGAAATGCTTCATTTTCTACACATTCTACTGCTCATTTTCGGCATCGCTTTTTGTGGAAAGAAAAAGGTTTATGGTTTTGTGTAAATAATCTATTTTTTTAGTTTTACTTTTACAAAACAACTCAGTGGTTAACACTTTTTATTTGTTTTTTACTTTAGAGCCAAAAGAAGACTCAATCTGCCCCGAAATCTGTCAGCGTCCAATTGAAATCGATCAAATCTCTCCAACAGCCGGACCCTCAAGCGAATCAACCTCCTCAACCGGTTATTCATTTGTTGTTTGTTTACCCGTGCGCTTTGTTTTTTAGGCAGCAGAGCCAGCGGGACAAAAACCAAAACAAAAGTCTGAGGTGGTCGAAAAAACGGGCAATTCGGTTGGTATTTTACAAATGTATTATCTATGTACCCATAAGGTTGACCTCTGATATTTAAGCACTATTTTTAGGCACCCACGGAAACCGAAACCGATGCTGAAAAGCAGAAACGAATTCTCGCCGACATTGAGCTCAAATTCAAAAAGGTTTTATTATATCCGTATTTAAGTTAACTGTTAGATTAATCGGTTTTTGAGTAAAATTCGGGACTTAATTAGTTTTGCGTATTGAACTTTTGTTTGTTGCTTAACACTTGTAACTTTTTAAATCAAAAAGGCCGATCTAATAGTTTGGTTTTCTCGGCTCTTCGGTTGGATAAATTTTGCTACTGATTGTTCTGTCAAGTCCAATTGTTGTAAAAACAGGAAAGCTTATATCTGCTAACAAGATTCACGCGAAAATAAGAAAAAACGCAACATTCAAAAGTCAAATGTTGTGGAATAAAAATAAAAACTAACTAAATCTCACGAAAGTCCCGGATTCTACGCAAGAACAGATTAATCTCATTTCTTATTAGGAAGAAGGCCGATCTCAATTCTTATTAGGAAGAAGCGGCTGGAGTCCCTCAACTCCAATTCTCTAGTCGACGAATCGAGAAGGAACGCCAGGATAAACAACAGAAGCTCGCTCAATCTAGAAAGAGTGAAAAAGCGCAGGATGTGTGAAGAAAAGGTACAATTTATTAGCTCCTTTTATTAATGATATGAATTGAATAAAGCATTTAAAACAATGAGAATTTATTGAGTGGCGGGAAAGAGACAGCCGCCACAGAACTTGACGAGTCACAAAGCCTTTTTCGAGCCGCGTATAACCAATTGACCGTCTTTGTTCAATTCGCTTTTGATTGTCGATGGATCGATGTTCTCAGGTAGATGATAACATCTAGAACTTGTTTTAAGATTGGTACAAAGGATTTCAGTCCTGTAAGGGTGTGTACAAGAGTTGGGCTTACTCGTACAAGAGTTGGGCTAGATTAAAGATAGTCAAATGATAAAGATCGTGATTTTTCTACCATATTTCTTATTTTTGAGTGGATTTTATTCGCTCTATTCTATTCTTTGATTGTTTACCTTGTCAGGCTCCTTTTCACTCCACCAAACACTCCACTTGTTTCATGTTCCATTCGAATTTCGACCATTTCACCCACTACTTTCACCTATAATCAATTTGAACAGGGAATACTGTAATTTCAATAGAAGATACTGTAGTTATATCACAAGTTTAGCTTACAGTGTACTTAGGCAAAAAAAATAAAGAGCAAGCTTGAAAAGAAGATTTGTTTTCTCCACAAACCGATATGTCCTTTGAAGTGAAATATCTCGCGTCAAGAGCCACCTAAAAGGCATTCATTTTTGAGGAAACTCCTAGAAATTTCCCTGAAACGTTTTCCCATCCATGTGAACATTCGCTTTTCCATCTCCGCCTTGTAATGGCCACTCCCAAACCAAACTTGCAATTGGACGACGAGATGCCATTTCAGAGCTCATTGTACCTTGAAAATAACAGTATTGGTTTTTAGGATAAGGCTTGGAAATTGCAACAAGCAAACGTGATTTGACTTGAAAAATAGTGAACGAGCGATTGAATCGTCTTTGTGAACGTCGTAATTGTGAATGCTCGAATATTCGTTGTGTTAGTGTGTTCTTTATGAGATCTTTCTTTTCCAGAAACATCTCGAGATCTCAGCCATCCTTTTCTTCATCCAAATCAACCACTTTTCTCTCTGTCATCTTCTGTTGTTTATGTAAATTTGCTTTTCCAGTGAGCACAGGGAAATCTTCTGCTTAAAAAGTGAAAAGAAAAACGTTGAAAATATTGGAAACTACACAAACAAATATCGAAAATGTACAAAAAAAACAGGAATCAATCAATAAATCTAGCGAGAGGCTTTTTAATAGATTCATTTTGATGTGGAAACTGCAAGAAACTGTTCAATAGAACCTTCATGTGTTCAATAGAACCTTCATGTGTTCAATAGAACCTTCATCTGTTCAATAGAACCTTCATGTGTTCAATAGAACCTTCATCTGTTCAATAGAACCTTCAATAGAACCCCAATGAAGGCTTGAACTTGATTAATGAGACACTCTGACTATCGTGACATCCCGGTGTCTTTCCAGTGTTCACAGTATGTTCACAGTATTTCATTCTCGTTTCCGGTGTCGATAACCTCAAACCCTAGAAAGTTTACTAACAAATGACACTAGAATGACAAAGAAACAAGCATATATTTTCGATGACTCTTTTCATTAACTCTGTTGATGCATTAAAATGAAGTCTCTCATGTTTTGTCTCAAACACAACCATTGTTAAAACATTTGTAATAAAAAACTATTTCACTTATCACTTTCTTTTTCAATTTACTTTCAAAATGATTTCAAAAGTTTTAATTCTCTTTTCTTTTCTCGCCTTGGTAACGAGTTAGTTGTGGGAATCTGAAAGGTTGAATACTCAATTTTTAGCTTATCTTTGTCCGGGAGAACAATAACACAAATATAATGGAGAACAATAACACAAATATACAAAATTTATAAAAAATGAAAAGATTTGGATAACTTTCTAGTAAAATGTAAAAGTTTAGATGCCATATACTGGATCGGATGAGGAGATCTGCAAGTAAGCTTTCAAACAAATCGAGTTTTTTCCGAGAAGTACCCTGATCCTTTTGTTAGAAGTTTAGCTGACAAAGCTGACAAAATTGTAGATATTTTTATTCCTTAAAACGTTTTTACTAACTTTAGCCGACTTGCTGGACCATCAATCATAAAATTTTAGCCGCTTTGATGAACTGAGAAATTCGTCCAATGAATTCGACAAGGCTTTCGGAGAAAGAGGATTGAAATTTGTCTGCGCTAAAGATGCTGATTTGGAAAACTGTAAATTATTATCGAAATCGAAACCAAATAAGTTATATATAAAGGTTTAAGCATGAGTTCTATAAACTTAAAACTACAAAAGTTGTACAGAATTTATGAAGGCAATGTTATGTGGTGTGCAACAAGATCCAAAGCCAGAGATGCTAATCTCACCTGTGCTTTCTTTGATTTCTAAAAAATGGCCAAAGATACAGTACTCTAGGTGTCTTTTTTTTGGATTCAGCTAATGAAAGTAAACTCAATTCGGCAAAAAAACATATCTTTTTTATAGTTAAGTCGCTCTCTGAATGTTTTTCGCGAAACGCGCAGAAAGCTGGCGAAAATGCTTTTGCTGAATGCTTTTGCTGCTAAAGCTGGAGGATCGGATGCTCGTAGGTAGAGTGTGTTCCTTGCAGACAACGCGTTTTCTAAAAAGGATAAGCTACCGTAACCCTAAAACGCCAAGGATAAGCTACCGTAACCCTATTCTTTGCATCAGCAAATTTTTCAAAATGCAAATGTACATTAAAATCTTGCGCTCTTTTTTCTATTACTCTTTCCTTAACTCTATTACTCTTTCCTTAACTCTATTACTCTTTCGCTAAAGCTTAAAAATTTTTAAATGCTATTTAAAATTAAAGAAAACATTTAAAACGGGAAAAGTTAAGAAACACTATTAAAAAATTATATTATTTACGAATTTACCAGGCCTATTGTCTACATTTGCACTAGAAACCATTCCAAAAAGAAATTCCACGCCCTAAAAAACCTAAATCCATAAATAAAACTATCCATTACTATATTTTAAGAAAAGTTTGCAAATTTTTTTCGCGCGACCTTTATAGCTTTGCTTAAAAAGCGCACCTTTTAGAAAACGCATTGTCGGAAGTTTGTCGGATCAATTGTCTGACAAAAAAGTTGTCAATGAAAATTTGTCTGACAAATTGTCTGTCAACAAGGAGCACACTCTACTCGTAGGTCTTTTTGTTAAATAACGGGTTGAAAATTTAGATTTGAATTTAAATTTGAGTTTAGATTTGAAAAGTTAAAGATAAAATAACATAAATAAAAAAGGACATAAATAAAAACTAATAAAACATAAACTGTACTCTAAGCTATCTTTTTAGAATCGCCACCAAAATGATTGTTTGCACTGTGCGAACGTTGTCTATACATGCTGGATGGAGAAAATGCCGCTGAAACATTGGCATTCACTGCCGAAATGGGGTAAGTTGTGCAACTATGCAACCGGTCTCTTTGATTCTTCTCGCTCCTACAAAAATTGGGCTAAACGCAGGGTGCTAAACAGGCTAAACTGAGTTTTTAAATTGCATAGTTTACCAAAATAAGTTAAAAATGCTAATCTCAGACTTTGAATGTGAAATTTGAGACGCTTGTCCTTGCTACAAGTAAACTGATTTAATTTGTGTGTATCCAAAAACATGTATCTTTCTTTTGCCCATTGTGTCTCCCAAAAACATTTGAATCAGTCATCAACATCAGAATCATTGAAACATTTGAAACAAAGAAACCGTTTTGCTTGTCATTTTTCATCGATTTATTTCAAAATGTTTCCAAAAATTTCTATTTTCTTTACCTTTTCAGCTTTGGGAGCGGGTTAGTGGTGAAATTTGAAAGTTCGGAATTCAATTTTAGCCTGTCTTCGTGCAGTCAAGGAAGACCCACCACACAAATACAATGCAAGTTGGAAATAATGTGAATAAAATGATTTAGATAATTTGGATAATTAGGATAATTAGGATAAATGACTTTCTAGGCAAACTTGGTACTTTCAGACTATACTTTCATACTTTCAGGTACAATATGAAGATGGAGATGAGGCAATATGCCAGTAAGCTTTCAATGCAAGAAACTTTAGCTTTTCGAAGAGTACCGTTGAACCCGTACTCTTGTCCTTGCCCTTGCCTTTAAATTTTATCCAATCTATCATTCTTGGTCTAACTCTAACAGCAAATTTCAGCCGGTATGCTGAATTGAAAAATTCAACCGATGAACTGGACAAGTTTTTTGGGACAAGAGCTTGGAAACTCACTTGCGCTGAAGGTGTCGATAAGGAAAATAGTTGGTTTGATTGGATAGAACTATAACTACCGTAAATACTGTAATAGTACCCCACCCCCATAATGACGGTGCAGAGCGTTGCGTAGTCTAGCTTTGGACACATTTTTCTCGATACTGGTTTATGCTACAATGCGCGCTTCGGTATCAAAAAATAGCTGAAATTCAGGGCTATTATTTGATACCAAAGACGCATTTTTTGAAAGTACGGGCGCTTTGCAAAAAATGAAATACTAAAAAACTTTTGCGACTACGCGACTGTACGAGGGGGGTGGGGTCCGATTACAGTATTTACGGTATATCATTTCTGGGCTAAACCTAAAGACCAAATCCAAAATTCTAAGCCATTTCTACCAATGTATGTATCACATCAATGCAAAAAACCTGAAATTATGCCCAGCAAAATCCTGGAAATGTTCAAGACTCAAAGTGAAACTACGGGCAACGTTTTGAACTTTCGAAAATCTAATTGAATCGTCAGACTTGATTAGTTACTCCTTGACAATACGAAAAAAACATTCAGTCTTATTTCAGTGAAAAAGATCGAGAATTGCTCCATAGACTACGCAAAAACGGCTGCCAAAAAATGCCATAATGACGAGTTTTTCCAAAGGACGATCCGAAAGGCATCCGACACGTGCGAGTGGGTTTTCGAATCTTTAAAAACAGTAATTCGACTTTGATTAACCAAATGAGGTGATAATATCAAAGTCTACATGTTTGCTTACACATCAAATCCTTTATCTTTTAGTGAATGGGCCTTTTTCTTTGCGTGTACTGCGCAAAAAATGGCTTCTTTTTGTCTAGCCGAGAACATCACTGAGACTGTCGCCTTTTTTATTGAGCGTTCGGTAAATAAAATCCTTAGTCATATTCTGAGTGAAAGATTATACTTTTGAAGATGCAAATTACAGATTGATAGATATTCACTACCAGCGGAAGTTGGCAACAAGTGCGTCAACGCAATTTATCGAGAGCTTCATAAAATCTGAGAATTACAGTCGATTGCAGTTGAAACTCAGAATGACTTGGATAAACTTTATTTGAAGCAGTACCAGTAAAAAATACGAGTTAAAAGAGCCCTAATGCAATCTTTTTGAATAGAAACCGCGCCGATAACGCGCAAAAGTTGTGAAAGTTTATTTTGCAACTCGAAAATTTGCGTTAATCTTGTTTTTTCCCTATTTGCTCATTTTCGGCTTTTTTTCCATCATAAAATCTTTCACTTCAGATCGCTCATGGTTTAAATGGTTTACACGTTTGCTGTCTTGTTCGCGTTACGGTTGCTGTTGACGGCGGGGAAAAACACGACAAATAATAAGTTATTTTGGTTGTTTTGAGTATTCGGAGACCTTCGCAAAGCAAAGGCTATTTATCTGACGAATTTCCAAATCGTAAGTAAAAAATAGGGTGAACACTTACCCCACAACCTTAATGCTCCCACCAATTTGACCGTTGGCTTAACGTATTTGAGCTTATAACGTTGTCCAATTGGCCTTCTGATTAAATGGTTACCGTCCGGGTAGTTTAAATTAATTCTAGTCTCATCGGTAAAAATGACTCCGGCCCAGTCATCGGAAGTCCAACACTCGTAGTTCTTTGCAAAATCATATCTCAGCTTCCGAGTTTTTGCAATGGTCAAGGGTCGTTTTGCTGGTCTTCTTGCATGCAATCTTGCTCGAATCAAGCGACGGTTGATGCTCCACCGAGAAATATTTTTGTTAGACATGGCCTTCAACTTCATGATTCCATGGCTCGAAGTCAGATTCGGGTCGATTTTATGGTCAATGATAAGTGCTCGATCTTCAGTTTTTGTTGTAATCGGTGGACGACCACTTTTCGAAGCTCTGTGAAGACTTTGGCCTTCTTCCGATTTTGCTGCTAGCCGATTCACCGTCCTTTTATTGCATTTGAAGAGCATCGCAATAGACGGTGATGAATATCCATATTTCTTTGCTTGCACGATCTTTTGCTTATCAGGAGTTGATAAATATTTGCGAGTCGACATCTAAAAATAAAAATGGAGTACAAAAAATTCATGACAACAAACAAAGGCAAAGAGAAAATACAAATTTTCTTAGTGAGACAAGACTTTTGCACCACCTTTTTTTCTCAAGTTTTACGAAAAAAGGTTTTAAAAAACAACAAAATATTGGAGTACGGGCATTTACATAGTAAAAGATGAAGGGATAAGCTACAAAAAAAACCCGTTACTTAAAAAGTTGTTTCCGAAAAATTTTAGAATTTTGACATTTTGACAATTTTGACAAATTGTTTCGGTATCGGTATCCTTTTAATGGGGTATCCTTTTAATAGGGTATCCTTTTAATGGGGATATCCTTTTAATGGGGTATCCTTTTAATGGGTATCCTTTTAATAGGGTATCCTTTTAATGGGGATATCCTTTTAATGGGGTATCCTTTTAATGGGTATCCTTTTAATAGGGCTATCCTTTTAATGAGGTATCCATTTAATGGGTCCTTTTAATGGGGTATCCTTTCAATAGGGTATCCTTTTAATGGGCTATCCTTTTAATGGGGTATCCTTTTAATTTGGGGAAAGTAAGTGGGACAGGACTTTTGCACCACAGTGTATTATAATATTAACAATAGCAGACAGATCCGATTTTACAATTTTATCGGATAGGTTAATAGCGATAAAACCTTCAGTTTTATGTATTATGGTATATCATTTGTCTACTCAAAGCTCTAACCTTTCCCATTTCACTCAATCCAAACATGACCAAGCATAACATAATCGTGTCTTTCAAGAGTTCTTTCTCCAAAATACTCTTTCATGACTGTACTCTGGCTCTTTCTCCCTCGCCCACTTCAACCACTTCACGCCTTTGCAAGTCAACAAAATTGTCCATAAACGATCCCTTTTGTGTGAGGTCCTGAAAAAGTCGATGTCCTATTTTTTCAAATTATATGTTTCCTCAAAGTTATCTCTTCTTTGAATGCGTTGTTGGCTTTTCATCATCACCTTGATCAATCTCTTTCAAATAGGTGGGTTTGCAAAAATTTGATCACCAATAATTTTAAAAGCTCAACCTTTACAGGTAAACCAGTGCATTGTGTGCTGTGTGATTCGTTTTCGGGGTATTGTGATTTCGATGGAAGCACCTGTGTGGGAAAGGCTTGTGTCACACGGACGTCGATTATTGAAGGTATTTAACGAGATTGAGATCAAAAGCAATCTGACAAAGTCAAATAAAAAAATTAAACTGATCCAGAGAAATTTCAGAAGGAATGACTCGCGTTCAAAAAATGTGTTCAACTTCGAATTCGTTGCGTAATGCGGCCGGCTGTCATACTACTTTTCTTTGGGCAGACAGTATTGGGCAAGAATGTCTTTGCACATCTGATTTTTGCAATTCTTCACCAACTCCCACCTTATCCACATATTTTGCTCTTCTAGTCGTGATTTTCATTGAATTATGATTATTTTTATCTTCCGCTAAAAATTCAGTTATAAAGTATCACAATGTTCGAGAATCACAAACATTAGAACACCAAGGTAAAACAAAATGAAAAGTTCAAAATTGGAGGGTACCCGTAAAACAAAGTTAGTAAAATGAGACCTAGCAAATGTAAAAGCTCAAAAAAAGCAAATCAACAACAAATAGCCGCCAATAAATCTTTTAGGCTAGCTTTTTTTCAATTGGTTTACTGTAGTCTAAAGTCATGGCTATTGTCAATTTCAGAGCAAACTATAAGAAAAAGCCTGATTTTGGAGATTCGAGTGTTTGTTTCTTCTTGAGCATCAATGAAGTGCATTTGTGAACGATTGAAACGGTTGCCGGTTGTTGTAGCCACGCTTCACCGTCACATTGCATTGGAAGAGGCCCTTTGACGACCCGCATGGATGCTTCACGACCTTGGCATATTCTCAGTGGAGTCGACAATCCAACCTGAAAAGAAAAGGTAAAATGAGCTCATTTAAAACAAATTAGTAACGCTTAAATCTGAAATGAAAAACTCAAACATTTTTTCATCTAACTCATCTAACATAAATAAATTTGTTTAAACGGATATTCTAACCCAAAATTAGCTGAAAACTATCTGATAATGTGTTAGTTCCCTTAAAATATCAACATACAGTTGTACCTGCAATTGAGCTATATGAAACGATGATCGAACCGCAAACACTTCAAATAGCTGATCAGAACAAGATTGTGGCATCGATTCGTCATTTTCCATAGTCCATGGCTAAATTTGAAAATTATTGTTGTAGAAAAAAATATCAAACCTCAACACCCGCCCCCCAACAAGGAATATTCAAAAAGATGAGCCCCTCGATTTCAGGCAGGTTGATTTTCTTTCCATCGACGATGAGCTCAATCTTTGACTCCAATCCAAAACACGCTCGATCAAACACATCCTTTGTTCCAAAGGTAAAGAAGAGCAACTTGTTGATCAATCTAAAAATGAGCTTTATTACCTGATTAACAATTAAGTTGTACCTTGAAGACATCGCTCTTGGTAACTGATCTCTTGTGCTTTGCATTCCATAAGTCACACATGCATCCACTCCTATTGAAATGTAATTCGTCATCGACATGGTTCTAAATATTAAGAAGTTAAAAATTATGTCAAGTGCTAAAAACCTATTAGGTCGTCTGACACCCAATTTCCTTGGATATTCTATAGAGACTGTCCATCGATCAAGAAGAAACACCTCGGCTTCTTGTAAATCCTCTAAAACCTAAACCAAACTATAAACAAATTTTTCCTCAAATCGTTTGTAGTGCAACGAGTTGTTCTTAAAATAGTAGTTTAGATCTTAACAGCTTTTTATAAATTTAGGTCCGCAATTACAAATGATATTAGTCTGTCCAGAAAGTCTTTTCGTTCATTTCATATTTCCGTTGAAAAATAACAAGTTCACCAATTAACCTATGCTTTGCTCTAAATGAAAAGTATCTATTGTTCAACTTGCCGTCTTTTTAAGTCAATTTTTAAGTCAAGGTTCACTTTCAAGCAAAAACGAGAGTGAAAACGTATTTTTCGTAAAAATCTATAAAAACCTCTACGAAAAAATTGGCGGAATCAATTTCTCTGGAAATTTGGCCATCTACCTAACTATTTGTGCTCTATCTTTTATCTATTGATATCAAGCTCGGTTTTTTTAAAGTGTTTAAACCGCATCATCGAGCCGCCCTTTTTGACTACCCGACTTCACGCACCCAAAAAATCATCCAGATATTTTAAACGCGTTTTAATCTTATTTTGCAGAAAAATAATTGGCTTTTTTTAATTAAACAAACCGTATTTCAATGGGTGCATTTGTTGGTTTTTAAGCGGAAGTATGAAAAAGAACGAAAAGACTTTCTAGGCAGCCTAATACAATCTTTTACCTGACTAGGCACTACACAACCATCCGATTGTTTTCCCCATCCCAGCACACGACTCAAATCGTTCCCCGTACCAAGTGGAAGAACAGCCACCGCCGGGCGATTGCTCAGCTCATCGATGTCATCTAAAATACGTTTCAATAAAATAAAAAAAGTATTCAACTGACTTAACACAAAGCTAATTGTTCCATCACCGCCAGCGATCACAATTCGTGCCTCAATTTCGGGATGACTCTCCAACCAACGAAGTACTGTTTTCATGTGTGACTTTGTTACATCAATTACCTAGACACATAAAATATTGAACACAAGAAAAAGTAAATACTTGTATGGGATGCAAAACAAGACGAAATGAAGAGGCGACTTTTGTACCAGCTCCACTGCCACTTTTTGGGTTTACGAGCACAAAGACGGGACGCCAATCGGGTGGGTACTCTGGCTTGGCGATGCCATCGATGACCATCTAAATATGCGAAATTAAAATAGTGTTTCTTGTATAATGTTGGTTTGATTATTCTCTAGCATTTACATCAATTGCATGTAGCAGGCATTTAAAAATCAACTCTACTCAGTTGACGGTTTAACTTATAACACAAAATATAGTCTAAACTATTTATGAGAGTTGGGTCACAAAACAGCTCAAAGCGACGCCAATGATTATTTACCTGTTTCTGCCCACGATTCCCGGCTTTTCTTAGAGTGACCGTATTTGGATAAAGGATAGATCGTTTTGCGCTTCCAAAATCGCAGACTTCATCTATAGATTGACGACAATCGGAATGAACGGCTCGACCACACCAGGAGCACCTAAAATATAACGTTTAATAAAATTGTTATAAAAGGAGACGGTCCGGGTTTTTCGTGGTCAAATTTTATTGAAATTCACGACCAGGAACAGATTTGCATAAGAAACAATTTTTTTTGAATAAGCTGCTCAACTGAAAAGTTGTAATAACTGCTTTTACGAAACATTTCCAATGGATTGAAGTTTAAATGACTGTTTACTTAACGCAAGTACGGTACGTTTAACTAGAAGATCTAATGGAGTAAATCTTTTCAAGCGCAAACAATAAAATACTCGCCAAAATTTAATGTAAAGGAGAAAATAAAGTGGTGGAAATTTCTGAAAAAGTGAGCTCCAAAACGCAGTATTGAAACGAGTATGTTTCGATGAAAGTTCTACTGAAAATGATTGCCAATAGAGCAGAAGATCAAAGCGTTCCCCAATTAGCCATCACTACCCCCAAATAAAGCCCCCAAAATTGTTCTGTTGATCAAAAATCCCACTCATGTGGACGAGAAAATACGAGCTAACACCAAAATATCAAGCTTTCCCTTTGGTGTTTAGAAATTTAGCGTTGAATCTTTATAATTACTACCTGTAGTCGCTAAGTCCAACATCTCCACCGCAAAGCTCCCCACAAATCGTACAAAAATCGTCGCTGAAGAGGTTGCCGTGTACCTTAAATAGGAACATTGTTATTTTTATTTTTGGAGTTTTACTTTCACTATATTATTTCCTTGTGTGTAAGTAATTGCTATAAAACTAACCCAATGGTGCTTCACTTGATCATCTGATGTTGTTGGTGCGTTGACCTTGCATGGCTTGACCGTGGAAATTTTTCGGGCGCAGTTCACCTAAAAAGGGAATGTTTATTGAAGCTTTGGAAAATTCGTGAAAGTATCAGCTAGCTGAAGCATGTAATTTTTTGAAGAGAATGATCTTTATTTTTACCTTCATCTTTATTTCAGTTATTTTTTCCGGATTTCACCAAGTTGCCGAGAGTTATTAGCTACAGTTCATGCTTGGTAAACAAACAAAATGCCAAAACCCACCTCATCAACCATCATGTTGCAGTTTTCGCAGCGGAATCCCCTGAGAAGTCGTCTTTCACAGCACGAGCAGAAGTGGCTCCCATCAAATTCGTCTACTTGATCCCATAGGTGACCGCCTAAAAAAGAACATTACTGCAATAATTAAACGATAAGGCGTTGAAAGTTAAAAATTTGTTTATGCCACAAACAGCTTTTATACGGCTTAATTTATAATTTCCTGAAAGTCAATATAATAATCAATACATTTCTTTTGCAAAAAGCTTAGACTTACTTAAGAACTTTATAAAAACAACAATCAACTTACTTTTGACCACGGCCGATTCATTGTTGAATGTTTTCTTTGAACGTCGTTCAAGTAGTTTCCGGAAGCCGAAAAGGAAGAGGGTTGCGATGAGAACGAGGCCGAGCGCTGCCCACGCCTCTTCGAACATGCAGCGGCCTGGAAATAAGAAGTTTGTTCACAAAAATATAAAAAGAACATCCAAAAACTAATGGCTAATTCTAAAAATAGACAAGACATAAAGAGGTTGGCTAACAAAAAGAGAGTAATGTAAAAAGACAGCCGTTAGTTCGGATCGGCGACTCTTTGTTTGAAGAGAAAGGGGCGCAAAAACGAGAAGGGGCACATGCATCTGGCAAAGTGCCAATCATGCAAAAAGCGCGTGGAATAAAAGAAATCATTGCACAAAGTCAAGAAGTTGAAATTTTCATGAAATATTAGGTACATGCATAAGAAATGCGGATTTCAACATTTTCATAAATTTCCAACGATAAAAACCTGATATCGATGAATGTTATAAACTATTTGAAAGCTGTAAATCTCCTCTACAAAATCGGCTAAAACATGTTTCAATTGATCGAAGCATTGAAGAAATTCCGAGGGCGAAATGCGAGTGACCAAAAAAGGAATCGAGTCACTTTAGGGACAAGTTTAGTGTCGTCAAAATAGAGTTAGCTTCCCAAAATTGAAGATTTAAAGAAAAAAAAGGATAACTATATATCAATTCATTAAAAAAAGTAACGGAAATGCATTTACAGAAATTTAGATAGAGCCTAAGTTCAAAACCCTCAAAATTGTCAAAAAAACCGGCTTTTTCACAAAAAAGAAAAATTATTGTAAAAACAAAGTTTCCCCATGAAATGATCCCAACTCTTAATTATTTTTAATGATATTTTTAGGATAATGATTTTAGGGCCGTCATTTTCCACTATATAGTCAAAAGCGAACTCTTGTGAAAGTGGGGTTTGAGCACACTAAACTTGCCCCTAAAGTGACTCGATTCCTTCTTTTGGTCACTCGCATTTCGCCCTGCGAAATTTCTTCAATTGTTCCATCAATTGAAATATCTTTTAGCCTATTTCGTAGAGGAGATTTACAACTTTCAAATAGTATATAACATTCATCGATATCAGGTTTCTATCGTTGGAAATTTATGAAAATGTTGAAATCCGCATTTCTTATGCATGTACCTAATAGATAGAACAAAAACACGACCGTGCTTCACAAACATGAAATTTTAGGTGAGGTTATTTAGGAAGTAATGAAAATAAAACAGATAAAAGTATTTATTTAGACAATCGAATATCTTCTTCCATGAAATTCTTCCAAAACCCGCTATGTAAAGCTTGGGAAATCTCCGTTTTGTAATTCCTCGAGAAAAATGTTGTTGTTGTCATTTTCGAACACGTTTTCATTGTTTAAACAGGCGACCCGTGACTCCCTTATCAGTTTTGAGCTTCCTCCACCATGCAATCGCAAAAGTGCAAGTTCCAAGCGCGTTGAAGGAAACGCATCTAGATCAAATTCGCTCAAAAAGGACATAGCTTAGGAAATTCCAATCGAAATTTATCATTAGAAAGTCTGGTGCGAGATAGGAAACTGCTCTGAAACAAAAAAGAAAAGGCAATTTCCAAATACCAGAGGTGCTTATTATTTTGCATTAACTTGAGATCTACTTAAATTTACCGTACTTTCTCTACTAGAAGGGTCAGTCTTTCTATTTTCGATCCCGAAAAATACGATAAACGTTGTTTGTAAAAACGTTTGACGGGAAAATGACTCATTTAGACTTGGCGGGGGGGAGGCAGGTGAAAAAGCAACGGAAAACGACTCACAGTCGTAGTGAACAATTGATATTTGCGGAGGAACAGTGTGTGGAAGAGAAAAATAAATGCACCGAGTCAATGATGGAAAAAAAAAGAAAAACGGGGAAAATGTGGGCCGAAATGAGAAAAACCACCGGGGAAGACAACCCAGGAAAATATGGGAGGAAATAGGGAGAGAGCAATGAGTGAAGAAAGAGGTGGAAGAGAGAATGCGCACTCTTTGCCCCCCGTGTCTGTCCCCCACCTTTCTCTCTTGTTGTCTCCGCTGGACACTGAATCCTTGAATAGTTCATAAATTTGGGAATTTGTATCTAATCTGAAACATTTTGACGTTTACGAAGTTTTATTCTCACGCCTATGCAATCTTTGGTGTTCCGGTGCAATCGCCTATGCAATCTTTGGTGCATTTTTGAAAGAGATTGGAAATTTGCCTTTTAACTCTTGCTTTACTGAATTGATCAAACCTAGTGTGACATTCTTGATTAGCAGTTCTTAAAAGGTTAAAAATACCGTAATCCTTTTGGTTGTTGGAGAAAACGAACACAGCCATCACAAGAAAGACTAATGAGGATCAGATCAAGCTGAGTTTTGGTTACCATTCAGAAAGCTAACTTACCTCAACACCGCTGAATAGACAAGCACTCAATTATCCAAAACCTCCAACTTGATTAAGGTACTTTTTCTAAGCGAAAAACCTTATTCCTCTTCTTATTAAGTCTTCTCTCATTCCCCATAATTCTTTCCACGCTTGACGTCTCAAAAAATCTCCGCAAAGGTTTCAAAGATTCCAAAATCTTTGAATTTTTAACCCTCCTTCTCAATAAATGTAGACAATTGTGTGTAATCGATCCCCTTTATTTCAAAAGGCGCCTCAATTTCAAAGAGTGACTATCGGGAAATTGAATCTCGTTTTGGTCCACGAGGGAGACACTTGTGGCCTTGGAAGCCACAAGTACCCATTCAAAGCAGCTCCTCCCGAACCTTTTGCTCAGTTTTCCGATTTTAGAAGTTTTGGCTTAAAGTTTTGCTCATTGGTCTTATCCAATTCTAATTTGGACCATCCTTTCTCTTTTGAACAGTTGAATTTCATGTGATCACTGCTACCAACGAGATTAAGAATATTGCGGCTTTCCAGCACTGTCTAGCTACATTATGAGATGTGGCAAAATGTTTCTTCGTCTTCATTGAAAGGTTCAAAAATACAATCTAATATTTATATTGTAGTGAGAAGCATTTTCAAAGCTTCGAGTAATATTTTACGGCGGTGTTTGACCATTCCTCAACAATCCCTTTTCTTCACTGTTTATGGTTGTTGTTTTCAAAGCGACTCGGTGTCTTTTTCTCTTTTTTTCATGATTGCCCTTTTTTTCACTTTGTCTTGCCACTTCCAAATAACTCCCTTCTCTCCACATCGAATTTTTTGTTCACTTCCCGCCCAAACACCCATCTGTTCCTTAAAGGCAATGAATACATTGATTGCATCCCTCGTGCATCCCTCTATTTCTCAACACAAGAATTCGTCAGGTTTCAATTTAAACCGCTAAAACTTTTCACAAGCGCATGTAGAGTTTTTGAAAGTCTTTGGCCTTTGGAAGAAATTCTTTCAACCGCTCAACACGGTCTCTCTTTGATCGAAAAAAGCCTTTCGGTCAACGTTGAGTGAAATGTTTTGCGAAATTTTTATCCTGAAAACCGAGGATTTGGTAAGAAAACTAAATAAGTTGCAACATTTTTGACGCTTTAACATTCTATTTTTTAACAATAACATTCTACTTTTTTGATCAAGCTCTTTAATTTTGAGTGGGCTGAATGGCTTTTAGCTTCATGAAGCTTCAAATGAGACAGCTACGATAAAGTTTAGTACACAAAATAGAATTGTTACAAGAAATTTTAGAATAGCTAATGTTTTCTAATTAGCACTATCTGTTTTGATAAACGGCTCTAATAGCTACCCTTTGGGTGTCTAATGAAGGCCATTAAAAGTAAACAAAAACAATCCATTTGGTGGCGAAAGGAGGAAGAAAGCACTCATAAATCAATTCTCTGTACGATTTATTGGTTTGAAACCCTTTTGCCCTTTTCAACATTCTAAACAGCGCCCCTTAAAAACTCATCTATAAATACCTTAAATTAAGTTCCAATTTCAAATTAAACTTATTAACTAAATATCTTTTTATGCACTTTTAAAAATATGAAAATGAATGAACATTTTTATTTCTTTTATTTTGCACAATTCGCAAACTTCAAATTTATAAACAGCTCAAACACTTTTCCTATTGCCAATTTTAGCGCTCATATTTTCTTATCATTGACCCTTTCTTTTCGTGCGCAATTCACTCACCCAGGTGCTTTTCGGACCAAAAAATCTTGACTCATCTTTTAAGGAAACTTCACGGTTTTCTAAAAATGTTTTTCCAGCCTATTAATCAAAAAGGGAGCCAATTTTCACTTCTCCTTTGTTCGTGATTCACCACTTTTCAATCCATTTTCGCCACTTCCTAAATTTTCTTGACACAAATTCTTGCCTATTTTGTTCGTGGCTTCTTACCATTTGCACAAGGGATTACCACTCTTTTTCGAGGAATATTTCTCCCTCTCTCCTCGAAAATGTGTTTTCTTTCAAAATTTGTGGTGTGGGCAGCGGACCGGAAATTCTTGATTTACTCTTGAGTTGTTTTTGAAATTTTTACATTTTTTACTTTAGAGATGGCTCACGATCGGGATGATGAAGTCGAAGTGGACCACGAGAATCCGGCTGATGCCCTTTACAAGCCGCCAGCACAGAAGTCAATGATGGAAATCTTGGCTTGCGATGAAGTAGGCTTTGTGGTACTTTGGAGGTTGGAGAAGCCAATTTGGTTTATTTTTGGCTTGATCCTATAATCATGAAAAAAGATAAGGGCTGGACTAATTGTTCTAACAATTCTAAAGAATTTAAACACAGCACAATTTAAACAATCCTAAAGAATTGTTTAAATTGTGCAGGGATAATAGATTTGATCAGTCAAAAAAAATTGATTTTGAAGGAATAATTAATAATAATTTGAAGGGCGTCTGTTTGAAGAAAAACGGTAGTTAAAGCTGTTAAAAAATTCGAAGCTATTGTAATTCTCTTTTTTTTCAGGGAGATGAAAGTTTGCAACGATACAAAGAGAAGCTCTTGGGGAGCGCGATTGATTCGGTGGTAAGTTTTATTCCTGGTTTTTTTTTTTTAACTTTAACCTGGTTTGTAAGTTTAACTTTAGATAGTCGATCCTTCCGATCCAAAGACGGTGCTATTACGTGAGCTCTCCCTCGTAGTTGAAGGAAGACCCGATGTGGTCCAGGACCTCACCGATAGCAAGAGACTCGAGGAGACAAACTTTAAGATTAAGGTTGCATTTTAAAAGTCCAATCTCTGCGCTTAGTATTTAAGAATAGTAAACTTCTCCAAGAATTAAAATTGTCATCGTTTTTTTATTTTAGGAAGGAGTTCAATACAGGCTGCGTTTCAAGTTCTACGTTCAGCGAGAAATGGTCACGGGTCTTCGCTATTCGCATCGTGTCACGAAAATGGGCGTCCCTGGTTGGAATCTTTGTTGCTATTTAAAGTTGATCATAAATTTAGTGATCAACGAGCATTTGATGGTTGGATCGTATGGCCCGAAGCACGAGTTGATCGTCTACATCACGCCGCCAGAGGAGGCTCCTTCCGGGATGTTAGCACGAGGAAAATATAAAGTAAGCTTTAACTTTTTAATTACGGATAGATCTAATACAAAAGGTTTAGGTTTATGACAGTGTTACTAGTATCTTTGGTCGGACTTTATCTTTATATTTTAGGTGCACTCGAAATTCACGGACGATTACAAGAACGTCTTCGCGAAATGGCAATGGACGCTGGAAATCGCAAAGGATTGGTAAACAAACGGAACTTCTTCTCATTTTTCAATTTTTCCATGTGTAAGCACTTGGCTTTACTCTTTTTTGGACCAATTGTGCCTCTTTTGTAAATTTTTGCGCTCTTTGATTTAAGTTGTCAAATTGTGAATTGAGCTGTAAATTTGTCACTTATACCTTTTTGTGAATGGTCTTGAATTTTCGTGTTGATCTTGTTTCTGATCTTTTTAAATGTGTGGCATTGAATAAAATAAAATGTAACGAAAATGCAAACGATGAAAAGATGTGAACAACACTAAATTGAAATTATTGAACAAAAGTTTGTAGAACGGCCAAAAATATAGTAGTAATTGCTCAACCCTAGAAGAAATTACGTAGTGAACAATCAACGCCTGTTCCCAAGTTTTATTACTTCAGTATGTAAAAAAGATGTAAAAAAATTAAAAACGTGGGAGAAAAGCCTTGTTCAGAATCGTTGCGAAATCTTTTTCTGTTTGAAAAACATTGCACAAGTCTCCTGTTGAAATCTTACGAAAAGAACCATTTTTGGTTTTGCCAATTATTTTTTCTTTCTATCTAATTAAAAATTCTACTTTGTTCTGGATTTTAGATTTGCCATGGAACTTTTAAACGATTTCGAATACGATAAGAAAGATTTGCTTGGTCATGGCTCGTTTGCAATGGTCTACAAGGGGCGATATAAAGCGGTTAGTAATATAAAAATGAAAGATAGTTAAGTTTCACATCTAGAAACATGGATTTTCAGATTTCCATACTACAGTATTTACAAATTTGCATTTAATGTCTGCATTTAATTTCTCTAATGTTTAAAATTTTATGCAAATTTTAAGAAACCCGACCATCCAGTTGCGGTGAAAGTGTTCCAGAAGAAAAATCTCGGCAGAATCAAGGACCTCCTTGTCAAAGAGATCAAAATCATGAAGGTTTGCAAAGAAATGTAGCTCAAGAATGGTACAATTTTCAGGAATTGAGTGAAATCAAACACGAGAACTTGGTCTCATTGCTGAAATGCATCGAATCGCCGACTCAAATTCTTCTCGTCATTGAATTTTGTGATCACGGTGATTTGGCTGATTATCTTCAAAAGAAGGGCACATTGCGAGAAGTGGAAGTGCAAAAGTTGGCGAAACAAATTGGTGAGTTAATGAACAGAAATCAAGATATTACCTAACTTTGATCATGTATTATTTTCTCGTTTGCAAACTTATATTCCAGGCAACGCTCTCCACTCGATGCACCAACGTGGAATCATGCATCGAGACTTGAAACCGCATAATATTTTGCTCACAAATTCGAAAGCGATTGTAAAGCCACAGTTCAACGATTTAACAGTGAAATTGGTTGGTTTGACTGTGCAAGTTTGCATTTAACAAGAAACGCTCTCCAGTTTGCTCTTGAATTCGCATCTGACTATGAGATTTTATTATTTGATTGAAAAAAAGCTACGTATTATAGTACACTTGTTAAATTAAATTGTTAAATTGTTGTTACACTAAATTGTTAAATTGTTACAAAAATTTGTCAATTTTTAAGAATTTTAACATGAGATTTCAGGCGGATTTCGGTTTCGCTCGTTTCTTGAGCGATGGTCTGATGGCAGTGACTTATTGCGGATCACCGATCTACATGGCTCCTGAGGTCGGTTTGATGGGTGCAAATAGAGATTTTGAATTCAACTTCACAAATATTAAGATATTCAGCCAATTTAGGTGATAATGGGTAATCCGTACGACTCAAAAGCTGACCTCTGGTCCCTTGGAGTGATCCTCTTTCAAGCGTTCATTGGAAAACTCCCATTCACGGTAACATTCTCAAATATCAATCTGAAGTCAAATAAAAATTTAAACTTTAGGCCAAAACGCCGCTTGAACTCCAGAAATTCTACAAAACCCAGCCCATTCTGTGCCCATTTTTCACCGACTCGTGCCCATTGTCGTTGAAAGATCTTCTAACTAAATTACTCACAAAGGATCCCGAAACAAGAATGGATTTTGGTGAGTTAAGAGATTTTTCGAAATATTCAAGTTTCAGAGGGTTTCTTCGAGAACGAGTTTTTGAGAGTAGAGAAGTTTTCGAAGGGTTCGGATCACTTTGGCACACCGAAGAGTCGACCAAGTACGAGTCGAGAAATTGAGATGGCAAAAGAGGCTAGTTTCTAGATTGGGTTTTTTTTGATTTTTGGATACAATTATTAGCACTGAAATTTGTTGCTTTAGGTATTTAACAACAGAAAACAACATTGACTGTTTTTTTTAGCCTTTTCTCACCTCTTTTCACATTGTTGATCCGCCTACAACAAGCAAAGTCACATTGAATGTGCGAACTACAAAAAATCTCGTTAAGCAAGTTTGTAAACTCTTTAAAAAGTTCAAAACCAAAAGTGTCTGAATTTTTAAAAGATTAGAGATTTTTCAGCTACCCCCTTTTTTGATGCGAATGAGCAAGAAGGACGATTTTGTGTTTGTCGAGACGCCGGACTCTTATCAAAAGATTTTGTTTCAGAAGGTAGTTATTCAAACTTGTATCAAAATACAAAAACTAAACTTAAGCAAAATTCGTATTCAGTTTTCAACAACGGATTCGAAAAGCTCAACAATTCTCCCGGTTCCCCACCAAAAACGAGCATTTGATGAGATTGAGAGAAGGCGCTTGAAGGCACAAGGAAAAGTGAGGAATTATTGGAGCTTGGAACTTAACAATTCAATTTTAAACATTTATATATATTAGGTTGTCCAGTTATGAATGCACGCCTGCTCTTGAACAGCAGACCTTAGGGCTATACAATTTTAGTTTTAAACTCTCGCGCATCCGCCATATTCTCCGGATATTTCTCCTTAGGATTACCATTTATTTCGCTCAATGCGAAACCATTTGGCTGGAAACAGGTTCAAAGATGTTCAAGAGGTCGAAAAATGGCTAGCCGACTTCTTTGCCTTAAAACAAGCCAATTTTTACCCCGAGAGAATTCATTCTTTGCATGGAAGATGGAAACAAATGGTGAATATATTGTTGATCGAGCTGTTAAACTGTTGGTTTTAAAATAAAGAGTTGTTATCTTAAAAACGCGCATTTATAACTGGACAACCTAATATATATAATTATTTAAAATATATTTAAATATAAATTCGATACTTTCCCATTATACCCCCACAGCATCAATCCCGTTATACCACCACAGCATCAATCCCATTATACCCGCACAGCATCAATCCCATTACACCCCCACAGCATCAATCCCATTATACCCCCACAGTATCAATCCCATTATACCCACACAGCATCAATCCCATTATACCCCCACAGCATCGATCCCGTTATACCCCCACAGCATCGATCCCGTTATACCCCCACAGCATCAATCCCGTTATACCCCCACAGCATCAATCCCGTTATACCCCCACAGCATCAATCCCATTATTGCCCCCACAGCATCAATCCCATTATTGCCCCCACAGCATCAATCCCGTTATACCCTCACATTTAAAAAAATTAACATTTAACAAAAAACAACAAAATTTAGTTTACATCAATCCCATTATACCCCATAAATGGCAGGTTTTAAAAAAGCTTTTCTAACTACGATCCACAATTCATAATGACACAGAATAAATTCACAATTCAATTTTTGGAGGCCATGTGGAGGCAATCCTTTTAAGAACCCAAACCAAAGTAATCGATTTTTCCCAATTCAGTTCTGACCATGAATTCCGCAAGATAGCTTTCCAAATGATGACGTGATGTACCGCGGTGGTTCTTATTCCGCCACTTTGCGCTTCCACATAGCCGCTCGATAGTTTGTGTGTGAATAGAAGGATCCGTTGAAATAAGAAAGTTCTTCGAGTTCTTCTTTGGGAGAAACATCATTCGGATAAATGCTGATTTTTTAAAATGTGGGCGTATAACGGGATTGATGCTGTGGGGGGTATAATGGGATTGATGCTGTGGGGGTATAATGGGAGATTGCATTTTGCAAATTCAATATGGTACTTATTTTTTAGAGCTCTCCTGCTATCAGCTCAAACGCGGATAAGTTATTTGAACGATTGACCTTGCCAAGAAGTTGGTTTTTAAACTCATTTTCAACTTCACACTGTAGATAAGAGTATTCAATCTTATTGACTGAACTTTTCAAGCTTTTCAAATAGATCTTTACTATGTTGTAGCTTTACAGTATCTTTAACTCAGATGCTCATTTTCAGAGTTTCATTCAATCGCTCTAAGCACATCAATACCGAATGACGAGAAGAGATCACCTCAACCACTGAACACCGACTTTCTGTTACCCAATGAACATCATGAGGTAGAAAAACGATCATCAAAGATAAAAAAAGTTTTTAGGCCTTAGAAAAGCTTCAATTTCTTTTTGCAATTGTTGAAATTGTTGATGATATCGTTGAGTCAAAGGATAGCGCTTTAAGCAGCTTTGGAGTCGATAAGGTAGTCAGCAAAATTTAAAAGTATCTAGTTAAATTTCAGTTTAACAATCAAATTGATTGCAAAGTGGATCAAAAAGAAAAACGATTGATACTCTCGTTGTGGTCACTGAAGCAACTGAGCGCTGGTTTTCAGTACGCACAGAGGTTTGTGTACATGTGTACTGTTTGTGGTTTTGTGTACTGTTTTGCCAGTTCTAGATTTGGTTAGTTTTAGTGAATACTGGGTTTTACTCTTCAACTATGCATAGTTACAACTACAGAATTTCCAAGTCCTACTTCCTTTTTGACGTGGTAGAGACGATTTCTAAAAATTGAATTGAATGATTGACCGGAACTTTCAAGCGATAGACTCTAAAAGTTAGCATAAAGTTTGTTCTTTCAGATTTCAGATAGCTTTGCAACTTTTGCAATGATGAAAGTTAAACTAGTAACAAGCCAACCTCAACAAATGGTTGCTTTCCGGAATATAGGAATTTTTGCTTTCAGTGCTTCATCCTTGTTTACATATGAATCAAAAGCAGAACTTGTTTTGCGGCTTTTCATCAATTATTATACGAGGATCCATAATGACAATAATGATAAGGGCAAATAATTGACTATTAGTACAACAATTTGCTACTAGTCCGCTTGAAAGATTTGTCAAACATGTGATTTGATTACCGACATCAAGTACTCACGAGCACTTGGATAGTGCTTTGAGAAACCCTACTTTGTACTGACTCTACTTTGTACTGACTCTACTTTGTACTGACTCTACTTTGTACTGAAACATTGTACAAGCTGAAACTCACTTCTAATCTTTGATCTCTGGCTCATAAATCAATAAAGTTCATCCAAATTTTTAGCAAAACCTCTTCCGGCACTCTCCACCCAACACCCGCTACTCAACAAGTTCTAAACGATCTCAATCATCGTTACCGATCGAATCTAAACAAAGTGAAGGAGCTAATCTCGATGGGATTCTCTCAAAAATACACCGAATCATCGGAAACGATCCTCTACAAAACTTCAATCGAATTGATCAAATCAGCTACCAGTGATGATATTTTTGAGAATCGACAACTCGCCGAGCAAAAGTTTTTGAGTAAAAGTTTTTTTTGAAATCTAAAAATTTAGATATCGAAGGGCTTCTCTATTATTGCATTTCCTTTGCGAGTCCAATCCCAATACAGTACTCTTTCACTTCAGAGATCTGTTAGAGAAAAGGTATTAGAAAAAGAGAAAAGAGAAAAATCGATTCTGACTTCAGATTGTACAAAACTCACTAAGAAAAGGATAATTCTTGAAGCTAGTTAGCTTTTCTTTGTTAGCTTTTTAAGGGTTTTCAAAGTTCCTCCATTTCCTCCATCTTGTCATTCACACTGAGTACATGTTACGGGTGATTTCTTGTTATTGTTCTATTGTTGTATATTTCTACGCGTTATCTAAAGGAATAAACCTTGATCTAGACAGCTAGACACCCATCAAATTTTCGTGAATATGAAGTCTCTCGTAGTTAACATGGTCAATGAGGAAACGAGTGTTCATTCACCATAACTTACTTCTCTGTGGTATTGATTTGATGAAAGACTTATTCGTTATTATTCGGTTATTATTCTGTTATTATTTGGCACGATTTCTAAATCAAAATGGGTACTTGTCGGTTATAAATCCACAAAGATCTCGGTTAAGCAAGGAGCTGACAATCACTCCTCACAAGCAAGGAGCTGGCAATCACTCCTCACAAGCAAGGAGCTGACAATCACTCCTCACAAGCAAGGAGCTGACAACTTGTGAGGGGTGATTATGTTCACTCCTCAAAAGCAAGTGCTCACCTGAAGTGATCAGTCGATCACAGTCGAACAAAAATCGATAACCGAGAAGACTCGCATGGGGATGCTTAACCGAGATGACTCTTTGTGGATGTATAACCGACAAGTACCTCAAGATGTTTAGCATTCTTGTTAGTAAAGCTAAAGCACATTCTTGAAGATTTTTTTAGGTTGGCAACTTAATAATGACGCGTTTATGTAACAAATCATTTATTTCAAAAAACACAAAAGAAGAGCTTTCAATTCGAAAGGTATTCTCCATTAGTATCTATGACTTCTTCCCATCTTCTGCGCAAATCCCGGATCCGATCCTCGAAGAACTTGGGAGTTTTTGAGGCGAAGTAGTCATTCACTGCTTTTATGGCCTGAGTATGATCATCGAACTTTTCTCCCTCCAAAAAGTGCTTCAGCGACCAAAACAAAAAGTAATCTGAAGGAGCCAAGTCGGGAGAGTAAGGTGCATGGGGCAGCACTTTCCAGCCAAGTTCCTCGATTTTCTTTAAAGGGTATTAATCGCGGCCGGGTGACGATAAAATTTTTACGGCAACCACCTTTTATTTTAATATCGCGTTTTATTATAAAAAGAATAAAAATCACCCGGCTAGAGTGATTTGATAGGTTTACAAATTTTTGGAGACACTGCAAGGCTCAGACTTAGGTACTTTATGGCCTGAGCTGATCATCGAACTTCTCCCCCAAAAGTGCTTCGCGACCGAAACAAAAGTAATCGAGCCAAGTCGAGAGAATGGGAGCTCCAGTGGGCGCACTTTCCAGTGGGGCAGCACTTTCCAGTGGGGCAGCACTTTCCAGTGGGGCAGCACTTTCCAGTGGGGCAGCACTTTCCAGTGGGGCCCTTCCAGGGGGCAGCGCTTCCAGGGGGCGACTCGAAGCAAAAAGTAATCTGAAGGAGCCAAGTCGAGAGAGTAAGGTGCGTGGGGCAGCACTTTCCAGTGGGGCAGCACTTTCCAGTGGGGCAGCACTTTCCAGTGGGGCAGCACTTTCCAGTGGGGCAGCACTTTCCAGTGGGGCAGCACTTTCCAGTGGGGCAGCACTTTCCAGTGGGGCAGCACTTTCCAGTGGGGCAGCACTTTCCAGTGGGGCAGCACTTTCCAGTGGGGCAGCACTTTCCAGTGGGGCAGCACTTTCCAGTGGGGCAGCACTTTCCAGTGGGGCAGCACTTTCCAGTGGGGCAGCACTTTCCAGTGGGGCAGCACTTTCCAGTGGGGCAGCACTTTCCAGCCAGGTTCCTCGATTTTTTTTAAAGACATCTTTTACTTTGTATATATGCAAAAAAAGAGGGAAGAAACGGCGCTTGAAATTATAAAAAACATGTTAAGTAGTGACGTGTCATTATTGAGTTGCCAACCTAATACAAGAATTTTCCCAATCAAAAATTGGTACTTTTTCAGAATCGTGAAATCCATACATGCTTTCAAAAAAATCGTATTTAAAGAGAGATTTCTTGAATAAAGTCGCTGTTTGTCTACTTGGCTATGTGGAAATTGTTTCGAGAAAGGATATTGATGCAGAAATTGATGGGAAAACTAGATGTGTCCATTTCTTTGCTAAAGTCTTTCCAAAAGAGTATTTTGCATCGATTTCTTTACCAAAAGCTTACCATTAGATTGAAAAATCTTTCTTTCTTGATCTCTTTTTGCGTACTTTCCCTTTTGATAATAAAATTCATTCAAAAAACACATCAAATAATCAAATCAAAACCAATAAATCAAATTCGAGCCTCAGATTCCCGTTTTGTACAACATGAAAGCAATGTGCGCAATATAGAAATAAGTGAAACGATTCGTTTCATGCGTGACATATGAGCCGAAATTACTCCCAACAACCACTTGCCATGAGGGGTAATGACGCTTATCGAATTCGGTTTTGATGAAAGCGGCCATTTCCTGAAATTTGTGAGCTAAAAGAGCTAAAAGAGCTAAAAGAGCTAAAGTTGATGCTATAAAGTTCAAGTCAAGAAATATTCAGACAGTACACGATAGACAGACAGACAGAGTACAATATCAACGTAGAGTACAATATCAACAAAACATTGAGAAAACCCTGAGTTACCAAAGTTTATATGGTATGCTACCAAACTCCAAATTCCAATCAAATTTTTACCTTTTCTAGCTTAAATCTGTCCAATGCTTGTTGTGCTAGTTCAATCGCATCCGCTTGCAGCTCTTCCGGCATATCTGAGTTTTTGATCACCGCGTCTCGTTGTCCGATGAAAATGTGCTGAAAGGTACTTTACTTTTAGTTTTCTATTCCTTCAACTTTGGTAAAGATACAAATTTATCTGACAGCTTTTGTTTTACCATAAAAAACGGTGATTTTCTCCTCGGTGATTTAGGAATTTCTGACTTTCAAGGCAGAATTTGATCAAGGTAATTAAGGAAGCTAAAAAGCTACCAAATTACAAAACTACAAGTCTACAGAACAATTTTACTACAGAACTCTGACCATCTTCCCTAAAAAGTTAAGTCACAAATGTCAAGATGAACAATTTTGGAGACAATTTATGCAGTCACTTGCTCTACTCTATTTCCAAGGTAACTATCCCTAAGTCATATTGGGTTTCTTAACTCGCGATTCCCGAGCCGAAGAACAGATTGTGAAAGCGGGCATTAGAAAATTGTCGAAAATCACATTTGACGCTAGGGCTCACTTTTCACAATCAACTGTCATTTTGGCTTCCTTACTAGATACGCTTGAGTCCCACAAACCTTACAGAGTGCAAGTTATAGATTTGTCTCAAAACTTGAAACCTTTAGCATTCAAGTACGGGAATTCAAGTACGGGAATTCAAGTACGGGAATTCAAGTACGGGAATTCAAGTACGGAAATTCAAGTACGGGAATTCAAGTACGAGAATTCAAGTACGGGAATTCAAGTACGGGAATTCAAGTACGGGAATTCAAGTACGAGAATTCAAGTACGGGAATTCAAGTACGGGAATTCAAGTACGGGAATTCAAGTACGAGAATTCAAGTACGGGAATTCAATAAATATATTGATGTCTATAAATCTTTAAAATCCCCCTTCCAAACCTCAGTCTCTAAATGCGGGGCGACGACTTCCGGCGGGAAGACGCCGGTTTGTGGCAACTGCTCGACCTCGGTCATTCTTCAAATACTCTTCAAATAATCTCAAATAATCGTCGAAACGAATCGTCGAAACAAACCTGAAATCCCACTATTTATATGAAGTTTAAGCGAAAAGCGATGTGTTGATTTTCCCTCTCAAAAACAACGAGTCTACACTCGAGTGACCAAGTGAAAAAAGGGCGTATATTGGGGGTGGAGCTGGGGAGGAAAAAAAGGGTTGATCTTCTGTAACTGTAAATCTTTTAGCACTCAAATTTTTTCCTTGCTGGATCTCTTTCCATTTTACCCACTCAAAACGCGGAAATTGGAACTGAGATTCGCAAGAAAAAAGGAAAAATAGAGTCGAGTTTTCCCTTGGAAATGATGATCTTTCGACGGGCTGCAAAAATTTCAAAAACACGAACATTCAAGTCAACTGCGGCAATGAGTAAGGGGCTTTTTTTTGAGGCTATTTCTGTGGAAAGTTCAAGAGCGAAAGAATGAGATGAGATGCGGAAATATGATGATGAACGAGTGCTTGAAATAAGCGGAATGAGTCAGAATCAGTCAGATCGGAAATAAGCAGTCAGCACTTTTCCCATTGAAGTCTTGAAGTTCATTTAGGATTATAATTTAAAACTTGCTTTACAAACAAAATTTGATAGACTTTATTAAGCATAATCGTTAAAACTTTCAAAGAATTTAGAGATTTTTGTCCTGAATCCAGATCTCGAGTTCGGACCTCAAGTTCGGACCACAGGTTCGGACCACAAGTTCGGACTTCAAGTTCGGACTTCAAGTTTGGACCACAGGTTCGGACCACAGGTTCGGACCACAAGTTCGGACCTAGAGTTCGGACCTAGAGTTCGGACCTCGAGTTCGGACCACAGGTTCGGACCTCAAGTTCGGACCTCAAGTTCGGACCACAAGTTCGGACCCCAAGTTCGGACCACAAGTTCGGACCTCAGGTTCGGACCCCAGGTTCGGACCACAAGTTCGGACCTCAAGTTCGGACCTCAAGTTCGGACCACAAGTTCGGACCCCAAGTTCGGACCACAAGTTCGGACCTCAGGTTCGGACCCCAGGTTCGGACCTCAAGTTCGGACCTCAAGTTCGGACCACAGGTTCGGACCACAAGTTCGGACCTCGAGTTCGGACCTCAATTTCGGACCTCAAGTTCGGACCACAGGTTCGGACCACAAGTTCGGACCTCAAGTTCGGACTGCAGGTTCGGACCTCGAGTTATATCCAGAGAGAAGTTCGATCTATTAGTAAAGCCAAAACTGTTAGAATCAAAGATGTTACAAACGAAGTCTTGAGCCTTTAAGCTAAGCCAGACAAGGCAAGACCAGAGCCATGACCCGGAAAAACACTGATCAAAGCAGTCAATCAATGTTAACTCTTGGAATTTTTCAAAAAGTGCAGTGTGGCCGATAATTATCGTTGCAGTGGCTTATTATTTATTTTATTAACTATCTCGATCTCCTCAAGGCTAAAATTTTGCACTGGGCACAAAAGGATTTCAAAAAACAAATTTAGACATTCAAACAAGACGGGACTCCGACCCACAAAGCCAAAAAAGTCCAAGATTTTGAAGTTTCCCGATTTCATCTCTTTTTCTGAATGGTCAACCAACTGCCGGATCTCAATCCGATGGATTATTCTGTCTGATTTGTCCTTGAGGCAAAAGTCTGCTCAAAATCGCAAAAAAAAGTTTGAAGAAAAGCTTTCTGAAAGTCTGGGATGAACTCGATGATGCTTACTTGGTCGCCACTAGAAATAGGAAAATTCCAACGCGAACCTAATTCCACCCTCGTTTTCTCGGCCGCTTCTTGGTCGGTTGCTCTGAAATTTTGTCTACAAGCTGAGAATGTTGATTTCTATTTTTAGGCAAAATTTCAAAGCAAGAAAACGATGGTGGAATTAGGTTGGGGTTGGAGTTTTCCCCTGTCTAGTCACCACCGTGGACGCGACAGCGTGCTTGGCAGCTTGACAGCGTGCTTGGCGGCTTGACAGCGTGCTTAGCAGCTTGACAGCGTGCTTGGCAGCTTGACAGAGTGCTTGGCAGCTTGACAGCGTGCTTGGCAGCTCGACAGCGTGCTTGGCAGCTTGACAGCGTGCTTGGCTAAACATGGTGATCAATTTAATTGTTAATTTATTGTTCATTGATATCAAATCAAGATTTTAAAGCAAAAGTTTTCTCTCTAAAGTTTAATTTTGTCTACCTACAAAGCTTTTTATTTTCATCTATAATTATGGGCCATGCTGTATAGTTAAATGGATGAATGGAAAGGAAAATGAATGATCCATCAGGACAGATCCAGTTGTGATCAAGTCAGAAGACAAAATCAAAACGACCTCAAACAACAAATGAAAATGGGGATTTGGGGATTTGGGGATTCGGATTGGGATTGGGAAATCAATGGATTGATATCGATAAACCCTCAATCGGAATCGTTTTTTCTCTGGTAACACTCGAGAATCGGGGAAACGAAAGAAGAAAAGGCGGTCAATCTTGAGAAGAAATCAAATAGGAAACGGTAGGTTAAAAGAAAAGTGAAAAGAAATGAAGGGAAAAGAGGGATTGAACGATCTACGGGATAACTTGTCGGTACTTTAAGTGTACAAAGCGTTGAGAGGAAAGAACCGAGCTTTTAACTTGTGCGTCTGTGATAATTTGTGATTCGAGATGTTCACGGATCTTTGGGGGAAATGGTTATTTTGAAGAGTTCTTTGGAGAGACATAAAGTAGAAACACAGCCTTTCTCACTGGACTTTTCTTTTCTTGAACTTTTCTTGAACTTTAGTGTACTAGAGAGGGACTGTTTGTACTTTTTGAGTAAAAACAGACCCTCTCTAGTACTCTCTAGTACACCAAGTTCAACAAAGCGGTCCAAGCGGCTAAGCGGACCAGTGTTAAGCTGTGCTCAAAGATTGAAAAACACTCTTTTCAATGAAATACTTTAATTTTTCGGATAGCAGTCTGATTTCTTGCTTAATAGCAGTCTGATTTCTTGCTTAATAGCAGTCTGATTTCTTGCTAAATCAATGAAATAAAGGCACCAGAAAGGGATTGAACGATCTACGGGATAACTTGTCAGTACTTTAAGTGTACAAAGAGTTGAGAGGAAAGAACCGAGGGTGTGTTTCCATCTTTGAGCGTGTTCCATCTTCCATTCAAAGTAAATCAAGTTAAGCCTTGGTCAAAGAGCATTATAGCTATTTACATAATTCCATGGAACTTTTGTGATTCAACTTTGACAATATGTTTGTCATCATTGCTTAAAGTCTAGCAAGCGTACTAACCATCACTTAGTCACCTATTTCTAACATCACTTAGCTTTTTGGGTACTTGAGTGTATTTGTTTTGAGTGTACTTGTTTTGAGTACCAATTCATGACAAAATGAAAAGGCGAAAGCCGACGCAAAAAAAATGCTTTTTTGACCCTTTGCGGGCACTTGTGATTTGAGATGTTCACGGTTAGGAAAAGAGTTGACTGGGAAGTGTTTGATGTTCAATGATCTCTAAAGCTTCGGTACATCGGTACTTTGAATACGGATAAAGAGATCAAGCTTTAAGTAGTGTAGTAAAGTAACTTAAGTAAAGAGCAGGCGATCACAGTACGACTTAAGCTTAAGCTTCAAAACTTAGCTGAGCTTTAAGCTGAGGCTTGTTTAGTTCAAAAATTTGACCAAAAACCTTTGGACACTTACGAAATAATGTTTCAGTTGTTGAAGTGTGGCCTCGAAAAGAGGCTAGACTTGCACTAACTCCAAGTGGACCTGTCAAGGAATTGCGGCGTCTCGGGTCGACTGTCAGAGAAAATAAATAGATCGTCAACTTTGATCTGAGCTGTAAGCCAAAGTTGATCAATTTTAAAGCTCAAGTGCAAAAAAAGGTTGGGTTGAAAAAGGGATTCTTTATTACACAGCTAAACCACAATATTTGTCGAAATTTCTTCTAATCTCAAAGGAAGAAGGTAGTGGCTAGATTTGGGAACTTGATTGGGAACTTGATTGGGAACTTGATTGGGAGTTTGATTAGGAACTTGATTGGGAACTTGATTGGGAGTTTGATTCGGAATTTGATTGGGAATTTGATTGGGAACTTGATTGGGAGTTTGATTAGGAACTTGATTGGGAACTTGATTGGGAGTTTGATTCGGAATTTGATTGGGAATTTGATTGGGATTTGATTGGGAATTTGATTGGGAATTTGATTGGGATTTGATTGGGAATTTGATTGGGAATTTGATTGGGATTTGATTGGGAATTTGATTGGGAACTTGATTGGGAACTTGATCGGGAATTTGATTGGGAACTTGATTGGGAACTTGATCGGGAATTTGATTGGGAACTTGATTGGGAACTTGATCGGGAATTTGATTGGGAACTTGATTGGGAACTTGATTGGGAACTTGATTGGGAACTTGATTGGGAACTTGATTGGGAACTTGATTTGGAATTTGATTAGGAATTTGATTCGGCATTTGATTCGGCATTTAATTCGGCATTTAATTCGGCATTTAATTTGGAATTTGATTCAAGATTTCCTAACTCCATAGAATCAGCTGTTGGATGAAAAACATAGAGTCAAGTAGCTCAATATCAAATCAATCTTTAGATGATATCCAGGAATTGTGAGAGTTTAAGAATTTTTGTTTGTTTAACTCTAAAAGTACGGCTAAATGCCACAAGTTTTTGGTTATGAAACCAAAAAAAACTTCTGGTTTATGAAGGTTTTTGGCTTTTGGTTTTCATAAACCAATTTACAATGTACAAAATTTGTAAAAACACTCCTTCTGGCTCACCAAATTCTCCAGCTCTCCGCATTTTTAAGGAATTTGAAAGAATTTATTGTGCAAACATAAGCAAACTAAAATTGAAACAATCACAAGATGAGGATTTGAGCAGAGGAAGGGAGAAAACTAGAGTTTGTTCCACGCGAGTAAGTAATTACTCCGAGTAAATTAGCAAGAATCATTTTTACTCGATTAATCGATTAATTTTGGTCGAGTAACTACGAGTAATCCTCTTTACACGTCGAGTGAATTGGAATATCTTTATTTGTGAAGGGAATTTGCCACCAAATCAGTGAAACGGCTGAGTATCTTTAACAAAGAGTCGTATATAAGCCGTCGCTCCTGATTTTTTCCGTCAATTTTTTTGGGGTAGGCTAATTTCTGCAATTTTGTTTTGCGCAACTCTCCATAACTCTCTGCCAAGTTAGCCAATCTTTATGGTTTTGGTTTCATTTTGTAGATCTCAATAAGTGCAACAAAATGAAACCAAAAACATAAAGATTGGCCGGTTTAGAAGAGAGTTATGGCGAGTTGCGCAAACGATCCAGTTGCGCAAATGACCCAGTTTACTTTTTACCGTTAGATTTTATACAGCTACCGTATTTCTTCGAATAGAAGGCCGGGTAAAGAGTATCATCGCGTACTCCTGCGTAGCAGCCCTTTTTAAAATTTCTTTTCTGCATAAAAGCTTTCAATCAAGTGCTATAGGGCTGGAAAGTGACTCAAAAATCTGTTAGTGCATGTGGTATTTTTGAATCATTTTCCAGCTCTGTAGCACTTGATTGAAAGCTTTTATGCAGAAAAGAAATTTTAAAAGGGGCTGCTACGCAGAAGTACGCGATCATACTCTTTACCCGGTCTTCTATTCGAAGAAATACGGTATTTTTTGTTTAATGATATTCAGTTAAATGCGAGTTTAGCGAGTTGCGCAAATGATCCAGTTGCGCAAACGATCCAATGGCGCAAACGATCCAATGGCGCAAACGATCCAGTTGCGCAAACGATCCAATGAAACGATCCAATGGCCAAACGACCAGTTGCGCAAACGACAGTTGCGCAAACGACCAATGGCGCAAACGATCCAATGGCGCAAACGATCCAATGGCGCAAACGACCAATGCGCAAACGATCCAATGGCGCAAACGATCCAATGGCGCAAACGATCCAATGGCGCAAACGATCCAATGGCGCAAACGATCCAATGGCGCAAACGATCCAATGGCGCAAACGATCCAATGGCGCAAACGATCCAATGGCGCAACGACCAATGCGCAAACGACCAATGCGCAAACGACCCAATGGCGCAAACGATCCAATGGCGCAAACGATCCAATGGGAAACGATCCAATGGCGCAAACGACCAATGGCGCAAACGACCAATGGCCAAACGACCAATGGCGCAAACGATCCAATGGCGCAAACGACCCAATGGCGCAAACGACCCAATGGCGCAACGACCAATGGCGCAAACGATCCAATGGCGCAACGACCAATGCGCAACGACCAATGGCGCAACGACCAATGGCGCAAACGATCCAATGGCAAACGATCCAATGGCCAAACGATCCAATGGCGCAAACGATCCAATGGCGCAAACGATCCAATGGCGCAAACGATCCAATGGCGCAAACGATCCAATGGCGCAAAAAAAATTGCGGAAATTAGCCTACCCTTTTTTGCAATAATTTTCACTAAAAGTACGGTAACTTTTTCTAAGTGTGCGTCTTAAAAAAACCGCATTACTCGTGAGGAACACACTCTAGAAAAAACTATTCTTGGAAACATTAATCATGAGACTTCGAATTTCTAGAAAAACGTCAAAACGTGGGAAAATAAATAGAAAAAGATAAAAAGATTTTGACGTTTTGTGCATTGTTTGAGGTAAATTTTTTTCCGAGAAAAATCGAATCTTTTTCATTTAGAGAACTCTCGATAAACAAGCAACAAAATTGGGAAAATGATGGAAAGGAAATGCGGGAGAGATTTCGAGGAATTGCAATAGTCGTGATCATTGCAGAAGCAGTACCAATACCTGAAATTTGAACGTTACTTTACGGTTTTACAGGATGCCTATGCAAAGCAATTGCTACAAGAGCCTGTGCAAAGCAATTGCTACAAAAGCCTATGCAAAGCAATTGCTTCCTATTTGCTCTTTTGTCTTTCCTATTTTTGTCAAATTCTATAAATTGATCTAAAATCCTTAGATAATTTGATTGAGCCCATAGTTCTCAACTTGCTCAAAGATAAGCGCATCTTTTCTGGCGCACCTAGCTCTTCTACTTAGCTCTAATAGATTGGTCAGAAAAGCTGGATAGTGTTCAATGTTTAGGATGATTTTGGTTACTGGTTTGTCGCCAAATCAAATCAAATCGCCAAATTTTTATATGTGCAAACGTAGAATTGAATCTAGTTTCTAAAAAAACAAAGAGCTAGCAAAAATATGAAATTTGAAAAGGCGTTATTCCGCAAAGATTGCGAATTTTGAGATGAAACTAGTAAATTTTGCTAGATCGAGCAAAATCTGGACTTGGGCCCAGAAACGATGTGAAAATCAGAACTTGTCCAGAAAGAGAAACTCAAATTGTATCAGAAGCTATTGAAAAGTGCGGATTCTATGATTAAGCTTCCATTTCGTTCTCATTTCAACCAATTTTCAGCCAGCTTTGGTTTCAATGCGACAGACGCAATTTTCCTTTCTCGTCTTGTTGATTTTTGGGGGTAGGCTAACCGAGCACCCGATAAATATCATTTCAATTGGCCTGGTTTGACCAAAAATCGACTAATTTACGCAACTGGATCGTTTGCGCAACTCGCCATAACTCTCTTCCAAGTTAGCCAATCTTTTGATGATTTTGGTCCCATTTTGTTGCACTTATTGAGATCTACAAAAGGGAATTTGCCAACAAATCAGTGAAACGGCTGAATATCTTTAAAAAGAGTCGTATATAAGTCGTCGCTCGTGATTTTTTCCGTCAATTTTTTTGGGGTAGGCTAATTTCCGCATTTTTGTTTTGCGCAACTGGATCGATTGCGCAACTCTCCATAACTCTCTTCTAAACCGGCCAATCTTTATGTTTTTGGTTTCATTTTGTTGCATTTATTGAGATCTACAAAATGAAATCAAAATCATAAGGATTGTTCCACTTAAAAGGAAGTTATGGCGAGTTGCGCAATCGATCCAGTTGAGCAAAACAAAATCGCAGAAATTAGCCGATTTTTGGTCAAACCAGGCCAATTGAAATGATATTTATCGGGTGCTCGGATTCGATCCAATCCAAAGATCTGATCCGGTAAATTTATCTCCAAGATTGTATCATGGTTAGGCCAAGCTAAAACCAGACGTGGACCAGGGCCAGGTCAAAGTCATATAAGCTTGAAGTCGAGTTACGGGCCAGCTAAGGCCTGACTAGAGTTAATTTATGGCAGACCGAACCAGGCCAGTAGACACAGTATTTTATGGAATTGTTGGAACTCTGGACTTGTTTAGCTAACCAGCTACTACCGTAATACATCTAATAGTAGCGCCCCCTCGTATAGTCGCGTAGTCGCAAAAATCACAAAATGATTTTTACTAAATCATTTTTTTCTAAGCGTCCATAATTTCTAAAAATACATGCTTGGTATCAAAAAATAGCCCTGAATTTCAGCTTTCATTTGATACTTAAGCGCACACTGTAGCTTAAACATGTGCCAAGCAAAACGCGTTTAAAATTAGACTACGCGATGCTCCGACCGTCATTACAGGGAGGGCGCTACGATTAGAGGTATCACTGTATGCACAAATACACTCTCGCCATTTCTTTCCACCTTTTCACCGGCGCCGATCCATCCTGATACGGATAGCACTTTCGATTCGTGATTGTTGTCAAATTCTGAGGATCTATCTGGAATTGTTCAGATGATTCGTGATTTTTGTGATTTTCGTGATTTCCTCGAATATTCTCACCTGTAACTGTGTCTGAAAGTAGCAATCACTCTTAAATGTCCCGTAATTTGTCCCCGGTGACATGGAGTCGATGATTTTCACGCAAAACTAAAGAATCTTCAAGTTGGTCACTCATTTTCTCAATGAAACATTTTGTTGTTTTTGATTTTGATGTTGATTCTCATTCTTTTTCTGATCAGTTACAGGTTTTAGAATATGCAAAAGGCGTTGGGTTGCCTGGCATTTTTGGAGAAACAAATCAAGACGATCTCTATTCATCTCTATTCTTGGAAAAGTTTCAAAAACACAAGCCATCATTGGATATTTTGTTCTTAGAAATGAAAACGAACCCTTTCTGGCAAACTCAAAGAACATTAACTATAGATTTTGCTTGTAAAACCGAACCATTGCACATAGAATTGGTTAGATTACATTCTTTTGCATAAAGTACACGGTTAACAAATACATCGTACAAACAAAGTATCGTACTTTGAACTTTGAATGGAAAAGGGAAACACACTCTTTCTCGTGCACCCATTTAGCCAGCGTAAATTGGCAAAAACAATAGCTGAAAGAGTTGAAAGAGCTGAAAGAAGTGTGAATCAAAAATAGCTACGTCAATTTTGCTGATTTCTAGATTCCTAGATTTCTAGATTCCTAGATTTCTAGTTTTCTAGTTTTCTAGATTTCTAGGTTTCTAGTTTTCTAGATTTCTAGATTTCTAGATTTCTAGATTTCTAGATTTCTAGATTCCTAGATTTCTAGATTCCTAGATTTCCAGTCTTCTAGATTTCTAGTTTTCTAGACTTCTAGTTTTCTAGATTTCTAGATTTCTAGTTTTCTAGATTTCTAGGTTTCTAGGTTTCTAGGTTTCTAATTGTCGTCAATTGTCGTCAAATTTTCTCAACTATTTGTAAGCAATCATGGCCGATCTGCCAAGTGCCCTGTATCTCAAAGAGGTGCGAATCAAAAATAGCTACTCAGAAAATAGCTACTCAAAAAATAGCTAATCCCTGTATCGGGAGGTCAAGGTTTCAATCCCGGTGGCTGAATTATTGCTTCTCTTTTCTCATATCTATTTTTTTACATTTTAAATCCAACCTGACTGGTTTGACATTGATTATTTCGATTGTCACACGTGCTCGCGGTGGCATAACGAAGCGGATATTGACCATCCCAACCATTACATTGTTGACAAATCAACGAGAAACATCCTAGACTTTAGGAAAATAAGTACAGAAAAAAGTACGGTGAAGAAGTACAGGTTAAAGCATTACAAATTGCTCTTTGTAGTGCACATTTTGCTTTACTAAGCGAAAGACGCTTTACTAAACGAAGCATAATCTTTCTGGCGCAATGAATTCATCTTTTCTCAAATAAACGATGAGAAAATGACGTGTTTTGGTGTGGAAATATCAGTCAGGATCTATCAGGAAATATCAGGAAAAAATTAAGTCCTGGAATGCTGCAATGCTTACGTTTATGTTTTTTGAGTACAAGTATGCCTTTTGTACAGGCTGGTCAAGAGAATTTTACCTGGCAAATAGTAAAACTGGATGAAAAGTAGCAAATGCTGTCTATGGATTTGCATTTGAATGGCAGAATAAGAGAAAAAACAGCGTTAGTGTCTGTTCAGAGCTTTTCCAAGAGTCCACCAAAATCTCCCTTCTCAACTAAACACAAAGAGTGAAGGGCTGCTAGGAGACTCTTTCTGGTGGAGAGAATTCATCCATTCAAGGGATCACTCAAAGAAAATGTGCCCAAAGTGTATATGGGGGAAAGTTATTACGAAATTTTATCTGGGAAATTCGTTCAGCAACTTTATTCGCTCAGCAACCTTACTTTAGATAGTTTGTTTAGTCAGAAAAATGCTTTGTTGACTTCAAGCTTATATGACTTTGACCTGGCCCTGGTCCACGTCTGGTTTTGGCTTTGCCTAACCATGATACAATCTTGGGGATAAAAAAAGAAGGGGGCAGTAAAGGGGCAGTAAATTTGCTCTACCTAATTGCTTTACAAATTCTGTGGAAATTGTTTAATTGTTGAATTGTTTTTCAGAGAAAAGTTGTTGAGCTTTGCATGAGATATTTTTGAAAACTTTATTCTAAACTTTATTGATGTAGATTGAAAAATTTCGCCGAGAAGATCATGCAACCGAATGAGGCAAAGAAGAGGCCCGTCAGAATGAAGCCCCTGAAAAGTGGTGGATGAATGGATAAAAAAGAGTGTTTTAGTTAAAACAACAAACTTGATACAACAAAGTCCACAACAGCAATGTCCTAGTCAATGTCCTGGCAATGTCCTAGCAATGTCCTAGTTAATGTCCTAGCAACAATGTCCTAGCAATGTCCTAGCAATGTCCTAGTTAATGTCCTAGCAATGTCCTAGTTAATGTCCTAGCAATATCCTAGTTAATGTCCTAGCAATGTCCTAGTTAATGCCCTAGCAATGTCCTAGTTAATGTCCTAGTTAATGTCCTAGCAATGTCCTAGCAACAATGTCCTAGCAATGTCCTAGCAACAAACTTGATAAACTCCAATGGGGATGAATGACGACCATGTGCTAGACGAGTGGCTGTGATGAGGGCGACACCGACAGAGATCGGGAGAAGACGATCACCTTCGATAAGACTCAAGCCTGTAGCTCCGTCGAGACTGTGGAAAGTGTAGGCTGAAAGTTGTTTGTGTTTTTTCAAGGCATTTCAAGACTTTAAGGCTTTAAGGCTTTCAAATCAACATACCGAGAAATAGCATAAACGATCCACCGCCCATGACGGCGAATGCGGAGAGGAGCCGCCAGATGAAAAGATTTGGGAATGGGAGCAGTGAGAGGAGAGCAGCCGAGACATAAAATGGACAACACAACCACCACGTTGGATCGTTCTAAAGGCGTTTTTTTAACTTTCAATTACCCATACAGTAGACATGGGCACTACAAGCTACAAACGTAAACTACAAACGCTTCTAACTTGCTTCAAATCTGCTAAATTGAAATTATCTATAGCTCAAAAAATAGAGAATCTCAAGAGCTTTCGAATCGACTAAAGCACACCCAAAAATATGAATTCTAAAGAAAATTACAGTGGTTTATAGCCCGACTCAATCTCTTCGACTAGTGTCGAGTCGGGCTATAAACCACTGTAACTTTCTTTAGCATTGATATTTTTGGGTGTGCTTTAGTTCGTTCTAAAGCTCTTGTGATTCTCTATTTTTTGAGCTATAGATCATTTCAATTCAGCATATTTTAAGCAAGTTAGAAGCGTTTGTACAGAATGGTCCACAATTATGGTAACCGCTTTTTGGAAAACTATTATTTTCCCAACTTTCTACAGAAAGTAGCATGTATTATATATCATTTGAAAGCTCTAATTCTCAGCATCATTAATACTCTAAAGATTTTTGGTCAGAGCTTATTTTTGACTCTTACTGGCCTTCGGAATGAGCTCACCGCAAGCACCCCATGGCGATCTGCCATTTTTCGTGGTTTTCTAGGTCAAAATTCGAGAAAAACAGGAAATACGATCAAAATTGTACATATTTTACTAAAATTAATTTTATTTAATAGTTTAAAACGAAAATAACAATCGAATCCCGAAAAACGCTGCAAAATGGTAGTTTGCAGCAAGTTGTAAACCCGTTTTAAAATATTTTTGCACATGCTTGGTTAACGTTTGCCTTTATTTTGAACCGAAAGAATTGAAAAAAGGTTAGTGAGTTGAAAGCAATCTTTTCAAAACACTCCTTACATTCGAAAAATGGCAGATCGCCGTGGGGTGCTTGCGGCGAGTTCATTTCGAAGGCCAGTAAGGGTCAAAAATAAGCTCTGACCAATGAATCTTTAGAGTATTAATGATGCTGAGAATTAGAGCTTTCAAATGATATATAATACATGCTACTTTCTGTAGAAAGTTTTTTGGAAAAGAGTAGTTTTTCAAAAGTTACCATAATGGTTACCATGATTGTGGACCAGCCTGTGGTGTGACAGTTCGTCAGTGTGACATGCTTTTGGCTGTGTGGCATGCAACAGTGTAACATGCAACAGTGTGACATGCTTTTGGCTTTTTCGAGTCAATCAGGAGCCAGGACAGTTTAAGTCATGCAAGGCTAGGACCTGCTTCTGGCCTGACCTTTGCCTTTCCTGTTCTGGCTAGTGTGACAGTTCGCCATTTTTGTAGTTTATAGCGCCCCATATTGCTTTAAAACTTCAAAATCCCTGTAACTTGTGCTACTACAGTAAATCGAACTACAAAATGTCCTGTTGACTAGCCTTAAATCTAGGTATTCTGTTTTGTAGTGAAGTGGTGAAGCAAAGAAGATTTACCAGCTTACACTTTGCTTTGCTTTGCTTGCTCTTTGCTCTCGCATTCTTTTGTTCTTTGAGTTTACAGTGTCAAGAAAGAAGAACAATCAGCTACAATCAGACAAGAATGATAACTTTGAATTTGTCTTTTGGTCTTTATGATTGAATCTTTTCTACTCTAGTAAACTGTCAGAGGAGTTGGACAGTTTTTTATAACCAAAAAATCAGAGAATACTCCGAGATTCTTAAGCCGTATTCAGGCTAATATATCAAACTACAGATTTAGGTTAAAACTAAGATCTATTCAAAATCATAAGCCATTTATCTCACCTCAAATTGATACACTCCATGCGCCAACAGGCCCACCGCCACCGCTGCTCGTAAAGCGTACATATCTGAATGGTTATCAAAAAATGAACACTGAAAAACGTTTAAAAACAAGTAAATCTTCTGAAGAAACAATTTTATAACAATATTCAGCTCAAGAACTTGTGAAAACACACGCCAAATTAACCCCGTTATCAGTCGGGAATGGCAAGTCGGCTCCTGTACAAACTACACGAAAAAAGACAAATAGATATTGGATAGTATGTGCTTAAAATTTCAATACATAGAAATCCTATGCATAGTAAGATGCAGGAACACTTTTCAGCTCTCTAGCAAGCTAATGAGTTCCCCCGTGAAGGGGCTGACCTACTTGGACTCTTTGGTTGACCTTGACGCTTCGCCGCATTCTCCTTTGCACTCGATCCACCGTATCCCTTCCCCTTTCCACTCTTCGTCTCTTTTTCAAATAGCTCATCAGAAAATAGCTCGGAGAATCAAAGCCAACGTGTGAAATAGAGCAAATTTCTGATTTGTATTTAACCAAAGGAAATCTTTGCTTTAATGGAGTATCTCCAAAAAGTGAGAAGCACTGTCACGAAGGCGTATGAACAGGTGGGGATTTAAATTAACGATAAAATAATCATTAAACCATTGAGTATTTCGACGCAGCAAGATTTTTAAGTAAAGCCTTTTGTTTATCATTTTGTAAAGCCTTTTGTTTATCATTTTGTTTATCATTTTGTTTATCATTTGAAAAACTTATAAAAACTTGAGATTCTTGTTCTCAAAAGCTAGAAAAGTTGTAAACAAATAAATAAATAACTACTAGGATTTTAAGTATACTTTTAATTGTAAGTATATTCTAAGTTTAACGTTAAATCTTGAACTTAAGAAATAGTATAATGTAATACTTTATATAGCTGCTCATTTTCGGTTTAATTTTGCATAGGTAGACAACGGAAAAACAAGATTTAACCACTTCAACAGCAACTTTTTTCACATCAAAAGATAGAGTTTTCCAGATCAAAATATAGAGCTTGGAAAAGTCTATCTTTATGTGGCAAAAAATCCTAAAAAGTAGCCATTGGAGTGATCAAAACTCGTTGTTCCGTTGAACACCTATTGACAATCAAATCGAGAATGAACAACTCTACTTTATCTGTAAAATCATAAGAAGAAATCCAGGTTGGAAATGTTGTCGCTGGAAATCCGGCACTTCGTCTCTTCGAACCGGGTGATATGATTGGATCGGCTGGACCGGCTCATTTGTGGAAAATACACAAAGCAAAGAAGCGATCAACTGGACAAACGGTGGCCATGTGGATTTTCGAGAGAAAACAGGTAAGTAAAGAAGAATTTTTAAGAATAAAATACAGTTTACTAGCTATCGGCAAAATAGAAATGATTTTTGAAAGTGCTCTCCAAAGTCTAGCCATCCCAATTTGGATCTAGCCTCCCCAAAGTCTAGCCATCCCATTGTGTCATTGTTTGGGTTCAGGTTGAAACTTTCTCGAAAGATGATCAAACTCGAATCGTGGACATGTTGAAAAGAGGCGTCAGTCAGCTGACTCGAGTTCGACACCCGAGAGTGCTCGTCGTTGAGCATCCACTTGAGGAGGGCAGGTAAAACGAAACAAAACAAAACAAAACAGAACGAAATAAGACAATTATTGTATAGATTATCAGCCTTCTAATATCAGTCTTTTATTATCAGCCTTCTATTATCAGCCTTCTAATATCAGTCTTCTATTATCAGCCTTCTAATATCAGCCTTCTATTATCAGCCTTCTAATATCAGCCTTCTAATATCAGCCTTCTAATATCAGCCTTCTAATATCAGTCTTCTATTATCAGCCTTCTAATATCAGCCTTCTAATATCAGCCTTCTAATATCAGCCTTCTAATATCAGTCTTCTATTATCAGCCTTCTAATATCAGCCTTCTAATATCAGCCTTCTAATATCAGCCTTCTAATATCAGCCTTCTAATATCAGCCTTCTAATATCAGTCTTTTATTATCAGCCTTCTATTATCAGCCTTCTAATATCAGTCTTCTATTATCAGCCTTCTAATATCAGCCTTCTAATATCAGTCTTCTATTATCAGCCTTCTATTATCAGCCTTCTATTATCAGCCTTCTAATATCAGTCTTCTATTATCAGCCTTCTAATACCAACCTTCAAAACATTAGCAAAAAGCAGTTTATAAATAAAAAAAAGAGAAAATTACCCGTTTTCATAGTGAGAAAATCTGTCGAAAGGGATGAAGCATTCATCTTTTTTTCTCTCTTTTGAACTTACTTTTGAAGCTACTGTGAAATCGAATTGTGATTCAGCAAACTCTAGTTATTCTAGAAATCATTTAAAGTTAAACAAAATAAATTTTGATTCTAGAAATTGCTAAACAAAAAAAAACAAAATAAAACAAAAATAAAACAAAATAAAACAATCGATTTTTGCTTAAGCGAAGATTGATCTTAATCTATTTTTACAATCGAGATCTTAGTTTAAAGCATTAGTTACAATTTCTGTTGTTTAAAACGTTCAAAAAAGACTCCAGTATTGTAGAGGGGGGTCGAACCAACCCCCTCTTTGAAGCCAGACTGACACACGGCGCCTTAGACCACTTGGCCACGCTCACGCTCACTCGGACACCTTCGAGAAATCGCGTTTTTACAAAAAATGACCTGTCTAATCCCCAAAACTAATTAGATTTTTGGAAAATACATACAATTTTGGATATACTAGTCAAATTTTCAGACCGATTGGTTTAGCCGTTTTTTTCTAAAACAGCGGAACAGACACCCTACTCTTTTGCTCATAATAAATCGGAAACAGTAATTCGAATGTTTTTAAATAAACTAGCATCAATAATATCTAACTGATAGTCGTGACGTGATCACTATGACATTGAAACAAGTTTGATTTCAATTCCCTTCAGGGACTCGTTCATTTTCTGCACCGAGCCCGTGATCGGCAGCTTGGCGAACGTGTTGGGACAAACGGAGGGACTCCCACAACCGGCAACCATTCATCATCGAAGTTACAAGTTGCACGAGATCGAGATTCGAATCGGATTGAAACAGGTCAGTCTTTCAGAAGGTTTTGATTTTAAAGCTCATAAAGAAATAAAGATAGGATTCTTTTAAGCTTTGTATTGGGTTGGTGACTTTGAACTAAAATTTATTCAACATAAAACCATGAATTCATTCCAAATAATTTCCATTATTATTGACGACTTCTGCTCATTTTACAGGCAATTTGCGGATTCCTCTTTCGTAGTAGGATTTTGGTTTGTGTGTGAGACAAGTGTGAGACTCAAAAATGGAGGACTGGAGATGGAGACTGGAGATCCCAGTTTGAGCACTTTCTTCAAAAGAAACCCATTTTGGTGTCAATAGAAAAGTTGTAGAGAATCAAAAATGAGGCTTATAGCCAAATTTCCAAAAAGATACACTTAGTAGTTTCGCTTAAAATGTAAGTTTTGTGAAAATTCGTTGGCATTTCTTGAAATTGGCATTTTTTCAAAACCAGTTTTTGAATCGTTCTGAAAATTTGGATATAAGCTTCATTCTTGATTCTCTACAACTTTTCCATTGACACCAAAATGGGTTTCTTTTGAAGAAAGTGCTCAAACTGTCATATATGACAATAACCGGCAGTTTTCAATTCACCAACCCAATAGTCACCTTCCTTGCTTTAAAGGTATTCAGTTATTTGGCTGTTTTGGCGGTTAATTCTTGTTAACCAACATTTGTCTGGCCAATTCTTGGTTAATTGATCAAGTTCACTTCAAAATTTATGCTTCAAAAAAGTTGATTTGCATTTATTTGCATTTATATTCACTCAGTGAGTGGCCGTGGTTGTCGATGGACGAACGGTGATCGTTTTTCGCATTTTCACATTCTTGTACCTGTAAAACTTTCGAAGTCACAGGAAAATGTCGAGTTTTCGAAAGACTTATTAGCTAAACATCACTCAAAAATCACCCCAATTTCTCCAATAATAATCGCCGAATAATTGGGGAAAAACCAATCAATAAATAGGAAGGAAGACAAGAATATGAGTCTTGCAGCAAATTGTAGAAGAAATAAAAAGTCTCCGTATCAAAATTCGTGTTCAGAACAAAGAAATAGATTAAGAAGATGAAATAACAGATTTCGAGAAAACAAATCGAAATGGCGATCCCGAAAAACTCCATCTCTCTTTTCATATTGTTCTTGACGAGCTTTGAGTTTAGTTGACTCTGAAAGTGATTGATTGATTGATTGATTCAGCTTCTCTGATTCAGCTTCTCATCTTCTCAGCTTTAAATCTTTTAAACACCATTATTAATAAGTATTTGAGGGGATTGTGATCAAACTCTTGGCTCTTGATCAAAATTCTTGACGATTTTTGAGTTTAACTGACTCTGAATCTAAACACACCTTTTCTAGCGCGCCAAATTCTTTGTCTTTTTGCTTGACATTAGTTAGCGTTGCTGTTAGAAAACTGAAATCAACAAGTTTTCCAGAAAGTCTGTATGTTTCTACTTTTTTAACACCTACACCCAAAAAGCCTATCCAATTTTGTCTCTTTACCTTTGAATGTGATCGAAAATGATGCACAAATATCATCAAAATATAGCAAATGATGATAATGATCACGAATAGAGTGTCCACTCCGAAACCATACGCATAATAGAGCACTCGAAAGTGTTCGTCGATGAACTCTGTGTAGTAGCCGCTATCCGTCTAAACGATGGGATAGTTGAATACAATGATCTTTTTATGGGTTGGGGTTGATTTGTTGAGGTTGATTTGTTAGGGTTGATTTGTTGGGGTTGGCTTGTTGGGGTTGGCTTGTTGGGGTTGACTTGTTGGGGTTGATTTGTTGGGGTTGGCTTGTTGGGGTTGGCTTGTTGGGGTTGACTTGTTGGGGTTGATTTGTTGGGGTTGGCTTGTTGGGGTTGGCTTGTTGGGGTTGATTTGTTGGGGTTGGCTTGTTGGGGTTGGTTGTTGGGGTTGATTTGTTGGGGTTGGCTTGCTGGGGTTGATTTGTTGGGGTTGTTTTGTTGGGGTTGGCTTGTGAGTTTGAGGATCGTATCTGCCCGGTATCGTATCGTATCGTAGCCATGTAATGCTTAAAGTTGAACACACTGATCCTTTTATGGGTTGGGGCTGGGAATACAAAACATGGTCGGCGCCGGGATTCGAACCCGAGACTTCTCGCTTACCAACTTCTCTATCAATGAGCTACACCGACACATATCCCATTGTCGTCAGGATAGGCCTTATTGGATGGTTTGAAAGGAAATTAGCGTCAAGGACGTTCCGATCGGATTCCAGGGTCTGTAAGCCAGGCCAGGCCAGGTCAGGCCAGCCAGGCCAGGTCAGGCCAGGCCAGGCCAGGTCAGGCCAGGTCAGGCCAGGTCAGGCCAGGTCAGGCCAGGTCAGGCCAGGCCAGGCCAGGCCAGGTCAGGTCAGAGCCAAGCCAGGTTCAAGCTTGGTTTCTGGCCACGCTTTTGGCTTTTTCGGGTCAATCTGTGAGCCAGGACAGTTTAAGTCATGCAAGGCTAGGACCTGCTTCTGGCCTGACCTTTGCCTTTCCGGTTCTGGCTCGGCTCGGCAAAAATCTGACAAAATGATTGGCAAAAGCTTGCTTATTGATTGAAATAGCTATTGCTTATTGATTGCCAAATAGAAAATAGATTGCCAAATAGGAATCACAAATCTAATACCTTTCCCGTAATCCATGGCCTATTCTTATTAAGTACCAGCCATAAGTCAATGGCTGATACTTAAATGCAAATTTTATCTATCACTCACCTCTTTAACCAATTTCATTTTCGTGAAGAACAAAGCGCAGCCACTCAGGAAACCTGGTATCAATTGAATCAAGTAAATTACAGTAGTCTTTTCAAGGGACCAAATCTAAACATATACATTTTGACATAAAATAAAAGCCCAACGTTGGGATACTTCAATGGCACAATGATAGCTGTTGCTCGATTTAAAGCCAATAGGGTTGAAGTGGTGCCTTGACAGATTCTGAAACAATCTATCTATCTATTATTTGATGTCATGGACGACTGGCATAAGCCCTGTGGCTGCCATGGACGACTGGCATAGGCCTAGTTGGGGTTGAATCCCGCCGACTGGATTATTACCGTATTTTCTCTAATAGTAGTGGACCCTGAGCGTCGCCTAAATTGCTCGAAATCTCGAGAACCGCTTATCAGAACCTATCGATGTGGGGTCGGAAAATGTAGCTCACGATCAGATCTAATAGGGGATTAGAGTGTTGAGCTTCTGCAAAAGCTTCGAAACCGTAAAATAGTCACCAACTCGGCTCGCCCGGGTGCACTACTATTAGAGAAAATACGGTAGTTCTTTTTTCCAATCTATGAGTTTTTTCTTCTCTACATTTTGGGCTTACCAATTTTGGTTAGGGATTTTCCTTATGAATTTTTGTACTTACTTGTTTGTACCACATTATTTGTGTGAATAAATGTATCTAACCTGCCAGCCCAGGCGATAGCAATAGAGACTTGTCCAGCGGTTGGACCCAGCCATAGATAAACGTCAATAAATAAACCATGACTCGGTAGAAAAGTACCCAGATAGTTATTTATAATAGCGATTAGATCGACTAGGCCACCGATCTGTGATTACTGATTACTGTGAATATCTATGGTTTGCTGTACACAGCCAGCTCCAGGGCTGTTTCCTGGGATAGCCAAATCAATCCAGCTGGTCCAGGTCCATGTTTGAATCCAGCTGGATTGGCTTTAGAAAAAGCTCCGCTCTTTGTTCACAGCCTTAGTAGCAGCTCTAGTACTGTAGTATTGTACTGAGACGGGAAGGAACAGTTGTTTCCTTACTCAGAAGCTTACTCATGAGCCTAACATGAGCCAAAACGATATTACAGCGTCAAATCTCTACAGTACTGCATCTTACACAGTTGTTACTAGCTATGGTACGGTAGCCATGGTACGGTAGCTATGGTACGGTACAGTACTACTGACACTTGCTTACCGCATGGATCCGATAAAATACAGATTTCAGTTCAGCTCTTTTCGTGAACAGAAGAAATATCAACAAAACGTAGACAGGGATCGTGAACAAAACGAAAACAGTAAAGATTAGCGATAGGATAAAATACGTGTCCATTTGATAGCATTCCTTTTTTTACGATTTTCGAAGATTGATGAAAACGTTTTTGTAGTTGATGTAAAAAGTTTCGAATTCACATCAAATTCCTGAGAAACTTTTCACTTTTTGCGGAAAAGGAAAAGATCTCAGATTAGAAAAATTTCAGAATAGAAAAGGTTTCAGAGTTCGTTTATTTTTTTATAGTTCATGATTTTCCCATGTGATTTGGGGAAAACAATTAGCGATGGAAATAGATGGGAAATGTTGCGGGAAAGGGGGGCAAAAGTAGTGATCGCAAGTGGAAAGATCAGCAAAAAGATTCACTTTTCGAGTTACAAAGTTGTAGGTTTTTTTTCTGGGAAAGTTGCTAATCTTCTGAAAACTAATTATCTATCTATTTTTGGGGTTTGAATTAAGAAATTCGCAAAAGATTGATTAAGAAATCGAGCTATAAGTTGTTCTGTAATTTTAAAAACTAGTATTTTAGTAAAAACTAGTAAACAAGCAAAAAGTGTGGAACTGAATATGAACATAGGACAATCGATTCTCATTTTCAGGCCGCTGAAGCGTTGACTTTTCTGCATGTGGACGCGAAAATGATGCATCGAAACGTTTGCCCGACGTCGATTATTCTCAATGAGAAGGGAGACTTTAAATTGGCTGGATTCGATTTTGCCATGACCGCCTCGACAAACGATCCATCGGGGGTGAGTTGAGCCTGAGCAAATAAGATTGAGCAAATAACACATCAAAAGCAATCAAGCTAAATGGCTAAGCCTAAGCCTAAGCCTAAGCCTAAGCCTAAACCTAAGCCTAAGCCTGAACCTGAGCCTGAGCCTGAGCCTAAGCCTAAGCCTAAGCCTAAGCCTAAGCCTAAGCCTAAGCCTAAGCCTAAGCCTGGCCTGAGCCCCAAAATGTGCAATCAATACCAGAAAAGTTTTGTAAAATAGCAATAAATAAAGTACAAAATCCTTTTTACTAGATTTCTTGCGATTCATCAGACATCGATGACCATATCTCTTGGCAACTTCTCCCGTCCGTCGACTTTTTGGCGCCAGAGTTGGCAGCTGGTGGGAGGTAAGTAATGAGCAATTATAATGATCTTGTAGGAGAAACGGCTAGACGGATTTAGCTGAAAATTTCACTGAATACATAAAACTATCTCCTCTTTCTTTTGCGCCAAAAATTAAGAATAGTTTTCAATCAAACAAGTGAAGTAGCAGGCGATTTCGGAAAATGGACCGTGGCACCCAGAAACCCCCAAAAATGAAAGCTTTTCAAAATCGCTCAAATGGCATTGTATAGAGGACGAAATAGCTCTTTGGATAATGAATGAATGGAATGGGATAATAGGAATAGGAATGGGATAACCCAGGTTTTGATTGCTAGCTTCATTCGTTATAAAATCGATGTTTTCGAAGAACCGAAATTACTTATTTGCCAGCCCATTTTAAACCAGTTTTAATATTATTTTGCAGAAAAATAATTGGCCTTTCTAATGAAAAAAACCGTAGTTCAATTGGTGAATTTGTTGTTTTTAACAAGTATGGAAAGGAACAAAAAGACTTTCTGGAAAGCCTAATATCAATGCACTTTTCCAGAAGCGAGCCCAGCTCTGATGTCTATTCCCTGGCGGTTGTCTCTTATGCGATTTTCAACGACGGAAAAACCCCATTCCAATGCAAGAATCGTCTGGATCTTTTGCGTCAAAACACAGAAAAGGTTAGGAAATTCTTTTTGCTTAAAAACATTTCCTTTTTAGTTAAAAGCAGTGCCACCTGAATGGGCACTCCGAATCCCGGAAACTTTCCGAGAGGATTTCAAACTTTGTCTTAACAAGATGCCAAAGATACGACCAGATGCGGCTCAATTTACAAAGGTTGGCTAAGAAAAGGATTTCTTAAAAGGATTAAGCTTTCTTAAAAGGATTAAGACTTCTTAAAAGGATTAAGCTTTCTTAAAAGGATTAGGCTTTCTTAAAAGGATTAAGCTTTCTTAAAAGGATTAAGATTCCTTAAAAGGATAAAGCTTTCTTAAAAGAATTAAGCTTTCTTAAAAGGATTAAGCTTTCTTAAAAGGATTAAGCTTTCTTAAAAGGATTAAGCTTTCTTTCCTAAAAGGATTCAGCCTTCTTAAAAGAATTAAGCTTTCTTAAAAGGATTAAGCTTTCTTTCCTAAAAGGATTAAGCTTTCTTAAAAGGATTAAGCTTTCTTAAAAAGATTAAGCCTTCTTAAAAGAATTAAGCTTTCGAAATAGCTTTGAGTTTTCTTCAGAGTTATCAAGGAAAATAACAAACAGCCTGAGATTAAAAAGATTTAAATCATTAATAAAAGCTTAATTGGGGTGTAAGTGATAAGGAGTACAGGTAGCTGTTTTGTACAGCAATAGATGCAGCCAAAAATCCTTTCTTTCTTGTGTTTCTTTCATCAGTTTTGTTCCAAAAAGCTTTGTTCATCAAAATCGAATCTCTTTCAGATTCCATTCTTCAAAGATCACCGCCTCGACACCGTGCAAACTCTCGAATCTTTTATGCAACACGAGCAAATGATCAAAATCGAGCTTCTGAAGAAATTGCCCGATTTGTTGATTCATTTTGAAAAGGTTTAGCTTTTTTGACTTTTTTGACTTGTCAAATTTATCTTTCAGCGTCTCCTCGTTCAAAAGATTCGTCCTTGTCTGATGGCCGAATTCTCTCATCCCGATTTGATTCCATTCATCCTACCCAGTCTCTTCTACATCATCGATTTGACGGACAAGGAAGAGTTCACGAATTTGGTGATGCCCGAGTTGGGACCAGTGTTTGCGATGGAGAGACCCTATCAGGTATTGATTGGGTTTTTGGATTTGATAAAGCTCAATAGTTAAGCTCAATAGTTAAGCTCAATAGTTAAGCTCAATAGTTAAGCTCAAAAACTAGTACAATTTTAGTACAGTAAGAATAACAGTTAGTCACTATCAGTAAAAGGAAAGTATCGGTACAATTTTGAGCGAAAGCTGGTCTACTTAAAGCTCAAAGCTGGGGCAATACCCTCTCGAACTCTAGAATTCTAGAACGCTAGAACTCTAGAACTCTAGAACGCTAGAACTCTAGAAATCTATAACTCTAGAACTCTAGAACTCTAGGACGCTAGAATTCTAGAACGCTAGAACTCTAGAACTCTAGAACGCTAGAATTCTAGAACTCTAGAACGCTAGAATTCTAGAACTCTAGAACTCTAGAACTCTAGAACTCTAGAACTCTAGAACTCTAGAACTCTAGAACTCTATAACTCTAGAACTCTAGAACCTGTTTGACTGTAAATTTACTTGCGACCTTTTTCCGAGAAAATCTTGGGTTGGCGCTTTAAAGCGTGGTAAAACTACGGTACCCCTCCTAGTTTGCAATAAAAGAAAGCGCGCAATTTCATTCTTTTTGCGTATTTCTGTACTTAAGCGTCCTCACACTGTCCATTCTGTCTATGTCTTCCAGTAATTATTCTAAAACAACCATTTTTTTAAAACTGAGCTGAATCAGCAACCTCTAGGTATGTAAGGAAAGTTGTTCCTCCATTTTCTGCAAGAAATTCGCCAAGCTTCATTATTTTTTTGTTTCATAAAATGATCTGTCGAGTTAATGAAAGATCTTTTTGATCTTTTTGAAGCATTCAATAAAGATATAGACGTCAGCATTCAATAAAGATATAGATTTGTGGAACTACTTTTGTAAGACGATTAAAATTGCGCTTCCATATGTTGATTGAGTCATTTGCAAAGAAGTTTCTGCGTTTTGAATGTGCTGATTCCTTCTACAAATCCCTTTCACAATGAAAACTCGTAAAGAACACGAAAAAACCCACATCAGAAATACGCAAAAAGAATGAAATCAATGGAAGAACAAGAATGAAATCAAATGAAGAACAAGGATGAAATTGCGCGCTTTACCTGAAATTGCGCGATACCTCCAAATCAGGCGTGCTACGGTGATTTTACCACGCTTTAAAGCGCCAATCCAGGATTTTCTCAGAGAAAGTTTACAAGTGTAAATTTAAGCTTTTCAGATAATCATCTTACTCCTCGAGAAACTCGATCTTTTTCTGAGTCGTGCCGAGACGAAAGATGTCGATAATTACATTCTCCCGTGTCTTTATCGAGCGATCAAGAACGAAAATGGGAGAATCCAGGTTTGAATACAAGAAAAACGAGAATAAGAATAAGAATAGGAGGATAAGAATAAGAGTACAAGAATAAGAATAAGAATATGAGAATAAGAATAAGAGTACAAACATTTTAAACGCTTTAAACGACTTTTTAAACAATTTCCCCTTTCAGGAGATTTGCCTAAACGTTGTGCCAAAAATCGCGAAACTCATCTCGAGACACAACATGAAAACCGATGTCCTTCCACGACTCTTGGCTTTAGCGACAAGTGGAGACACGTTGGCGGTTCGTGAAATGGCAAATTTCCTCAAATAGTCAGAGAAAATTGAAATTCAAATCAAATCGTGCATTCTCTAGCTAAAAAAAGGCTTCCAATCTTCCAATTCCAAAAAAGGCAATCCAACAAATCGATATACTTTATTCATTTATATATACTTCATTTCAAAACTCGGGTTCCACTTCTCGTGGCCCTTCATAGGAGAGATCATTTTCGGTGATTTCGGCGATAAAATATCCTTTATGCTTTCTCCGCCGGCGCTCCAAATCCAAATGGGCCAATGGGTCGAACTCTGAAATTGAAAGCTAATTGAACGCTGAAATTGAAAGCTAATTTTGAAAATCTTGAGCTGACTATGAGAAGCTGAAATTTAAATCTTTAGATCTTTTCAAGCAATCTGTAAATGATAAATCTTTTTCTGACTCTCTTCGGGGTTTAGGGGACTCTTTTCGGGGTTTGTTTGATATCAAAAGCTTTTGATTCAAGCTTTCATTCAAGCTTTCATTCAAGCTTTGATTCAAGCTTTGATTCAAGCTTTGATTCAAGCTTTCATTCAAGCTTTCATTCAAGCTTTCATTCAAGCTTTGATTCAAGCTTTGATTCAAGCTTTCATTCAAGCTTTGATTCAAGCTTTCATTCAAGCTTTCATTCAAGCTTTCATTCAAGCTCTAAATGCTTATAACTTGTTTAGAGTCAATGTTTTGACTGTCTAGAGTCAATGTTTTGATAAACAATTCAGATTATAAGTCGTTGTTGAGTTTGAAGCCGTTGTTGAGTTTCAAACCGTTTTTGAGTTCCCTTAAATCCAACAAGAGTCACTTTTACGTTTATCAATGTAAATTTGGGTAAAAGTCAGATAAGAAAAGTTTTTTTTACAGATTTTCTAAAGCCTGACAGGTTTGCTGAAGCGTTAGTTTTAGCAGCAAAGCCGGGGAAGCTTTCTAAAAGCTTTTTCTTCAACCTGTCGTCGTTTCAGTTTTCTCTGTCGTTATCATTTCTTTCTCTTCTTCTTCCCTCGATTCCATATCCGTCGATTCAGTTGTCTCAACAATATATTCATCGGGATCACTTGTGAAAACATTTTCACCAATTTGCTCCCCGGGCTCAGTGGGTGGAATAGTGAAATTCGAATAGATACCCAAGATGATTCTCGATTTGTGCGTTTCCGTGGTCGGCGTGGTGACCACCGGGATCTCATCGATGACTTTTGTTGTGTAATTCTTTGCCATCGGCATTTTGATCGTTGATGGAGCGAAAGTTCCAACTTCCAGCGCGTAATAGATTTTCGAGGTACATCTCCGGGGATCAGTGGCTATCGTGTAGTTGTATCTAAAAGTTTTCATTGATCTTTTGGCACTTTAAAGTCTCATTTCCCTAATCGAACCTTTGGAATGTTAAACAAAACTTTTTTTTTGACCAAAATATGATACTTGAACACATTACGACTAAATGACAGCTCTTAAATGCAAATTCAGAAAACTGTAAGGATATTAGAATATCGGAATCTAGATATTGGAACTTTACTGTACCTTTAAGTGTTTCTAAAGGATTGTGGGACATTTGATACGCGCCCCGGCCCCTTTGCCACTGATAATCTAACTTTGAGCTCAAATATCTTGGCGTTGGGCTGTCTAATTGATACAGTTTTTGTACCAATCGACAGAGAAAGACTTGACGCATCTAATGATACGAAGAATCTTCAAATTGGACACTAGAACACCAAGATATTTGAGCTTAAACTTAGATTGGCAAAAGGGGGAAAATTTGGATATAAGCTTGATTTTTGATTCTCTACAACTTTTCCATTGACACAAAAATGGGTTTCTTTTGAAGAAAGTGCTCAAACTGTCACATATGACAATAGCCGGCAGTTTTCAATTCACCAACCCAATAGATAATCCCAAACATATTGGAACCATATTGGAATAATATATTGGAACCATAACCGAACCATGTTGGAACCGTGTCCGAACCGTATTGGAACCATATTAGAACCATCTTGGAACCATATTGGAACCATATTGGAACCGTATTCGAACCATATTGGAACCATCTTGGAACCATATTGGAACCCTATTGGAACCATTTTGAAACCATATTGGAACCATCTTGGAACCATATTGGAACCGTGTCCGAACCATATTGGAACCATATTAGAACCATATTGGAACCCTATTGGAACCATTTTGGAACCATATTGGAACCATCTTGGAACCATATTGGAACCGTGTCCGAACCATATTGGAACCATATTAGAACCATATTGGAACCATCTTGGAACCATATTGGAACCATACTGGAACCTTGCTGCAATATTTTGAGCCTTTTGCAGAAACCTTTCCAAATTACCCACCTCAGCCTGCTCGTATTCTGCCCAAGTGAGCAAAATCCACAACTCTGTCGACACTCCCGGAAAGCGAAAGGGAAAGATTTACACGAGTGAGCACTTTCCGTTCTTGTTCCATAAAGGCTTTCCCTGGAACTGAAGGAATTTTGCAAATTCTCAGATGGGAAATCAACTGACCTATTCAATATTTTGTGACACCAAACGGGTCCCCGTCGATCGGAACAAGTCGTACTGTATGGGTCAAGAAGGAGCTTCTTTGCCGCAACCTCATAATCCCTTCTGCTTCCTTCTTTCTTTTTGTTGAAACTTAATTAGCTAGATAATAACTGAATAACTTTAAAGCTTTAAATTTTTAAGTTTTCCGTCAATCAATCAGTTGTCAATCAGCTATCAATCAGTTTCGGATTATAGACAAGAACTAGACAGGAATAGGAATGAAGATAATCCAAATCCAAATCCCAGTATCCTTGATCTCAGTTTCCCAAGTGATTCTTGATGTTTCCCAAGTTATTTCTTAGGCCCAAATCCGTTGATGAGCTCCAGATCAACCTTTGCAATAACATACAAGGCAATAACATACAAATACCATATCCAGGTCCAAGTCTAGTACTGAAGTTAGTTCTTGCTAGTGCTCTAGGAACCTCTATCCTTGCAAAAACTTTTTATTGAGCCTCGATTCTTTGAGGTTCCTTGAGAACTAGCAAGAACTAGCTTCAGTACTAGACTTGGACCTGGATATGGTATTTGTTGTCAGTTGTGACTTCCAGAATACATAATACTCTAAAAAGAGTACCGGGTAGCCGTTTAATATCAAGAAAAAACCCGCTACTATTTGCATTTACAGGGTGTTCAGTACAGGGTGTTCAGTACAGGGTGTTCAGTACAGGGTGTTCAGTACAGGGTGTTCAGTACAGGGTGTTCAGTACAGGGTGTTCAGTACAGGGTGTTCAGTACAGGGTGTTCAATATTTATGGGGACTTTTGAGCTCGCAAGTCGTTTTACTCGCAAGTCGTTTTACTCGCAAGTCGTCATAAAAAATTGGTTTATGAAGAAAAATCGTGAAGAAAGCACTGCATAGGAGTTGAAACAAACTCGACTTTTCTAGTTTATTTTTACAGTTTACTAAAGTTGATATTCTAAAAATCGATTCAACGGAACTTGATTAGCAAATTGCATCAAAAGAAGACAGATTCCGGTTCTTCCAGTTACAGATCCTGTTCTTGTTGTTGTTCTTGTTTAACGATGAGAAAGTCTTCACTAATTCACTCGTTTCAACATTAAAAACATTAAATTAAACATTAAAAATATTAAATTAAACATTAGAAACATTAAATTAAACATTAAAATATTAAATTAAACATTAAAAATATTAAATTAAACATTAAAAACATTAAATTAAACATTAGAAACATTAATTAAACATTAGAAACATTCAATAGAACATTAAAAACGTTAGAATCACATTTTAGTTTTGGTTCTTTTAAGAAAACTTAACGAGAACTTTTGATAAACTCAATTTATACTCAATTTGTGCCAAAAGGTGCTTTCCACAAATGTTTCTAGGCAAGCAACAGCGCAAAAGGCGATAATTTAAAAAGGTATCTTAAGGCTATTAAGTATCTTAAGCTATTAAGTATCGTAAGCTATTAAGGATCTTAAGCTATTAAGGATCTTAAGCTATTAAGGATCTTAAGCTATTAAGGATCTTAAGCTATTAAGTATCCTAAGCTATTAGGTATCTTAAGCTATTAAGGATCTCAAGCTATTAAGGATCTTAAGCTATTAAGGATCTTGAAGCTACTTGGCGTATTGATAAGTGTGTTTCTTTTTTAGCATTAGACTTGTACAAAAAGAGCTCAAAACCTAGTAATCTACTGGTACACATAAATATTGAACTCCCTATATAATTGAACTAGTATAATTGAACTAGTATAAAAAGATCATCAAAATGGTAAATAACCCAAACGCTGTACTGGACTGTTATTTGTTTGAACACTCACCAACTTGCACAGCATTGCACAAATGCGAAATCGGCATTGTTTGCGCATTGATGATCGAAATATCGTTTCCTCGTTGCCGCCAGTCGGGAACAAGCCAAAGTGGTCAATCGATCCACACAACATGGAGTCTTTCCTTGGATTTCCAGAGGGGCAATAGCTACTAGGAGAATAATTTGAAAGGGGTAAAGGCTTTTGGTTTGCTGCCATAGCCGAATCGCCATAGCCGGTAGCCATAGACTTGCTAAGAGGCGTGTATCTTAGTCGGAAGGTCAAGGCTTCAATTCGGCCGAGTAGGTTATCGATTCTTTTTATGTAGATGGATTTTTCCCTATATTTAGGGTTTAAGGGTTGGGAAAAGTTGACAAATAAGCATTGACTATATGAAAGGCCAAAAATGGTTGAAAGTCGTTTTCCCGAGAGTGCTAGGGGTTGTGCTTGTGGATTGTTTGTATCAAAATTATTCGTGTGAGCAAATGTATTTCTAGAAGCAACTATTACAGAACTATTTCTAGAAGCAACTATTTCTAGAAGCAACTATTCTGTAAACTTGTATCTCGACTACAGAATTCTGTAATCATTGTAGCTTCAGCTCCAAAAGCTCCAAAAGGATTGACTCTAGTTCTCTGATCTTTGAGACGACCGTAACCTGTACTATTCTACTGGAACATTAGATTACTGGATATGCTAAAGTATTTTGGTACTATCCGATTGTACATCTCTAGATCTAACGATTGTACATCTCCAGTACTATCTGATTGTACATCTCCAGTACTATCCGATTGTACATTTCTAGTAGTATCTGATTGGACATCTCCAGTACTATCTGATTGTACATCTCCAGTACTATCTGATTGTACATCTCCAGTACTATCCGATTGTACATCTCCAGTACTATCTGATTGTACATCTCCAGTACTATCTGATTGTACATCTCCAGTACTATCCGATTGTACATCTCCAGTACTATCTGATTGTACATCTCCAGTACTATCCGATTGTACATTTCTAGTAGTATCTGATTGTACATCTCCAGTACTATCTGATTGTACATCTCCAGTACTATCTGATTGTACATCTCCAGTACTATCTGATTGTACATCTCCAGTACTATCTGATTGTACATTGTACCTTAACTAACTAGATTAAATCTATAACCTTCTTTTATCTACTCTAATAAAACAAGGTCAACATTTTTTTTGAGATGCTTTTCTAGGAAAACAACTTTCAACCATTTTTAGCATTGATATAGTCAATGCTTGCTTGTCAACTTTTCATTTTAAGGAATAAAATAGTCAAGGTAATAGTCAAGGCTTTTCTCAAGACTTTGATCTAATTTAGCATTTGACTTTGAACTTTTGCCTTTTGCCTTTCCGCTGTGAGGCAAAAACTTAAAACTTGTCCTAAAACGATTCAGTTGTCCCGCCATTCAGTTAAAAGCCGATAAACTCACTTGTCGAATCAAACAAATCTATAACCTTCTTTTATCTACTCTAATCAAATAAGGTCAGCGATTTTTGACGGGCTTTTCTAGGAAAACAACTTTCAATCATTTTTAGCATTTCATATAGTCAATGCCTATTTGTCAAGTTTTCATTTCAAGGAATAAAAAATTTCGGTAATAGTCAAGGCTTTTCTCAAGGCTTTTCTCAAGGCTTTTCTCAAGACTTTGATCTAATTTAGCATTTGACTTTGAACTTTTGCCTTTTGCCTTTCAGCTGTGAGCCAAAATCCAAACACTACTATTCAGTTGTCCCGCCATTCAGTTAAAAGCCGACAAACTCACTTGTCGATCTCGCCGCCATCACTCCATGTTGCAATAAAGCGAATACAAAAGTTTGTGTGGCTCTCATCGTTGATAAAACAAAAAAAAAAAGAAATCAAAAACTTCAAGTCTTCAAAAATCCATCACCAAGTCTATGCAAATAGGAGAAAAACGAACGGGTGTATGCAAATGGGAGAATGGTGAGAGCAGGGAGGAGTGGAAGAGTCGAGGAGTCGAGGAGTGACCCGGGGGGACTGTCTGTTGTCAAACAGTGTACTTGTCCTTTCTCATGTCTGCAATGGAACCCTCATGAGACCCCGATTGAGTCAAACACTCGGACTCTCTTTTTTTTTCCATTTTCTCCGCCTTTTTTTCACCTTTCTTGGCCCCGCGAATTTCTTTGTGTTTACTCTGAAATTGGCTTTTTTTGGGAAAAGACTTTTCACCCAACCCTTTCCTTTTTTTCTTTATCAATGATCGGATCGAGGCTTGTTGAGGAGGCACGCCGAGGGGAAAAGATTTGACCACTCAATTGACCCCTTCTCCTTTTTTTGGACCAGTTTTTTTTCTGATTCCAGAACGCTCCTCTGGGAATCCCTGCATGGGAATTGGTTGAAGAATAGGAAAACTTCAGAGTGTACGGAAATCTTTATTGAGTAGATTGAGAATTGAGTAGATTGAGAATTGAGTAGGTTGGGAATTGAGTATATTGGGAATTGAGTAGATTGGGAATTGAGTAGATTGAGAATTGAGTAGATTGGGAATTGAGTAGGTTGAGAATTGAGTAGATCTTTTGGGTTTTGAGCTTGATCTTGACCACTTGAACTTATTTCAAAATCAATCTCTATTACATTGAGCTGTGAAAAGAGGTTAGAGTCAATGAAAGGCTAATTTTAGAGTCAATGAAATGCTAGGTTTAGAGTCAATGAAATGCTCAGTTTAGAGTTAATGAAATGCTAGGTTTAGAGTCAATGAAAGGCTAAGTTTGGAGTCAATGAAATGCTAATTTTAGAGTCAATGAAATGCTTTCAAAAACTTGCGACTTATCCCTTGTACATTTGATTTTGAAGTTCTCTGAAGCACCTTAAAAGGTCGACAATTTGTGTCACTTTTCCATCTGCGAGTTTTCCTTTCCGAGTCACTTTTCCGAGTCCATTTGCATGGCATGGCAAGTTAAAGTGATGCTTTTATTCATTGTCAGTCAAAAGTTTATTAAGCAAGCTTGGCGCAAAGTTTCGGGCTTTTGGCGATCGTTGAATTGTAGTAGACTGAGGAGGGACGAGTGCTAAAATAGATTAATAAATAAAGCTAATAAATAAAGTTAATACAAGGAAAGTAGGATTTTCATCTATTTCTTACATCAGAAGCTGTTTATCTGCAAATATGGAAAAGATAGTAAAGCATTTTAAAGAATAACCTGGCACAAAATCCGCAAGTCTTCCGACAGACACGAAAAGCGAGGCCCGAAGTCTGACAAGTGACTCGGTTTTGTTGCCAAGAGCCGCGTCGAGTCAGGAAATTCTGAAAATCCTCGTTTTCAGGATGGCATGGATTTGCTTAGAGTTAAAATCCGTTTTTAATCAGCTGTTGAGATCACTTAGGCGATTTTACCTCACACCACATTTCAGTATGTCTATCAGCGCATGTCGGATTCGGTGTTTCCATCATATTCGCCACATCGTACATGTAGAGATCGGCGGGCACCGGATAGGCTAAAGAAAATTTTCGGAAACAAAAGCTCTCCCACTTAGCGACGTGAACATATCGGTGTTGAAATGGCAAGATTGACAGCATTGAATGAAACTGAAATCGGGATTCGTTCGGCAAAGGACCGCGAATTTCTAAAAGTTTTTGATTTTTGGAATTGTTCTTAAAGTCATTCCTCGTGATCTCGATTGTACATTGATTTGCAAACGCCGGGAAGAAGAGTGTCGATACAGCATGGAGTTTTTGTGGCTTTCAGCGCTGACAGTTGCACATTTCGCACGGCAAGAGCTAGAAAAAGGACTAGAACTAGAATTTGGCATTGTTGAAGAGCATTTTTAGCATTGATTTAGCATTTTTACCTTACAAACTTCCCGATAAATGACTTTAAAGAAACTAGAAACTTCTAACAGATCCAGCAGTCGATAAACGCTTTTAATTTAACCACTTCTAAAGCTTTTAATTTTACCACCTCTATAGTACCCAAAAAGCAGGTAAAAAAGCAGGTTTAAAGAAAAAAAACCCATATATGGGAAAAAGAACCAATAAGCTAGCCGGTGGGATTGAACCTTTGACCTTACAGATACAGAGCTCTTAGCCAGTTGGCCATGACGGCCTGCTTGGCCAGAAATTGGTTTACTTTATTGTTCTTGGTTTCTTTTTCCTTACTATCTTTGGTTTTACGCTTTTTATTGACTACACAGAGAAGAGATAAGCATTTTAACCTCAAGGTATTCAGAAGATGTGTCTACTTACAATACAATTAGCTAGGTATCCAGGTAGCTAGATATCCAGGTAGCTAGGTATCCAGGCAACTAGGTATCCAGATAGCTAAGCATCCAGGTAGCTAGGTATCCAGGTAACTAGGTATCCAGATAGCTAAGCATCCAGGTAGCTAGATATCCAGGTCGCTAGATATCCAGATAGCTAGATATCCAGGTAGCTAGATATCCAGATAGCTAGGTATCCAGATAGCTAGATATCCAGGTAGTTAGGTATCCAGGTAGTTAGGTATCCAGGAAACTAGGTATCCAGGTAGCTAGGTATTCAGGTAGCTAGATATCCAGGTAGCTAGATATCCAGGTAGCTAGGCATCCAGGTAGCTAGGTACGGTAAAACCCGGGGAACAGATCTGGTACTGTAGCTTATCAAAATTCCACCCAACGTTCAGTTAAAGTGCCAATTCCCGTACCTAAACGGATAAAAACTAGCCCAGCACCGAAAAAAACGAGCCAACTTTGTGTTGAATTTACCTGAAACGATCACCGCACCAAGGAATCCCAAAAAGCTCAGCATAATCCCAGAACTGATCCAATGGTGGGGGGAAATTTGCGTGAAATTTACGGCACTCCGTTGGGGCGGAACGGTTTTTGACGGAAAGCACTCCAAATATTCAGCCAAAGACCGGAAAAAAGGCTGGCTGATGGGCAAATCCCTTATGCAAATCTCTTATGCAAATTTCTTATGCAAATGATTATGCAAATGCTGTCTCCTTTTCGCTCATTTTCTCTCCCGTCATCTCATTTGTTTGCTTCCGTCAAAAAAGTGCCTCAAGCGCTCACGTTGGTCAATGTTGGCAAAAGAAAAGAAAGAAAAAGCCTAAGCGATATGAAATAAACAAAAATCACTACTGGGCAATGAAAAGCTATACTACTGGACAATGAAATATGATATTTGAAAGGCGATCGTCACTTTCGCGCGTCTGTAGCTCCGTCTGTAGCTCAATTAGATGTTTAGATTTAGATCTTACCGAATTTAGATGTACAGAACCGAATGAGAGTTAGAGTTTAGAACCGAATGAAACAAAAGTTCGGAGCCACCTTGTTTTAGGATTGTATTGAGATCTCCCAGCCATCTCCTCCCACCATCCCTCAACCACGTGTCTTCTTTCGATATCAGTTTTTCTAATGTCGTCAAAATGGCTGCTTGAATAGGTTTTTGGAAGTTTTGGAAGCTTTTGATCTGCCAGACAGGCAAGACAAGCAAGACAGGCAAGATTGGGGTGTGTCCGGTGTTTTTGTGGTTGCAGCGATGAGCTTCAAATGTTTTTAGACTTAAATTCAGCTTTCCGGTAACAAAAATGATCCAACGCTGAATCTCTTATAAATGTTTATTATTTTAGCAAGTTTATGTTCAATTTAAGGCTTTACAAGCAAAGATCAAGTCTTTTAAATGACAATATTGTCTAGTACTGTAGATTTACGGACGCCGATTGCCCCCAAAATTGGTGAGTAGATAGAATCGATGCTGGGGAATAATATATTAAAAATTCGTCTGTAAAACTCCAAGATTACGGTAGTTGTAGTGTTTTTAGTATTTAGTAAGATTTGAAACCACATACATTACTGGACAATGAAATATCATATTTGAAAACCCTTGCGCGGCTGAAACTCCCTTGCGTCAAAAATACCATATTCTCTGAATATTAATATTACCATTGTGTAGCCCTTGAAGAGAGCTTTCAGAAAATGTATAACACTAATAGTTTAAACTCAAAGACAAGGGAGTTACAGACGCGCGAAAGTGACGATCTTTTTTTCAAATATAATATTTCATTGTCCAGTACTGTAGCTTTTATAGATTTTTCGTTTTATTCCAGATTTTATTCCATTCCAGATTTTATTCTATTCCAGGTTTCATTCCAGGTTTCATTCCATTCCAGGTTCGAGTCCAATCACTCATCTGTATTGGGAACTTGTTGCCGAATCTCGAGGAATGGATGGTCACCGAGCAGATTTTCCCCGCCATTCCCAAGATCAACGCCAAGGAGCCGGCGGTTTTGATGGCGATTTTGGGTGAGAAATCTTTTGACATTTAATTTGTAAGAGTTGACATAGTCGAAACTAGACTTAAGTACAAGACTTAAGCACTTCAAATCCTTGTCAAACTTTCTGTCAAATCAAAATCCTGTTTATTGAACTTTTTGTCATCGTAACATTCATTTCTGGCGCACTCATCTTGACACTTTTCTCACGACAACGACTTCTTGTCGTTGTCGGATAAGTGAGGAAAATGAGTACGCTAGAAAAAGTGCGTTTACAAAAGCACAATGGACCCTAAATTTTAGGCATCTATCAGCGAATTTCCACCGGTTTCTCGATCAGTCCCGAGCTGTGGGCGAGAACGGCTTTGCCCTATCTGATGTTCTCTTCAGTTGATATGAGCTTGAATCAGGTAGACAATAAAAAGATTCGGTTCTTGCGTAGTTTTCGGGTATTTTAAAAGAATCCGAGTATTTTGAAAGAATTTGAGTATTTTGGACGGATCGTCACGCTTTGAAGGCCTATAACTTTGCCCAGAGGTCATATTCTTGCTAACTTTTTATAGCATTGTACAGAGGATATTTCAGGCTTTTAAATGAAACCAAATAGAGCTTGATTGGGTTTTTTATTCCCATGCAAATCAGACGGCACAACACCCAAGTCGTATAGACCTCATTTGCTTAGAGTTGGTTTTGATTTTCCTGGATTGGATTGTCCAAACAAGCTCTATTTGGTATCATTTAAAAGCCTGAAATATTCTCTGTACAATGATATAAAAGTTAGCAAAAATATTGCCTCTAGGAAAAGTTATAGGCCTTCAAAGCGTGACGATCCGTCATCTTGTAAAGATCAAAAATACCGGATTTTTCCAAAATACTCGGATTCTTTTAAAATACCCGGAAACTACGCAAGAGCCAAAGATTCAATTTTACAATTACATTTAGGATCAATACCTTCAATATGTGAGCTTTATTGAGACAACACATAACAAAGTGAAAGAGGAACATTTGAAGAAATTGGGCACGATGAGCGCTGGGCAGGATGCTGTAAGAACTGGGTGAGTGTACTTTGTGGAAAATGTAAACGCACCCTTCCCGGCATTCAATTCCTTGTTTTCTGATCAGCTAAGAAATGTATGTACCAGAGAGCGTGTGTTTTCAAAAGCACAGTATGTGTAAATCACGTCTAACTGCCGCTTTGTGGTATTCCAGAAAGTACTCTAGAAAGTACTCTAGAAAGTATTCTAGAAAGTACTTCATAAAGTACTCTAGAAAGTACTCCAGAAAGTACTCAGAAAGTACTCTAGAAAGTACTCCAGAAAGTACTCCAGAAAGTACTTCAGAAAGTACTCCAGAAAGTACTTCAGAAAGTACTCTAGAAAGTACTCCAGAAAGAAAGTAAGGTACTTTTACACAGTACTTTTCCATTAGCTATCAGAAATTCAAAGGGAAATTTTAGCTCCGCGTCCGCTGTTTTGTCATCAACAACTCCAAAATCCGACTCTATAAACGCTCTCGATGCCGTCTTTAACCCAGGAGGCTCAAGGCCTAGTTCAGCATCAAATACAAGCACACCAGCTAAACAAAATAGTGTAAGTCAATGATAAAGCCATAAAATGAGCCTAAAGTAATCTATAAGGATGACGGCCAAGTTCAATTCTTCATATTTCAAAACAGAAACAAAACACAAGAACCCTTTTCAGGGTGTCTTGAGCTTGGAGGAGAAGCGACGCTTGGCTCAACAGCAAGAAGCCGGAAGTGTCACGAATTCTACGAATGATGGTAAGTTGAGGCAGAAATTTTGGATCATTAGAACTTGGCTTTTAAGAAAATAGTTTTTAAGAAGGTAATCGCATTAGCTAAATGTTCAAATTTCAGCCTTTTCGGACCCGCTTGGTCGCGGAAAGAAAGTGCCGATGAATCAAATGAGATCCTCCGCCTCTCCACAGCCGACGATTTCCACGGATTGGTTGAGCTCGACGCCAGGTGAATAAGAAGTTTTAGCTACAGTACATCCAAAAACTATAGTACTTTCTTAGTGTAGTTGGTACTGTTGGTACTGTAGTTGATACTGTAGCTGGCAATCTTAGAAACTCTCTTGCAAAGTGATTCTCTATGACTATCGAGGTCCAAACTGGACTACATTGTCAAGTTGTACTTACAGTCCGATGAACATTGAACTATCAGGGCTTATTCACTTGCATTGTTAAAAAATAACGATGATTTACTTTTCCAATGTCAAGAGTAGTATTTGGTATCAAAAGGCATTCGATACGTGCTCCGCCCCTTTTCCCATTAGCAATCTAACTTTGCGCTCAAATATCTTGGTGTTGGGTTGTCCAATTGATACAGTTTTTATACCAATCGACAGAGAAAGACTTGGCGCATCTAATGGCACCAAGAATATTTAAATTGGACATCCCAACACCAAGAAATTTGAGCTTAAAGTTGGATTGCCAATGGCAAAGGGGCAAGGGGGCGGGGCGCGTATAAAAGGAACGCCTCGCCCCCTTTGGCTGTCCAATTCAAATAGTTTTTGTATCAATTGACAGAGAAAGACTTGACACATCCAATGATGCCAAGAATATTTAAATTGGACACCACAACACTGAGTTATTTGAGCGCAAAGTTAGTTGGCCAATGACAAAAGGGGCGGGGCGATCGTGAGACCTTCTTATGTCATAAAAAGCAATCGTGATCAGATGTCCGATCACCATATTAAAATGCTCTCGAATTCCAGCTCCAGCCCCTCAAATCTCACCGCAAATCTCACCGATGAGCGCTTTTTCTGCGAACGGACTTGGCTCGTTTAGCGGTCTGACTGGCTCCACCTCGGCTAGCAATACCACATTTTCTGGTGGGGTTTTGTAAAATGAAGAAAATCAGAGCTCCAATAAGCTTTACTATACAAAAACTTGTAATTGACACTTTCATTTCAGATTTCGACTCAATGTTCCCACCGTCCAGCTCGGCCACAAGCGCCTCTTCAAATGCGAATTTCGGAAATCTTGGCTCATTTGGCGGCTTAGGTCTCCCGCAACCACCGCGTTCTCAAAATACGGCCATTCAACGCAAATCCGGAAATCCTTTAGACGATTTGTTGAGTATGGGAACAAATCAGAACAAAATCCCGATGAATCAACTGAATCAATCAAATGGGCAAAACAATCTCAACTCTCTCAATTCACTCGGCTCTCTCACTCTCAATCCAACAAAATCCACTCAGAATAGTCAAACAAAAGATCCGTTTGCTGATCTTATGTCATAAAATAAGCATAGTACAGTAAGAAATTAGAATTTTAACAATTTTAACAGTTTTAACAATTTTAACTAGAGTTCGGCAAACAAAACCAAAACCAAAACAGACCAAAACCAAAACCAAAACACCAAAACCAAAACCAAAACACCAAAACGAACCAAAACCAAAACACCAAAAAAAACCAAAACCAAAACAAACCAAAACTCAATTTGCATATAAATTAACATGTAAATTTAAAATTGTAAAATGCAAATTTGCCTTTCACTTTTTCTCACTCCCCAAAATCTCGCGGCCGAAAAAAGGACCAAAACACGACCTCGAAATTTCGAAACAAAAAATAGCCTATGGGATAGATTTTTGGATGCTGATTTCAAATCTGCAAACAGATTTTCGCTAGCTCCTCCCAGTCGCGAGATATTGGCGAGTTTTGGTTAGTTTTGGTTTTGGTTTTGGTTTTGGTTTGGTTTTGGTTTGTTTTGGTTTTGGTTTTGGTTTTGGTAGTTTTGGTTTTGGTTAAGTTTTGTTTTCCGAAGTCTAATTTTAACACTATCATTCAATTGCCATTTGCTTTTGAATCGAATCATTGCTGCTCGAATGAGATTAAAATTAAGTAAAACCGACAAAATCGGAGTGTTTTCCTTGTTTTCCTTTATCAGAGTGTTTTCCTCGTTCAAGAAGGCGTTTTCTAAAAGGTTGAGAATTTGAAAAGCTACCGGAACTCTTCAGCTTTTGATCTCATTCAATTGCCAGTTTGCTTTTTGATCGAATGATTAAGCAATCATTCGATTGCTGATTGAATGAGGTTAAAATTAAGTAAATCCAACAGCTTCTGAAAGATTACGGTGGTTCTCAAAATTATCCACCTTTTAAAAAAAGAAATGCAGCAGATTTTTATCGAATTTCAGTTTTTTTCCTTGTTTTTCTCCGGTTTCTTTAGGATTTTAGGAATCGGGCAGCTTTTAGAAGCAGTTTTTTTCATTTAAATCAAATTCCTTTCCATTTTCCATAGATTGACTATATCTTGTGATTTCTTTATACGTGTATTTCTTATTTATTAGGCTCTCCAGAAGATCTTTTCGTTCATTTTTGCACATTTTTGTACTTCAGTTTAAAACCAAAAAGAAAATCTAATGCACGAATTGAACCAAGGCTTGCTTTTCATTAGAATTCATTAGAATTTCATAGAATTCATTAGAATTTCATAGAATTCATTAGAATTTCATAGAATTATAGAATTCATTAGAATTTCATAGAATTCAATTATTTTTGTGCGAAATAACACGAAAACCGAGTTTAAAATGGATTATTTCTAGATTTTTTTTGATAAGCGTGAAGTCGGGCAGTCAAAATGCGACTCGATGATGCGATTTCGACACTTTAGCTAAGGAAACCGATCTTTGTGCCAATCGATAAAAGATAGAGCACAAAAAGTTTGGTAGATAGCTAAGGCTTCAGCGAAATTCATTCAGCCAATTTCTTCGTAGAGGTTTTTATCGATTTTGACGAGAAAACTCTGGAATTTTTGCGAAAAACCCGTTTTAACTCTCGAATTTTCCTTGAAAGACTTGAAATTGACTTAAAAAGATGGGAAATCAAACAATAAACACTTTTTATTTAATAGATTAATTGGTGAACTTGTTATTTTTCAACAGAAGTATGAAAATGAGCGAAAAGACTTTCTGGACAGCCTATAAAATGAGCGAAAAGACTTTCTGGACAGCCTGTCCAATGGTTGTGTCACTTTTTCTTGCTTTATACATATTACTGACCCCTTTCCTTCTTGGTGCTGCGAGAGAAATTTCCTTTCGGCGTTATTGGGCAATAAATATTTCTGATTTCTGATTTCATTTCTGACAAAGTGGTGTTGAAAATCAAATGCAAATCAAATCAAAAAAGAAATATAGAAGAAGGCAGCACAAAATAACATGAAAAAGAGTTTAAAATGGCTTATTTCTAGATTTTTTTTGATAAGCGTGAAGTCGGGCAGTCAAAATGCGACTCGATGATGCGATTTCGACACTTTAGCTAAGGAAACCCATCATCGTGTCAATCGATAAAAGATAGAGCACGGAAAGTTTGGTATATAGCCAAGGTTTCAGCGAAAAGCTATCATATATTTGACAATATGATAGCTAGAGTGAGTTTTTTGAGACATACCAATCAAGCATATAATTTTTCAAAGTCCAATAAATGATGTTGAAAAGTCAAAGTGCAATAGAAGTTGAAGAAAAAGAAAAAACATCGATGAAAACATTTTAAAGATTGGATAAATGACCAATGAAAGACTTACCCAAAATCTGATCTCCAGAGCCTGATCTGACAATCTTGATCTTGTCATTGAGCCTTGATCTTGATACAGTGCACTTTTTGCGTACTTTGGAAGATCACCGCTTTACCAATGAGTTGCAAAAGAAGATCTATCTAGAAGTATCGCACCGTTTTTCTAACCGATATACTATCTATCTATTCTATTCGATCTCCAGAGCCCGATCTCTAGAGCCTGATCTCTAGAACCTAATCTCCAGAGCCTGATCTCTAGAGCCTGATCTCTAGAGCCTGATCTCCAGAACCTGATCTCTAGAGCCTGATCTCCAGAACCTGATCTCTAGAGCCTGATCTCCAGAACCTGATCTCTAGAGCCTGATCTCCAGAACCTGATCTCTAGAGCCTGATCTCTAGAGCCTGATCTCTAGAGCCTGATCTCTAGAGCCTGATCTCTAGAGCCTGATCTCTAGAGCCTGATCTCTAGAGCCTGATCTCTAGAGCCTGATCTCTAGAGCCTGATCTCTAGAGCCTGATCTCTAGAGCCTGATCTCTAGAGCCTGATCTCTAGAGCCTGATCTCTAGAGCCTGATCTCTAGAGCCTGATCTCTAGAGCCTGATCTGACAGTCTTGATCTTTTCATTGATACAGTCCCGGTCTTCTATTTTTTTCAATAGAATTTCAATTCAATTCAATTTCAATTTTCATTCAATTTCAATTTTCTCGAATAGAAGACCGGTCTTCTATTTTTTTCAATTAGAGAGCTTGAATCCAGCTTGAATCGACCACTCTCAACAGCTTCCCCAACAGCTCAACAGCTCCAAGAGCTCAACAGCTTCCCCAACAGCTCAACAGCTCCAACAGCTCAACAGCTCCAACAGCTCAACAGCTCCAACAGCTCAACAGCTTCCCCTTTGCGGAAACAAAACAATCTGATCATCCTCGCTGCCATCCAAAGCATTCGATACTCCACAATTTTTGAAAGACTTCTCAATTAAGCTGGTAGGTAGGCTTTCCCAAGCTGTGTACAGCTTGGGAAAGCCTTATCCACTCCAGAAATTGATCTATCGCTGGTGGTCGAGGATTTCCGCCTTTCGTAAAAGTCCTAGTTCCATTTGATAGCCAATCGGTGTAGAAAGCATCAAATTTGCTTTTGAATGAAATAAATGGCTGATTCCAAAAGGTAGATTCAAATCCATCAATCAAAGCTAATCAAAGCATCAATCAAAGCCTCAGAAGACGTGTAACTCTCTAGCAAACTAGATCTGGTTTCTGGGTCTGGCTTTTTTTTCAATCGAATCGTTTTCAGTCTAAAGCGTAAGTCGAAAAAGCTTCGAATCGGTCCGAAAGTTGAAAATTTTCAAATAAAATCGGTTTGATCTGGACAGAAACCTTCAAATTATCGAATTGGTTTGAATCGGTGCAGAGCAAAAGTCAAATTCTCGAATCAAATCGAGTTGAATCGATTCGAAGCCCAGATTTAGTAACTAAAAGTCTACTCAATCGATCAAAAGATAAACAAAAGCATTATAAACATGTGTGTGTGTGTGTTGCCGTGTTTCCTCATTTGTCGCTCATTTCACCACAAAACCAATTCAAAATGTTTCACATATGTTCTATGTGGAAAATTTCACACATGAGGCTCCTCAAAAGTGATCAGAGCCAAACTCTTAGCCGGCCACCCCCCGTTCTCCCCTCTCGAACACCAACTGTGTGTTGTGTGCGTGTGTGTCCCCTTTCTCAATCTTTTCATCGAATTCATGGGATCTCTGTTACACCAGCCCATTTCTTTCTCATTTTTAGCCGCTCTTTACCAGCCCATTTATCGTGATCCAACAAATAAACCCCTTGTTCGCCATTCGTCTTTCAACCTGAAGAGAGTGCAGGGGAAAAACTCGGGAAATAGAACATTCGGATTGGATTGAGCCCTGGGTTTTTTGGGTACAAAGAGGGGATCCTATGAGAGAGGGTTCTAGCTCTAGAGTTCTAGTTCTAGAGTTCTAGTTCTAGAGTTCTAGTTCTAGAGTTCTAGCTCTAGAGTTCTAGTTCTAGAGTTCTAGTTCTAGAGTTCTATATTCTAGAGTTCTAGCTCTAGAGTTCTAGTTCTAGAGTTCTAGTTCTAGAGTTCTAGTTCCAGAGTTCTATATTCTAGAGTTCTAGCTCTAGAGTTCTAGTTCTAGAGTTCTAGTTCTAGAGTTCTAGCTCTAGAGTTCTAGTTCTAGAGTTCTAGTTCTAGAGTTCTAGAGTTTCACGGGTCTCTGGCACACAACAGGCGATACGTGATCTCATTCGAATTCCCTCTTTGTCTCTCTTTGATTGTGGAAACTTTGGTTTGTTGCTCATGAGCTCCTTATCTTTACTTTTCAATAGAATAACATTGTGAAATCACATTGTATTTACCTCAAGCCTTTCTTTGATTCAAGCGCCTTTTTCAAGCCCCTTTTTCAAGCCCCTTTTTCAAGCCCCTTTTTAAGCTCCTTCAAGCGCTTCTTTGATAAACTTATCCGGTTTTTTGGGCTCTTGGGTTTCTTGGTAGGATAGATGTGGGGTTTGCGTGTGAAGTGGATTTTAGGCATGGTATTCGATCCAGTCAGATCGGGTAAAACCATTGGTTTCGGTTACAATTCGATCCAATCTTTCCGTTTGGTCACATTTGTATACTCTTGTCTAAGAACATAGAGAAAATCTATGTCAAAGTTGTTAAAATTCCGTTACGAGTCTCGGAGTTTGGGAACTTTTCTATT